CGCCCACATTAGCTAACTAGACGTTGTCTGTTAGGTAGTGTATTTGATTCAGTTAATCAGCGACCGCTGTGAGCCTAACTACGTTGTCTGTTAGTCCTGACAAAAATTGCAGGCAAGGCGCTCTCTAGCTGTGGTCTCTACATATGTCCAAGAGTAGTAGCGGCTTTGTGGTAATCTAGGAACACATGATGGCCAAATATGCGACATATATGCAGTCTATCGATGAAATTACAGACGCATACAAGCATCCATGCATTATTAGTAACCATTTGACTGCTTCAGTCCTTCATCTCCGCACACGGCGGGTTAACTAGGCCCTTCCAGCAGGACAGAGGCTCGAATTATATACCTCAAACTTTTTCAGACTTGATTTAGAATAATATTACATGCACTTCTAGTCGGCCTATGCGTTCCTTAGCTCCAATTCCGTTGAGGTTCATTAAGACTTCCAAGACGCCTATAAGAGACGCCGGGTTAAAATATGACAATATTCTTACACAATAGAACTTATCTGACAGCAGAACACTCTTATACGTTATTCAGACACCGAGAGGGCTTAGAGCGGCGATTTGTCCCCCTGGGCCCTGCACCAAGTTGGCTCACCTTACAGGTCAGAGCCCGGCCGACCAGGTTAGGAATACCCTGAGTAACAGGGGTCATGGAGGTACTGTGACTTTAGAGGAAAAGAGGGACACTATAGTCTAGTGGTCTGACGGCTAAGTCAGGGCAGAATCCAGCTTGTTCCATTTCCCACAGCTAGAGGTTACACAAAGTGTTGAACAGAGCAGAGTATGCTTAGGCAAGTGAGCGTTGTAGTCAAACCAGTAGGTTTGACTGGCTACTCACTCGCCATATATACATAGACGAGACAACAAGGCAATAAACTAACACAAGGTGCTAGGTGAGGAGAGATCAGAGGAGGATGACCGATTCATCTCGTTCATGGGGTATCATGTCATTGTACTGTATACACCTCGAGGTTGAGCACTGCCGATGCCCAGGGGCTGGTATCGAGGACAGGAGAACAGAGACATTCGTAGTTGCTCTTGCTGAGCTGTAGACGCTTCAAGTGGTATTTCGACTCCAATATCAGCGCCCTTTTGACTCCTGACCACCGTATCATCGCTGCCTCATAGACTGCCAGACGGCGATACTACGATCACAAAGAGATTGTCTGCCACTAGACTGTTATCGCAACGAAGGCTTGATATCAAGAAGACATATTGCATTCTGCATACGGTGCGAAACACTAGCAGTGGCATACAAAAGGTAAATGTATTAGACAAGAACGGTACGATGACACGGCTTTGAGAGAACCACTAGTCCATGAGAGGTGTACGCCACTAGGTACGAAAAGTCCGTGTCGAGTCACAAAGTCTGCACAAGTGTTACCAAACCGTCTGAAATACGAGTAGGAAGGGGTCTCACCAATATCAGTCGTTTGAGTCTGTCAGGTTGCCTGCAGTCCCGCCATCAGCTCCAGCCATCGACTGTTCGGGTGCAGTCGCGACTGGCGTAGTCGTCCCGGTAGCGACACGACTGAGCAGCTCGATCACACGTTCGTCATGCAGGTCACGCGAATGATGTGTCGACGGCGTGAGTGGGCCCAACTTTGAACTAACCACCACCCGTTGCACATGTTGCGCTCGTTTGACTCGTCGTACTCCGCCTGTAATGTTCATGTCCATTTGGCTAGTGGTGCCGATGAAGACGGAACGTGAGCGCTTGCAGTTGTCCCGTTTGACGACGTCAGAGCCCTCTGCTGGCGTTGCGTCAATGAGACGTCTATAGGCTACAACTAGACTCACGACTCGCGCTGGTGACGTTTGCAATATCGGTTCCAGAGGAAAAGGAAATGCGTAAACGGAGGCGAGCCGTCTGGATTGCACGGTTCAAGTTGCGGTTGGAAATGTCGCAGTGGTTGGCTGAGGTGATGTTTAGTTTTCTGTCGGGTGGCTGGATTACGAAATCGCGTTCTTCCGTCGGCGGGCATGGCATATGCGCTCTGGGATTGTAAGGAGACCGAGGGGTGTTCGGTGGACCATTGGGTTGACCAGGAGGGATCGCGTTCATATGTATACCCAACCTGATGTGGTCCAGGAGGTTGATTATGCGAATCACTCGCAGGCCGAGGTGTATAGGCGTTGCCTGTCGTCGAGTCAGCCTCGTTCAAGAAACCGTTTGGGGACGTCTTACTCGGTATCGAAGACGCACGTGATTGCTGACCTGACTCGATAAGAGGTGGATGGAACGGGTCGAAATGACCACTGGACGGAGCAAACTCCACGGCTGGGTGTCGGCGAGGTTAATGGGACGACCATAGGGCGAAAATTGAGAGGTCCTAGCGTCTATGGACCCACGTCCCTCGAGTGCCATCCTATCTACGCAGCTTTCGCCCTGTTCGTACGACACCACTGGGTGGACTACGCACGCCCGCATTTGCTGGACTGGGTGATCCGTATGCATGTCCATTATCCACAGAGCCCGAATAAGTTGCGTATATGAGTTGGTACCTGCAGGTGTAGAGGTGCGGCGACAGCATAACGATGTTCGGGACTTTGGGTAGGTGGGGTGGGCAACTGTTGAGCTGGCGCTGCATCGGCGGGCGCTGGAGTGAGAGTCGGTAGCTGGTATGCAAATGAATGGTCGTATGTCTGCCATGCGGCGAGTGGGTATGACATTTAACGGGTCATGTGCATTTCCGAGGGACTGTCGGACTGGGTCATAGCCGGTTCACAATAATAGGGAGGATGATGCGCAGGCGCAGGATGGTATTGATAGTCGTTTGGGGGAGAGCCATTGTACGATTGAGAGCGAGCGTGATAGCCATAGTAAACAGACGGGTGCGGTTCTCCAGGCGGTGGATAGTAGTTTGGATAATGAGACAGCGGTGATCGAGGAGAATAGTCGTATGTATGGCATGGCGCCTGGTATTGACCCGCCTCGCTCATCGAGTTCGACCTAGGAGGGTGGGCTGGTGGATGCGGGGTTGCATATTGAGGAAGCGTATCAACGTTGTAACCGACTGACATGGAGTATGCGTGCTGGTGGTGACTGGGTGTATGGGTATAACCATGGAGAGGAGGAGGACCATAGCGCAGGGCGAGGGCCGAGACTGTGTGGCAGCAAGGTGATGATGGGCGGTTGAACAGAGACGAGGGAAAAGAGACTCTGGCCACTGCACAACGAGTGCCTTGTAGATCTCCCGTCGCCAATCTACCTGGGATGTATCCTCGTTGACACCGCGTACCAGATTATGGATGGGATGGCGCATGCATTTGTGTTGGACAAGTGGAATAGACACGTACCACTGCATACAAGAGGAGATGTGCATCTGCCGCACTGCAAATCTTGACGCTGCACCCAACAGCGCGTCGACGCTCGCACTGGGTCCAATGGCTATCGCGAAACATATCTCTGCAGGCGCATGTCTACCGGAGTGTTCAAATGACGTCCTTTCCCCACCCATCGCGACCATTTCTCTTGTCCAGGATGCTCGCAAGCATAACGACTGACCCCGCAAGGCACTCCTCGACTAGAAAACACAGGTTTGGTACTAAATACAGTTCATGTCTGACTCGAAAGATGTATTCGACCTCGAACATGTTAGCGAAGCAAGTCCAGAAATCGCGTGGAGACGTCGAGCGTCGAGTAGAATGAGACTACGCACTCATGATGATTGAACGAGCGATACCAAGGTCACTCCGCGTCGAATAGGGCCAGACTGCGGCTGCTAGATGACGGCCTCAAATCTCCAACGCTGGAGCGGATCGACGCCAAAGAAGTGGGAGTCGATTTGAGGTGAGCTGAGGACTCGAATGTTGATACTTTCAAGGCGAAAGAGTCGCATCGTGAGCAGCTAGCCGTAGAAGAGTCACGAAGGACGCTTCCCTAGGCATAGTCGCGGTAGAAAAGGAATCAGTCTGTATTATACTAGAATTTCTTGTACACATTGGTACAACTCGCAGCGCAATGGACCGAGAGCCGCAGACTACAGAGTCGCGGTCGGCGCGAACACTTGGTCAAACAAAGGTCAACTCGTTTTGGCCATATAATGCCAGATCCCAGCGAGTCCTCGCATGCTGGTGGACACGATTAGTACCGCTATTCTGAGATGCCATCTTATCCGAATACAAAGTCACACACCAATCAGACTCTGGCGTCTATCGAATCGAACTGCGATTGGACGATTCATATCAGCCTACTGACCGGTCATCCGGCTGGTTCGTCTGGAAACAATGAGGCTTGCTCCCGACACCTCTAGGACTGTATAACCCCAGCGCGTCCTAAGGCCCGTTCAGACGACACTATCGACTGTTTGAACAACTCAAGAGCGCACAATGTCACAAGAGCAAGGCAAAGCACGGCCATTTCCACGAGGTTCTAAATCATGTTGCCCGACTTTGGCAACGACTGAACGATCGGACTGCTGCAAGTGAACATCCTAGAACATTGAAATCCTCTACGTCCAAAACCAAGAAGGAAGACCTTGGATTCCTGGAATTGGTATGCCCAGAGGATCCCACCGTCGAGTAAGCACATTCGGGGCACTGTAGTCGCTTCGTGCTGACCTCCCACTCCAGTATCATAGCAATCCACGGCGAATGGTCACAGAGAAAAGACTTGGATGACAGACGATGGCGTTCTTTGGCTACGCCAATTCTTGCCGTCCTCATTGCCTCGTGCCCGTATCCTGACCTATGGCTACGACGCCGACACTCACAGTACGGAGTGCGTATCGACCAGACTATGCGCCGCCACGCCGTCGGTCTGGCTCAAGCTATTTTACGGAAGCGTAAAGATGCTCCTCGAGTGAGTGGCATCCGTAAACCGGTGCCTTGTTCCCTAATCACCCTAGCGCCCCATCATCTTTGTTGCTCACGATTTGGGAGGCATCATTCTCAAATGGGTTCGTCCGAGGATGTCCACTACATTTTGACCCTGACGGTCTCATAGGCGCTTGTCATATGCAACAATGAGGACCTGGAATCAAAAGACGGCCTACGAAATATCGTGGTATCCACCCATTCCATCCTCTTCTTTGGAACCCCGCATTCCGGCGTAGAAGAAACGCTCCTTAAGAAGATCGTTCGCCTGGCAGCACCATGTATGGAATCAACAGACGTCATTGTCAAGAACCTTCACGCTCACTCGGATGAACTCGAAAACATCCAGAGCTTGTATCTCACCGCGAGTAAAAAGATAAACAGCGTCTTCTTCTGCGAGGAATACAGCACCGGAGCCGACGAACAGCAGATACGTTTGGTAGGTGCGCTAAATCGTCTTATGGGTGGGTGCTAACTGGCTTATAGAATGTTCCGTATCACTCGGCGGTGATCGCTGGCGATCAAAACGCTATTGCGGTCGTACTCCATAGCGATCACCAGAACCTTGTCAGATTCCAGACGGAAGAGAGTGAAGATTACCAAGCAGTTGCTTACTATCTCACGGAGTGCGCTGAGAACGCCCCGATGCCGTGCACAAAATGGTTTATGGAGAATAACTTGCGCAGTTCGTAACATACTCATCGCTGATTCTTTCCTGACCCACGAGTAGCCGTCGTGAAGGGAGGAACCATCCCTCAACCAGGTATGAACTATCTCGTGTACACGAAGGTTTACTAATATTCTCAAGACGACGCGCTTTCGTATCTCAACTGCCGGTAGTCGCATTCGCCCCATCCTCTGTCCATACCACCTGTCTACAAAGGAACTCGCCAGGCTGTCCTCGAGACAATCTCGCAATGGGCCGATGGCGATTCATCAGAAAAACCGATCTTCTGGCTATGTGATATAGCTGGCTCTGGAAAATCGACCGTCGCGATGACTGCAATGGAGAAGTGGAAGAAGCAAGGAATCTTAGGCGGCGGATTCTTCTTCTCCATGGCAAGCAGCGAAAGCTCAGACACCGAAAAGTTTTGCTCGACCATGGCGAGGGAACTCGCTCAACATATTCCGGAGCTTGGGACACCGATTGCGGAGATAGTAAAGCGGAATCCTGCTCTCCTACGAGCCTCTTTTGATCAACAGTTTCGAATGCTCATCACCGGTCCCCTCCAGCATCAACAGAAGCAAGTAGTCCTCGTCTTAGATGCACTCGACGAATGCAAGTCTGGAGCACAGAGAAAAAACTGGTTGAGACTCTCGCTTCTGCTGCTCAGGAGAGCAAGAATCTTCGGATATTCATCACAAGTCGACCAGACCCTGTGGTTGAAAGGGTTTTAGAACCTCTTTCGATCAAGGCCAAGTTGACAGATCGGCTCCACGATGCTAGCCACCGCGACAACATCGATGACATTGCGATATACGTCCATCGATCGCTCGGCAGTCTGCTAGCCTACGATAAGAGGCAGCGACTGGTCAATAAGGCCAACGGGCTATTTATTTGGGCAAGCACTGCGTGCCGGATGCTCGACAACAAGTTATCGGTGATCAATACAGAGGTCATATATGATCGCCTGATGTCCATCGATGAGCCTGGTGCCATCGACGGTCTATACGACGTGATTTTCGAGCGGATTGAGCAAGAGTCCCAACCAGTCATCGTTGAAATGCTCGGTATACTGCTTTCCGCAATTGAGCCACTCACCATGGACGATTTAGACGACCTTGCGAAGCATGCGAGTGTACATGGAAGTGCCAGTGCGCTAGTACAGAATCTGGGAAGCGTGCTCAAGCAGGATCCAATCACATGCTTGATCCAGTTTCGCCATCCCACGTTTGTCGAATACCTTCGACGACGTTGTAGCACCGAAATTATCGGCGATTGCGACAGGAATCTTATCAACATCGCGCGTGCACATGGCCAAGCCGCGTCATGGTGTCTTCACACTCTCAAATCGCGCAAGGAGGGGCTCAAGTTTAATATTTGCCAAATCGAGTCATCCTTCTATCTGAATAGGCAGATTACAGACCTTGACGCCCGGGTGGCGAAATTCATTTCGCGGAGGCTTCGCTATGCTAGTTTGCACTGGTCGTTCCATGTTGCTGCAATGGACAGTGACTGGGGTCGCAGGCTAAGGAATGAGCTGGCACGGATAGTCAAAAGTCCATTCGCACTCTATTGGATGGAGATCCTCAGCGTGACTGGAGGAGTCATGCGGGCAGTATCTGGATTGCGAGCTGCGACGCAACATAAGAGTGTGCGTGGACTATTTGAGACCTTCCGATTACTAAAGCAACAGATAGCTTGAGCAAGAGATCCGAGGTCGGATGAATGACATCAGACGGTTTTGATGGCATTCTCTGTACCAATCCAAGACAGCGCACCACATCTACATCTCATCTCTCCCATTCAGTCCACAGAAGTCGGTACTTCATACGGAGGGTTTAAAGGAGTATATGAATTCGTTAATTGTGACCAGAGGGCTTGAAGAAACATTTCGTGAGCTTCCCAGAACGCTGCTAGGTCACCAGGGTAGTGTCACAGCAGTTTCATTCTCACCAGATGGCACACGAATCGTCTCTGGCTCTTTGGACAGGACAATTCGACAGTGGGATGCAGAGACTGGCCAGCCATTGGGAGAGCCACTCCAAGGTCATGAATACTCGGTGAACGCTGTCGCATTCTCACCAGATGGCACACGAATCGTCTCTGGCTCAAGCGACAGCACAATTCGACAGTGGGATGCAGAGACTGGCCAGCCATTGGGAGAGCCACTCCAAGGTCATGAAGCCTCGGTGAACGCTGTCGCATTCTCACCAGATGGCACACGAATCGTCTCTGGCTCTTTGGACAGGACAATTCGACAGTGGGATGCAGAGACTGGCCAGCCATTGGGAGAGCCACTCAAAAGTCATGAAGACTCGGTGAACGCTGTCGCATTCTCACCAGATGGCACACGAATCGTCTCTGGCTCAAGGGACAGGACAATTCGACAGTGGGATGCAGAGACTGGCCAGCCATTGGGAGAGCCACTCCAAGGTCATGAAGACGAGGTCATGGCTGTCGCATTCTCACCAGATGGCACACGAATCGTCTCTGGCTCAAGGGACAGGACAATTCGACAGTGGGATGCAGAGACTGGCCAGCCATTGGGAGAGCCACTCCAAGGTCATGAAGACCCGGTCATGGCTGTCGCATTCTCACCAGATGGCACACGAATCGTCTCTGGCTCAAGGGACAGGACAATTCGACAGTGGGATGCAGAGACTGGCCAGCCATTGGGAGAGCCACTCCAAGGTCATGAAGACCCGGTCATGGCTGTCGCATTCTCACCAGATGGCACACGAATCGTCTCTGGCTCAAGCGACAGCACAATTCGACAGTGGGATGCAGAGACTGGCCAGCCATTGGGAGAGCCACTCCAAGGTCATGAATACTCGGTGAACGCTGTCGCATTCTCACCAGATGGCACACGAATCGTCTCTGGCTCAAGGACAGGACAATTCGACAGTGGGATGCAGAGACTGGCCAGCCATTGGGAGAGCCACTCCAAGGTCATGAATACTCGGTGAACGCTGTCGCATTCTCACCAGATGGCACACGAATCGTCTCTGGCTCAAGCGACAGCACAATTCGACAGTGGGATGCAGAGACTGGCCAGCCATTGGGAGAGCCACTCCAAGGTCATGAATACTCGGTGAACGCTGTCGCATTCTCACCAGATGGCACACGAATCGTCTCTGGCTCTTTGGACAGCACAATTCGACAGTGGGATGCAGAGACTGGCCAGCCATTGGGAGAGCCACTCCAAGGTCATGAATACTCGGTGAACGCTGTCGCATTCTCACCAGATGGCACACGAATCGTCTCTGGCTCAAGCGACAGCACAATTCGACAGTGGGATGCAGAGACTGGCCAGCCATTGGGAGAGCCACTCCAAGGTCATGAATACTCGGTGAACGCTGTCGCATTCTCACCAGATGGCACACGAATCGTCTCTGGCTCTTTGGACAGGACAATTCGACAGTGGGATGCAGAGACTGGCCAGCCATTGGGAGAGCCACTCCAAGGTCATGAAGACGAGGTCATGGCTGTCGCATTCTCACCAGATGGCACACGAATCGTCTCTGGCTCTTTGGACAGGACAATTCGACAGTGGGATGCAGAGACTGGCCAGCCATTGGGAGAGCCACTCCAAGGTCATGAATCCTCGGTGAACGCTGTCGCATTTTCACCAGATGGCACACGAATCGTCTCTGGCTCAAGGGACAGGACAATTCGACAGTGGGATGCAGAGACTGGCCAGCCGTTGGGAGGGCCACTCCGAGGTCATGAAGACCCGGTGATGGCTGTCGCATTCTCACCAGATGGCACACGAATCGTCTCTGGCTCTTTGGACAGGACAATTCGACAGTGGGATGCAGAGACTGGCCAGCCATTGGGAGAGCCACTCCAAGGTCATGAATCCTCGGTGAACGCTGTCGCATTCTCACCAGATGGCACACGAATCGTCTCTGGCTCAAGGGACAGGACAATTCGACAGTGGGATGCAGAGACTGGCCAGCCGTTGGGAGAGCCACTCCAAGATCATGAATCCTCGGTGAACGCTGTCGCATTCTCACCAGATGGCACACGAATCGTCTCTGGCTCAAGGGACAGCACAATTCGGCAGTGGGATGCAGAGACTGGCCAGCCATTGGGAGAGCCACTCCAAGGTCATGAAGACGAGGTCATGGCTGTCGCATTCTCACCAGATGGGACACAAGTTGTCTCTGGCTCCATTAGTAGGACAATTCAAATCTCGAGTTCGGACAATGGTGAGTCGATTCTGAATATCTCTTTGGTTTGTAGGGTCAGTTTGTTATGGTGACTGACCGTATGCTAAATGCAGGTAATCTATCAAATAGAACACGTTTCTCTGGCCATATCAAGTTTTTTCCAGTTCTCTTTATACCTAGATTTGGTGATTGTTCTTTGCTGCCTGACGGATGGGTAGAGTCTTCTGGTCAATACCTCTTCTGGGTACCACCTAATAATCGTCATGGACTGGAGCACCCACGTCTTGTTCTGACTATGCCCACTTCAAGTCACCTTAGAGCGACCAAACTTGATTTCACTAATTTCCAGTGTGGGACATTGTGGACCAAAGTTCGAACAAGCTCATAGTTATGAGTGAATGTATCAGCCTAGCATATAAATGGTGCTATTGCCAAGTGGGGACAATAAAATTTGATTTGCCTTGCCGCTCCTGCAGAGTGCCTGAGAATATGATGCAGAGATCATGGAGAGATGGGATAAGAAAGCTAATGTATCTATCATAAAGGTTTCATGAGCTTAGTATAGGCCCTTATTGAGTAATCAGGCCAACAAGCCACCTGTGACCAACATTGGAACAGTTTTAGAGCCCACTGTATCTCAGATACAATGCAGCTTGGTTTGACACTCTAACGAGGGGATGGTTTGTTGAAGAGACCTTGGTTCTGCTCAAAGAGCTTGTTGGGAACAAAAGTCACTTTGGAGAGGCTCTTTGCCCTGACTTGGCACACCTTGTAGCTGACATGACTATCTGGGCACCACTAGAATGGGTAGATGGCATCATTCCCTCATTCCATCACAACCAATTAGCCAATTACATAGGAGACATATATCTCATAATCAGTTTGAAATATGTTGATTCTGTTGATTCTAGGATGTGTGAGGTGAGAGGAAAGACCAGTATATAGTGTGGCAAACCTAGGAGGCATGAGGTGAGAGGCAAGACCAGTAAGGTCCAGCTGCATTGTCCAGCGTCCCTAAATACATTGAGTTACAATGTGAGCTATTACTATTGGCTAAGTCTATTTAGTGAGCACTAAGAGTCAAAGGGTAAACCTTCAACACCGAGGGATCAACCAAGTGATTTGGTGGCCATCTTTACTTCATATGCAGTTGAGTTGAGAGGCTTGCTTGTCCTTGGTCAGAGCAGTTGATAAATACCACAAGATCAGAGCGTAGCCTTTAGTCCCCAGTTATTCAATTGTGAACATCAACCACGTCTGACTTGATCTATTCTTTGCCTCTTAACAGCTGCATGTGTATGTCAACGGTACATTCAAATGGAAACAATTGTGATCAAGATACCATGGATCCACTTTCTAGAGTCTGATTTCAATATGTGCTCTCTTTACGGGGTAGTTAGGCCACCTCCCACCAATTTGGATCAGGAGAGCCTGGTTATTCAATCTCTAATGACCAAGGGCAGGTTTGCCTCCACTAGATAAAGGATGTAGCATCAAAGGGTTCCTTATATACTTCTAGTTTACTCAGCACCTGTGACATACTCAAAGAGCCAAAGTGCCTCTGGAGTAAAATGGGTGGGAACTGGCTTGTTTTCATCATCAGTTGGTTCCTTGTTGAGTTTAACCTACATAAAACAAAGTTTACATATCTATGGATCCAGGATTTGAGCAAGCTTACAGGTTCCTTCTTGTTTGCACTTAGAAGTTCCCAGTGGCCATGCCTGCCAGGTTCATAGATACTATCAGACAATATGTGTGTCAAATATCCGTGACAGGATGTATTACGTACGCATAGAGAATACAAGGGTCAGAACCAATCAGCACTGGCTGGAGGAACCAATGAATTCCTGGCGCAGATTCTTCCTTGATGCTGATATAGAAGCAACTTGGGACTTCAGTGACTGGACAACCAATGACAGCTGTGGCTTTTGCAGACACAGCCTGAAGGGTGTGTGAGTTGTCCATCAGTAAAATATGAAGCTGCTAATTAGATCAAATCGGGTGCCTTTAGCACGTTAGGTGGACTAGCTAGTCCCCCCCCCTAATTAGCCGCTTAACTGCTCTTACTGCTAATTACTTGTACGAATTCTCAGTTGTAGTCACATGCTTATATGTACATTGATATCCTTACTGTTTTCATCCATTTTCCCACTGTTATATTCATATATGCCTAGTGCAAGAAAAAAAGGATAACTCTGATTCATTCATCTTTCATTGTATACACAAATCCAAATGCAAAGTTTTTGTATGCATACTACCTCATACAACTACTCAAAGCTCATATGTCCTGTGGCACCAACACCTGGCCTAAGCTCGAAGATTGGCTCAAGGTATTTTTGATTGTGCAAAGCCGTCATCACCAGACTCCAAGTCACAGATATAGATATATAAAATCTTAAGCTGATTCCTTGTCATAATCGCTAAAAGCTATAATTGAAAACAACTAATTACATGACAGACAAGATGCAGTCCAGATGCCAGGTCTTACTATTGATGCGTGTATGGTGGGTTGGAATGAAAATCAAGGGACGAGTAAGAAGGATGCAGGTAGACAAGCGGCCGGATGCAATGTAGACGAGCACGGCAGATGCAATGTAGACAAGTGGCATTGACGGGTGGCAAAGGATGTTGAAGACAACGCAGCAAGGACGGGGTAAAAGGGTGTAAAATAAGGCGTTAGTGGTGTGTTGATGCGTGGCAGATAGAAACACTGACCTAACAGCACCGACAATGGAGAAGTAAAGGGCAAGCTAGGGCAGCATAGATGAGTGACCGAGATGCAGCGTAGACAAGTGGCCAGATGCGATATAGATGAGCACGGCAGATGCAACGTAGAGGAGTGGCATTGACAAGTGGCAAAGGATGTTGAAGACAATGCGGCAAGAACGGAGTAAAAGGGTGTAAGATAAGGTGTTAGCGGCATGATACGTGGCAGATAGAAACACTAACCTAACAGCACCGACAATGGAGAAGTAGTAAAGGGCAAGCTAGGGCAGTGTAGATGAATGACCAAGATGCAGCGTAGGCAAGGGGCCAGACGCAATGTAGACGAGCATGGCAGATGCAACGTAGATGAGTGTCAGATGCAATGTAGACGAGCACCACGTAGACGAGTGGCATTGACGGGTGGCAAAGGATGTTGAAGACAATGGAGCGAGGACGGAGTAAAAGGGTGCAAGAAAGGGTGTTAGCAGCGTGTTGACGCACGGCAAATATAGCGCTCACCAAAAATGGTTGGTAAAGGGCAAGCTGGTACAGCATGGCAGGGGTCGGGTGATGAAGACGAATGTAGAGTAGACGGAGCAATGAGAGCACAATGTGGACGACATCAAGATAATCATGGCTGGAGGACACCATTGCGGTTGCATGGGTGGCGGGGTAGGTGATGATCAGTGAAAGGCGTAGGTGGGAAGGGAATCACGTGTATGGTACGTTGGAGTCGAGAAGAGCAGGCACTGTTTTGTAGATTTTGACGATTTGAACTTTTTAGGCGGTTTTTTGGTTGTACTGGTGCAGTCACAAATCCATGGAACCTTAGTAGATTACTGGTCATATGCATCAAAGATTTTGAGGCTGGCATTGTCCTTGTCAACATCAGTGATGTTGTTGTCCAAACCAAAAAAGTCCAATTCATTGAGTTCGTCTTGGTTCTCGCTTGGTAGGGGCGCAGGGGCCTGATTGCATGCGCTACAGTAGGTGAGATATTGCTAAAGAATGTGGAATGGCACTTACATGCAGTAGTCCGCCATACTCATCATCAATGAGGCCGCTTGATCAGGAATAGTATCAATCATGCATTTGATATTCCTGAGGTGCATCGCGTAGGTGCGTCGGTAACTCTCCTCGGTGAAGGGGATCTTCTGACGTAACCCCGTCTTCCACTCCTCAAGGGCACTAAAGGTCTAGTAACAAATGAGTCTTAGACATCGAGTCAGGAAGTGTACCTACAGCAGTAGCAGCAAGGGCAATTGCGCCTGCGGGCATTGGTGAGAAGTGGACACGTTGATCTGCATTGGCGGGGCGGTACAACGATTGCTTGATAATCTGTTGAAGAATGGGGTGTGCATACAGCATGGAAGTGCGCTGGATCAAAAGTCAATATCATCTTACATAAGAAGTAGAGCACGTACGCGTCCAAAGGAGCCTCGGAGATAATGACCATTTTCAAGCAGGTATGCAACTCGCTCCCAAATGTAACGAGTATGATCCGCAGTGGTAACTGGCCCATTCCACAAATCCACTAAGCGCTGTGGCATCTCAAAGCAATAGACCACGCTAACAAGGGCAGCTGCCGTGGCTTTGACACGGCTGCGTATAGGCCATGCAGCGTCCGTGATCTATACAAGTAAGCGCAGGTTACTTGTCAAATAGTAATGCTTACCAAGCGATACTTATTGGGAGACCACTCGATCGATCTCCCTAACACCTGGTGAGTTAGTGTGAATTCAGATCAAGGAATAGCTCACTGTCCTGGCCCGGCAGATGAAACTCTCCCTCAGCTACATCGAATGCGGCTCGAGCACCGTCCATTCGTTCAGCAGGAGTTGGGTAGGCATTGACCATGGCAATACGAAGAGCATAGGTCGCCTTGGCAGCACGCAGCAAGATGCGCTGCTTTGGTTCGTATGAAGTGATCTGATATGGTGCCGGGTGACTGGTTCGACGCCGCTTGCGAGTGTTTGTTGGGTCTGGTGCCGACTCGTCTTCTGCATTGGTGAAGCGCACTGCTCCAAGGATGGGGAGAGATGGACGTCTGACGAGTGGTGACATGGCTACTCGGGCAAGCTGGTTTGGAGGTGGATCTCGCTGCGAAATGGCTTGAATGGACTGTCGAGGCGGCAGTTGAGAAGATGGTCCTGGTTTGGCTCCGGCCTGTGGTCTGGCTTGGTGGTTGAATACACCTGATGACCTTGCGGCATTGACCAAGCTTTGTTCGTTGGCGACAGTATGGCGGCGTCTCGCTTGGTGCCTTGTTAAAACATCCACCCCCTTTGAGTCATGTCAGCGCTGCCTTTTTTTTGCACTATTTGCGTTAAGTATTATTGTGCAGTGGCACCGCCAATATAGCACATTGTCTAACTGGAGCCCACTTACTGGGTTACCCTCGGTTTCATTGGCGCGTGCATCTCCTTGAAGGCAGGCAGTTGTTGCTCTCCTTGCCGAGATCTCCCTCTGGGTGTGGCTCTGCTACGCTACTTTTGCTTGCTTTCAATTGCCTTGACTGTCTGTGAAGTTGGTTTGGTTTCAATACGTGTTGTCTCTCTGGTGAGTTGGTTACTCTCTTTCCCTTCCGTTTGTATCCTCCCGTCCCATCTTCAACCTCCCCGTCCTCCTGATAAACTTCAACGTCTCCTTGATTCCCTCCTTTGTCCCTAGTATCTCCGCTGGTTCTCTCGTCTTCTCACGCAATGCTCCTTCCCATTCGGCTCGCGCTGCATTGTACGCTGGGCAGATGTGGAGGAGATGAGTTATGTTTTCTGCATTTCCCTCTCCACAGTGTGGGCACCACGGTGCATCCGCTCTGTTGATGCGGTTCAGATGCTTGTTCAGTCCGATATGTCCTGTACGTAGCTGAATAAGTGCCGCTGCTTCTGCTCTCGTTAGCTCGTCTGTGATTTGGAGATATTTGTTGGATGGCATTGTCTCGTCGATGGGCCTGGTCCTGTCGTACCGTGCTGAAGATTTCCACTTGTTGTGTGCTGACTTCCTTGCTGCAAGTTTGAGTTCCTGTCTGAGTGCCGAGATATTTTGCAGGAGGGTGTCCTTCATCCATGGTGGGAGTGTTGCTGCTGTGGATGATCCATCTGTGATGGCCTTCTTGGCCTCCTCGTCCGCTGCTTTGTTACCCTCGATCCCTTCATGACCTGGGACCCACGTGAGAGTGATCTGAGTCGATCGATTAATCCTCGTCTCATTGTCGCTCGCCTCTACGAGTTCTCGTCTATGCTTTTGATCATTGCGCAGTTTGTCTATTGCTCTGTGGATCTTGCGGATGATGTGTTGGCCGGCTTTGGCACTGACGTTCTCCATTCCTTGTATTGCTGCCTGGTTGTCAAGGCTGATCTTGATATGTGGTATGACGATCCTTTCCATCTTGGCTAGCTGGACTCCGAGTGCAATTCCAACAAGTTCTCCTTCGTGTACCGTGTGCTCCATGTCTTCTCCAAGCAGGAATCTTGCTGACCTTATCCGTACTCCGTCTCTGTAGAGTACTGCACCTGCTCCTATCATGCCTTCCATTCCTGAGCCATCCGTATAAACTACTACCTGCTCGTTGTTGCCGTTGCTGTTGTTGTCCGCCTCTTTCGCTAACATCCTCGACTCCTCTATTGAGATAGTGAATGGGTTAGTGGCATTGGGGTTGCGTGATGCTGGGGTGATGGTTTCGAGGTCGTCTACTTTGGAGTCGATGGAGTGGAAGATGCGATGTAGGGGGGCGTTGTGCCTCTGGAGGAGTCCTCTTGATGCTCGTTTCACGAATTTGGAGAGAGGATGGGTAGCGGGCAGGCTTGCCAGCCGGGCCGCCGCCTTCTGGCATGTGAGGCGTAGAGTTTCTTTGATTGGTAGCATATTGAGGTGCGCATCAAGGGTATCTCCTGCTGTTGTGCGGATAGCGCCTGTGATACCGATGGTGGCTCTACGTTGGACGGCTTGCAGCTTCTTGGTGATGGCTCCGGATCCCATCCGGCGTATGGAGTTTGGCTTGGTGTATGGTGGGGTGTACCAGATGTCTGCGGCGTATGTGATGCGAGGAATGGCAACAGAGTTGAAGAGTTGGCAGCCTGAGCGGATTGGGAGGCCATGGAATGCCCTGTGTATACGCGAGAATAGTGAGGTCCACTTTACTGCCCTTGTGTGCACGAGCTCCTGGTGCTTGTTCCACCGCAGTGACTGGTCGATCACCACTCCAAGTAACTTGCAACTGTCGGTAGGTTGAATCGTTACTGTTGACATTCTGCCATTGCTGTCCTTTGCCTCGAGGACCAGGGGATGTGAGCCTTTGCGCTTTTCGGATGACATGGTGAAGTCCACGAGCCCGAGTTTGTTGTTCTCGAGTGGTGAGTGGTGCAAACGTGACCAGTCTAGGACGCCTCCTTCATGTTCCATCATGTCCTTCAGACCAAGGTGCGTGTTGTGGAAGTTCTGGCCAATGGCAATCAGGGTAGAGTTGTCCACAAACCCGAGGGTGAGCTGGTCCTTGCTGTTTGCAATCTCCAGTAGTGGGGCAATGTAGAATAGGTAGAGGATCATCGAGAGTGGGCATCCTTGGCTGTTCCCATTGTTGATAGCGCGGGGTGCGGAGTGCACCTTGTTGAATTTGAGGCGTGTGGATCTGCCTGTCAGCATGTTCTCGAGAGTCTGCACATACTCCTCTGGGATCCCTTTTGCTCTCATATTCTGCATGAGAACTGGCTTGACAACGTTGGGGAATGCTGCTTGGATGTCGAGAAACAGTGCGCTGGCCACCTTTGACTCCCTCCATGCCTTCTTGATTGTGCTTGTGAGAAGGTGAAGGGCATCCATTGTTGACCTTCCTGGTCGACCACCAAACTGAGAGTGTGGGAGCAGTGCATAGTGCTTGGACATGTAGGTGAGGTCCTCCGCCATGAGTGCCGAGAGAAGCTTTCTGAGGGTGTTGAGGAGCGCAATCGGTCAGTACGCTTTGGCTATATTGTACGCTGGCTTCCCTGGCTTTCGTAGGACCACTGTAGTTGATTCCTTCCACTGCTTTGGAATGTGCCGGAGTCGAATGGCCGCATTGAATATGTTCTTGAGGATGCAACTGATAGCTGGGAGCGCTTCCTGGATTGCTGCATTTGGGATACCATCCGGGCCTGGTGCCTTGTCACGCTTGAGACGTCCAACTGCCTTGCTCACCCTCTTTATCGAGTATGGTGTCCACTGAGGAAGTGCAGTTTGAGGTGCCGGCCTTGGTCTGGGGAGTGAGTGCAGGTGGAGGTGGAAAGAATGCGTTGCATAGTAGCTCTGCTTTCTCCTCGTTACTTTGCGTTAGTGTGCCATTCGGCTTTTTGAGTGGGGGGATTCTCTTGCTACTTCCATCGTTGGCGCCTCGCTTGATGAAGCGGTTGATGTTCCATAGGTCAGTGTCGGATGCCTCGTCGATCCACTTCCACCAGAATGCCTCCTTGCTCCTTCGTACCATCTCCTTCATCTCTTGGCACAGTGCCTTGTAAAACTGATGACTTGGGTGGGCTGGGGATGCTTGCCAGTACCGCGACTCTGTGTATGCTTGGCATTTGCATTTGTGAAGATCCTGACATTGCTTGTTCCACCACGGCTTGCGGAATGTTGGGTCCTTGCTGAGCAGGGTCATGTCCTTGAGCTTTGTCTGCATGTAACCTGTGAGTAGCTCGACAAGCTGCTCCAGCTCCTCGGGGCGCGTTGGTTCAATTACCAGTCTTGGGTCGTTCTTGACTGCGTCTTCCATGCCTTCCCGGAATTTCTCCCAGTTTGTCCTTCTGTAGTTTGGCCTTGGTGTGATGGCCACTTTTGCAACTGAGAGGTCGATGATGGAGGTGATTGGGATGTGGTCCGTTGTTGTTGGACGAAGGTCTGGCCATGTATTGCACTCTACAAGTCGGTGGACAATATCGCCTGATGCCCACACGTTGTCTGGCCTAGTTTGACTCCCGTTCTCCTCTTGTGTGGGTATTCCGGCTGGTAGGAGTTGCTGCATGCCGTGTTCGATGATCAGGTTGAGTAGTGGAGTGATGGCGTCAGTCAGACTGCGTAGGTGACGGTTGTTGTCCCCCTCCCAGGTGTGGTGGTGCCTGTTGAAGTCCCCGAGCCATACTTTGAGCCGGTTGGCCCACGTTGGCGTATTGTGCGTTTCAAGGTGTTGGGTGAGCTGGTCCAATGTATCGTTGCTGGTGCCTTCATTGTAGATGTTGTAGATGGTGCAGAGGCCCAATGCAGTACCCACTCTTATTCCTACAATGTCGCTTGAATCAATGTCTATCTGCATGCACGCACCGACGCGTGTGCTGACTAGCATTACAGCACGTATTCTGCCGTGGCCTTCATGAGCCTTGGTGGATGGGTAAAACGACTGGCATTTCCTGTTAGCCCGAGTGTTGCCGAGGGAGTTGAGTGCTGGTTCTTGGATTGCAATAACGTCCCAGTTGTCTGGTGAGGCTGTGTTGATGAATTTGTGGTGGGCGTCAAAGGATTTTCTGAGGTTGATCTGTATGATTCTTAGATAACTGCTTGTTGTGAGTGGGGTGCCGTTGTTCATGCAGAGGGGTCGGTTGGCCGGGCATTACTGGTCGCGATGGATGGCTGGGTTTGAGCGGGGGGCAGTGAGGATGGTGAAGAGGTTGTTTCTTGCGATGAATCGGGGGTGGTTTGGGTCTTGGGAGTTGGCCCGGGGTGCTGGACGCTTCGTGCGGCTTGTGTTGGGATGCCGTATTGGGCAAGTGTTATCTGTCGGTTTTTCATCTGGTTGATCTTTCTGGACTTGTTGGTGACTCCCTGTGAGGCATTGGCAGCCGCCGTTGTGAGCTGCTTGCCTGCTTGTTCTTGCGAGGTCTCGGTCTCGATCTCTGGGCGCAGGTATCCCGAGTTCCATGGGGCATTGATTGACTCGTTATATGTCCATCGGTCCTTGGTGAAGAAGAATTTGGATCTCGTTTCTGGCGCATGTTCCGCTTGCCTGTCCTGTCTGGACTTGCTTTCTATGCACCTTTCGTCCCCGGAGGAGTGTCGGCTGGACCCGCATGGGGTGCATTTGGTCTGCGTTTTGTCCGGACAGTCCCAAGAGCTGTGCTCTTGCGCGCAGAATCGGCAGGTGAACCTCTCCACCTTGCATGCCGCCAGGAAGTGGTCATGGTGAGAACATTTGGCGCAGATGGGTACTAACCTATGTTCTTTTTGCACCTTGACGGAGTGGTTACCAATTCTTGTGGGGCCGAGGATCATGTGGTTGGCTACTTTGGGTGAGGCGCAGTTGATCTTGACATTGGCGTATCCTTGTCCTTCGTACCTCCTTGACGGGTCCTTGATCCAGGATGCAGAGATGATTGAGTGTGGCGGTAGGCCGTTCTCCAATTCCACTGAGTGCAGGCTTTCCTCTTCGTGGGGGTCGAAGTCCACAGGGATGAAGCGTACCATCAGCTCGTGCGCGCGAGGGATGACTTTCGTTTCTTCTTCTCTCGAGATGTAAGCCTTCTTTACCATCTCTGCGCACCTGTTATTCTCCTTTAGCCACCTAGCGGATTCTGCAGAGTCCAGCTCCAGGAGCATCCCGGTGCGTATAATGCACAAGCCTACTATCCGCTTCTTGCTTGCTCCATCCGTGAGTTTCTCTAGCGCTACGTTGAGTGTGTCCTTGTAAGCGTTGATGTCGTCCCTAGTGTATATTCCTCGTTCCTTTGCGACGGCGCTTGGAGTGTTGAATAGGACTAGTCGTTCCCTAGCGTTGACTATGTTGATTGCTTTGGCGTCGTCGAGGATGAGGGATTGGCTGAGCTTGGTGCATGCATTGCTTGCTAGTGCTTGGCTGTACAGTCGATGAACTGGTGCCGCTTTGAGAGCCGCGACCGCTTCGGAAGCTGAGATGGTGAGTTCGCTGTACTTCAAGCTGACGGCGTCCAGGTGCTTGGTGGTTGACTCGATAGTTTGGCTGAGCTTCAGCTTTGTCGCGTCGACTAGGCTATCGAGTTTTGCGGTAGCTGTCTTGTTGAAGCTTTCGAGGAGAGGGTCCACTGCTGCCGTCTCGAGCACAAAAGAGAAGGCTTTCAGCATGTGTTTCGCTTCTTGACTCACTCCCGCTTTTTCCGCTGCCTGCCGACAGATGTCCGCCATGAGCACTGTTGTGATGGTCGTGTCATCCTCTAACCATCCTCGCTTCTTCATGTATTTGATTGCTGAGTCCCTATCGTGTACTATCTCTTTATCTATTCCTGTCATCTCCGACCTCATTTGGCTTCTCCTCGCTGCTGCGCTCCCTGTCGCTGCCATGCCGGTCGGCCTCCTGCTCGAATTGCTCTACTACGTTTGATATATGCTGGTTCGACCCCTTCGTGTCGTATGATCTAGTTTGGTCGCTGACGCCGCGCAGGTGGTTAGGTCCAAAAGTCCTTGCGCCAAACTCTCTCAAGTGCACTACATCTGGTTTCTGGCCAGTCCATGCCTCATGTGGTGTGATGTCCCCCAGAGCTTTCGAGGGTACGCATCCACGCACATAGGCCGCATATCTGACTGCCTCTGCCCACAGGTAGTTCGGTAGGTTCCTTGCTATCAACATAGCTCGTGATAGCTCGACTAGTGTGCGGTTGAATCGCTCGGCAACGCCATTTTGACTGGGTGAGTAAGGTGCTGTCTTTTGAAGTTCGATGCCTTGGCTCTGGCACCAACTCTGCAGCGTCTGGTTGACAAATTCTCTCCCATTATCCACTCCTATCACCTTTGGTTGTCGATCCCATCGTCGTTTGACCCAGGTGATGTACTCCTTCATACGCTCTGCTGCCTGTGATTTGTCTCGTAGGAATATTACACAGCATCGGCGTGAATAATCGTCGGTGAGCGTCATAAAATATCGTGCTCCTCCTATGCTTGTTGTCTGACATGGTCCCCACAGGTCGCTGTAGGTTCTTTCTCCAGGCTTGTCTGCCCTTGTTGATGCCTCAGCTGGAAATGGACGGTGCGCAAGCTTTGACTTGATGCATGCCTCGCAATCCGTCATTTTGCTCGTCTCGTCGACGTTTAATCCATTAACCATGCCCTTCTTCTTCATTTCCATCAGCGCTGCTGTCGATACATGCCCAAAACGCCGGTGTAGTTCGTCCCAGCCAATGCTTTTCTCCTCCGATACGGTCATTATGCGCTCCATGCGCCCTCTTGCTTTCGCATCTAGTACGTACATTCCTTGTACGCATCGTCCGGTCCCCATTATACGCCTTCCTCTTGTGATTTGGCACATGCCGCCACCATATACCATGTGTAGGCCTGCCGCGTCGATTCTGCTTGTCGAAACAAGGTTATGCTTTGCATTTGGGACGTGTAAGACGTCTTTCAGCGTATGGGTAATCCGTGACGTTCCTAGATCAAAATCTAGCAAAACTGTGCCGCGACCTGCAGCGGGTATTGGTGTTCCAGATATGGGTCGAATCGTCATGTTGTTTAGTGGTTCGTATTCCGTGAAGAACTCCCGCTTTAATGCGAGATGTGTTGATGACGCTGAATCAGCAAGCCACGTATAAGGAGTAAAGGCTTCGCTTGATTCTATTGAGTACACCAATTTGAATGGGTTTTTGTCAACGTCAGTGAAGTTGGCTCTATGGCCACCTCCCCTTCCACCATTTGACGATTTCTGCCTTGGCCCTTTTCCTTCTGAGCCACCTCCGGGTGCCCAGCAATCCTCCTTTTTGTGCCCCATTTTATTGCAATTGAAGCACTTCATCTTTTCATTCGTCCTAATTCCCCTATTATTCCCATTTTGCTTTGTGAAGAGTGCCGTCTCTTCAACCACTGTGCCGCTGGGGTTTCGTCGTCTCCACTCATCCATAAGGATTGATTCCATCTCCTGAGAGCTAACACGATATGGGGAAGCCTCTTCGTCACTTTTCTTGGCAACTAGGGACCCCGCATACGCATTAGTAAACGCCTCCCAAGAACTTGGTAAAGTGTTGATCATGATTGCCGTAAACATCCAATCGGGCAGATTAAGCGCATATTTTAACCCGTAGGTGTTGATACGCGCTTGGAGTTCTTTGATCTTTGTAAGATGCTCCGGAATGTCTGCCTCAGTTTCGGCCTTCGCTTGGAATAGCGATGCTAGCGCACTATTCAGCCCAGCACTTCCTGCCGACTCCTTCCGTGAGACCAACAGATCCCATAGTGCTTTCGAAGTAGTGGCTCCGCTTGTACCACGCAGCTCGCTGCTATCCATGCACAGAATCATCTGTCGCCTGGCCTTTCCATCCTTCTTATTCCACTCCTCCAGTGCCACCTTTTGCGTGTCCGATTCTGTTGGACCTGTGACTGGTTTGGGTGATGCACCTGTGACGATATCCCAGAGCTCTCGCTCTTCTAGGAGCGCCTGCATGTGAAGTCTCCACGACTCCCAGTTTCCCGAGTTGAGTCTATCGATTGTATATGATGGTTTGTATTCTCCCATGGCGATCGCTTGCTGATATGTGTATTATAAAGAGTCTGACAAATAGGGGTGTAATCGTTTTGTCGATGGTTAGAGCTCAGGGCTCATAACCTGTAGAATACTATGTGTGTACAGATTATGTAGAGCGAATATATACGCAGAGACTCTTCAGGCGGTGAGTCCTGGTAGACGAATGAGAGTGGGGAGATAAGTTCTATATTAGATCGAGACGCAGCTCATAGCTTCTTATATACATGCTCGAGCTGATGATGACTAACTAGGATAAACTATGAGGCTATAGTGATTAGCCTGCGGAGAGCCTGGCTCCGCTGACTCTTCGTGTCAGCCGTGCTTGCGCTTCCAACAGCCAGTACTGATAGCTCCGATCGAACGAATACCTAAAGTATTCACTGTAGTGTATAACTTTCAGCTCGGCGCGAAACGTCCGCGATACGGTCGACTGCCACTGACAGAACTTGACCTCGACGACAACATTCATTTTCGGGAAAACACCATTAAACCCTCACGAAATTCCATCAATTTGGTTTGAAGACTTCAAGAGATACTCCTCACTCCATTCAAATCCAATCAACGACGCAGGGGTTTTGGTTTGGAGACTTCCTCTCACTCATTTTTGGTGCGTTAGCGCGACAGAATACCGTTGAACAGCTGCTAACAACTGCTTCAAACTACTCAAGCTTCATGGTCGCGCTTAGTTTTCATGAGTGGGCGGTCGCCAATAATCAGCATTGAAACCATCGAATGACTCGAATTGCCGCAGAAACACGCTCAAGTTCGAAATGGGAATATGAAGAGAAAACTTGGATGAGTTCGCGTGTCATACATCGACAATGGAGCCTCCTCGTGTCCCTCTCCAGCAGTTCGACGGACACAACACGATCACAACGCAGTTGGAAATGATTTATCAGAGATCAAAGAGATATTGTTCCGTGTTAAAGTGCTCATCTTCCAGTCATCTACTGATCGACGAGTTGTCGCTTGCCTCGCCAGTCTCAAACGCGTCGACGATGCACCCGCAAGACTATGCTATACTTCACAGCACGACTACAACGCGTGCAAAATGTTCGTCTTTGTCGTCTACACCTCCGTGCCCGTTCCTGACACGCGTCTCTGCGCGCTCCCTTTCAGCTCCCATCTCGCTCAACGCACCCCGAGTGACGACAACAAAGGAAAAGATGGTCTGTGCAAGCTCGGAGACGCTCGAGACAGCTCTCCCTTTCCGAACAACGCTCTGCATCGTGATCACGTACGGACCCGCTTCTCTTCTTAGTTCGGCATGGGTCATTCATTCTGACACGTTGATTTTCATGTTCTAGATTGATGTTTAATCAGTTTCTGGCTACGGGCGATGCGGTTCGTATTCGTTCCCGGACAGCTCGTCTGCCACTGACCGCGTCCCGAGACAATTGTATTGACGAGCTTACCCACAATTGTCGCCGAGCTGCACAGGTCACAGAATGAATATGCATGGGTTCCGGTTGCATATCTGCTTACGCAGACGGCATTTCAGCCTCTATATGGCAAGCTTTGCCGATATTGCTGGGGGATGGGTAAGCAGTATTCCTGTGCATGCATACTCGTGACTGACCACCTGATGTTGATAATGCAAACGATGACAATAGTATAACCGGTCATCTATGCAAGCACGGTCATCTTCCTCATCAAGTCTGCCCTGTGCGATGCTGCGCAGGTGAGTTGCTCCCTGAGTTGTAACAGATCTGAATCTCTGACTGTGACCCGGCCATCACCATCCGTCTGCTCGCCTCGGTCCTATCGCCAGAGCATGCGCTTCCTTATTCTCTCTCGCGCGCTCTCCCGCATTGGAGGCGGTGGCATCGTCAATAGCGTCTGGATACTAACTACGGACGTTGTCCCACCAGGCACACGTGCTAAATGGTCTCAAGCCCTCAGTGTTACCTGATTCTTGGTGGTCTGTTCACGGGTGAGTTCCTTCTTTCCCATTTGGGCATCCTCCTCCGTTCTCCATCCGCCTTATCTACATATTTGTTGCGCTCCTGTTGCGCTCTGGGCCCGACCTGCCACTCAAGTGAGCTGAGGGAGCAGCTTGATGGGCACTAGCTTCTCCTTCCCTTGTCATTCTCTTGAATGCCGTCGATACCAGTCATAATACTGACGTTTGTTCTCGCATTTGTCGACTTCCTCTTCGTTGCGCGCGAACTCGGCTCGCTCGATTTCACTGTTTCGATTCCTTCTGGGGCTACTGCCTGCTGCATCGCAACTGACAACTCCATTTACCATGGCTCGCTCGACCAATGCGTGCCCTGAGCTTGTCTTTCAACCTCGCTACTTGGGTTTCTGCCCGACCGCATCTCCCTTGACCACCCTCGATTCTTGTCCAAATCACGGCGCCCACCTTTGGCAACTATCATTGTCAAACTACCGCCCCACTCTTCTGTTGTTTCGGCCAACAATTACCGGTTTATCAGATCACCGCCCTTTATTTGATGGATGATGCAAATATGATAGTATGATTATGCCCTGGACGATGCATCAGGTAAGGTCTCGTGTCGATGGGTTTGTGAGTGTCCATTGCAGCTTGTACGGTCATCGACTTGGCTGACTCTCGCGCCCTCTGGGCAGTCTTTATCAATATTCCAATCTTTCTTGCAGCTCTAACGGTCGTTTGGTATCTTCTTCGGCAAATTAAGCTCGTTCGCAGACTCCCGGATTGTTCAGAAGACCCGGACAAGACGTGAAGTGTTCAGGCAGGCGTATCGAACTTTTGACTACATTGGGTTGTGAGTCTTACACCTAGAGGTCTATAAAAATCTCATTAGCGTCAACTCTCAGGTTCCTCTTGATGGGCGGAACGGCCGTGCTCGTTATTGGCTTCTCTGCAGGCTACAACAGCTGGACATCACCTCGCACACTTGGATTTCTCATATCTGGCAGATTTGCTCTCATTCATGCACGCGTCTATGAATCCTACCTGAGTACGACTGAATACGTGCACGAAGCATTGATGCCGTCGGGTATATACTCACTGCCGAGACGAGATCTGGCTTAGGCAATGGGTGAATTCTTCCTCGTTTGCTTCATTAGGACGACTACGGGACTGGTGAGCTGGTCCCTTTGACCTGAAAAGGCATCATGCTGACCGTCTGACGATCCAAGTCTGTCGCTGGTGCCGCCTTTTGACAGCAACTCGGTCACACGTAAACCAGAAGCATATCGCTCTTTGTCCAAGGACCCACTTTACATCGACCTCCACTCTCTCGTGCGTGAACTGCGCCAGCAAGTTTTGAGCGCCATCTCAGCATCTGTTTCCATGCGTCACTATTCAATTTTGTCGGGAGGTTTTATGCTCACAAAGTCTCTCATGTTCCGGTGCGTATGGGTTGCATATATGCCTATCTTGGTATAGCGCCGTTGGTGCTTAATCCTCCCACAGGGCGACCACCCGCAGTCTCTGCGTGATATGCATGAGAATCCGGGCACTCTCACTCGACTGTTCAAGAACAAGTCGCTTCTCTTTGTCTCTCCTTTCAAAGCCAAAATGGACATAAGTATTCTCTTTGTTCATGATGGAAGCGTGTGCCAGTCGTTGATTATGCCATTATAGATTGAAGAGGATCAATTTTTGTCAACATGTCCCTTCCTGATACTCGCGTGCTCAATTGGGGTCGCGGGTCGAGATTACACTCGCTTGAGTCTGCATCGCTCTCACCACCAGAGTACAATGTTATAGTTTGCGAAGAGGATGGGACGGTACTGGCCAGCCCAATCATGCGAGGCTTGGGCAGAAACTGTTGTTGCACAGGTGACTCGGGTAAGCGACTCTCATTTCCGGCGGAATTTGGCGCCATAGAGGGTCCTGTTTAGCTTACAATAGGAATAATATATATTTCACATGAGCTGAGAAGGGAGCACTGAGTTTTAAGAAAGAGTCTAAGGGTGAATATGCAATTTCCACGTAGACATCGCTCATTCTGAAGAGAGTGAGAACATGTAAGTGCTATTCATTACACTGGTAGTCCAATCAATACAGACTTAGGCTAATTAACTGGTGGTAAGCCATCTATTAGCTACATTTAGACTTATATAAGGCTAAACTTGCCAACCATTAGAACAAACGCTACTGGTGCGCTAATTAGATCCACAGATTTTCCTGATGGAAAGCCAGGGAAGCCAGCGTACAATATAGCCAAAGCGTACCGACCGATCGCGCTCCTCAACACCCTCGGAAAGCTTCTCTTGGCACTCATGGCGGAGGACCTCACCTACATGTCCGAGCACTATGCACTGCTCCCACACTCTCAGTTCGGTGGTCGACCAGGAAGGACAACAACGGACGCCCTTCACCTTCTCACAAGCACAATCAGAAGGCATGGAGGAGTCAAGGTGTGCACTGTTTCTCGACATCCAAGCAGCATTCCCCAATGTTGTCAAGCCAGTCCTCATGCAGAACATGAGCAAAAAGATCCCAGAGGAGTATGTGCAGACTCTCGAGAACATGCTGACAGGCAGATCCACGCGCCTCAAATTCGACGAGGTGCACTCCGCACCCCGCGCTATCACCAGCGAACAGCCAAGGATGCCCACTCGATGATCCTCTACCTATTCTACATTGCCCCACTACTGGAATCGCAAACAGCAAGGACCAGCTCACCCTCGGGTTTGTGGACGACTCTACCCTGATCGCCATTGGCCAGAACTTCCACGACACGCACCTCGGACTGAAGGACATGATGGAACGTGAAGGAGGCGTACTAGACTGGTCACGTTCGCACTTCCTCACCACTCAGAACAACAAACTCGGGCTTGTCGACTTCACCATGTCATCCGAAAAGCGCAAAGGCTCACATCCCTGGTCCTCGAGGCCAAAGGACAGCAATGGCAGAACGTCAACAGTAACGATTCAGCCTGACAGTTGCAGTTGCGGGTAGTGTGATCGACCAGTCACTGCGGTGGAACAAGCACCAGGAGCTCGTGCACACAAGGGCAGTAAAGTGGACCTCACTATTCTTGCGTATACACAGGGCATTCCATGGCCTCCCAATCCGCTCAGGCCGCCAACTCTTCAACTCCGTTGCCATTCCTCGCATCACATACGCTGCAGACATCTGGTACACCCCACTGTACACCAAGCCAGACTCCGCACGCCGGATGGGATCCGTAGCCATCACCAAGAAGCTGCAAGCCGTCCAACGTAGAGCCGCCATCGGTATCACAGGCGCTATCCGCACAACAGCAGGAGATACCCTTGATGCGCACCTCAATATGCTACCAATCGAAGAAACTCTACGCCTCACATGCCAGAAGGCGGCGGCCCGGCTGGCAAGCCTGCCCGCTACCCATCCTCAAATTTGTGAAACGAGCATCAGGACTCCTCCAGGCACAACGCCCCCCTACATCGCATCTTCCACTCCATCGACTCAAAGTAGACGACCTCAAACCATCACCCCAGCATCACGCAACCCCAACGCCACTAACCCATTCACTATCTCAATAGAGGAGTCGGATGTTAGCGAAAGAGGTGGACAACAGCAACAACAGCAACAACGAGCGGGGTAGTAGTTTATACGGATGGCTCAGGAATGGAAGGCATGATAGGAGCAGGTGCAGTACTCTACAGACGGAGATATAAAGTCAGCAAGATTCCTGCTTGGAGAAGACACGGAGCACACGGTACACAAAGGAGAACTCGTTGGAATGCACTCAAGTCCAGCTAGCCAAGATGGAAAGGATCATCATACCACGTATCAAGATCAGCCTCGACAACCAGGCAGCAATACAAGGAATGGAGAACGTCAGTGCCAAAGCCGGCCAACACATCATCCACAAGATCCACAGAGCAATAGACGAACTGCGCAACGATCAAAGTGTAGACAAGAACTCGTAGAGGCGAGCGATGACGAGACGAGGATCAATCAACTCAGATCCTCTCACGTGGGTCCCAGGTCATGAAGGATCGAGGTAATGAAGCAGCGGACAGGAGGCCAAGAAGACCATCACAGATGGATCATCCACAGCAACAACACTCCCACCATGGACGAAGGACACCTCCCCAGAATATCTCGGCACTCAGACAGGAACTCAAACTTGCAGCAAGGAAGTCAGCACACGACAAGTGGAAATCTTCAGCACGGTACGACAGGACCAGGCCCATCGACGAGACAATGCCATCCAACAAATATCTCCAAATCACAGACGAGCTAACGAGAGCAGAAGCAGCGGCACTTATTCAGCTACGTACAGGACATATCGGACTGAACAAGCATCTGAACCGCATCAACAGAGCGGATGCACCGTGGCCCACACTGTGGAGAGGAGAAATGCAGAACTCATCTCCTCACATCTGCCCAGCGTACAATGCAGCGCGAGGCAGATAGGAGGAGCATTGCGTGAAGACAAGAGAACCAGCGGAGATACTAGGACAAAGGAGGAATCAAGGAGACGTTGAAGTTTATCAGGAGGACAGGGAGGTTGAAGATGGGACGGAGGAGGACACAAACGGAAGGGAAAGAGAGTAACCAACTCACCAGAGAGACAACGCGTATCGAAACCAAACCAACTTCACAGACAGTCAAGGCGATCGAAAGCAAACAAAAGTAGCATGTAGCAAGCCACACCCAGAGGAGATCTCGGCGAGAGAGAGAGCAACTGCCTGCTACAAGAGATGCGCGCCAATGAAACCGAGGAACCCAGTAAGGGCTCCAGTTAGACAATGTGCTATATTGGCGGTGCCACTGCCAAAATAATTAAACAAAAAAAAAAAATGAAAAGAAAAAAAATGGTGCGAAGGGCGCCAAAGCGAGCCGTCGGTGCAAAGGTCTCTGTGTAGTCGATTCCCTCTCGCTGTGCATATCCCTTGGCCACAATGCGTCCCTTGTATTTGCTAATAGACCCGTCAGCATCACGTTTGATTTTGAATACCCAACGTGAGCCGATAGCCTTTTTGCCTTGTGGGAGTCGCACAAGCTTCCACGTGCCATTTTCCAGGTGAGCTCTGACTCTTCTATAGCCGCTTGGACATACTTGTCGCCGTCAGGGGCGTTTCAGAGCTCCCAGTGTTGTTGGCTCGCGGATTGTAGATGTGTTTAAAGCAGCTTCAACACCATCAACAATGGGAATCAGGATATGGTCAGGCGCTTTGAAGTTGGGCTTGGGTCTCCAGCGTCGAGCTTTAGTTGGCACATAAGAGCTGGAAGTCGAGGTAGGGATGCATCTTCTGTGGCTAATTGAACGTTATCTTCATCGAAACTCTCATTTAATTCGAGATCCGAATCAGATTCAGTCAAAGTGCCTGGCTGACGCGCGACTGTGTCGTCGCGCTGCTGGTAGATTTGGAGCCTTCTCGAAATTGGTTTTGTCAGTGAGTGCTCAAGCTCACGACTCAGTCGCGCGCCAGCTGTGGGTTTAGGTTGCGCTTGAGCTGGTGCTGGTGGAGGACAGGCTCGTGTGCAGGCTCAGGTAGTATAGGTGTAGTACAGGTCGTCCTGCAACGTGAACAGCAGGGTGGGGGTTTGGAGGTGGAATGGATGATGGATATACAGTGGCTTCTTCGAGATCTGGTAGCTGGACGTAGTCGGAGAGGTTTGGAATCGATTCCTTTGCAAGTGATGTGCCTGGAAAGACTCTCTCATCAGATACAGCACTGTCACTGTGTATAATCTTTCGTGTCTGTGGGTTCCAGAACACCCAGCCAGGGCAGTCGGATGGATACCCAACGAAGATACACTTGTCAGTGTGCGAATCGAGAGCATCACGCTGTGATTTTGGGACAAAGACATAGGCGAGACATCCAAATACTCGAATGATCGACACTGGGAGTTTCACCATGCCAGTGTTCATATGGCGTCTTTCCATTGTGAACACGGGCACGGTTGAACTCATGGACAGTGGCAAGGGCAGCAAAACCCCAAAAAGATGGTGGAAGATTTGCTTCTGTGAGTTTAGCAATTGTCCCTTCAGCTATCCATCGGTTTGCTCGCTCAACCCGTCCATTTTGCTCTGGTGTGGCAACTATGGTGCGTTCCCTTGTAATCCCAGCAGATATACAGTACTTTTCAAACTCTTTCCCACTGAACTCGCCACCTTTATCGTCTCGCAGGTGTACCAAGTGCTGGCCGGTCTGATTCTCAGCGAGCTTATGGAACTCGCAGAATGCTCTGAACGCCCCATCTTTTGAGTGAAGAAGTGACAGCGTGACGAAATTAGATGCATCGTCTACCATGGCCATCCAGTACTTGGCACGGTGCGGCATGGACTCGACATTGATTGGGCCTTTAAGATCAATAAAGACACGATCTAATGGAGTTGTAGCTCGAGTTGCTGGCGTGGTGTGAGGGGCTCGAGTCTGTTTCCCTGCGATACATGGAGCACATATAGGGTCGGGCTTTGCATTGGAGTCAGCTTGATTCCATTAACAGATTATGACGGATAAGAGTGTCAACTCCATCGTGATGATAGTGGCCTAGGCGTCGATGCCATAGCTCTCGGTCAGTTTGAGTGTACTGGCAGCATGCGCTTGTTCGGATGTGAGAACGCGTCCATTAAGGTAAGCAACGCAGTCGTCATCGATACGAGCTGTCATTTGGAGTTTACCATCAAGGTAGAACTCCATTTGCTTCGGATTAATGCGAATGTCATATCCTTCTTTGCGTGCCATTGAGAGAACTGAGACGAGATTCGATTGTAAGTCGGGAGCAAAGAGGACATTAGGGAAAGTAACGAGATCAGAACTAAAGTAACCATCTATCCACGGCTGAAACACAACGTCCCTTCTCCAGTGGAAGATCCTTTCACCATTGGCCAGTTTGATCGACCTGACCAAGGGCGGAGCATAGTAAAGTAACTTTCGTCACTCATCATTGTCCGAGTAGCCCCTGTGTCGGCGTTCAGGTCAGATCTAGCCGTGGATGGTAAGGAGAGGGCTTGCATGAGCGGCATGGGGATTTGGTACAGTAGTTGATCCGTCTGTAGTGCTGGCAACACGTGCGGCCTCTTGCTTGCGACAGTCGCTTCAGCCTTCGACCAGCACTGGGCGGCTGTATGGTTCCGTTTGCCACAATGATCGCATATGGCACCTGGTGTGCGTTCAGCGGCCGTGGGCTTTGGTCGTGAGGTGGGGAGGTGTACTGCGATAAGTAATGGGCTGGGAAGTGGCTGCCCGGAGTGCGATGGCTGGCTGCGAGTTCCTGCGCTGCTGATTGTCCTCGTTGACGAGAGCATCATTACATCTCAGGTGAGATTTGGCTGGCAGAGTAGCGAAGTTCGGACGTGAATTGATTCAGGCGGGATCATGCGGAGGCTTGACATCATAGCGGGGTCGTTCAGTAGTGCGTCTACATCGTAGTCTGTCGTCCAGAGTGATCTAAATTGCTCCTCGAGGGCATTGGTGGCGGCTGTGATCGACGCCAAAGGCTCTCCTTCGGCCTTCGTCTTGGTGAAGAATGCCTCAAGCGCATTGAAGCGGGTCACTGATGACTTTGCATTGTGAATAGACTCGAGTTTATTCCACATTGCGACCGGATCCCCTTTGAGTTTGCGGATCTGGCTCATGTTGGTCTCATCGACAGTGAGTGTGATGGCTGCGGAGGCCTGTTTTGCGCGGCGTTTCCATTCGTTAGCATTATCAGCAACGTATTGTTTGGAAGAGGCTGAACTCTCACTCCCCTCGCCTTCCGTACCAGTGGAAGGGTCTTTGGGTGCTGAGTCAGGGCTGAGCTCGAGTCCGTAGACAAGGTCATCGAGGTTGTTGAGTGTGAAATATCCATCTATCTTTTGGGACCATGCGAGGTAGTTGCCCGTTGTGAGGACTGGGATCGCACTGAAATCCTTTGTAGACATGTTTGTGTAGCAGTGGGTGCGCGGAGGCGAGATTACTGGTGAATTTGATCCTTTAGTGCTGTCACGAGTGGTATACGCGTGAGCCTAAGCCTCGACTCTCGGAGGCCAGAGCAATTACGTCAGGTCTCAACCTTCAGAAGGCAGACAAGTATATTTAGTTAGTTACTGTACATAGTCGCATGAAAATAGGAGCATACCTTCAGAAGGCAGACAAGAGGTCAAAGCTGTCTGCTTCTGAAGGCGGTCGGAAGGTTTTAAATTATCGGAGCCATGCGGAAGCGTGTAGAAGATGGAAGATGTAGGGCAAGGGCATTAGTGACGTGAGTCGGTGCCTCGCGGTTGGTGGCTGTCGGTCGCTCCGATGGCTGTGCCGGATCTGCAAGATCTGCCTTTCGGACATTCTTGTTATGTTATGCCGTTCCTGACAAGTGCAACAAGAGGCTCATAACCTGTTGATTCCGTTGATTCTAGGACGCGTGAGGTGAGAGGCAAGACCAGTATATAGTGTGGCAAACCTAGGACGCGTGAGGTGAGAGGCAAGACCAGTAAGGTCCGGCCGCATCGTCCCGCGTCCCTAAATACATTGAATTACGACGTGAGCTATTACTATTGGCTAAGCCTATTTAGTAAGCGCTAAGAGTCAAAGGGTAAACCTTCGACACTTTAAGCTCGTGCTATATGGTGCAGATGCCCTTCAGAAACCTGTCACAAACCCTGCCTCACAATCAAACTATTGTCGCTGGAAGGGACTCTTTACAGTGACACCTTCCACTGTTGCGACTTGTGCTGTCCTGGTATACTTCTTTGGTCTTGGTTATATATAACACTTCTTACTCCCTACTGATAGGCACGCTTTGCTTATTCTGCCGATACAAAGTTCCAACGAGTTGGCGACCAAACTCTTATTGGGTGGGAGGATGACTGGTCTGAATACTTGACCAATCTCCTGGGACATCGCCAGCTCAATGACATCACTTCCCATTTCTCCAACCTACTTCTTGACACCTTGGTATCCCGCTCTCAAGCTAGAACTCGTCCAGCTGCTCGCTCTCGCCAGTCTCAATTTGACGATGCTATGAATGAAGATTCACTCGACCAATCTCCACCAGTGCAACATCAGCAGGGCAATCTTGACGAGTTGAACCGTAATCACGAGTATGTTGCTTACTTCTAACTAGAGCCTACCTCACCATTAAACAGGCATCACCATGACTCCTATGGAGATGATAATCGGTACTTGGCTCTCTTTTTTCTCAACTTTACATTGTTAATCTTGCGCTAGATCCAACTTGGCATCACCAACCGCAGCTAGCACCACTGTGTAGGTACACCAGTAACGATAAAAGTGTTCTAGCTTGTTTATTAGTCTCAATAGTCACGTATTTATGCACAGCTCCAACCCTTCCTCACCCTTGCCTGTTGTACAACCCTCTCCAACCACGACTCAGTCCCTTGCCAATGAGATGGGACCTCCAAGCACATCCGATACCGCTCAATTTGATCCAGCTGAGCTTGCGGCCTTGGCACAGGCCGCACAGCTCGCTGCGCTGGCTCCATTCCAGGTTGCCAGACTTGCTGAACTTGCCACTATCGCTCAGAGTGTCGTCGATAATGCACATTCGACACCTCAAGGGAAAGAGAGTAACCAACTCACCAGAGCAACAGTGCGTATTGAAGCCAAACCAACTTTATAGACAGTCAAGGTGATCAGTAGCATAGCAGAGCCACACCCAGAGGGAGATCTCGGCGAAGAGAGCAACAACTGCTTGCCTGCAAGGAGATGCACATGCCAATGAAACCGAGGGTAACCCAGTAAGTGGGCTCCAGTTAGACAATGTGCTATATTGGTGGTGCCACTGCATTAATACTAAAAAAAAAGGTCTAGGCCTCGCGGGCTGTTAACTGGCTCTACTGGAGGCTGTCATCTCAACCAGCAATCGAAGGATGGTTAACTGGTACACAGGATCCGGTCAGAAGGTGTCAATTATTCGATAGAGGAGGCTGCAATTGATCTGGCTACATGAGTAGTATTAGAAAAATTGTTAATCTTTGGGGATCTCAATACATGTGGCACGCTAGCAAGCTACATACCATCCATAATATTTACACCACGCAACCCATCCCATTTTGTCATTTTTGTGAATTCACAACCATCTCCTGTCAAAACCTAATCAATTCACTTCTATGTTTCCTCATTGGTTCAGCGGTAACTTACACTGATGAGTAGTGAAACGTGTTGTGCATTGACCAGGAGACGATGCTAGACACGAGCGCTATGGCAAGTCTTAGGAGAGGGTAAGGACTGTTGAAGAATGAGGCCAGGAGGAGTTCATGTTCTTCTTGGATCGGCCGGCCACAAGATGCACATTGGGCCTTCATCAAGTGAGAATTTGGATTGGCATATTAGCAGATCCCAGCAACGTTTGAGTAGACTCACCAGACATCCCATACCGTCTCCGGAGGGGCTAGGTGACTCGACGGTTTTGCAGAATTCAGCTTTGGTCTGTGATCGCTGGAAGATCTTCTTATTGTCCTATGAGAACGGTGCATGGTATTGGCACCAGCGTCTGGCTTTAGACATAAAGGATAGGGCAACGTCAATGACAATGACGATGTCTCTAGGAAGAGAGGTGAAGGCTACAAGTGCTGTGAATGAACCATATCTCCGTTAGCTAGCAAACTAAGTCGACGAGTCCAAGTTACCAAGAGAGATGATTGTATATTGAGCCCTTGGCTGTCATCACTTTGTAATCGATAGGTGTCATATCAAATGGGCGAGTCGTCGATTGGCCATTGAGAGGCTACGAGGGTATCGATGGTCAAAGTCGATGGTCAAGTTTTGACTGTAGCCGCGACATGCACCTGACGGGACGACGTCTGCCGGGATAATGGGTGACTCAAAATACAATGCATCTTATAGGAGACATTGTAGAAAATCTTATCAAGCTCATATCCTGGGACACAACAGGCTAAGAAGACGATAACCATAGATTTTGGCATGTCCGTCACCCTCACATTCGTGCCCAATACTAATGATGTTATAGAATGTCTTAATTGAACTATGAATATCATTCCCATTGGATTTGTCGCCTATCCCTTCCCGTTTGAATCTCAGGTTCAAGCAGAGGAATGCGAGAGAGCCCAAGTTGACTGCCTACTCAGAAGAAATTTAAGAGTGTCACTTTCTTCGTTACTGATTCGGTCTCGACCACCCTGGAAACAGTCAATGGCCGTATACGGCGCCGCTTGGGGACATGTGATCGATCGCAATGGCTCATTTCGTTCTGCTAACCTGCCGATGATCAGCAGGTCTCGACTCGACGACCTGCCACAATGCGCGTGGGGATGTCAAGTCCACCCAATATGCCTTTGCGATCTAATCCCGGGAGTCGACCACGCACACCAATGCAACAGAAAGTTCGCCAGACATTCCATCCTCTGGACCAGGCTCGTTATGACGTGAAAAAAGATATGGGCTCGTGTAATCCTCGACACTGCGGCAAACCGGGTCGGGGGCCATCGAGCACCATCTGGTATACGTCAGACGAACTCTTGAAATTACTCGACAAATGGGGTATGCTGGCTATCTTCCTGATGGCACGCTTGTCAAGAAGTGGAGCTGGCGTATTAACCAGCCCAGATAGTCCCCGCTAGACGCGCAAGGCTGGAATGACTTGGGTTATTCTTGCGTAGGCCTCATGTACGCTGTGATCTTAGTTTGCATATATTAACCCTCTGTAGATTTAGGATAGCGGACAGATTCCTCTCGGCTACTGGTGAGCTTGAATTTCGCGTCTATTACTCGACCATTTGTAGCTCTTACACGGACTCCCAGACCCATCTTAAGCTCTACTTGATCTGTCTATCGACCTGATAGCCAAATGTCTCAAATAGCTGTGAACGATGTATCCCGGCGACTAAGAAATATGTTAGAGAGTTTGGGGACATTAGCAACAACATGTGATGACGACAATTTGGTGCTCAAGTGAGTCATTTCTTGTCACAATTTGTAGTTGACGAGTGATAGGATTGTCGGTGTAGCCACTTTGATCAATGACATGGAGCAGACCAAAATGGAGGCAATCGATGATCACAGACTTTGGTTTGTCTCACTTTGAAGGCACTGCCTAAAACTTACGCTCTTCTAGTGAGTTAGAATCGTTGGTACAAAATCTCTGCACAAACGGCAACAACGTGGAGAGCGAAATTTCAAGCTTGCATTCAAAAGCACTTGAATCATACAACGCTTTCGTACGGTGGGGACGCTTGGAAGATTTGGAACAAGCTATCGCAAGCTTGCAAAAACTCAACTCCCTCACTCCAGACGGACACCCGAATAAGCCAGGTGGCCTCAGCAACCTCGGAAATGCACTTCATAAACGCTTTGAACGATTCGGTGAGATGGCTGACCTCGAGGACGCGATCTCAAGCAGCCGTTTGGCCGTCTCTCTCACCCCAGATGAGGACCCAAACAAGCCAGTTTGCCTCCAAAACCTCGGAAATGCACTCCTAGCACGCTTCAACCGACTTGGAGAGCTGGCTGACCTCGAGGACGCGATCTTAACCAACCGTTTGGCCATCTCTCTGACCCCAAATGGGCACCCAAGCAAGCCAGCTCACCTACACAACCTCGGAAACGCACTTCGAGCACGGTTCAACCGACTCGGCGGGTTGGTTGACCTTGAAGCCGCAATCTCAAGCCATCGTTCGGCTGTCGCTCTCACCCCAGATGGAGACCCAGATAAGCCACCTCGCCTCAGCAATCTCGGAACTGCGCTTCTGAAACGCTTCGACCGACTTGGCGAGCTGACTGACCTCGAGGATGCGATCTCAAGCAGCCGTTTGGCCGTCTCTCTCACCCCAGATGAGCACCGAAACAAGCCAGGTTGCCTCCACAACCTCGGAAATGCACTCCTAACACGCTTCAACCGACTTGGCGAGCTGGCTGACCTCGAAGACGCGATCTCAACCAACCGTTTGGCCATCTCTCTGACCCCAAATGGACATCCAATCAAGCCAGGCTGCCTCCACAACCTCGGAAATGCTCTTATTGAGCGCTTTAATCGACTTGGAAAGCTGGCTGACCTCGAGAACGCGATCTCAAGTCACCGTTTTGCCTTCTCTCTCACCCCAGATGGACACCCAGACAAACCAATACACCTCTATGACCTCGTAGATTCACTTCGTACACGCTTTGACCGACTTGGCGACCTAGCTGACCTCGACGACGCGATCTCATACAACCGTTTGGTCATCTCTCTCACTCCTGATGGACACCCAGACAAGCCAGGTCGCCTCAACAGCCTCGGAATTTCTCTTCAGATACGTTTTGACCGACTTGGCGGGCTGGCTGATCTCGAGGACGCAATATCAAGCAACCGTTTGGCCGTCTCTCTCACCCCAGGTGAACACCCGGAGAGATTGGGTAGTCTTTTCAACTTGGCAAAGGCACTCCACAGACGCTTTCGACTGCGTGGTGATCGTAGCGATATCTTAGATGCCTTATCACTTGCCAAACAGTCCACACACGTCATCTCCGCCCCTTCTTTTCACCGGCTTAGGAGTGCTGTTTTATGGGCACAATACTGCATTTCATTATCAACCACCTCCCTTCCAGCTTTCGAATGCGCTGTTAGCCTCCTTCCTCGTGTTGCTTGGCTTGGTGTCTCTGTGCAAGACCAATACACTGCACTAGCCAACGTAAGCAAGTATACCAGAGACGCCGTGTCTGCCGCAATCCTTGAAGGAGATCTTACAAGGGCGTTGGAATGGGCAGAGCAAGGAAGGTCGATCGTATGGCAGAACCTTCTTAGTCTTCGGTTGCTGCCAGACAAATTTACACATCAGTATCCAGAACTTTCCGAGGCCTTCACAAGACTCCAGACTGTTTCTAGACAGCTGGAAGATACAACAGAGACCAATACACAATTCGGTGGATTACGGCCGGCGCACTGGTCAGACAATCGGATGAGGCTGGCAAGGGAGCGCGATGAAATAATCGATAGGATTAGAAGCACTCCGGGTAACGAAACCTTTATGAAACCCAACACCCTTCAACACCTTGCCCCAGCGGCACGGGATGGCCCGGTCGTATTCCTCAACCTTGGCTTAAAATGCGATGCCCTTGTCCTTCTTAATGATGATAAGGGTGCCGGCCATGTTGTGGATATACCTCTGGAGCACGTTACTCTTAAAAAAGCGGAGCAGCTGTCACAGAGATTCGTGCAGCTGCTTTGCGATGTTGGCATTTCTATGAGAGATTACAGAAGGTTTCGTCGTGGAGGGGCGAAGGGGGACACAGAAGCGTGTTTCAAGGACATTCTTCACATTCTATGGACCGACTATGTTCAACCGATTGTCCACGGATTGGGATATTCCGTACGCATCGATTCTCTGCTTTGTTGTATTTACGCTGACATCTTGATCACAAGGTTGTCGATGAGAAAAGGCCACCCCGTCTATGGTGGTGCACGACAGGTCCCCTTGCCTTCCTCCCTCTACATGCCGCGGGATTGTACGACGCATCAACAGAGGTTGGCAATAAGCTCTCCGACTATGTGGTTTCATCATATACCCCATCTATTGCCGCGCTACTTGATCAATCACGTCTAGCTCCACCTGAAAGTCCCAAATTACTCACCGTCGCGGTGTCAAACACGCCAGGGATGGCTCTCCCGAGCACGCTACAGGAGGTCGAGAACCTCACCCGTCTTGCAGCAAACATGCAAACAGTCAGCCTAAAAAATGAAGAAGCGACAAAGAGCCGGGTGTTGGAAGAGCTACCAAGATGTGACTGGGCTCACCTTGCTTGCCACGGCGTCCAAGTTGGTGGGGAGCCGATGTCGAGTGGGCTTATCCTTGACAATGCGGAAAAACTCGAGCTCTCCGAGATCATCAAGAAGAAGCTTCCACATGCCGATTTTGTTTTCTTATCTGCATGCGAGACTGCAATGGGAGATAAGGGAGTTCCAGAGGAGTCGGCACATCTTGCAGCTGGAATGCTATTTGCAGGCTTCCGAGGAGCGGTGGCAACAATGTGGTCGATTAAAGATAGCATTGCTCCTTGCGTCGCCAAAGATGTCTATCGGTATATGCTCAAAGATGGGAAAGCAGACCGGGAAGAGGCCGTTTATGGGTTGCATGAAGCCGTGCGGAAGCTACGAGAAAGCGGAGAACGATTTGATTCCTGGCTTCCTTTCATCCATATTGGTCGCTAGACTGATCAACGAGACGTGTGAGGATGCTATGAGCCGTGTCGATGGATTGCAGTGGAATGATTCTAACTCTGGTACTTTGTATTTAACCAGCGTCTTATACCTTCATCATGAAGCGTGCTAAACGTAAAGCGATTATTTCGCCAGCAGAGGCTGAAGAACCAAACCTCCTTGCAGACCACTTGTGGCCAAAGAACGAAGTGGTACCAGTGAACGCAAATAAGATGTCATAAGTCTACCTAACCAAGATTATACGTCTCGGGATAGATTTTCGGAACAACGTGGTTTAGGAGAGGAGATAAAGGAAGAAATCAGCAGCTTTGCCACGGCGAAGGAACAGTGGGAATACCTGTCTACGGCATATGTGATGAAAGGCAACGTGATTGCTGTAACGGCTCATTATAAAATGTTACTCTCATCGACGTACACGGGAAACACCAAGGAATCCCTCATCCAGCACTTCAATGACATGGTGAACGCAAATGCACGTTTGAAGCAGCACAACATGTCGGTTCCAGATTCAATTGTTGCGATCAGCATGGTCAACAGCATTGGACACAAGGAACCAGCATGGAAAGTACTGCAGCTGCAGGCATGGGTACTGGAGAAAGAGGCATCGAAGCTCACTTCGGCAGCAGTCCGTGATTTCTATGTGAATCGCGTGCCTTTCTCTTTGACCAAGGGCAACTCCGTAGTAACGTCATCCACAAATGCACTGCTCGCGACAACTCCCGCATCCACCAAGCCTAAAGGTACAGCAACAAGTGGGAAAGGATGGAAGAAGCCCGAATTCCCTACATGCGAGTTTTGCAGACATGCGCATGGTCCAGATGACTGCTGGAAGAACTCGCACGAGGAGCTCAAGGCGCTGAAGGCAAGGGGTGCACTTACTCAAACAAATGTTGCTCAAGTGGCGCTGTCCCCAGCACGCACGGTATTCTTCGCAAACGAAACAACATTTGTGGGAAACGATATTCAGCACGTGCCCTTCTGCCGGCTCATTGACGCGAAACTCGCAGCAAATATTATCCATGCATCTGCAGCGTCGCCAACGTTCAAGGACGCCATTAATGTTGATAGCAGCTGCAATGTTCACATGTTGCCTGTTCGCTCTTACTTTGATGACGAAGGGTTCGAGATGCTAGTCACCCCAGTTCCAATCAAGATTGGGGATGACTCCTTTGCTTATGCATCTCACCGTGGCAACATCAGTCTTCTCGTACCGCGAAAGGGTCTTCCATCTACCATGCCCCAACTTCGCCGCGTCCTATACTGTTCCACACTCGCAACGACACTCATTTCGCCGCAACTCCTAAACGACAATGGTCTCATCACGGTCCTCAATAGAGCTGACTCGGCAATCTACTACAAGAAGGGAAACCTTTTAGTAGCACATTGTCCACAGTCACCAACTACCAACTTGTACACTCTTGTTGGGACTACGAAAAGTTCCTTCTCTCATGCAAGTCTTCTCGCCGCCACTCGCACGCTTGACATTAATCTGCTCCACAGAATCATGGGACATTTGAACTATGATGACATGCGGCGAGTCGTAGCTAAGCGTATGGTTGGTGATATTGATGCATTGATTGGAAATCAGGCGGAGTTATGTACAGAATGTGTAGTTGCAAAGCACTCCAGAGCTCCATTCCCGGACTCTGAGCGCACAGTGACAAGAAAGCTCGAATTAATCCATTCGGACCTGATGGGACCCTTTCCCAAGTCATTAGGGGGCTCTCAATATCTCTTGACCTTCATCGAGCACTTCTCTGATTTCTGCTGGGTTTTTCCACTCAGACAGAAAAGCAATACCTTCGAAAGGTTTTGGCAATGGAGAGCACAGGTTGAACTGGAGTCTGGGGAGCAGGTTATGACATTTAGAACTGACAACAGCGGGGAATACACCTCTGTGGAATTTGAGAAGTATCTCAAAGATGCGGGGCATCGAGCACCAGACAACCACACCCTATGCACCTCAGCAAAATGGAAAGGCAGAGAGAAAGAATTGCACTTTGCTCACAACTGCAATTGCCATGCTAGAGGAATCTCGACTCTCAAGCGATTTCTGGGCTGATGCCTTTGTTCATGCCAACGACATCATCAATTGTCGGCCACACTCCAAACAAAAGCGCACCCCGTTTGAGGCATGGCATGGCTCAAAGCCGCTCATTGCACACTACAAACCGTTTGGCTGCCCAGCATTTGTACTGGACCATCACTCTGCAACAAAGGTTGCTCCTCGCTCGAAGTACTGCCAATTCCTTGGCATGAGCGAAACTAGTAAAGGGTACCGACTATGGTGTCCTGAGGAAAAACGTGTCCTAGTATCTCGCGAAGTACACTTTGACCTGGTTGCCTCAAATCCCATTCCTGCAGTTCTACTGCCGCTCGCCAATATCTCAGATGTTCATGCCATCGTGGACGCAACTCTATCTGAGAAGGCAGCACCCGTCTCTGTCCCTACAGCTGATACCATTAGTACTCAGCAGCAGGTCACTCTCACCACTGAGAAGTACGAAGACGAGACAATTGCCCAACAGCCAGAGGCACATGCTCCATCAAACTCAGAGCATGTACCCGCTTTGGAAGCTCCCTCACATCCGCCCTCTCCTATTCCGGAACCAGTGAGACTGCCATCCCCACCCCGCCGTCGCTGTCGGAACAAAGTGGAAATGCTGTATGAATCCTTCCAGCTCCATCCAGACAACATTGGCGCTCTTGCAACAACACTAACATCTTTGGAGGAGTGGATGACAGAGCTCCAGGGGGAGTATCTCAAGGATTGGACAGACAAGGAGGTAGACTATTGGGGTATTGGAATATGCCTCTCTGCTCTCTCCGGTCCCGAGGAGCCACCAAAGACCATCCAACAAGTACTCTCATTACCTGAGAAGGAATGGAACCAATGGCTCCAAGCTATCTATGGGGAGCTCGATTCACTCATTGAGAAAGGAGTGATCGAACCAGTTGCCGGCCCTCCCAGCTGGCAAACGTCCTCTCAACAGCTTGCTAGTCATGAAGGTCACGTACCGTCGAGGGAGCGGTCGAAAAGTACAAGGCAAGACTGGTGACTGATGGTCGCACTCAAGCCCAGGGCATTGACTATCAGGAAACATTTGCACCTGTTGTCAAAGCCACCTCGGTGCGCCTGTTGTTTGCACTATCTGCTCAACTTAGCCTGAAGGTCGACCACCTTGATGTTGAAACAGCCTTCCTCCATGGAGAACTAGAAGAAGAGATCTACATCCTTCCACCAGCTGGCTGGGACAAGCTCGAGACCAAAAATCTGGGGTCGCTCTGGAGGCTGCTGAAGTCTCTCTATGGTCTCAAGCAGGCATCGCTAGTCTGGAACACACTCCTAGACCGCATTCTACGTCAATTCGGCTTCATCCGACTACAGAGTGATTTCTGCCTCTATGTGTATCGACGCGAGAACGAGGTTGCCATCCTGGCTGTGTATGTTGATGACATGGCACTTGCCTACAGCTGCCAATCTATGGCCAATGAGATCAAGGAATTCCTATCTGGACACATTTCTCCATCAAGGATCTTGGCCCAGTCACACAACTCCTCAACATCGAAGTCATTTATGACCCTCAACGCTCCGCATACACACTCTCACAAAATCATTACATTCAACAACTCCTCTCACAATTTCAAGTTCCATCTGGTTGCGCTCCAACTCCCATTGCAGGGGGAGCTATCTTCTCAGTCATGGACTGTCCCGCCACCCCTCTTGATTCACATCGTTATCCTTATCGTCAACTATAGGTTCTCTCATGTATCTTTCCACGTGTACCCGTCCTGACATCACCTTTGCCTTATCCAACCTTTCTCGCTTCCTATCCAACCCTGGGATCCGTCATTGGAACCAAGCGCTGCGCGTCCTCCAGTATCTTCGCAACCATCCCGACCTCAGCCTGACTTATACTCGCTCAGACACACCAATTCCGACTGGGCAGGTGACGTTGAATGAAGACGCTCGACGTCCGGTTTCGTATTCACAATGGCTGGGGGAGTGATTTTGTGGAGATCAAGACTTCAATCCATTGTTGCAACATCCTCGACTGAAGTGGAATACGTTGCCGCTGTACCTGCACGTCAGGGGGCTGTATGGCTTCGTCGGATGGTTGCCGAGCTCGGATGGCCTTCATTATCACCTACCACTCTTTGGATGGACAATTTAGGTGCCATGGTCCTCACTCAAGCTCTGAAGTCGCACCAGCAAACTCAGCATATTGATCTACAATATCACTTTATTCGCGAATGCGTTAAAGATGAACTGATCAAGCCAGAGTGGATTCTTTCAACGGAAAACATGGCAGACCTGTTCACTAAAGCTCTCACTCCTGAAGTATTTTGACATCTAGTCTCCCTCATGGGTTTGGCACAACATCCCGTGTGAGGGGGAGTGTTAGTTTACGCTAGTGTACATTACACCCGTCACGTTGCCTCCCTTCCCATTGGTCGATACATCACCGGTGGCCGTGCTCCTCACTCGGTTAATCGACGACCGCTGTGAGGTATGGCCACTTGCTCACTTGGGTGATCAATGCTCACCGCCTACATTAGCTAACTAGACGTTGTCTGTTAGGTAGTGTATTTGACTTGGTTAACCCACGACCGCTGTGAGCTAACTAGACGTTGTCTGTTAGGCTGACAAAAGATCTTGCGCATGATCGCTTCTCGCAGAGATATTTCGACGGCTTCTATTGGAGTACCATCTGCGTGCACTATGCGATGTCCCTCTTGACGAATGTAGCCCTTCTCCAGATTCTGTTTCTTGTGCGGGCACGTGCCGATTCGACAGCCAGGTACGAAGTAATAGAAACACAGTGGTAGCGGCGATGAATGCGCAGATGCTGTGGCTCTATTGCCTGGTGACCTCCTGGGTGCATATGCTGTAGACGATGTGGATCGGAGGGCCGGAGAGACCAGCCGTGTCGCAATCTTCGGTTCTCTTGAAACCAGTTACGAATAGGTGTGATCATATTCTGGAAGCGCCAGTTGGCTCATCATTTTGACTAGGTCGTCCATCTCGTCGGCTGGTTTGGCTGGCTTTGGTGACAATAGCTCTGTCACTTCTTTGATGAGCTCAGCATCCTTGGTTGCTCTCCGGTTGACCTTCACACTCTCCTTTGCATAGGAAGCATCATCCGATCATGACTTTCTGCAAAATAGGGTGCGCGGGCACTGTCTGCATCAGGCATCCTGGCTGCATCTCGAGCCAACGCGGCGTGTCTCTCGAGGGATTTATCGAAGTCGCTTGGAGTGACGGAAACAGCTTGACTGTTGTGCTTGAATAGCTCGGTGAGCATTTCCTTTGTTGTCTGGCTGTCCTTTTCAAAGCGCTTGCTGATAGCTTTTATGCTGGCACTGAATTCGCTGGTGGTCCTCAGGAAAACCGCAAGAAGCTCTTCACTTGCGAGAGGTGGTAGCGATGGCGGCATTGACGTGCCTCTGTCTGATCCATCTGCATTGTTGGGCATCGTCATGTTGGGTGAGTGGGTGGTTGCAGTGGTCGAGCTGGTCTGAATCGAGATTGTCCTGCCTCGGTCACCAGATGAAAAGGGTGAACGCTTGTTGAGGCGAGGATGGGTAATGTGAGATTGGAAGAAGGGAATGAAAGCGAGCGGGAAATATGGGAATTGGGCCTCAGTAGGCGAGCAATGGAAAGGAAAATAGCTGGAATTCTTCTTATATACATGATTCTCGATTATTAGAGGCTTTATATACGCGCGAGAGCGCGAGACGAAACACAGAAAGGACGAAGTCAAAACAAAAGTGAGGGAGATGAGACAGAGCGGAGCTGCTGCGCTGCTTAGAGAGTGTAAGAGACTAACCAGAGTGTAAGAAACTAGCTATCTAGCTCCAGGGGACTCTGGCTGGCCTGTGCCACGAGGGCGCAAGGGCGTTACAGTAGAGGGAATAACATGTAGAAAACTACCGAAAATACAGGCAGCTTATCTAGGTACTCGTCGGTGAAAACGAGGGAAATTTAAGGGGATTTTATAGAGTAAAACACGGGTTTTGTGAGAGAATATCAACAAGCAAAATGGAGACAGAGCAAAGATGCGGCTTGGAAGGTTGAGGACACATGGAGGTGAACCGTCAGGGTACCAAACAAGAAGGATATGAATGAGAGGTGAGACTAGTACAAAGAAACCATGCAAAAGGTGACGGAGCATAGAACACATTTTGACTCACGTCTGTGCGCCTTCTAGTCCTTATGATAGTAGGAAAATGTGAAGTCGGCCAAAAGGATGAAGTGGGAGGGAGGTCGTACGTGGTGGTGGGCTGTATTTTGTTGGATGAGGGCTTGCGGTCATGCCCATGTTGTTCCTTGGTATAGCGTGAGCCTAGAGGTCGTACCCTAACACATAGACTATTTGTTGTCCAAATTTCCTTTTGTTTCGCCAAGCTTGATGTCTGAAGCAAGGGCTTGGATTTGAGAATAGAGCCAAATACCTGACTCCCAGGCCTCTGCTGCTTTTTTGCAATACTCTTCTGCCTTGCCAAACTGTTTGTTGAGCCAAAGTTGGTCCAAGTTAAGGTATCAAATAGTTTTGCCACAGGACCACCAAACCACGCTCTGGCGCTTGGCGCCATTAGGAAGTGGTATGTTGGAATGCATTATAAGTGCAGAAGGGAGGAACACCACGTTGCCTGGTTGCACCTCAAGGACGATTTTGAGCTTGTGGAGGACCAAATGGCCTCCTTGAGATGGCTCAAAGAGGCCCACGGGCATGACTGCACATATCCCATATGATATGTTTGCTGCATCACAATGCGGTGGTAGAATTTTGCAATCACCAACGTTGAAAGTAACTGTAGTCAAAATCAAGTGGCGGTTTGTTAGCTTACTGTTGGTAGGATGTTTGTGGCTCCACAGCTCCTCCAATGCTTGCTGATGGTGCTCCGCCAATTTGGAAGACAGATTAGGGAACCAAGTCTTCACAGCATCTGCCAAGAATAAACAAGGGGAGATATTGAACAAACTGCTCACTTGTTACATGATTGCTCATTGCTGAATAGATTTCTGAATCCATCAAATTTTGCGCTGCTTGAAAGAGCCTTTTTTTGCCATAGAAAGTGAAGAAATAAGGGTGTTTCTTTCCGCCCCCATATTGAATCCCAATGTGTAGCCAAACCCGCATCCCATGTGTGCTGCCATTGGCTTGGAAGTGTGCTCCAAGAGCAGCTTGCACATTATCAAGATGAGGGCATAATTTCTCTTGAAGAAGTTGCCCAAAACCAGGGGGCCACTGACACAACATGCAATCACCATGCTGTTCTTATCCAGAAGCGGAACATGGCTGCAAGGATTAAGCCCAAACAGTACACTGGCAAGTCCTGCTAACCAATTGGGAGCTGCAAGTATAGGCTTATAGCCTTTAGTGACTGCTGCTTCAACCAATGCAAACGGAGAAAATGCTCCGTCGTACCAAGTTCCTATGTATCCATTTGGCTTTACCTTTCCCTCTAGTGTCTCTGTAGGAAGAATGAGGGTGTGGCTTTCCCTATGCTCCTTGGAACCGAAGGCATTACGTAGGCCAGATACTCCACTGGAGACTCCCTACAACACGCCATTCTGAGTCACTATTAGCAGATATGTGTCCTGCTTACAATCTTACTTTCTTCAAATCCTGCTCTGCTGCCTTCCTGTCTGCTGCCTCCATTCCATGCCTCCTCTTGTGATTGCTCTTTCCTATTTGTTTAAAGCGGAGTCTGTTGAGCTGAAGCCTGCTCATCAAGTCAGAGTTTGGTAAGGGTAGGGGTACATCTATTTCAGGTGCAAGCAGTCCTCCCAACTTGCTCACCATTGACTGAAGCCCAGTAGGATAGTGTTGATTGTGACTTATTGTGTTGGAATCATCAAAAAATGTGGGGTCTTGGCCATTTCTGTCCAAACTGGCTGTACTGCTGCTCCAATATTCAGGTTTGTTTAGCTCTTGGTTGGAGACCAGAAGGTCTCGCCATGCTGCGAGAGCGAGCGAGGAATGGGAGCTCCAGGAATAGAACTTAGAAGGAAAACAGTATAGATAGAGAATATATTGGAAAGAATTAATTGACAAACGACGAAATATGAAATCGAAAAATGGAGGTGCGGGTGGAGGTGGCAAGAGCCGCAAACAAAAGGCTCCGCCAACCAACATCAACGCAAGCCCGCTGCCGACAGCACGGGCGTAGCGTGGCCCCCAAAAGGCTGAAAATTCGTCGACTCACCCACCGCGCCCTAGGTGATGCTCTGCAGGCGTGAGCGTGAGCGTGAGATGTTGGCCCACCATCCCACCCAGAGCCACTCCCGCCCACGCCTGCCTCGCCTGGAAGGCCCCCCACTTAAGAGTAAACCTAGGACGTGTCGTGACGGACAAGAAAACAATCGAGGATTAAACGGAAACGTTGACCAAGCGAGAATGACGACGAGAAAAGCAGCTGGTTGGAGACCAGAAGGTCTCGCCATGCTGCGAGAGCGAGCGAGGAATGGGAGCTCCAGGAATAGAACTTAGAAGGAAAACAGTATAGATAGAGAATATATTGGAAAGAATTAATTGACAAACGACGAAATATGAAATCGAAAAATGGAGGTGCGGGTGGAGGTGGCAAGAGCCGCAAACGAAAGGCTCCGCCAACCAACATCAACGCAAGCCCGCTGCCGACAGCACGGGCGTAGCATGGCCCCCAAAAGGCTGAAAATTCGTCGACCCACCCACCGCGCCCTAGGTGATGCTCTGCAGGCGTGAGCGTGAGCGTGAGATGTTGGCCCACCATCCCACCCAGAGCCACTCCCGCCCACGCCTGCCTCGCCTGGAAGGCCCCCCACTTAAGAGTAAACCTAGGACGTGTCGTGACGGACAAGAAAACAATCGAGGATTAAACGGAAACGTTGACCAAGCGAGAATGACGACGAGAAAAGCAGCTGGTTGGAGACCAGAAGGTCTCGCCATGCTGCGAGAGCGAGCGAGGAATGGGAGCTCCAGGAATAGAACTTAGAAGGAAAACAGTATAGATAGAGAATATATTGGAAAGAATTAATTGACAAACGACGAAATATGAAATCGAAAAATGGAGGTGCGGGTGGAGGTGGCAAGAGCCGCAAACGAAAGGCTCCGCCAACCAACATCAACGCAAGCCCGCTGCCGACAGCACGGGCGTAGCGTGGCCCCCAAAAGGCTGAAAATTCGTCGACCCACCCACCGCGCCCTAGGTGATGCTCTGCAGGCGTGAGCGTGAGCGTGAGATGTTGGCCCACCATCCCACCCAGAGCCACTCCCGCCCACGCCTGCCTCGCCTGGAAGGCCCCCCACTTAAGAGTAAACCTAGGACGTGTCGTGACGGACAAGAAAACAATCGAGGATTAAATGGAAACGTTGACCAAGCGAGAATGACGACAAGAAAAGCAGCAGCTGGAGAGCTTCTTCAGTGCCTGTACATGTCTGGATGGCGACAGCATTTGCAAGGTCTCCATGCCATGTTCCCGGTATAAGACTGCCTACGCTTCAGTACAGGTATCCTGACAAGAGAACGACGCAGGCCAGCGGGTTTTCACCTTTTTTTTTTTGGGTAGGTATTATTGTGCAGTGGCCTCGCCAATATAGCACATTGGTATATCGATAGTCCGCTTACTGGGTTATCCCTAGTGTCCTTGGTCGAGTCGACTCCTCGCAGGCAGGTAGTCGTGCTCGTCCTCGCTAGGTTCCCCCTCTGGGCGTGACATTGTCCAGCGCTCCTTCGTCACTCGCGTTCTTTTCCATTAGTTTCTGCTGTTTTTGGCGCGTTGTATCGTATCCCGCTATTTGCCTCCATCTATTCTTCTTCGCCCGTCCTCCTTGTTCTTAGTCTCCCGGTTTTGCGCAGGAACTTGAGCGTTTGTGCAATTCCTTCCTCCGATCCTAGGACCTCCTTAAGGTCTTTGGTTTTCTCCTGTAGACTTCTTTCCCATTCCCTCCTGGCTTCTCTGTACTTGGGACATATGTATAGTATGTGCATTAGGTTCTCGAAGTTCCTTTCCCCGCAGTGCGGATACCATGGTGAATCTGCCCTATTAATACGATTCAGGTGACCGTTCAGGCCAATGTGCCCTGTACGTAGCTGAATTAATAGCGCTGCATCTCTTCTCGGCAACTTGTCTGTGAGCTTCAGGTATCTCCCCGAGGTTTTCACCTTTCTCAGGTGTCAAAGATGAATACAGCGCAAATTGGGCACCAGTTGTGATTCCATGAGCAGTGCCGCCATCAATCTTGATCTTGTAGAATACCCAATTATTTATATATTGTGTCTTAGTCTTGATACCAGACCACACTTTTTTGGGTACAGGTGCTTTGGAGTCGAAGCAAATACGACCACGGTTGTGTCCTTCACATTGAGTATTCTGGCTGTATTTGGAGAAACAGTGAGCGATTGCATTGTAATGGTGGAACACTTACCCTGGGAGGGACGGGAGATGATGAATTAACTTGGTATATATGACATTGCTGTGGCAAACTGAGGAGAGCAATTTAAGAAGAGCTGATGTGAAAGCTCCTCCGTTGTCATATTCTTTGGCCATTTCCTCGGTGCCACAAGTGGTGAGCAGTACATGAGAGCTTAGGCTGCTATGGAGGAAGCCTTTTGCAAGGTTGTGACCACAATGAGCTTCCACATGGTGAGCCCATATATCTTCATTGATTTGAGGAGAGATAACGCCTTTTAGTTTGCCGAGTCCACAGACTCTTCTGTGAACTGCAGTAGATTTGCCTCTCGTAATTGATCCAGAGTTGCAACAATCGAAAATAACAGTCTGTCCATAGTCAGTCTGGCACCGCTCGACCTAATCAGAACTTACAATATTATTACCATGTACTGCTGCTAACTTGTCAAGAAGAGCTCCAATGGTTTTATCTGGAAGAACTGTGTCAATATTGTCTTCTTTGAAGTTGTGAGGGGCGGGGGGTTGGACCTGATCACGTTGGGCCTATCTCCCCCCTTGCAGCAAAAGAGCGGCAGGACTGGCACAAACGTCACGGTCTTAGCATTCTTTTGATGGCAGAAAACGATGTAGAAACCAGGCAACCAACCAGAGAATGTAAACACGCCTAGATACCCAACAGACGTAGCTACGCATAAATAAAACAGCCAGAACCTTGCCTAACAGAGAAAAGGGACAATAGAGAATACCGCAGCCCTCATTAATGCCATATGAGATGCCAAAACACATTAAGGACACCAAAGACGGAGGGGAACAAGGTGCTGAATAACCGTCATTATGAAGACCCTCAAAGAAAACTCTGCGTTCCTATCCACATCGACAGAGTCGCTGCTCGTGGGTGACGACCTTGGCGTCTCAAGTTGCTGTACCTCCTTCAGCAGTGAAAGAAGAAACGACATTCTCGACAGACTCTGACACAGGGAGTGAGCTTGGTCTACCAGAGGTCCTGAAGAGGAAGGGGCAATCTTGACATCATGAAAATGTAGGCTTGCTATGGAGTGCTCTGGAGCTTGGTAGCTCGGTCGCAACCCCACCCGCTCCGGCTAGCACTCCCATAGCTACGGCTTCTCCAGGGAGGGCTCTGGAGCGCTACAACGGCTACCTGCAGTAGTTTTGCCATCCTTGTAGCAGCTCAAACTGAGATTTTGGTGATGGACGAGGATGAAGAGGACAGGAAGAAGTGTTTTGCTGATGAAGGAGCCAGGGCACTGTCTGAAGTGATCCATTTGGTAGAGAGTGAGAGTAGATAGTCGGTTTGGTTGACGCCAAGGTGCTGTATCGAGCGGCTAGTTGCTTGTCGGATATCTGATACCGTGCTGGAAGATACAGCCTCTGGTTGAATGAGTATTTCTATTTAAGGAATACCGAGTGACGGCACGTAGACTCACCAGGCGACATCGAGTTATCCTCTACTGTTTCTCTGAGGTTGGCTGTGTTGACAGATTTACAAGACTCGACATCAGTTCCTGACTCTTGGAAATGTCCCTCGATATCCTTCATGTAGTAGTAGGCACGCTAGCTGTACTCAGTATGTATACAAGCGACGTACTCTGACCGAGAGAGTATTCGACGCTCTCAGACTAGTCGTCGTACTGGTAACTCGACTGGCCATTGCGGCTGAGATCACCTACGCCGCTTGTGGTGAGATTGACGTTGCCAGTGGCACTTCTACACCGTTTTTATTTGTTAGTTTACTGGCGAATATGTTGTGGGTGGGTGGTGGCGTCAGATAAAAGGGGCAAGGTGAGAAATATGGTGACGTTGATGGCGATATTGATATCTCTACGAGTATCTGCAAAGCATACAAATGATATGGATCAACAAGATACCTGTTAGCTAGCGAAACAAGTTGAGGATTCAAGAGGCCGACCACCATCGACGAATTCAGAGTTGTCAGTCATCGTTATGTTGTAATAGTAGACGAGGACATTGAATAGACGGTCCGTCGACAAGCCGTGTTATGTTGAGGTTGTAACAATGTTCATGGACGAGGTCGCTGATCAAGCTTGAACTGTAACCATACTCGAAGAGACGACGTCTATTTCCAGAAATGAGTGGCTGAAGTTTCTATGCATCACAGAACTCTACGTCAAAGTAGACTACAGCCACTGTTTCTCGTTTGCGTCTGCATCAACCAACCCGGGTCGCTCGACAACGCCAGGGACAAACCCTACTGGCTGCTAAAAGAGCCTCGTCGTCATCGTAATACCTTCGACATATTGCGGCGCGCGGAGCAGTGACTGCCCACGCCTTAGCGAGGGCAGGCAGTCGCGAAATGGTCGGCATGAGTACCTATCTGGAATGCTTAGCTTGGAGGGGGGATTAGGCAAGAGGAGCTTTGCAGTCTGCGACGTATATGGCGTTCCGCCTAGCAAGCGGCACTAAGGAATGTGTTCAAGTTTGTACGTCTCGTATGTCTGTCTCCTTTACAATCAAAAACGTCGAGTAAAGCGTGACTCATGATGTCGAGGGCGCGGTCGCCCCAACGGTAATTGAAAGTAGGCGGATCTCGTCGTAGTTCGACTGCAAACAACTAGGGAGAATCGGATAGGGTCTGAATCGTCTTAAAGGCGAAATGAGGCCATAGGTACATAGTCTTGTAGTGTACTCCAGTCTCCTTCTGAAGCTATTTTTTATGTTTAGTTGTACATAGTTTGCACAGAATGGGCTCGAGTAAACAGAAACCCTTTGAGCCATCAGGTCTATTCGACAATCTCCAGATGGCGTAATCGATCGGGCATTAATTGGTAGGCCGACGTTGCACGACGCTGACAACGGTAGTACACCAAGCATCTTCCTTTCCGTGTAAGCCCTCCCCTTCCTTGCCGCCGCGTTTCTCGAATGCAGAGCGCTGAGCGACGTGACTCATATCCACATATCGATCCGCAATGAAAAACTTGAGCAAAGACACTTCGACGTCCTGGGACAAGCAAAAGTCGAATGGCTCACTGCCTCCAGAACCATACCCAATGGTCAGGCAGCCTTTGGCTGGAAGCGGGCTGTCTACCTTGCCTGTTCTTGCGGCAGCGCACTCGTATACGGAGTCTACCCAACGGTTCAGTTTATCTATTCTCGCTAAACATATTCATGACGTACCGATGCTCAGGTCGAGGGCGTTGAAGAAGAATACGCTGGGATACAGATCCTTGTTGGACGTATTGGTAATTTTGACTCCATAAAATACCCCTTCCTTGACAGGGATATCAACCACGCCGGCTCCTATCATGTTGTCTCCGGTAGGCTTGCAGAAGCCATTTCCGTCAGACGCCAACTCGGTGAACTCAATCTTGATGTCATCGAGCAGTCCACTGGTTCCTTGGATACGATGCAGGTATCGATGATAGTGTGCAGCCGCTCGCAGAAAGGAAGCAGCCAAGGGAATCTGGCGAGGGAGTGGGTATTGCAATCTTGTCAAACCATGCACTGTGATCAACGGGTCTAGTATCTCGATAAAGAGCCTAGATCCATCGAGTAGCACACCAAGCTCCGCCTTGCTCTTCTTTGTACAAGTAATTACCGGTGCGGGAGCAGGGTCGGCTTGATCGACCTGAACTTCGCTCATCGCTTCAAGGGTATCATATACGACTTTGAAAGAAGAATTATCCTTGTCATTCTTTGGAATAAACAGCCGGAGATCTTCTTTGGTGCCTGCACGTGTCTGAGCGGCGAACTTTTGCGTAAGGATTAGATATGGCGGTCCCGACATAGGCTTTATTATGCTTTGGTACGGGCGTACCACCGAAGCAACAACGTGCACGAGCGGGGCCTCATCTGGAAGGGGCGTCTGAGTGGGATACACGGCAAACTGCGCGCCTTCCGTAATTCCATGAGCCGTGCCTGCTTCGATTTTGTAGAATACTCGGCCATTCTGTGTCCCAGTCTTGATGCCAAACCACTGCCTCTTTGGTACGGGTGGTTTGGAGTCGAAGCAAATACGACCAGCATTGTGTCCTTCGCATTGAGGGTTTTGTCTATGCCAGAAGGAGCAGTTAGCTGGGCGCACTGAAATTGGACAAGGCTCACCCTGGTATTAACGGGAGGCGACGAATCAGCTCGGCGTATGTGACTTGGCTATGGCCGACTGAGTAGAGCTCCTTAAGAAGAGCCGATGTGAAGGCCCCTCCGCTGGAATACTCTGTGGCCTCTTCCTTGGCGCCGCATGCTGCGAGTAATACATGAGATCTCAAGCTGCTGTGGTGATGTTTTTGTTGAGGATTGAGTCCGCGATGGTTTTCCACAACGTCAGCCCATATTTCTTCGTCGATTTGAGGGGATATAATGCCTTCTAATCTGCCGAGCCCACGTATATTTCCGTGTGCGGCGGAAGTTTCCCCTCGAGTAATCGATCCGGAGTGACAACAATCAAAAATCACAGTCTGTCGGTCATCAGTTCGGCACTGCTACGCCTTATCAGTACTCACAATGTTATCGCCATGCGCTGCCGCAATTTTCGCGAGAAGGGCTCCGATGGTTCGATCCGGAAGAGCCGTGTCGAGATTGCTTTCGTTGAAGTCATGAGGTATGAGAGCTTGGATGTATTCGCCGGCATCGTCCCAACCCTTAGGCGCCTTGACCTCGCAGCCGTGGCCAGCATAGTATATGATGATGGGATCGTCTTTCTGGATATCTTTGCGTCTTGCAAGATATTTGAGCTCACTGATTATCGCCTTGCGAGTTGCAGAGCTATCGTAGAGCTTGCGGATACGGGAGGGTGTCGCTCCGATCTCCTCCTGAAGATACTGGCTGACAGCTTCAGCGTCTCTGGTGGGAGAGTGCAGCTTTCTGTATTGGATCGGATACTTGTACTGGGTGATGGCGATGAGGAGCGCAAACGGTGACTGAGAAGCTGACATGACGAAAGGATGAGGGTCGTCTATCTCGACACACGATGCTCCAGCGACACATTTTATGGGGCTCTGGTTATCTTCATCCTGGTCGAGTCTGGCCTCGTTGCTCACATGAGCTGGAGGCCGGCTTCTCAACCCGCAATCGAAGGATGGTCGACTGGTTAGAAGAACCTGGTCAAAATAAATTGGATAGTATGGGAGAAGAGGCTATAATTGATTGAGCAGCTAAGCGAGTGGAGGAATACCGATCCGTTCGTCCGACCGTGGTGAACAATAAGGAAACTATCGGCGGATCTAGAAGGAGTTATGAATTATACAAGTCATGTAGATTCATTAGATTCATATTAGCTAGCAAAATACGTGAAGAACTCGTGGAGACGAACGGAGATGGCCGTGATTTGCAGCACTAGTCGTCACTATTCCATCATAAACGGGTTATCTATCGAAGAGGCGCGTTATCGTTCAGCTAGCGTGAGATCTCCGAGACCTCGGTGGTCGAGGTTGTTGACCAGGGTGCAAGCAACGCGTTGAGCTCGCACATACCTCTGTTGCGCACAAATCAGCGCAAGGGCGTACTTGGAGCGTTCAACGAGGACGGAAAATGGCGGGAAATAGCGTTTTTTATGTGACAAAGACGGTGCATTCGAAGCCGAGTAAGTAACAGCCCAGAGGGTTTGTAAGTTTATGGGGTTAGCATGTCTATCACTTTTGAGTTGGTTACAGATGATGGCATAGAATGCTTTGGTTGTACAAAGGATGTCATTTTCCTATCTCCATCTACCTACAGCACCCACCGGCGCGTCTTCATCGGGCACAAGATTTGAAGTCAACCCTCAATGGCCAATCAACTATCGTTATCTCTATCTAGGTGAGTGGCTGTTCGGGTGGCGCAATCGATACGGCGAGATGGAGAGACAAGCGCATAGAGCGAGGTCAAGTTCACCACTACTCGAAACGTACCTACAAAAAGTCAGTCTCCTCGCCTTTGATCTGGTCTCGACCATCCAGCTGTCATCCACTAAGTGGCAGGGTACAAGGGTACATCTCGGTACGGCTGGTAAGTAGGCTGGTAACTGATCGAGTGTGGGCTAGTACAGTAGCCTTCTTCATTCTAGTGGCCTGCTAGTGACCAGCAGCTCTCGACTCGATGACCTGCCACGTGTGCGTGCGGAGAATGGCCAATGTCATATTCAACCTGGCCGTTGAGAGGCCGCTCGCCGTCTTCACCAGATACAAAGTTTACGAACCGTGATAATGGACACATAATTGGGTCCAATTCCTGCGTCACCGCGCTTATCGACAGTCGTTTTCCCGCTTTGGTGTTCGACTTGGTAGATGTGAGCAACGGCGTCACGGCTCTTGCTCCTCTCTTGTTCCGAGTTCTGCTGTAAAAGCAGAAAACGACATGTTCAAACATTGCCGCCAGGATGACGGTTACCTCCAGTGATACCGCCAAATGCGGATTTATCGGCTGATGTACTGGACAGAGCCATAGGTGCGCCTTGCGAGCTGTTTTATGTGTACGCTTCGTCGCCTTGAGCTGTTTTTGCGTTGCAGACTGGGTCTAGCGAGCATCCTGGGGACGGAGGTGTTAGCCATTAAGACGCTGGAGCGGTGTAAGGTTTTTGAGAGTGAAGACGAAGTGAACGTCTAGTCGAGACTTTGAATTCGAGGAACGATGAATAAAGTCGACTTTAGACGAGATAGAACCTGTATAACGCGCGTATATTGAGTACGGTCACCAGGGAGTACAAGTCTACTCTAAGGATCGAGAACAGTCTGATACATTGGCTTATATAGACGTTAAGGAGATAGATCGGAAGTAAAGGAAGAACTGAGGAGGTAGATCGGAACGAGTGGAAGGCAGCTAACTGCGGTATAGGGGTAATGAGTGGCAAGGGTCAAAGGACCGTGAGGGAAAGAAGTACGACGAGATAATGAGTGGATACGGTTGCTAGTACGAGGACTAAACCGATGAATGATAATCCTGGGTATATACTGTTAGTTTGTTAGTTTATACATTACATTCTTAGCTTGTATTATCTTTCACCCGTAACGCCGGTGGCGGTGGTCCCTCACTCGGTTAATCTACGACCGCAGTGAGGTAAGGCCACCGACTCTCTCATGCGATCGTCCCTCACACTCCATACTAGCTAATTAGACGTTGTCTATCAGGTAGTGTATTAGACTCGGTTAATCTACGATCGCAGTGAGCTAATTAGACGTTGTCTATCAGGTGGCCAATATATACGAGGTAGCGGCGTCGCACAGAGCCAACGCGCGAGCCTACAAGCGGCGAGGGAGAAACGCTTTAGTGATGAGGAGTCGAGGTGCGGATGGATTTAGTCGAAGATGAGAGGACATCGGTTGATGTCTAAATGCTGTATCAAGCCGGTAGAATTGATTCTCAGCTACATTAGAGCAGCCAGAGTCTGGTATTATCGGCATTTTCGCTCGCGAACTCGTTAGTACCGAGGGAGCGGTATTGGGTAGACTCCGCAGAAGTCGTCAAGTTATCCTGCAATGTTGATTGTCTACGGATTGCAGGTTTCGAGGACAGTTCTTGGTTTTCGGATACGTCTTTCAATGACCTTCGACTCCTAACCGTGCTAACCGCTCTCGGAATGTACGCGGCAAGTGGTCTGACCACCTTGCACTTGCAGCGCTCAAATAAAAGCCTGTACTGGGCATCGATGCTGAGATTGCCTACACCACCCATGATGAGATTGACGTTCCCTGAGACTCTTCCATAGCGTTTTCTATTGCCAGTTTGTTACGAGGTCGTGACTGACAGGTATTAGCAGTGGATGAATGTAGACAAAGAGAGCGTTACATTAAGGCAGAACCAACGCAGGAGTTGATGTCTCTGAGAAGAGTTAAAAAGCACGGAAGTGATGTAAATCAACAAAATAGTCTGTTAGCTAGCGAGATAGGATGAGACTCTCAGAGGCCAACAAGGACGAGCATATTGAGAGCCATTAGTCACCATCACTTCCTAGTAAATAGATAAGAATATCGAATAAACGAGATTTCAACTAGCCATTGCAAGGGTATAGAGATATCCGTTGACGCAGCCGATGGCCAAACTTGTTGATACTAGGACGCGTGAGGTGAGAGGCAAGACCAGTAAGGTCCGGCCGCATCGTCCCGCGTCCCTAAATACATTGAGTTACGACGTGAGCTATTACTATTGGCTGAGTCTATTTAGTGAGCGCTAAGAGTCAAAGGGTCAACCTTCAACATCTGCTACTCGCTCAGCAGGAATATTCTTTCTCCCAGCTGTATATACGGATTAATTGTATCGCTTAAAATCATGGATTGCTCCTTCACGCGCCTTTGCGTTGCTCAAGGAGTCTCTTCCATTCCTCCGCCAGCTTCTCCCGCTCTCGCTGCTTCTCTTCACATCTGTTAAAGTGCCTTGTGTAGCCTCTGCCGCTTTGAAACTCTTTATAGCAAATAGGGCACCTCAAGAGCCCTGGATTGCTTGGTGGTCCCATGTTGCCCACGTTCTCCATTGCCGAAACAGTCACCAGTGACTTGATATTATCGATGAGAAATGCTAGTTCATAAAAGGATCGTTTATAGCGGGGCAAATACGGTACAAAGGTTGTGGATGAGGTCAACCAGTGGCAATGCTTGGAAAGTCGGTTAAGTCCTGAGCCTTGTAAGGCAACTGGCCCAGCTTGGACTTGGCCTGCGGTACCATCACAAGGCACCTTCCCTTACAAGGCACCCGCCACTTTTCTGACACCACGTACGCCAGGATCTCAAAATGGGCACCGACGCAAAAACCCGCCGAGACGACAGGCAGCAAACCCAACAATACACCACAAGCGAACGACTCACCAATGCTTCGCAACCACCCTTGCCGGGTGATCGTATCATGGCCCAAGGACCAGAAGATTGGATACGACGACAGACCAGCGGCAGGCAGGATCATTGACTCACTAAACGTACACCTCGCCAAGGCCAATTCAGCGACGGTAAACGGGGTATATTGGACCGAGGCAGGAAACCTGGTCATCAGAATCAAAACACCAGATCACGCAAAAGCACTAGCTGGCAACTTCGACCAGTGGAGACGACAGATGCTCAAAGGCGCACAGGCAGCACGGCTGGACAGGAAGATTCACCAGGTAGTAATCCAAGGCGCGCTCATCCGGGACGAGCACGACCAGCCCCTAACGGCAGATGCAATTGCCACGCACCTCACACAGGCGACCGAGATCAAACTCAATGACTTGGCAATGCCACCACGGATTGTCGCAAAACCAGACACACTAATGACCCTCAACCGTGCCCCAATCCTAGTGCCACTTCGCGACGAGACCAAGGCCAGTAGGCTCAAAGAAGGTACGTTCTTCAGGGACGAGTTCAGAGAGGTCCGCGACTATGCAGAAACCGCCCGCATTGCCAGATGCCAGCGGTGCCATGAGATAACACACAGTACAACAAAATGCGCAAACCGACCACGATGCGCGCAATGCACCAGCGCCGAACACAAGTCCTCAGAACAACCAAAATGCAGTGATTGCACGGACCCAACCACGTGCGCTCACACAGACCTCAAATGCATCAACTGCTCCGGGCACCACGCATCGACAGATCTAGCATGCCCGGTATGGATCAAGCGACGAGGTACCGTAAAGGAGGGAGCAAAGACCCCAGGAGGGCGAGCACCCAAAAAATGGAATGCTAAAGCAAGCAAGCAAGCCAATAGCAAAGACAGGACAACCAGCAGCCAGCAAACGCCCAGACTCAACGGGTATCAACGAAACACCTACCGTCGCGCAGCGAAGCAGGGGCCAAAGGAGAACGAGGGCGACATTGGATGACCTGAGCAATGCAGACAACTCGACGAACACTGATACCATGGATATTTAATCATGACTAAAGGAATAGGAAAGTCACCACTAGACCAGTCAGGATACTCCAGATCGTCACCAACCGTAGCACAGAGGTAATGAATAGCATCCATGCCGAACATTTACAATACACAGACGTAATACTATACCAAGAGCCTGGCTTTGCGCCCGACCAGCACCGCCATTCCTCCCGCCGAATGTAGCAGGATTCACGCCATACATGGCCATACCTATCGAAGACCTTATGAAAAGGATAGGACGCCACGGGTCATGGCGTATGCACGACAACGTATTACTCACTTGGCCTCGCATAGCCCTCGTACTGGTGAGTTCTCCCTGTGAACCTCACAAAGATATATATCTCTCAAAAGAATGCATCTCACACTTTGCAAAATCTGGCCTCGAGGCCTGGTCCAGAACCCAAACGTGAAACAGAGGCTCTCTACCCCATAGTTTAGATGTTTGAAATCTGACTAGACTGCAGTTGAAAGCATAAACAAACCGGATACCTCACACCCTTGGGGCGATCCACGCGTCCTGGGCCCCTTGACAGGGAATAGATAGCCAAATGTGGCATGGAGACCATGCAACTCAGACACAGAGGTTTGCGTGGTCCCGGGACCTGACAATGACCAACAAAGATGGAGCCTCCACAATCCAGCAGTCGGCCAAAGAGAGCAAGTGCAATCAAGTCTGAGCAAACGTTGACGCAAATTCTGCACTACTTAGCCGAAGAACCTGCGCAGCTGCATGGAGTCAACGAACAAGAAGCAAAGAGAAAGGGAACGACGACGCTGTCTCTTCCAAAGAAAAGTGAGAAAGTCCCTCTATACAAACAGCACCGTATCCTGACGTTTGGACCCAGATGTCGTTGCCACCCAGACGGAGCATGGAGTCAGCAGAGCGATGTTGCTCAATGGTATAAAGGTGTAGGCTCGCGCGTCTGCTCTGCACGACGCTGCTACCTCGTGCGAATCAGGGATTATTCTTCATCGCATTAGTCCTTGTCCTAGTTACCATCTCCATTCGCTACATTGTTCCCGTTCTGTTCCTTATGGTCCTCTGACCATCGTCACTCTTTTACCCCTATACCTGAGTCAGATGCCTTCTGCTCGTCCCGATTTACATCCTCAGTTCCTCCATTCCTTCCGATCTATTTCCACACCCTCTATATAGCCTGTAGTACTTGACCGTTCTCGTATCAGAAGAGTAGACTTGTACTCCCTTGTAACCGTCCTCAATATACACGCGTTACACAGGTTCTTTTCGTCTAAAGTCGACTTTATTCATCGTTCCTCGAATACAAAGTCTCGACTCGACGTTCACAACGTCTTCACTCTCACCAAAAACCTTACAAAAGGTGCCAATTACAATCACTCCTACTAACTTTTGAGGACTCCACGCGTAAAAAAGCACCATCAACAAACAAATTGCCTTTGGATATCTTGCAAGATTTTCCGAGTCTCAAAATAGCCCATACCGTCTAGCGATGTGGAGTTTTTCCCAACAGTTGGCGATGGCAGCCTGCCGGGATTGAGAGAGGGCCAAGCAGGTAAAAAAACTCCATCTTTTGCTCGCCTCTTATCTAAACGTTGAGGTTGATCAACTGGCACGAGTCGTGATTCCCATGATCGACAGTGGGTACCCACCACCTGGCCACTGGGTCCTCTTGGTGGTAGAAAAACGAGAGTCAGCCGGAATTGTCAGTATCTATGACAGGCTGTGACTGAGGAAGACGGCTCGAGAGGGATTTGACAACACCATGGGATATGCCAAGGGCCTCTATCATTTGCTTTCAAGGATGTCTGAAATCAGTACTGTCAATATACAAGATGAACTACGCAAACCAGCACAAGGAAATCAGTACGCATGTAGTTTCTATGCCGTTCACGCAGAATCCAGCCTCTTGCTGCTGTCTGCCATCAGGATGAAATATATCAATACGGTCCTTAAACAATTGACAGTAGATATTAAGGAATGACCTTTGACATCTTATCTGCGTATATGACCAAGGTCCCAAGCCCACATCGGTCTGGAAGCTAATACCCACCCATCGCTCTAACCATATCTGTATATTAGATTACAGATACCCATTTGCAATGGCTAGCGCAATCGTTGTTGGTGAAGGTTCGCCTTTAGACAATAACAAGTACAAGTCTGCAATCGTAGTCACCTCTTCTTCTTTCGGGCCCCCTTCTTTGACACTCGGGCCTTTGGAGACTCAAGGCCCGTGGGAGGAAAGGATTTAGCTCGGCAGCGAGCCGGAGTGCCTCTCTTTCTCTTCGTTCCTCGTCTAGGATACCCGTCACGTCGTCAAACTTTGCCTCTTCCTCGACTGCCTGGGCATAAATATCTGGCTGATCGATCCATGTAGTCTCCGGAGCGTTCAAGGGCTGGGCTGATCCACCGGTGACAGTCAACCCACTGTCTGTCATCAATGTGAACCCATGTCCTGACGGGCTTGCCCACGCGCCTGGACCAATTGTGGCCACACTCTCCTCATGCTTGATAGGAGTAAGAGCCTTTGACGGCTCCAGAAATTCTCCGTGACCATCCAGATCGTCGACGATGAACATTTCTTCCGCTTCGTCAAACTTCAGAAGGTCTGTGCTCGCCCGCTTTGCCGGCATGAGTCGGGGACTTCTGACGCCTGTGATTCCACTCAAAACGTCCTTCCCAACGCGCGCAGTGCCCCTAACGACTGCGTCCAATCCTGATCCAATGCTACTACCAGCACTACCTGGACGACCGTTAGGGAGCATAGGAATGACGTGGCCCGGACTACCAATGTCCGATGGCGAGCCAACTGGAGAATAGGATGCATCCAGCTGCAACTTGGAGTCCATCGCCGACGTGAGGACATCGTCGAAAGATTGGCGGGTCAGCGGCCGAGATTTCATGCTGCTTGTGCTGGTCAAACTTGAAGGAAAAGGCATGTGTTCCGTAGCCAAGCCCAATTGTCCGCCGAGAATGGGACTATCACCGAGGTCGAATATACGCCCATCTGAGCCGAGGAAGTTTGCTTCGGAATCAAAGTCGCTCGGTACAACAGATTGCCGTTCATAGTCCGTGAATCCCTCGCCTGTCCGAACGATGACGCTGTCCTTTCTGAACGACAGCGACTCGAAAGGGGGGTTCAAATCGAGACGACGGACGAGGGCATGATAATCCGTGCTGAGGGCACCAAACTGAAATTGGTGGGACATGTAGATGGGACGGGATAGCCGCGTGGATCGAGTGGGCAAAGGGGAGAGCTCGGCGAATGACAGATCTCTGTGGGGACGTGAGCATGCACAATATATAAAATATGAAAGACAAACCCGGTTTTACTACGAGTAGGCTTGCTGGACGTTGTGTCGGCAACCTTGTCTGTGCGAATCTCGGGCCACTCTTCGTCTCGTTGCAGATCCCATCTCGCGACGACAGAGCTACTCCCGATGAGCCTCCCCGATCCTTTCGAGCCTACGAGGCGAGATACGGCGGCATTTCCGAAGCCCGTCATTCGGGATACCCCAGAGAGAACGCTCGACAGCGGTGCGCTGGTTGATGGCGAAGCGCGTCCTACATCATTGTCATGATTCTGAACAACAGAAGATGTACGTTCCATCGCTCTGAGATCACTTCGGGACTCTGACTCTGTATACGCTTCCAGAGAGCATCGCCATAGAAGGACATGCCCGCTGGCAGGGTTGAACACCAAGATATCCTGAAATCCACTGCTAGGCGAGCCTTCGACCGATGTATCCGTGCTCTGGAATGGAATACGGCGAGACGACGTCGAAGCCGCCCGATCGAGAAAAGTGATCGATGCAGGTATACGTGGTCCCGAGGTCTGGTCGGCGATATCGAGATCACCCGCAACGGTGTCTTCGTTCTTTTCAGGAACCAAGGACTCTGTATATGGCTGACGAAGCCTGCTGACTGCCTGAAGACGTATAGAGTGCGACTATGAAGAGTTAGCCTTGAATGAATCGCAACGTGATTTGCTTACATCGGCCCGCACGGAGCCGTCACGGGTCTGGCCGACAACATGAGCCAACGCGACGGGCGGCCCACCATCAGGATCCACCGCGTACAAATCTGCAAAGCCGTGAGCAGTCATTCCAGACTCTTCGGTCCACCCACGAATGGTGCCGCGCTCGCTGGTAAACGCATTCCACAATCCGTCGTTGCTCCACGTAATCGAGTCAATTGTCGCCGTTGTAAGGCCGCGCTGAAGATCGTATATGGGGAGCAAGTCACCTTCTGGCTTGTCGTCTTCCACATCGGCATGCGAACGGCGCCTCCTTTGATCAACGTTTCGGCGCACTTGATAGACTTGGACGCCTGTACTATCTCGTCCACCGACAGCAATCATGTTACCTCTGCGGTTCCAGGACATGAACGTGACGGGGGAAAGATTACCAAGATCCCCGAGGTCCTCCTGGGAAGTGACGCGAGAGTGAACTCGGTTCGGCGTAGAAATAGGCGAGCCCTTGCTTGCAGTCGGCAGTAACGGTTGTGGGAGTTGATAATATGCCTCGGCGACCGTCCACGGTTTCGCGTCGGCAGGTTGGTCAAAATCAAATCGGGTGAGCGGAGGAGATTTGGCAATGAAACTCCGCGAGACTGACATCTCCTGTCCGGGTTTCTCGATGGAGGCAGATGAAAGCGGTTGCAAATCCAAAACGATGATCCAGCACCCAGCTCCAGGATTCTGCGACGTTCCTGGTCCTGAAACTGCGCTTCGTATCTGACCGCTAGCGCGGCGATAGTGACGTTGAGAGGAGAGTGCCGACTGTGTATTTGGTGCGCTGCGAGAATATGCGTCAGAGGGACGATATTCACCGGATACAGGTCTTGATTTGGATCCACTATATCCAACGGCGTTCATACCAATGCGCATGCCTTCTGCCACTCCAGAGCCAAGGAGGCGTGCACCAGTGAGCATACCACCGCTAACAAACGCCAGGCTCGAACTGAGGGCCGAGCCCTGAGCTGAGCGCATATCAATCCTGGACATGTCGGATGAAACTGGCGGGTATGCAGCGGTATTAGAGGGAGCGAGCGGCTGGGATAGCGCAGTAGACGAAGCGAATGCGAGCATGCGACTCGATGAGAGGGCAAAGATAGGTGTAGAGAGTGAATTAGGTTGCTTGATAGAGTATAGAAAGGCAAAATCACGCGCTACGTCAAACACCACCAAGGCACTGGAGTCTTTACCGTCCGTCGCTGCCTCGGCAGACGCAGTGGAAACGACCGCAAAGCGCGAGTTTGCTTGGACTTCGCTCGCATACGGTATGGAGATGCGCTTTGAAATATCTCCGGTATGTAGGGAATAGACGGTAAAGTTGGCCTCTGCACCAACGTCTGTCAGCAGCAAGAGAAGGTCCGATTTGTGACTCTCCGTGGGTGGAGAAAGACCCGAGATGACGCATGCAGAGGTGACGGGCCCAAAGGACGAAAGGTGAAGGACCTCCTGAGCCGCGTCAAGCTTGGAAAGGTCCCAGACGTGAAATCCACCGTGTTTATAGGCCACAAGAAGCAGATATCTAGAAATGAGCCCCGAGTTTAGCACCTATCGGTCGAGTCGAGTCAGAAACGCGAGCTCACCGCTTGTTTAGGCAAGTCCAGCGGGACCACGAGACTTGTGTGCGAGACTGTTCTTGGATGGACGACGGTGGATGAGAAGCGTAGACATCGTACGTGGCAGACTGGTTGATCCGGTCGTGGGATGACGGGCTGGTGTGAGGTTCTGCTGGCTGCTTGGACGCAAGGCTTGATAGGATTGAAATGACCTTGTTGGAAACAGCTTCCAGCCGTGACTTTGGCCTGGTTCAATCGCAGCGTCGGTATCAGCGCGTCGACGTGATTATACAGAGTACACGAATCAAACTCACTCGATGAGCTGGGGATAAACTACATGATTGCGGACGTTATCTACGGCAGACTCGCGTGTCTGCTCCTGACTATGGTGAACGATGGGTGGTGGATTCTGAACATGTCGACGGCTTTTGCTCATAAATCGGGTAAAATAATGCTAAACGAGTTGTCTGGCGGGTATTCGCAACACGCCAGCGTTGGTCCAGATGAAGGCGGGTCCAACCTTTGGGCGGCAGGCTCCAGGTGTAGCATTGGCGCTGGACTATCCGAAATAGGCGCTGCTGAGTCATATTCATCATTCTCCAAAGGATTTGGGAGTCATCGGAGCTCTTAGCGTCTGTGCCCGAAGAGCCCACACGGCTCCAGTCGAGACCACGTTTATTTCTACGGAATTTACGGCTATTCCAGTCGTTTGGACACATTCCCGGTGTGAGTTCTGGGTGTCCCCATTGTGGTCGCTCACCCTTGGCTCTGCCACGCCGTTTGCATGCAAATCTCCACGCAACCATCGTCTATTGTCCCTCCCATTGACGATATTCATCTCAATAGTCAGGATTCGCAAGCAAACAGCATATAAAAGCCCTCGAACAGCGCGCGTCATGGCGGCATTCCTCTCCGGTTCCTCTTTCTCTGGGTTTCTTTTCACGTCGACTGTCCTTTTTTTTCACGACCTTTACGTCCGCTAGCGGTCCACCTTTTCACATTTTCCAACTCGCTTCTCCTCGCTACAACGCTCAACACCTTTTCAACGCTAGCTCATCTCACGACACATACCCCCTCATACGAACTTTATCATGATCTTTGCTTTCATCTCTGCCCTTCTTTTTGCCGTAGAGGCCGTCAACTCTGCTCCGGTGCCGCCAAAGCTCGCACCTCTCTATCGCCGCTCAAGCTCCAACTCGACGCGCTATATTGTCGCTCTTCATGAAAACACGGTAAACCCTACCCAAAGGCTCGACTGGCTCAACCGTGTATTGGCCACGACGACACCCAGAATCTCCGCCCAGTCCACCTCGGACGCCAACGGTGCAATCCATCATTGGGACGCGGGAGTCTTCAATGGACTCGCAGGAACATTCGACTCTGAATCAGTGAACGTCCTCCGCGCACAAAGCGAGGTCGCGTGGATTGAAGAAGGTGAGCGTTACAAGACTTGTTCATTCACTTACCTCGTACAGACGCCGTCCTTCACAAGTCTGCTTCTCCTCTCATCAGCCAACTCAACGCTCCATGGGGTTTGAGCCGACTCTCCTCCGACACACCTCTCGATGTTCCAGCACGGTTCGACCCCCGCAACACGTCCTTTACGTACACATTCCCTTCGTCTGCTGGAAAGGGTGTCGACATCTACATTCTCGACTCTGGAATCCGAACTACGCATCTCGACTACAATGGTCGCGCCGAATTCTTGGCCACCTTTAGTGACGGTGCTCCAGGCCAGGACAGAGACGGACACGGATCCCATGTCGCAGGAACCGCCGCAGGTCGTGCATTTGGCGTTGCAAAGGCAGCAAATCTCTTCGCTGTCAAGGTCTTGGACGATTCGGGCGCGGGCCCCATCAGCGCAATCATTAGCGGACTAAACCTCGTCGCTAAACGTGCATCCGGTCAAAACACGACATCGACCACCAACTCGACCACACAGGCACAATCAGTCGTCTCTCCGCCGACCCTGGACCGTCGCGTAACCGCCAATGTGAACAACTTTACGCTGCTCAACCAACTTCCCAATAGTGCCAACGTTTCTTCTCCCGTCGTTCGGGTACGTCAACTCGATCTGGTCGACCATCCGTCGTAAACATGTCCCTTGGCGGCTCGTCTCACTCTCGCGCACTCGACGCTGCCGTCCAATCGCTCATTGCGCAGGGCGTAGTCGTCGTGATCGCCGCTGGAAATGATGGTGTTGAAGTAGGCGATGCGAGTCCTGCAGATGTACCAGAAGCCATCACTGTTGGTGCCATGGACGTCAACGACAACGTGCCGTCGTTTAGCAATTTCGGGTAAGTGTTTCCTGGTTGCAAGGTATGTTTGTGCTGAGTTGAGATAGGTCACAAGTTGCTGTATTCGCGCCAGGCGCCGCCATTCTGTCATGTGGAATCACCTCTGACAATGCCACCGCGGTGCTTTCGGGAACTTCTATGGCTACGCCACACATTACGGGCCTCTCTGCCGTTCTTCTCGGTGAAGATCCGACTCTGAGCCCTGCTCAGGTAAAGGCAAAGATTCAAAGCCTCGCAATTCAGGGAGCGCTTGGAACCGGATTCAAGGTTGGATCTGGCACGAAGAATCTCTTGGCTAATCTGAGAGTATAACGTCGTATATTATTTGTCACTTAATTCTATGAACCTTCTTACGACCATCACCCTTGATCTTGATCTTCGATCACCCCGTCATCCTCCCGGTACCGTCCCTGCCTTCGAAGTCAGCTAATTGCTATTGCATCCGATGACGACTGGCTCTTGTTATGCAGCGTATACTCTAATCTTGTAGCGTCGCGTCTTTTGATTCAGAAAGGCCAGACCAATCTATTTTTCAAGCAGATTCTCTGCATCACGTTCTTTACGACATGTTCCTGTACGCTGTCACCATTGAGCAAAAGCGCATCTCTCATCGGATGTTGGGTTCAATCAGAGTCGCGTGGGCCTTGTTCTAGCCACTAATTGATATTTATACGATAGCCGTGAGAACGTTTTCCACCCCAAGAGACGGTCACCCAGCGGAGGTGGGAACAAACGTGCGTGACGCTCATGGACTGCAGGGGCAATGATGAGCAGTTATACTATAGCTCTATAACGCGATTTGATAAATGAGCTCTCACTCGTCGGCTAGCATTCCGCTCATGGCGACAGCCGTTTTCTTAGCACTCGAACTGCTGGCTGTGGACATGACTATTGGTCTATGCAAGATGCTGGATACTCTGATGTAGACTCCAAAATACAAACAGACTTCTCCCAGCCTCTATATCCATCGGGCGTGGTTCGAGGTCAAGTTGTTCTGAACGTGCAGGGCATATCTAGACTTGGCAGAACTACTTGGTGAATACTGTGTGGGCAAGGGCAGTTCGGCACCAATGAACCGGACGTGGAACACTAGAATAGATCAAAGACCACCGACGAACGTGCACTTTCCTCTGGACAACGCGCCGCATCTTATCAAGGACCCTGGCTTCTTGAAATACGCTTCAGCTTGGTCTGACCTGTGCGAGAGCTATCCACCCGCCACGATCCACCGGTTTGCACCTTGACCAACATGCGCGGCTACTGGAACTCGTTTACACCGCGAGAGCGGCGAAATATGGCCGTTTACATCCTGGGAATCATGCTTGTACGTACCAGATATCCTTTAGCCCAAGGATTGCACACTGACCGTTTCAAAAGTACAAGCTCGGGCTCGAATCGTGCGTCTTTCTACCTGATCTGACCTCTATCAATTCACTAATATGCACAAAGGTTCGTTGGATCTATCATTACTCTCGCCACCGACCGTTTTACCGCAGCAAACACGTTTAGCAAGCTAGGCGCTCTCACTGGCCTCCACCAAGCCATGCAAGTCATCGGATCCATTCTCATCGCGCCCCTAATAAAAAGGTGACACAAAAATTTTCTCTTCAAACGACAATGCCTGACTGACTGCTCTAGATTTGCCACTCGTTCCGTCTTGGCCACTGCCATTCTCGTTTTCGGTCTTACTACATCCCTTTTACTCATTCTCGACGCATGTACTGGTGGAAAACCCAAGTTTCTCAACGGGGGAAAGCTCAAATACGGGACATGGGAGTATGTCGTTTCTCTTGTAGCACGCGCCCTCTGCTAAGCGAATAATTTTGCATAGCCCTAACCTACTATTTCCTCTTTACATGGTCTCTGGAATCGCGTATGGGATGGTGGAGCTTATTCGGCGCACAATCCCTCGGGATATAGTTGGTGGAGACGTCCAGAGCAAGTCGTCAACAGCACCCACCGAGCACCTTACTTACCTATATTCCCAGAGCTCCGTATGATGGATGCTACTGTCCACATGCTCTATGAGATTTCCGGCACTTCTGGTGCTTTCTTAGCTCGCGTATGATTGGGATATTGTACGTCGTCTTCCCGTTACATCTCTAATTTCTCACAGCTATCTAGTGGCAACAACTTCTCCTTTATGATCACGCCTCCTCTCTTCATCGTGGCCGGCATCATCTGGAGCTTTATCGACAAACTTGACCAAGAAACTGAGTCAGAAGTCGGACAAATATGAAAATTACATGCCCGTCAGGAGAAGCAGCTACATGCAGTCCATCATCGTGGGCACCCGCGCATTTATGCGCTCGACCTATAAGGGTGCCATCATCTGTTTCTCTCACCGCCGTTTTATCTGGCTCCTCCCAGGTTACTCGCTTGCTCGTGAGTACCAAACGCCTTCGTTTATCCGCTTCCTCACGTTGCACAGTGTACGGCCATCGCTATCTCGAGAATGCGCTCGCTCCAGCTATTGCCAAGCGCATCATGCTCGATTCCTCCTATTCGGTACGTGTTCGTTTACATTATTGTACTCGGCTGAAGCTCTCACCAGCAAATCATGGTCACCGGCTCCAATTTGGGCGAGCTCTTTGGAGCCATGTTTGTCCTTCTCACGACTTCGTACATCCAAACTCCACTTCCATTCCTTCGCTTCGACGCACTTGCACTCGCCATTCTCTGGGTGCTTCCAAGCTATTCTCGTCAGATCCAGCCGCATCAAGTTGTCTACGCCTGGAGAATCGCCGCGATGTTCATTCCCGTCTCGATGGGATGGGCCGCGGGAGATGTCTCGTTGGCAGCCTTTATCCAATCTTCCCTTCAGAGACTCGAGAGCACTGACTCGCAAGTGTCAGCGCTTGGATCTGTCATGGCCTTCCTCTACTCATCATATATCATCATGTATGCAATCCTGGGCAGCATGTTGGGAACCTACATCGACAAGGTCTACAAAGAAGATGGCAACATCTATCGCGCCTTGGTCAATGTCGGCGGTGTTCATGTACGTCTTGAAATATTGATACGTGTTTCGTTATATCGCTGACTGATATCCTAGTTTACGGTCCTCGCTGGCATCATCATGCTAGCGACTTTGACACCGCGGGGCGCTTGGGCCTTGAATCCAAGCGTCATCAACGATATAAAACGAGAAGACTCTGACGAGGGTGACTTGGAGGAACAGCAGCGGAATGCTCCTCACCACGAAGAATGGGCCGATGGTACACATCGCAGTGGCTCAGACCGTGGGGAGATGGCCGAAAGCATTATGCTCGAGGAGCCTCCAAAACAGCCCGAGGAGTCCGCCAGGCCACCGGAAATATACATCCACATCGCCCCCGTTCCCCGTTCACCTGTATATCTTACCCAAAGGACGGAGCCCATCATACGCATCAATCAATAGTCCTTCCTTTTCTTTGTTTGTCGTGCATCCAGCGTGTTGTATGTAGAATTTAGGGGCATTATACATTTCGGATCTAGTTTCCAGTATCTCTTACTATGAGCGAGAATACCAGCAAGCGAATCTCGTGACTAAAAATACACTACAAGTGGAACTGCACACGGAGCTAGTATCCAATTATATATGTCTATGTGTCTGCTCACTCCGCAGTTTGTCGCCAAGGGGTGACCAGCTCGAATCGTTCAGTATTCATATCTCGTCTAGGAGGACCAGATCCGGCTGCCAAGGTCCCAACGGTATTTTTCGCCATCGAACTCTTGCTACGCATTCGCTGGAATGCCCCCAGGATCCCTCCCTTTCGCGCGCCTCCTGGTTTATTATGATCGTTGACGTTGGTGACCTTTTGGGGTTGTAAGTGCCCAGTCGAGTTTGCCGGGTCCGGCTTTGTGCTGCCCAGCCCGTATTCGTTTGGATAAATGGAGCGTATGGCCTTTGCGAGGCGGTTGATTCCTGGGATGTTTGTTGCAACGGTGTTGGATGGAAACGCATGACTTTGGTCCGACTCTGCAGGCGTCGACGGCCCCCATTTCGGTTCAACTTCTTCCGGGAGATTAGTAGAACTGCCACGCCCTCGTCTCAGTTTCGAGACCGGGGGCTCCAGACTGTTTTTCCCGGCCTCTTTGTTCCGACGGATTTTCCCATGGTTTCTGGAGAGGACCAGACACTCGTGAAGGTAGAGGGCAATGTCGCTCAGTTTCACGGGTAGCTCGACAAATGGAGGAGGTAGCGTGACGAATATGCTATCTTCTCCATCCGGATCCTGGTCTCGCATAGGCGTTCCCCGCAAACCTAGTGGCTCGTTGTGGGGGCTTGGTCGCACCTTGGGATTCTTCAGGAGGCTGTGTTGGCCACATATAAACCCGTATGGGAGCACTCTGGTATCCCAACTCTCCATAGCGTTACGATCGGTCGTACTGATGTTTCGTCCTTGTTTGGTGTCTGCCGCTGGCATCTCGCAGTGGAGAGTAAAGTATAGACAAACGTCTCGTGTTGTGTTCTTGGGAGTATACTGAGTGCGTACAAATTGGACGACGAGACGGAGGTCGATAGTTGGTGTCCGCGAAACAGCGAGAGCCTCTACCGACGGTTCAATCCGAGTTGTGCTCTGTGAAGCCAAAAAGCGAAGCAGTGCTCTCCAGGATGGTGCTCGTATGAAGAATGGCTCGGATCCAAGTGGATACAAGGCAATGCATTCAGGCCATTTTGATGGATCGGAGTAGGAACCTTCTGTTGGAACAGCATCCCAATGCGGGTTACGAAAGCCGAACTCTGAAGCATTGGGTTAGCAAAGATCAGGATATAATGCAAAAACTTGCCGATTCCATCCCATAGGTTACTTGGCACAACATTTGCCGATTGCTCGTCTTCAACCGGAAGTGGTGGGTCGGTCAATCCAGACTCTCCGACGGATCCCTCGTTCATCCACGACGCCTCTGACGGGAGATCCCCGAGGAGATCGACACTCCCCGCTCTGGCAGTATCCAACGCCGGTGATGATGGTTCTTGACTCGGCGTTGCCGGCTTGCCATGAGAGCTGGATGGTCGAAAGAAAGTGCTCAGGCGAGATCCGCTCTCTGCCCGTTGCTTGCCCTTGCTGTTGCTCTGTTGCTTGGCCAAGTCCGTGCTTTGGCGATAAAGCTCCTCACTCCCAAACTCGTCTTTGGGTGTCGAAGGAGCACTGGTCTTACTCCAAATCCCAGAAAACGAGCGGTGACTCTCAAACTGTGGCCTTGAGTCCAGTTCTTTCCGTGAAAAAGAGTCATTTCTTGGCATGGACGATGGAGAGGTAGCAGCTTCTGAAGTAGATACTGCCGCAAATGGGCTGGAGCTGGTCTGAAAGGCCGCTGGATCCGAAAACGGGTCCTCTGGCTCTGATGAAGGGGATTTAGGTGGACTGTCGACTGAAGAAAGCGTGAACCGTCTTGGAAGAGCGGGTGAACGGAAAGCTGTTGGCGATGCTCTCGAGTTGGAACGGGAATGAAGGGGTGAAGGTGTGGGCGGAGACGTAAAGATTGTGGGATGAGAGTCGCGGTTTTCCGAGGGCGCATCTGCAAAGGAGATGACCACCAAGGTTAGAATTGGCTGATGAGGTAGTGAGATACTCGCCTGGTTCGGGGTCTGACTGCTGGTGAGAAGCGGTCGATGCAGTATGGTTCGAAATATGCGCATCACTAGAAGGCCCACTGGGGGATGACGAAACCGGGTTGAAGAGGTGATCCAGGGACTCGAACACTGGTTCGTTGAAACCAGGAGGTGGCGATTGGGGAGGTTGAGGGAGACGATTACCACGTCTTGAAGGTGAAAAGTCAGAGTGAGGTCGGGGAATGGGAGAGATGAGTGCGGCATGGAGCGGCTCGAGCAATACTTGCTCATATGTTGGGGGAGGGGCTTCTTCGGCAGCCCCGGGAGCACTATTCGAGCTCGGTGGATCGTTAGCGGTATCTATGGATGCATTTTCGGTCAAGGGCGTCTCGCCCGGTCCAACCTCATCCGCCAATGGTTGATCCTGGGGGTGACTCTCCGGGCGGGTTGGCACCTCTGGAGGTAAGCCCCCATTCCGACGATCATTTTCATTCCTTATGCTCGTAGTACTTGCATGCCCTGTGCGTTCTTCGATGGCGTCGTCTCCCCGCTCCACGCCAAGCCGGCGCTCAGAGAGTTGGGCACGAAGGATGCCCTCTGGAGGGGTGAAATAGATTTCCAAACTCCTCTCAGAATGATGGGATGAACGTGGACCTGACACTGGTATTGGCTGTCCTAAACCATTAGCAGTATTGGCTCCCAAAGCCCTATCATGGAAGTAAGTTCCAGCAGAGGAGTCGTCCATCTGTTGCCCCGAGGTTGCCTGTGCCGCGGTAACGATTCGTGAATTTCTAGTACGGGCACAGAGGGAGGCGACGACGTGGGCGTGGTTGGAGTAAGATATGTAGTCGACGAGTCAACATTGTAGTGGAGTTCCGGAGGCTTTGGCGGTCTCGGAGGTGGTGAAGGTCCGGGACTGGAGACTGAGGAAGGCAGAATTGGTGACGGTGACGCGGATTTGTACACGGTCGAAGGTAAGCTACCCATTCGGGAGGGCACAGGAGGGGGAGAGGGATAAAAAGATTGGTAGGATCCAGGTTGAAATATCTGTGCTTGTGGTTGAGGACGGCCATGCATTGCGGAATAGGTGTGTGTAAAGTGCGGCGCGTAATAGTTTACTGGTAGTGAGTTGGAATGAATTGCTGTATGCTGGATGTGTTGTGGATACTGAACTGGGTATGCTGCCGATGATGTATAGGCTCCGCTCCGATCTGCCAGCGGTTTCAAGTAGGGCACTCCATGCTGCCCGCTACTCGGGCTACTCGTCGTAGACGGTGACCGCGAGTGCCCGCTATTGGCCGGATTCGGACTGGGCGGCGGTGGGAGCGGTGCCGCATCAACATGGGCAGAAACTGTCCTCGACAAGGTTGTAGAGGGTCCTTGTGAGCCGTTTGGCGGCCCTGGAGGTCGTCAGTGTTCGAATTTCTGTACAGAAATGTAAATGCCACTTTCTTACCATGGGAAGTCCATGCAGATGGATTCGGAAGTGAATGTTGGTGAAAAGGAGAGACTGAGATAGATTGTCTCGTTGATATGTTTGGGAGCGTCTGATGTCTCAATGGTGGTGGCGGCGGAGGGGCAACGAATGGAGATGCCAGAGGAGATTGCTCTCCGATTTTGATTTCAGGCGACAGAGAACTTGATCGTTGGGCGTCTGCGTCTGACTGGAGCGAGCGCAAGGCGTCGGTTTCCGCCGAGTTTGAGGATTTTGCTGGATCTAATGTTCAGTAAATGAACGGAGTAAGCAAGTGAGATTAGACTGGTCATGCATACACACGCCCAGGAGGCGCAACTCACCTGTGGAATCCATCGGACAAACAGCTCGAGTACAAAATACAGACTTGTGTAGTCTCCAAACGATATTCTACGTATTCCTACGATTTCTGAATTCGCATGTGTCACCTAGTTTGGTAGTGTTCGGGTTCAAAACTTGGATTCCCACCAGGCCGTCGGGCGCTGTGCTGCTGCGATCTTGTCGCAAATGAGCAGCTCAACGGTGCATATCTGGGGCTCTGTTATGGATTATTACATTTTGCAAATCGCCTGGGGCCGCTAGAGACCTTGTAGCTCGGGTAGTTACCAGTGAGGACCGCGTTTCAGGGAATTTGATTATACAAAGAGACGAGGAATACGCTAACATGATCCTGAAATACGTACACCACGCACCCTTACACGTATAGGAAGGTTCAACTCGTGAAAAATGCAGAGATGCGGCTCAAGGCTTCTGGACAATGACAACCAGAGGCCTTCAAAACACCACACTTACTCTCGCTCATCTTACACAAACCCGGTCAGCGTGAGGAGGCACCATGCAAGCAATACAGCACAAGGCAAGGTTCCCGGTTATAGGTGATTGGGAGCATAGTCGTAGCCTCGAATCGGGTAGATGAATCGCTTGGATACACTCTAGACTATCTATTCTTCCACCCCGCTGTTCCGTAGCTGCGCGGCGATAGGTGGCTAGACTGCCAGAGTGTGGGTTTACAAATAAATGAAATACAATTTCCTGAACAAATCATACCAGGTCGTGAACCAAAGTCGACGGGCGAGCGCTTCATTAGCGAGCTCGCTGTTTGCAGTGGACTCGGCGAGACGGGTCGGAAAAGATATGGGCCGTAAACTGTCGCTATACAGACCAAATTTCAACCGTGTTTCGCTCCGTGTGCCACAATGGTGTAGTGGGCCTTCACCCATCGAGAGCCGAGCCTCAGACTGCCCAGTACACAAGTTTGAAAACGTGAACATTATCCAAAACACGTCTTCGGTTTCATAGCAGCAGCTGTTCGCGACCAGATAGAGAGACATCACGACCTCCTGAGGAGCTATCATTTCCCAATGCCCATAAACAATCGAGGATATTCATGCAGGCCCTCTGATTCAGGGCACCAGTGTCTGCTTTTCGCTTCGTTTGAGGATCACTTTCCGGCCTTCTCAACCATTTTCTCGGAACGCGGGCGAGTAGTTGGGTACAGATAGCTGAGTGGGACGGGAGTGGGATGGAAACAATCAAAAAGAAACACACAAGCCTGGAGAGAACGACAGAGGAGCCGAGGAGGATGGTCTTAGGCGCAGATTGAGTTTCACGATTCCGCCGCGAGTGGTAAGGGGCGACGAAAGGACGGTACCACCTGCTGGTAATCGCGACTCAAAGTACGTTATACAGCGCAGCAGCAGCTAAGATGCTTTCGTGCAGTCTCTTCAGCCTGTTCACACCCAGTCAGCTGCCTATGCTGGTAAATTCTTTCCATGTCCATCTAGCAAAGAATGAATCTGCCATCTCTTCATCGTTTACATGGCATATTCTCGAGTCGCGGTCCATCTATTCGGACAATGGCCCACTTGGACTGTCGGGTCAGCAACAGCACTCTCTGCACCGTCGTTTCATGCACGAATTCGGCTATATTCAAAACTCTAAGGAGATATCCTCTCTAATCCAATTCGTCTATGCTCCGAAATTTCAGGTGCGCAAGCTGCTGAGCATGGTAAGTGGCAGCGGCTTGGTGCCTAGCATGTTCATCGAGATGGAATCTCTCCTGTTGCACATGGGCATCGTGTCGACTCTGATGGAACACAATCTTGCGCTGGTCACCACTATCCCGTCGTCAGCATGCCACCTTACATGTTCAATTCGCACAAGTACCTCTTTTTTGCCTCTTCAAGTTTAGTCAGATGTGCTTGTGCACTGTTTCGGTTGTCGACTGCTTCGGCATGATGAAAGGCTGCCTTTTCTTGGTGCTCTCGCAGGGCTGCCTCGTGGATCCCTTTTGGCGTGGCAGGCCTGAATTCAAAGGAGTGATATGGTTGAGTGCCCGTACCTAGTACCTGTGTCTGATATTACCTAGGGAGGGGAGCGGCAGACGCCAAAAGACCAGAGAAAGTCAAAAGTAGAGCAAAAATGGCGAAGCGCATGATGAAAAATCGGTAGATAGGGGAGAAGAGAAGAAATAGAAACAGAAAATGCGAATGAAAAATGAAAGTAAAGAAGGAGAACCAGTCTGAGGATAGCTTGATCAACAACGACAGGCTCCTTTATACCATTTGACGGACAATAGACACAGGGGGGTCCGGATCCCTGACATTGACAATCTTGCATTCATGGGAACCGAGGGAACAATGGTACAGCCTGCAAAGACCCTTTGCACGATTTTTCCGACAAACAGCGGAGATGAGAAAATGATTGACAGGCGATTCTAATAAGGCACAAGATCAGTCCCTTTCATGGCTGTGATGTTGGTGGGTTTGTGCCCTCAGCAGGCCGATCTCCAGGACATGATCCATTCAAACGCAATAGATGGCAAAATAATTTCTCACTAGATTGTCATCGAAAAAGGATTTTGTACCATGCATGTTAGTTACATCGAGGTACTTTTTGTATACGAACGGTCGACCTTCTTGAGAAGGTGAGAAATGTCTCAAATACAAAATTGAGTAGAGAATACATTGGTACTCAGATTTGGGTACCGTCTTCCTCGACTGGCTCAATAGTTGACCGCTGAGAAGATGCATAGCAGCGCGGATAAAAGCTTGGCAGGTGGAGAGATATATTTACCATACGCAGATACGGAGACAGTATAATGAGAGCACATCAATCGCAACCAAGCGGTGAGTGTGGGCTTGGGAACAGCAGTGGCTTGACAGCTTCCAAAGAGGACGAATCAGTAAGTTCGACTGTCTCCTCCTTGAAAGGTGACACTGAGACTATATAACAATCTCTCACGCCACGATAGCAGCCTCATTACCCAACGCAGAACTGCATTCATCGCCCTCTCTGCGTACCTTCGTCACATCGAGAAGATCGATTCACCTTCCTTCCCACTGTGCCTTGTCCCAGACACCCCATCATACTACCTCGTATCATGTGAGAGGTACACGATGCATATTCTATGAGAGGAAATTGGCCGCGCGGGGTTGAACTTGGCATATCTCATTGCAACACCACGGCTCATCAAGCACGCAATCTCGTTCATCCATTCGGCTGAATGTTTTATTCACTCTCGACCCCTATCCGACCCTCCCACCGATCCAAAGTCCCAAAAATCGGCATCCATCACACCCATGCGCCCCATCGATACTACATTATCATCCCTTATCTTTCATTGCCTCCCGGCTTATTCTCATTCCCTTATCCAACTCCTTTGCACCGACGTATCAAGCCAAAGCCTCCTCGAGCACTGTATCACAAGCATCGTACCTCAGGTTCTAGTCTTCATCTCAAGCTCATCGCAGCGAGAAGATCATATCACTCAAGATACCATGCATCTGGTCTCTGATTTTAGTCAGGTAGTTTCCGGGAAATCTCGACGTCGCCAACTTCAAACCCCGGGGTTGGCTCGGCGGTGGCGGCGAGAGGACTCTACAACACGAGACTTGGAGCACGACCATATGTAGATGACATTAATTGCAGTGCGAGCTCTTGGTGCAAAGCAAGGCTCACACCTTACTCCGTCTCGATATCCCCAACTTATGCATTTTTACGGAGGAAAGCCTTTGCATAGGTCCTGATGGACTTGTAGACGGTTTATATAAATACGCAACGAAAAGAGAAAAAAGAAAAGAGGAGACAGTAGAATGTACAGAAATTGAGGTCGGACGGGCAATATGGTATCGTTTAGATGTTTAGATTGAAAATTCGACCGAGCTACAAATGTCAAGGTATTGCTATCCGCTGGTCTCGAGGAAGTATAGGAAACCGAGATACCCACTAACACAAACTGGGGAAATTCAAGACTCCCTTGCACCTCCGGTTCTCTCTCAGAGCCGCCTCCCATGTCCGGTCCAGTTCCCCAGGCGGGTGGATCTCCTCGCTGCATCCGGGGCCCAGATGTAATGACGATAAGGCAGGTTCTAAGAAGCTCTCACCTCTTGGACGCCCATTATCATCATTTACCAGTGATAAGGTGCAGAGAAGGGACAATACTACCTCCCTGTCGTGCCAACTCAAAGTACGGTATATGGCAGAAACGCATAGGCTCCATCCTCCTGGGCATGCCTACGCTAGTAGATTCTTCGCCTGTACATCTACCGAGAAACGGAATTGTCACTGATTCAACTTTTACGTATCAGGTTCGCGAACCTGCCACAGCATTCACCCCTCTGCAGTATCGCTTCATGCACGAATTCGGCTATATTTAAAACCCCAAAGAAATATCTCCTCTAATCCAACTCATCTATGCTACGAGAGGAAAGCTGCGCAAGCGCCTGAGCATGGTAGTTCGCCTTGGCTTGCTCTTCATTGCGATGGGTGGCATGAAACTCGTGCATTGCGTTATGAACGTCGTATTTAGCCTTGTACCTCTCAATCTTGTGATGGTCATCACTTCCTCATTGTCAGCGTGCCTCTCCTCACAATCAATTCGCGGACGGACCTATGTTGTGCCTGGTTGAGCTTATTCTGATATCTCTGTGCACGTCCACCGTGGTATGTTGCCTGTTGATCATGCCATTCTGCATTTGCTTGATGATTTTGCATGGAATTCTGGTGGTACACTTGTGGGATGACAGGACTAAAAGGAGGAATCTAGGTGAGCACTCATACGGACTACTTGCCTCTGATATCACCTAGGGAGTGGAGAAGCAGACGCCAAGAGACCAGACAAAGCCAAAAGTATGGCAAATATGGCAACGCGCATGACAAACAATCGTTGAGCAGAGGAGAAGAGGAGAAAAAGAAGACAGTGCGAGTGAAAATTGAGAGTAAAGGAGGAGAACCAGTCTGAGGATAGCTTGAACAACGACGAGAGGCGCTTTTATACCGTTTGACGGACAGTAGACACAGAGAGTCTGGATTCCTGACATCGACAATACTGCATTCATGGGAACCGAGGGTGTTGACCAACAGCACAGCCCGCGTGGACCCTTTGCATAGGCCGATTTTTCGGACATACACCATTCAAGCAGCGGAAATGAGAAAATGGTTGACATACGACTCGCATACGACACAGAATCTGTACCATCCATGGCAGTGATGCCAGCTAGGCCTTGTGCCCTCGAGGGTCAACCTTGAGCCCGATTTTCCGGACATGAACCATTCAGACATTATGGGTAGGAGAGTAAGTTGTCATTAGGGCTGCTATCAGACACGGACTTTGTACCATGCATGGTAATTACGTCGAGGTATGTTTTGTATAATATACTCAAACGGTTGACCTGCTGAAGAAGTATCAAATGCATCTGCCAAGTACGACTACCAGTGAGTATAGAATAGGTCGGTGCTCAGACCTGGGGCGCATTTTCCCTCAATTGGCTCGATACAGCAGACATAGAGCCTTGATATCCATATATTCGCCATAGGTAACTATGGAGACACTCCACCATATGGAAATTGATGTAGGACGGGAAATATAATGGCGCTTAGAATAGACTAACAATGTCGAGGTGTCGGACCCAAAGAAGTATAGGAACCGAGACAGCCTCCAATACGAGCCGGAGAGACCTCTCACAAGGAGTAGAATGACGTCAAACGTAGATTCAGCTTAATTCGTTTTCAATCATGGGAGAATGGTACAACTCGTTGATTTGCAGACTTGATTAGGCAATACATTGCTATGTAAGTGTAATTCTTGGATCGAATAATCCTTGTTAGCGAAGATCGTTTACTGGGTCATATTGCCGTAGCCTCCGCGACCACTGGACACGACGCCCGAGGACTGGTGATGAGCACCGGCTTCGGCAGCGTCTACCTTGTTGGAAGCGTATGCAGATGTCATGTTACCTCCTCCGCCGCGGCCCGTGCTGTGGCTATCGAGTCGTCAGCGTCCAAAGTGTAAGGAGAAAAAGAGTGGCTTACATTCCACCGGCATGGTGATGCCTTTTGATCTCATCCTCTTCTACGGCTGCTAGATGGCCCTCGTGGGCACCAGGAGCGATATTTCCAGCGCCACCGTGCTAAGAAGAGCATCAGTGATCAAGCATTCAATCGAAGGTGGGATCGACGACTTACGCCATACGTATGGACAGGAGTGCGGTGGACATCCTTGGAACGCGACGGTTCCTTTGAACGAGAGCGCGAGCGGTCGATATTCGCATATCCACCACGACCAGTGCTGACAGGTGCATTGGGATCCGTATGGTCCTTGACATATTGCGCAACTTCTGCGGCGTACTTGCGTTCCTCTTCAGGATCACGCGAGGGAGATCGGACATTGCCAGCACCTCCACGGCCTGAATGGGTCACCTATCATACGTTAGTCACGCCCAGATGGTAAAGATTGACATACGGTGGCACCAATGCTAGGGAGTTCACGCCCGCGAGAAGGGAGAAATCATCGGGGCCCTTTCCACGGGGAGCAGGGTCACGCGATGCAGGACGAATATTGCCTGATTGAATGAGATGAGTATGTTACTGCAGAATTGGGCGAGGACCATGGCCGATGCTCAATAGATCCAAGTGGAGATGAAGGCAAGGGGACGTACCGGCGCCTCCACGACCAGACGCTACGTAATTTTCACGACCACGAGATTGGGAACGAGACATTTTGTTCTGATTCGAATAGATTTAGATGGAGAAGACGGAAGAGGTAGAGATGGCTATGATCAAGTCGAGGCGGCACCCAGTCGCCTTTTATCTGTTGGGCGTGCGCGGGGCGGGAGTCGCCGTCCGACTTGCCGAAGCCGAGAGCAGAGATAGGCGACGTCCCGTCTCATGATTGGCCCCGTTTGCGCTATCAGGCATCTCACAAGGTCACCCAGCTGACCAGGCAAAGACGCTCATAGACGCATCCATAGGAAATCGGAATATCGCTTAGTCTAGACCTCCGGAGAGCCTAGATGCTTCCATCGGAGCTCAACCGGCGATGGCTCAACTAGAATCCCCTGCAGCCCTTCCGCCCAGAATCTCATTCAGTTCCACCCTACAGCCCGTGTATTCAAACATCCGTCATATGCTCATCATATGCGCCACGCTAACTCGCTTACAACAACCCTCGAGCCCTAAATTAACGACGCTTGCAGACACTTTGTTCCCCTTTGATGCCAGCAGTCAGACATTCTCGTGGCGTTTGCAAATCCGATAGACGCCCCGAGGCCATATTCAAACCCGAAATGTCGCGTCAAAAGTCTACATTATGATACAGTAATACGTCATTCATAAACAAAAGCACGTAGCCATACCTACGAGTACAACAGCCATCCAAAATGAGCACTGGACACGAGCTCCGAGGTCTTAATCGCCCTCTCGGAGATTTCCAATGTCAAGATCTCGCAATTGGGGCATAATAGTCTATAGGACATGAGAGGATTCCCCTTTTCGGTCAACATTGTACCCACATTGGACATGTCCTCGAGCCACTTGACAGATTCCTGCGCCTCTGGATCCCACGAGGGATCGTGACATCGAATGACGTAGGATAAGAGTTGCGCCAGGTAGTGACCGGACACAATGGCTTGGTCCTCGCTTAGCTGCGGCTTCGGTGCCTTTGTCGTGGGGTTGTCGATAGCGTCTAGAAGCCGCCATGAGATCATCTCCATCGTCAAGCGTAGATAACCTACAGAATCCATTGAGCCACGGCTCCTCTAACAGCTGAGAAATCGTCGGCCGTTGCTTGGAATCTCGATGCAAGCACGCCTTCATCGTAGCGACAAGCTCCTTTGGGACCTTGACTTTGAGGTGCTCTTGTGGTTCCGGTCGCCCCGTTCCCGATCGCTCTTTCGGGATGACGGGTACAGCGTACTCTGGGAACGGTATCGCATAGTCTTCTCGCATGATTGCAATCGCCTTTTGTTGAAAGCTGAGGGCAGCAAAGGGCGGTGATCCGTAGACCATTTGATACAAGATGCATCCCAACGACCAGACGTCGGAAGCTCGTCCAACCTTGCGATGCTTTTCATCATCTGGGGTCGAGTCGACGGCTTCGGGACTCATGTAGTTGATGGTTCCAACCTATAGATCTTGAGCAGGAACTCGCAAACGACAAGGACCTTACCTGGGACTCTCGATGAATGTTCGTCGTGTCGTTTGCGATTGCCTTGGCAATCCCAAAGTCGATGAGCTTGAGCATTCCCTTCATCAGGACAAAGTTTGCCGGCTTCAAATCGGAATGAACGATTCGTTCCTCGTGGATGATGTTAACAGACTCGAGCATCTACGACGTCTTCAGACAGATAGCAGACAGTGAGGAGATCGGTTACCTGTTTGAAGTACATGGTAATCCACGGAAGATATATCGGCGTTCCTTGCCGCTCGACGAGTAACCGTGCAAAGTCAATCTCTCCGAGCTCCATTACCTATCAATAGTCAGTGCAATACTTGGATCCGCGTACTACGAACCAAGTAGAGCGTTCCACTGCCCTTTCCCCGTAGCTCATCGTCGATTAAACTGACGATAGACTTGTTCCCCGACAATCTCTTGAGCATCTTAATTTCTTCCGTATACCCGCGCATCGATTCTTCGTCCAACGATTGCAGTTCAACCTTTTTGAGAGCAAACTGCTTGTTGTCCTTGCACCGTAAAACTCGATAAACTCGCGAGGAGCCGCCTTTGCCGATCAGCTCTAATCGCTGGTACTGGTGACCATTGACTTGGATATACTGAAAATGGTGAGACATGATAAGCCTAAAAGGGACAACCACTAACCGTGGTATCCTTCGATCTTTCTTGTAGAGGAGGCTCCTGAGGAGAATTATTGGGCATATAACTCCCCCGCATCGCTTGGGCATCCGTATTCCCAGGAGTCGCACCAATAGGCATACCAGCTCCGTAGGGATATCGATTTGGATCCATCTGTGAATACCCTTGCTGACCGTACGAGTGTTGCATATATCCTCCATGCATCATCATTTGCGCTGGCGGAGGACCCCTGCTCATTGGCGGACCCATTGACTCGTACTGATTCCCGGCATATGGCGTATGAGACTGCGATTGCCAGACGTCTGGATAAGACGCTGGCGGCTGCTGGAGACCGGAGCGTGACAGTGGAGCATATTGGCCAGGATTCGGTTGCTCGTACGGAGATGGTTCGTTGGATTCGTACGCGTCGCTCGGCTCTTCTTCTGGCTTTGCACTTTTGCTACTGCCCGGTCGAGATATTCCGTTCCCCACCATTCCTCTTCTATCATCTCCACTCGGCTCCTTTTTTCGCCGTGACGCTGAGCGATCCAAGCGTTGCGGCTGAGGTTGTATAGGCTGGGAGGGCAGAGTCTGCGATGATCCGGTGCGGGACCGTGAGCTAGGTGGAAGAGTGGGCGCGGTTTGGTTTGCCGAACGTCGTTTCTCCAAAATTTGCGACTCCCGATCCGGTGCGGTGGACTGAGTAGAGGCACGCATAGTTGTTTGCGTTGCACCGGAAGGCGAACGACGCCGAGTCTTGGTAGATCGCGGAGGCGGAGGTTCGTAAATCACAGCAGATGGAGGGAGAGTGGCGGGAGCGGTATGGGTCGAGCCTGTTTGAGAAAGCTGATGGTGACGAAGTTGAAGGGTATCGTTGAGAGCAAGCTTTTCAAAGCGCCCCTGAGGCAATGGAACGTCATCTTCATCCTCTTCTGTCCGAATGGCGGTTCCCTGTGGCTTGTTCGTCATACCAGCTCCCACAGTCGATGTGCGAGGTGGGTATTGTGCATCTGGAGAAGATGCATATGCAGGCGCAGCGTTTGCCGAGCCTGGTCCAGGAGGAACATCGATGGAGGATGTTCGCAGGTGCGCCAATACAGGACGACCTACATCCGATCAGCAAGAACTGGGCTCAAACTAGACGTACGCACTCTGTAACGGGACTTCAAGCGGAGCCAAATCCCCGCTTCCGCTGCGTCATGAACGTCTGCACTATTCTTATCACTCATCGAACGTCGACCGCTGTTCAATGCGAGGAGGATTTCGTCATCTGATGCTGCCGTCTTCTTTCTATGCACAATGTGCTTTTCCCAATGCGGCCCAAGTTGGCCATTCCGTCGAACATACTCCCACAGCTCTTTGTAGAGAAGCCGGTCATCCATATCCTCCAACTCGAGCTTTTCCAACTCTGCTTCCATCTGAGCAGGGGATAGGCCTTGGTTCCTAGGATCCTTCTTAAAGGCCGCTTGGAGAGCCTCCAGTTTCTCTGTGAGGACTCGAAACTGCTTTCGAGCAGCGAGACCGACGGCGAGTCTTTCGTCGTCCGACATGAAATCGTCATCTTCGCTCGAAGACGAGTCGTTCCCTTTACCACCGCCTTTCGGGGGGACTGAGGTTGGTCTCTTTGCCGCAGTGTTCACCTCGAGCGACCCTCTTTCACTTGGTTTGATCGTCGCGTCTGATCGAGGTGGCTCCGTAATCTTAGGAGACGCGCGGTGTAACTGAAGATGGTCTGTGGGAGAGACACGCTTCGAGTTGGGAACTTGAGTCTGTGCTTGAGGAGGAGTGACTTTGGACTGCGTAGTTGATATTCGTCCATTGACCGGGCCAGGCGTGCGGCTCGTACCGGCTGTGGATCGATTATTCTGCCGTTGCAATAGACTCTTTAGCTTGCTCCCTGTTGCATTGCCTTGGTTCGTCGAGGTGCTATTCGCTGTTCTTCGTCGCTCCGCCTGCTGTGCTGTGGCTGCACGACACAAGGAAAGTGTGAGCGACCTCCAATATATAGAATACAGAATAAGGAGATAAAGTGCTTACATAGGTTGTCATTTGACGCGTAGGCGGCCGTCGACGCCATGCCCAACGCGCTCGAACTTCGACTAGCCACAGATTCCGTCGTAGCATTTGGAAATCGCTTTTGCTTGTAGGCTTCGAAATTAAACCCGTCAGAGTCGTTTTCTGAATCGGTAGATGGTTGCTTGTCATAGGTGTTGGCTGCAGAAGAGTTCCGAACATGCGATCTCCATCCCATATCGGTCGCGTCAGACGTGGACGCGAGACCAAGAGTCCCGTTTGATCGGTTTCTGTTGTAATCGGCGAGCGACATGGCCGTTTACGCTATGCCTTTGCGCGTACAGGACTGCACGTTGAAACCAAAAACGAACGAGTGACTATGACACGTTGAAGGAGTAAAGCTGGTGCAGAATAGATGGCTCTTGTGGGTGAGTTTGGCGCGTCAACGCAAACGTCGGGTCCAAGCTTGAAATGCCACGCCACTCGAAATCCCAAACGAGTATAGGCAAGCTTTTGTCTTTCATTTACTACAACATTCTTTACAACCACGCTATGTGAGTGAGTTCGTCTTTACGAGACCACTCTTTTGATAGCAGCCGCTCACTGAGCAGCTGCCTTGGAGCCGAGACGGTTCCTCCGGGCTTGTACGCCTTGACGAAGGCGATCCAAGACAGTAACTGTTGTATCCCATGCAATGCACGCTATACTTTGTCAGAGGCGGATCAAAATTTCCATATAGAATACTCACCATCCGTCACGCTGACTCCATATTTGAGGCCCTCTCGTCCATTAGCACCAATGTCCTGTCGCCCCTCGACGAGGTTAGACTCAATCATCACACCCATGATAGCGTCCGCCGTCTCGCTATTTTCCAGCTGCTGAGCAATGTCCTCCGCCACCAACGACTGTCTGGCGTGTTGCTTGAGCGAGTTTCCATGCGAGCAGTCAATCTGTTTGTCGTTAGCTGATGTGCGGAATTATCTTGCAAACGTACCATCAGTCGCCAATTAACCCCTCCCTTCTTGAGCCCCGCGACACACTGTTCCACATGCTTTCGCTCATAGTTGGGTCCGCTGGACCCACCACGGAGAATAATATGAACATCTTCATTGCCCTCTGTTTCGACAATGGAGGAGAGACCCTCTTTGCCAACCGAAAGGAAGACGTGGCCCGACTTTGCCGCGCGGCATGCGTCGATGGCAATGCTGATAGTACCGTCGGTACTATTCTTGAATCCGGTCGGCATAGAGAGTGCAGAGACGAGTTCACGGTGGACCTGAGACTCGGTCGTTCGGGCACCAATCGCGCCCCACGAGACCAAGTCTGCGGTGTACTGCGGCGAGATGGTATCCAGGAATTCACATCCAGCTGGGAGCCCGAGCTCTGCAATCTCGACAAGGAGAGAACGTGCCATCCGGAGACCCTTGTTGATGGCAAAGGTCCCGTTCATATCCGGATCTAAAGAGATATGTTAGAACAATTGGGTAAAGCTGCTATTAAACGAACCATTGATGAGTCCTTTCCATCCTACAGTTGTTCGCGGCTTTTCAAAGTAGACCCTCATGACGATATGAAGATCCTGCTTCGCGGTTTCGGCATACTCTCTCAGCTTCTTCGCATAGACGATAGCAGCTTCAGGATCATGCACTGAGCATGGTCCAACGACGACCATGAGACGATCGTCTCTTCCTTGGACAATGTCGGCCACTGCGACTCGTCCGTTCAAGACGGTTTGAACTGCCTTTGAGGATCTAATATGGAATCAGTACCCAGAAATTGGAAAAATGTAGCGACGCACAGAGGAATATCTTCCTGCAGGATTTGAGGAGGAACGAGCGGTCGGATACGCTTGACGCGTGTATTGATCAAGAGTCTTGCAGCGTCATCCTGCGTGTATTCCTTTTGGATTTCTTGTGTGACTGAGGCATCATTTGGGGTGGCTGATTGTCCAGTTGGGCCGATGCCGTTCAGGACTGTTTGTTTGATCGATCCAATGGTCGTATTTTCGTTCTGGTTAGACGAGCTCATGATGGAGGAAGTCTAAACGAGAAGGTGAACAGGACTTGTTAGCAAAGTTGCAAGAGGCATCGCACGTTTGAATGACAGATTAGCTTACGGGGATATATCCAGATAACTACAGATTATATCGCCAGAAATACCGGGTTTCTGGTGAATTTGGAGGGTTTTTTTGTTGATGGATGTCAAGGTCGAGTCAAAGTAAGTGGCGACGCCGCCTGGACCTCGGCCGACTCCGACCATCGAGTAAATCAGGCAAATCACATCCCAAAGCTATGAATAAATAATACAAATAGCACATTTGCAATAATACTATCCCTTCTCGAATCCGGCCTGTCCAAGGTGGCCGGTGTGAACGGAGATCGAGCTCGCCGTTGTCGAGATTAGCCTGTTTTTAGTATCAAGGGATGGTATATGTACCAGAGGATGTGTACTCTTGCACCTCGACCGGTCTCTCAACATGTCAGCAAAACCTCTTCAACAACGACCACTAGACTTGCTCTACGTCGTCTACTGTTCACTTCATCTCTTGTTCTCCGTTACTGTCGACGTCCTCCCCTTTTGGCCCGCCTTCACCACCCAAGTTCCGGTCCTGAAGCAGATGCACGGCGCTTTCACAGCATTTGCGGAAGACTACACCACCAAGACAAATGATCCTTTTAAGCTTGCCACGCGTGGTCGCGTCCAGCGGGATTGGGAGTTTTATTCGTTTCGAGCGTTCGTGTGGATCGAGTTGTGCGTAGGCGCCCTTGCGAATTTCAAGCGTACCCACAATAAAATAGGCTATTCCTCATTCCTGCCTTCATAGTTGGCATCCGTGACTTGCGCCAAAGTAAGCGTGCTTCGCAAGACGGCAAACGCCGCTGAACTCCCATAGATTCGACGAGGGTATATCCAGTTCTACTCGCATACGCATCAGCTGCTCTCGCGATGACAGGCACTCACGTGGCTACTATCCTCAAAGCACCGAGAGCTTCCGACAAGACGCTCGACGCAGTATCGAAATTCTATGCATTAAACGACAGTGGTAGATCGTTGCTCGTTTGGGGGACAGCGCCTTATATTCTCGTCCCTGCAATCATGTGGGTTTATCAGAGTCAGAGGCTTGCTCGCTATTGTGCGTCAGGTGGAGTAAACCCGAAAGAGTCGCTAGTACCCATGTCGATAATTAGAATCGCCCAATTTGATAATTTCGGCCCCTGGAGTCATTCGCCGAAGGCTTGCGGAATTCGGCAAGCATAAAACCATCTAAGCTTCGTTAGCGGGCGGACCGAGCTGACGACTTAGATATGTTGACAAGGCAGTGAGCATAGAGGTAGAACGAGTAAGGCTCCAGCTACCTACGTCGGCTATCCTTAAACATACTGGTTATAAAGGGAATATTGTAAGTGGCTGAGTCTATTTTGTGCGCACTAAGAGTCAAAGGGAAACCTTCGACACCGATGCCGTTCAGGACCGTTTGTTTAATCGATCCAATGGTCCTATTTTCATTCTATTCCGACGTGCTCATGACTGAAAATGTCCCAACCAGGACATGAACAGGTCTTCTCAGCGAATTTTGCGGGAGGTATCGCACGCTTGAATGAAAGATTGGCTGACACGTATATATCAGGATGGATACAGAGTTTATGACAAGACATATCGCGCTTCTGGAGACTTTGGAGGGTCCTTTGCTGATGGATATGGAGGGCGAGTCAAAAGCACCTTTCTCAGCAATACCACCCTTTTCTTGAATTCGATCCGCCCAAGGTCCGCCATGTGAACAGCGAACGGCCTAGTACTTCTCGGTATTAGCCACTTTTAGCATCAATGGTTCGCATATAGACCAGCTCGAGCGCATTTGCGTAACTTGGCTGACTCCGCGTCATCAGGTTACCAATATGCCAGCAAAGCCTCTTCGAAAACGACCACTAGACTTGCTCTACGTTGTATACTGCTCAGTTCACCTTTTCTTCTCCGTCACTGTTGACGTTCTCCCCCTTTGGCCGGTGTTCACCACCCAAGTCCCGGTCCTAAGGCAGATACACGGAGCCTGCACGACATTTGCGGAAGCTTACACCATCAAGACAAATGACCCTTTCATGCTTGCGACGCGTGATCGCATCCACCATGGTCGGGAGCCCCACTACTCGTTTAGAGTATTCATGTGGATCGAGTTGTACGCAGGCCCCTCGTAAATTTTAAGTATACTCACGGCCAGCTAGGTTATTCCTTATTCCTTCATTCATAATCGGCATCCGTGGGCTGCGTCAGGGTAAGCATGTCTGGGAGAGACGATCAGCCTACTCATGATCCCATAGATTCGACGATCGTATATCCAGTCCTACTTGCCTACGCATCAGCCGCTCTCGTGATGACAGGTACTTACATGGCTACTATCCTCAAAGCACCGAGCACTTCTGACCAGATGCTGGACGCCGGGTTGAAATACTACGCGCTAAACGACAGGGGCAGGTTGTTGCTCATTTTGGGGACGATACCTTATATTCTCATCCCTGCAATCATGTGGATCGACATGTTTGTCAGGGTCAGAGGCTTGCTCGCAGTCGCGCGTCGGGCGGAGGAAATCCGCAAAAGTCGCTAGTACGCATGCTAATAATCAGAACTGTGCGATGTCACGATTTCGGTTACTTTATTACATTCGCAGAAGGCTTACGAAGCTCGGCGCTCATAAAAGATCCAAACCCGTTGCCCGAATAGACCGACCTGAGGACTTGAAATACTTGCTAAATATTTGTGAAACTGTATATCAAAAAGGTAGTTAAGCAGCATATTGGCCTATATTCCGAACTGGGATTGGAACTATTGTATTGAGACAGGATGCGACCGCAACGTCAAGCAGCCTCCAGTGCCTGTATCTTTATTCGGCTTCTGAATTGATGCACTGGCCCCCAGATGGATTACCAGAAGCGGAAGCCTTCGGAATAAAAAGATTATGGATCCTTGTGAGCTTTACCTTCATCTCCTGATCGTCGTCATTGCGACTCAGGCAACCAATCAGAGCGGGAATATTTGGGTAGGTGGGAAGCGGTAATTTCTTGCCCTCCTCTTCCAATATTCCAACGACATTATCTCGTCTATTCCTTTGGGAGAGATAGTGTCTAAACCAGGCCGTCCCACATACTAGTGAGCAGAACCGCAGTCTCTCATCATTAGTCAAAGATGGCTCATTGATATCCAGAAGTTCAGAGAATAATGGAATCTGCCAATGGCGCGTTAGGTACGCGATATGGCAGAATTGACGAACCTTTTCGGTCACCCACACCATAAAAGTGGTATTCTCCGCCTGTGTTGATGTTATCGCGTAGGTACGAAGCCTCTGAAGAGCGTATGCGAGGAGCCGTTTCGAAAAGGCATGACCTGTTATGTAGCAGTGGCCAGACTGAAGTTCTTCCCACAAGGAACGAAACGACTCATCCAGTGGGCAATTCCTCCAGAGAACCAACTGAACTATTATGTCCAGCTCCATGTGAGAAGGATGCTTTAGAGCTGAGAGATCTCCAAATAGGGCACTAATGCTCCCTTCTTCATTTTCTTTGTGCGAACATCTCTCATCCTCTTTTCTTCTATAGTCTAGACCGGATATAAATTGATTGGCTGCACACTCGGCAAGGAGTGGCAGCAGTTGTATCTCTTCCCTGGTATATGTCCGTGGGTATTCTCGAGGGAGAGAATAGGTTTTCAGAAGACTATTCAGGGACTCGCCAAGATCGCCCTTGTTGATCTGCTTAGGAATACCATCTTGCCACGCGTTCAGATGGTGAAGAGTCAATGTATACTTGAGTATCGAATCTTCCTGTAAACCTGTGATGCGAAGGTGTCTGATCACTGGGAACTCCTTTTTTTGCTCTGCATTGAGACCTGGCAAGAATGCAACCCAGAGGGCCCGTATATCCTCAAAGAAGTCTGGCAAGATTTTCGTTGTGGCCAACCAAAGTATGCCTATGCCAACTGCTGCAAGTCCAATAGTTCCCGTGGCGGTCAGAGCCGCCTGATAGCCAATTATTGGAGAAATCGAAATTGCTGCCACAAAAACAAAGCCTACATTCAAAAAAATTAGAAACATCCTATACTGGATGCTCCATATCCGTCGCCATATTTGCTTGCGAGATATCGCGATTGCCAGTTTGCGACCCCGAAGACCAAGTGCGTGAGCGACTGGAGTTTCTCCATTATAGGCAAGTACGCAGGTGAAGGTCTCAATGGTAAAGAAAAGAAACATAAGAAGGCAGATGATGAAGACTGCCGACAAGGAGAGAGGAATGGAACTATCAACCAATATATCCCCTGCTGCGGGGACCGTAGTATTGAATATCTGCAGTGATATATGACATGTTAGATTGAAGAGACGTGAAGAATCTGTGTCGAGATCTTGAATCACAATTTGAGCCACCGTCATAGATGAACCGAGACAGAGACCCAACTATCGAATTTAGCCAAAGGATCAAAGGATAGAGATAAATCTCAAGTACTCACGTATACTAGGATTGTCTGGAGAAGATTATCTAGACCCTTTCTTTTAGCCTGAGCATTGGGCAGCATGTCCTCAAGGTACAAGGTCCAGATCGATGGCAAGGATGGGACCTCCATCTCTGTAAGCGACCCTCTCTTGGACATTTGGGATGTTTGATCAAAATGTGTGTGTGCAGCAAATGTCAATTCACGTCAGGGTTTGGCAGGATGGCAGTGATCTTGCAAAAAGTGAGGCGTAACTATATTCGTGCTCGCCTTATATAAGTAGTACTTCGAAACAAGGTTATACCGACTGGACGAAAGTGCTGGCACTTAGTGGAGGCTAGAACGCGTTCGAGCTCATAATCACTTTTTGGCTCTCGAGAGAGGGTCGAAATCACATCATTTGCACGAAAAATGTGGCGAGAATCGCTCTAGAACTTGTCGGAGTTTGTCAGTCGCGGTTGTCACCAGAGACTAGAGCTCTTTCTTCTTCCTTCCTGCTCTCTCCGCCACGGTTTTCTTATATGCACATACACTCACGAGGTCCATGACCCGAATGAACATGTCCACCCACATAACCGCCGGAATAGCCAAGAACGGAATGAGTGGACCGAGAATCGTCCAACGTGCTTGGTGCGTGAGAGCGTAAAACTTGGAGCTTGCGTCGAGCGAGGGATCGTCCGCCGAAGGCAAGTTGATGGCGACAAAGAGAACCGTCGTCGTCGTAACGAGCGCGGCGGTGGCGTAGCAAAGTATTAACGGGTAAAAGGTTGGCTTATCTATGTTGGAATCATTAGTGGAAGCGGGTACGAGGGCTGAGAGGTTCGCACTTTTGTGGAGTCCATATGTTCCAAGAATAAATGCTGGGATCTGAATCACCCTACGCAGTCAATCAGTACTCTCAACATCGAGAAAAGATGACAGCAAGCATACAACTCCATGTATAGGAAAATCTTCATGAAGTAAAACTCCCATTCGTGCTGGACGAGACCCCAACTCGCGAGCGCGAATGGGTCTTTGCTCTTTGTCATGTAGTCGTACGATACGCTCTTCAGCGCGTTATAGACATCCTTTATCACGGGCAGGGTTTGCGCAGAGGCGGGCCAGAGCGGCAAGATGTCGATGGTGAGCGTTATGATGAGATGAAGGACGAAGAAGACGACATAGAGCAAGTCGAGTGGACGACTGCTGAGCGGTTTGGGGGTCATTGCCGTGACAGTGCGTCTTCGTTCTGCGTTGGGGCAACAGTCGACGTGTTGGATATGGTGCTGAGAAGGGCTATAGTAGCTGCTCGTATTCCTTTTGAACAAAAGTGTGGTTGTGGTCAAAGTTGATGTTTGCCTGTGCCTGTCGAACGGTGCGCTCAGATAAAGCCGCGCGCTAAGCTAGACGCTCGCAGTTTATCCTATTGCAGGCCAACTTTAGACGTCCAGCAAATCTGGTCGGCCATTGACAGTTCGTGGATTCCAATGTCCTGGCCAAGGTGAGAAGCGACCAAACCTGGACCTCGACAGACTCAGACTGTCCAATTCAGACGCATGGAAAAGTCAGATTGCATTTCCGTAGCGTGGAGAGTCACTTGAAGGATGCATTTCCCAGCACTTCTGTCATTCTCGAGTCCGACGCGTCCGACGCTGGCCGGTGTGGGCGAAGATGACCTCGTGCTTCTCGGAACAAAGGTGCTTTTAACATCAGGACGTTCAATATCCCTAGCTCGCGAGTATTCCTGCAGCTTGATTTGCTCCGCGTCGGATCACGAGCATGTCAGTAAAATCTCTTCGACGACGGCCACTCGACTTTCTCTACGTCGTCTACTGCTCAATTCACCTCTTCTTTTCCGTCACTGTCGACGTTCTTCCGCTCTGGCCATCATTCACAACTCAAATCCCAGTCTTGAAGCAGATCCACGGTGCCTTTGCGGCGTTCGCTGAGGATCATACAATCAAGACAAACGATCCTTTCATGCTTGCCATTCTTGGTCGTGTCCAGCGGGACTGGGAGTTCTATTCATTTAGAGCGTTCATGTGGATCGAGCTGTACGTAGGTGCTCTCAGCAATCCCAACTTTACTCACGATACCTAGGTTATTTCTCATTCCTGCGTTCATCCTTGTTATTCGTGGCTTGCGTCAAAGTAAGGACGCTTTGGGAAACGATCGGCGACGCTGACATCCACTAGATTTGACGAGTGTATATCCGGTCCTATTCGCATACGCATCAGCCGCCCTTGTGATGACAGGTACACACATGGCTACTGTTCTCAAAGCACCAAGCGCTTCCGACCAGACGCTTGATGCGGTGTCAAAATTCTACGCGCTTAGTGACGGTGCTCGATCGTCGCTAATACGGGCAATAGCACCCTATCTTCTCATCCCTGCAATCATGTGGGTTGACATGTTCATCAGACTAAGAGGTCTGGTTGCAGTCGCACATTCCGTCAAAGAAAGCGGGAAGACTCGCCAGCAACCACGTTAATAATCAGAACAGTTTAATATATTCATTATGTTTAAAGTTTATGGGGTCTGGCATAAGGAAAACTTCAATAATTATTCGCATGAGTGGACGGACATAAACTGCTGACACGATACGACAAGATACGAAGGGGTGCTTGATGAGAATATAGGCATATGTTCATGCCTCCCAGGAGTTTCGGACCTGGGAAACAACAGTCTCGACTTGAGACTCGAGCGAAACCACCGAATAGATAGCAGTAACGTGAGGAGCGTAGGCCCTTGAAACGGTAAGACCACGCAAAGCCGTAAACCTAGCCGTCGTCGTCTCGTCGTCGTCGTCGCGACCTAGGCTATCAATCAAAGGACACAGGTTGAGGTATGGATGTGATGGAGTTTCGTTCGGCGCTTCCTTCTCCATTAGTTCGACAATATATTCGCGTATATCACCTTGGGAGATATAGTGCGGAAACCAAGGACTACTACATATGAGTGTGCAGAAGCGGAGCTTGTCATAGCTGCTGAGAGATGAGTCGCTGATACCGATAAGGTCGGCAAAGAGAGGAAGCTGTAGGCTTTATATTAGCATAGATAAAAATCCAGCCATTTCAACGAACCTCTGTGGTCACCCAGATTATGAAATTCGCATTATCTGACCCCGAGATGTTATTGCGTACATGCGAAGTCGCTGAAGTGCATAATCGAGGATTCGTTTGGAGTACCTTCGTCCTGTTATTGGACAACGACCAGATTGAAGCTCCTGCCATAGTGAACGGAATGAATCGTCAAGCGGACGATTCCTCCAGAGAACAAGTCGGACAATCACGTCCAATTCTATGCGAGAGGGATGTTTCAGAGCCGAAAGGTCTCCAAAAAGCGCACTGATACCACCTTCTCGAGCCTCTGTATGAGAGCATGCCTCGTCTTCGTCCCTGACATAGTCGAGACCGGAGATATACTGATCAGCCGCACACTCCGCCAGTATGGGAAGTAACTCAACCTCTCCACGGTCATATGTTTTGGGATACTCGTGGGGAAGAGAGCCATATCGCAAGAAGCGATTGAGGTACCAACCGAGAGACTTGATACCAAGCTGGTACGGAATGGGCATTCGCCACGCATTGATATGCTGAAGCGCCACTACATATTTGAGCATCACGGGCTCTTGTGCACCGGTTATACAAAGACGAGTTAGCACGGGAAGCTCTTCTTGCTGACTTTCAGAGAGACCTGGGATTTTTGTGAAGGAATAAGTTGCATAGTCGAGGTCTCGGGCCTTTCTCTTGCTTTTACGCCTGTCCATCCGCCAAAAGAGCAATCCCCCAAGTAGCCAGCAAAGAATAAAGGTGCCAGCGAATAAATAGCCGACTAGCGATTTGACGGAAATGACTCCTACAAACATAAAAACTAGATTTGAACCCAATAAGGCAATCTTGTATGCCCGAGCGAGTACTGGTTCCAATGTGGTAACTGCAACTGCACGCCCTCGTGTATCGGCGAGATGCGCTGCTGGGAGATCGCTTTCATAGTATATCAGGGCAGAGAGCGTAATACTGATCAGAACAACAAACAAGGAAAAGCCGAGGACAAAGACTACTGTTATCCAGAGTTCATAATTCGAGCGAGTGGGTTCAGCATCGGGTTCCTCGAAATATCCTGCAGCGGGTGTGGAACCGTTGAATATTTGCAGTGAGATATGATCTACTAAATAGATTAGGTCTGAAGAATCTTCGTCCCAGTCTTGAATTAGTATTTGGGCAGCTGTTAGGGACGAAGCGAGGCAGAGGGTCAACTACAGAAAGCTTCAGTTTCCCAAATCGGAGTATAGTGACCGAATACTCACAAATACGAGTGCAATTTGCAGGAGGGAATAGAATTGTCTTTTTCTAGCTCGAATCTCTGGCAGCACTTCCTCGAGGTATAGGGTCCATATTGATGGTAAAGTCGAGGAGTTCATTCGTATCAGTGTAATACTTCCAGTGCTCAATTGGGATTGTTAGGAGTTTGGGCCAAGAACCCGCGAGCCGCCCAGTCAAACGCGGTTCACGGCGGGTTGAAAACATCCAGTCGATCTGGGGCCCTCTTATAAACGCTTGCCGGGTTTGAAATGGAGACGGTGCGTGCTAGCTGGGAGGAGACTGGAACTGGAGGCGGCAGAGATAACCTTTAGAGGATGAATTGGTAGCGTGAAATCAAACTTTATTCAGCGAAGAGAACGACAGGAACAGGCCACGAACGGCGTGCTTCCTGTGTATACTGTAACTCGTGGGCGTTCGGCGCTATAGCTGTGTCAATTGCATCACTCGCTTAATTCATACCCAAAGCTCTACAGTTCCTTCATCCGTGAGTGCGTAAAACTTCGAGGTGGCGTCGAGTGAGGTGTCATTCACCGAAGGCAAGTTGACGGTGACGAAGAAGACGGTTTTGTGCAAGTATTTGGCCCCATCAGTCGCAATGATGTCCACTGTGGCTCTGCCCCGTCCAGAATCCTTGAAATGTCCCTCACGTAAATAGAGGCTCCCTTAACATCTACTCCTCTCAAGTCCTCTAGAGATACTATGTAGGAAATAACATCTTCGAAAGGGCATAACCGATCATAGTTGATGCTTAGCTTGTTCAAAGCTGAAAAATCTGTATGTGAGAAGCGGTACCCAGAATTTAGGGATGAACCGAGAGGAGAAAAATGGGTTTCGATGAATTTGTCAAGGCTTTGTTGATGGATGTGCCCGGCACCAATCGGCCATGCCACTTCGAAACTCTACAGTCTGGGAAAGATTACGCCTTTGAGGTGATCTTCTGAAGAGTTGATAGCCAACATGTTTATTCGCACGGCAGTCACCCATCTCCAGTGCTGAGCAAATAAGTCAAACGTCTGCGTGTGGGAATAGCCATAGTCATATAGAAGGGTGAGCGGGAAATCTTTGGAGAGTTCCAGGGAAACTGACATCATCGCAAGTGTATCTTCAGTCATAACGCTTGCAACCACTATGGCCCAGACTGAAGGCGTATTAAATGTAAGATTCGTCCATCATTTGCATACATTCGTCAGCAGTAGGGTGTTGGTATGAGTCCATTTGCCGTCGGCGACATATGGTTCTGTGAACCACTCGAAGATCTCCTGGAGGATTTCATTGGGTACATTGCTGATAGCCGTACTTCTCGTTAAATTATAGATTCTATTACGTTCGAGTATTATCCGATTGTATTCTTCGACAGTTTGGTGGTCAGAACATGTCATTCTCCCTGAAAAGTTGGCCTGAGCGCGGAGTTGTGATAGCAGATCTGATATCGTGATGTTATTGGAAGCCATCTGATCCATCTAACAGATAAGTATGCTGGATTTGGTTTAATCAAGGCGGCGGGTCGGGTCCAACGTTCACAAATGCGGAGACTGCAGACGTCCGACTGTTTTGCCGTAGTGATAGTACCCAACCCAAGTTCTAAGATACAATAGAGAAGAAAAAAAGCATTCGGCCGCACTTCTTGGAGTCTTCCACGTCGCCAAGAATTTCTTATGGGGCTAGTCAAGTCGAGGACGCCCGGAAGAGTCGCTAGTGCCCATCTCAATAATCACACTGCTCAATAAGACTATTTTCACCACTATATACGTTGGTTAATCTCCTAGATATCAGCCGGCCTATAGAAACCGGAAGGAACAGAATGGGAAACATCAAAGCCCACCGAGTCCAGCCGTATAGTAAAGAGGACTCGGAGAGGATACGTTCATGTCTGGAAGGAGGTTCGAATTCGAGATACGACGGCTTTCAAGGCATTGCCAGTAAAACATGACGCCGTGGGCGTGTTGGCATTGGCTCGTCTTATAGTTCTATTAGATAATATATCGCGGCAAACACTGTTCTAGAAATTTTCTTGCCAGACCTCGCTAGTCGCTGTCGTGACAAGACGGACTAGAGTTCCTTCTTTGCCTTTCCTGCCTTCGCCGCCAACGCTTTCTTATAGGCGCCTATGCTCACCAGATCCATGATTCGAACGAACATATCTACCCACATAACCGCCGGGATAACCAAGAACGGGATGAGTGGGCCTAGAATTCTCCAGCGTACTTCATTCGTGACCGCGTAAAACTTGGAGCTTGCATCGAGAGATGGATCTTCCGCTGAAGGTAATTTGATTGCGTTGACGAAGCACGTCGTCGTCGTGACGAGCGCGGCCGTGGCGTAACAAAGGATCACCGAATAATAACTTGGATTATCTATGTTAGTGTCGTTAGTGAAACCGAAGCGGTACAAGTAGCTGGGAGGTTCGTACTTTTATATAGTCCATATGTCCCGAGAATAAATGCCGGAAGTTGGATGACTCTATATCAGCACTCAGCAATTTTGACGACAGGAACGATGGAATTGAACATACAATTCCATGTACATGAAAACCCTCATGAAATAAAACTCCCATTCGTGCTGTACGAGACCCCAGGTCGCGAGCGCAAACGGATCCTTGCTCTTGGTGAGGTAGTCGAACGAGACTCTCTTGAGAAATGCATAGATATCCCTTATTACGGGCATGCTTTGGAGGGAGGAGGGCCAGAGCGGCAAAACGTCGAGAGTGAGGGTTATGATGAGATGTACGACGAAGAAGATGACGTAGACCAAGTCGAGTCGTCTACTTTTGAGTGGTTTAGGTGTCATTGGCGATGGTTACAGTGCGTCTTTGCTTTGCGTTCGAGTAACCGTTAGGGTCAGAGTCGAGACGGGACTACAATAGGTGATCGTCCTACCCTTTTATGCAAGTTTGGTCATAGTCCAAGTCGATGTTTTATGTTCCTGTCGACCAGTGCGCCCGCACATCAGCAGCGCGCTAGGCGCTAAACATTCGTATTCGCAGTGCAAAGATGGACGTCAAGCGGGCATGTTTCGCCGGCTGCGTCGGTGCTCCGGTGAGAGTTTTCGTTTGATGCGGGACATGAGCCACCCACGACTACGCCTTGAATTCGACCGAATCTGGCTGTTCAGCCAAGACGCCCAAAGCACACTTTCCGCGGGGTGTATATTCAATTTAATGAGTATTTCTCGTTGCTGCTACCGTTCTTTCATGCGACTCGTCTGAAGCCGCCCAGTATCCGCGGGAAACGGCATCGTGCTTCTCGGAGACAAAGAAGGATTCAGCATCAGAGGAAAATAGATGTACTAGCTGGTTCGTTTAAGTAACCCTGGGCTACTCCGCATTCATTAGAATCGCGGTGTATCATCAAAACCTCGGTGACAACGACGCCTCGGTCGCCCATTGTTCAATCCATCTCCTCTTTTCCGTCACTATGAACGTTATACACCTCGCCGGCATCCGGGTCGTAAGTCCCGGTCCTAAAGCAATATTTGTGGTGCTTGCTGCCGGGTAACACGGTTAAGGAGAATCAAAATGTCTTACTTGAAGTCATTAGTCCCGCTCAGCGTGACGGGAAACGCCCTCCAGTTAGAGCGTTCATACGGATCGAATCGTACGCAGCCGTACTTCCGATTAAAGTAGACGCACGCCTATCTAGGCGATTCATCGCTCGTGTATCCAGTCCTGCTCGCATAATAATCACTTGCTATCGTTGTGATAGGAACTCATATGTCGATTATCCTCAAAGCACTTACGCTCTTCATACGCCCGACGCGGTGGAGCGATTCTGCCCACTCAGTGACGAAGGTCGATCGTTATCCATTTTGACATTAATGCCCCATATTTTTTCCCTGCAATCAGTGGGTCGACATGTTTACCAGGCTCAGGCGTTTTGCTCGCTATTGTCAGCCAGGTCAAAGACTCCTGAACAGTCCCTAATAACCGTGTCAAGAAATAAATCTCTGAATAGAATAAAATCAGGTCCCGGAATATATGCATAGAATGTCTAAGGAACGCAGCATGTATGATCTGACCACATTGGCGGGAAGGATGATCCGAGACCTCGTATTCTTCTTGAAACCGTATGTCAGGGAAGTATTTGAGCAGCGTAGTGAGCTATATTCATAATGGATTTGCGAGGTTCGTGTTGAGAAGGGAATCAACTGCCCAGCCTCCCCTGAACTTATGCGACTTCTGACCTGATGTTGAAGCTCATGGGTGGGTCTTCAAAACGAAAAGGTTCCGAGATAGTGAGATTGTGTATTTTTGTGAGCCTCGCCTTCCCTTCCTCGCCATCGCCGGTGTGACGGAGGAGATCAATCAGAGTAGAAAGATTTGAGTAGGTACTGTAGGGCGCGGTCGCACGTCGACTTCTCTCTCCAGTACTCCAATGACATGTTCCCTTTTGTCGCTCTGGGAAAGATAGTGTCTAAACCAAGGCGCCTCGCAGACAAGTGAACAAAAACGCAACCTCTCATCGTTGGTCAGAGATTCATCTTCGATATTCATCGTCAATATTCATGAGTTAAGGGAACCATAGTAGCTGAAAATGATACGTTAGGAGTGCAATATGGCAGAATTGACAAACCTTGTCAGTCATCCACATCATAAACGCTGAATTCTTGGTCTCTATGGATGTCATTGCGTAGGTGCGAAGTCTCTGCAGTGCATATGTAAGAAGACGGTGGGAGAAGGCGTGCCCTGTTATGCTACAGTGGCCAGAGTTAAGCTCTTCCCATAATGAATGGAATGAGCTATCCAACGGACGATTTCTCCAAAGAACTAGCCGAACTACTATGTCAAGTTCCATATGGGAAGGATGCTTCAGAGTCGACAGGTCTCCAGAGAGTGCGCTAATTCCTCGTCTAGGCTTGGTGTGAGAGCATATCTCATCTTCGCTATTGTTATAGTCGAGACCGGAGATATATTGGCCTGCTGCACACTCTGCCAGTAACGGAAGTAGTTCAACCTCATCCGTGTTATATGTTGGTGGGTGCTCACAAGGAAATGTATGGTATCGCAACAATGAATCAAGATGCCAACCAAGAGCCCTGTTATTGAGTTGGTAATAAAGGGAAATTTGCCACTCGTTGATATGGTACAGTATCAATGTGTACTTGAGAACGGATTTCTCCAGTGTACTTATTTCACACAGACGAGTGATTGCTGGAAGCTCTTTTTCTTTCTCAGATCCAATGTCTTGATGAGTCCCAAAGAACCATTGGAAAGGCTTTGGGATTTTGGCAGCCTTCTTAATTTGTGAGGGGAATATTTGCGAGGGGAGTATGCTTTCCCAGAATATGCTTTACAAGTGGAGCTTTTTCTTCCACAGGCGATAAAGATATCCCATCATACACAAGAATATTGTTGCGAACATTATCCATCCACCCAGAGGCTGTATTTGTTGCACCGCAATTGCTGTTACCATCCTCAACATGGGAGCTGCCCAGCTAATTACTGATAGAGGTACCGTAAAGACCTCTTGATCATCTGAATTTGCAAGTGTAAGTGCACAACCGCGAATATCTGATTGTACTGCCGGGAGATTGAGAGTGACATCGTTACCCAGTAGCAGCCAGAGAGTAATCATAATGAAAAAGACGGCCACAGAAACTGCGAGGATGATTATAACTCCTGTGAAACCCAGGAATCCGGTTCCTCGATAGATTTACGATTTGCTGCAGGTGCCGAGGCGTTGGATACTTGCAATGATATATGATAGATTAGGTTTACAAGATTGGAAGTATCCGCTGGGTGCTTGCAATATTATTTGAATTACTGTCATGGACGAAGCGATGTAAACGGTGAGCTCTCGGGTGGTTAAACAGGCTAATTAAGCACATGGCCCGCGGAACTAGGCTCACGAACACCAGTACGCTCTGGAGAATCAGAGAATGATATTTTCTCCCGCTTTGGCCTTCGGCAACATGTCCTCAATGTATAGAGATCATATTGATGGCATGAGCAAGCCCTTCATATTCTTTGGCAGAATCTATGCAATCAAGCGAAGTATATCGAACGCTAATACAGATATCAGATGTTGGAGTTGTTGCAACGACAGGCCTGCCACAAGGTCGGTTTTATTCCGCACCCATATGCCGTTTATCGAGACGTATCAACGTGCTTGAAACGAGGTGACTCACAAGCTACGAGGCAGTTGGTGGAGGCTGGAATGCCTCCCTTACCCCTCAATACGTGGCGGAGATGTTGACAATTAAATTTATTCTTGGGGCATTCCCCCGGAGAGTTATTAGCATCGCCTTCTTTCTATGTTCCTACAAGGTTTGCGTTGGTCACACAGGAGTTATAATTCCTTCTTCCCCGTCTTTCCTGCCGTAGCGGTTTTCTGGATGCCGGCACTCACCAAGCTCGTGACGCGGATGAGCATGTCGACCCACATAACGGCAGGGATGAGCAAGAAAGGAATGATGGGGCCAAGAATCGTCCGGCGTCCTTCATCCGTGAGTGCGTAAAACTTCGAGGTGGCGTCGAGTGAGGTGTCGTTTGCCGAGGGCAAGTTGACGCTGACGAAGAAGACGGTCGTCGTCGTAACGAGCGCAGCGGAGGCGTAGCAGAGCAGGAGAGGGTATACGAGTGGCGTATCTGCATACCAAGCCCGTTAGTTTCGAAGAGGAGTGAGGGGTTAACGCACTCTTGCGAAGGCCATACGTTCCAATGATGAAGGCGGGAATCTGTATCAACCTATGGAACCATCAGAAAACTTCAAGCCGACGCCCGGGTCGCTGTGGACGTACACTTCCATGACCATGAAAACCTTCATGAAATAAAACTCCCAGTCGTGCTTGACGAGATTCCACGTGGCGAGAATAAATGGATCATTGCTCTTGGTCTTGTAGTCCTCGACAACATCCATCAAGAGTCGATAGACTAGATTTAACCCGGGAAAGTTCTGCGCCCAGGCTGGCCAGAGCGGCAGAAGATCAATTGAGAGAGATATTACGAGATGTACGACGAAGAATATGACATAGATGAGGTCAAGAGGCCTACTTGTGAGCGGTTTCGGTGCCATTGGTCGTGAGAGTTGGCGAGTCTTTGTCGTGAATCCGCTTGTAGGCCGTGATTAGAGACTCTAGATGAGATTTTGTGGTTGAATTTCTCCCTTTAAACCAAATGGGGCGGTTGGGGTAGAGGTCGAAGATTTCGGCGCCCCGTCGAACGAGGCTTAAAAAGCAGGCGCTAAACTGTTCCAATCAAGCCGAAATTTGACTAATATAGCCGGTCCACTCGGATTTAAATGATGTTGATCTCCGCGTAATTCGGAGCAAATCCTCGTACGTTGAAGGAAAAGTGACAGGGGGTATTCGAGAGGTCTACGACTCACTAAACGAGTTGCTAAGATGTTAAATGTTGACGAGCGATGTGCATAATTGGGTCAACGATGGCTGTGCGAGGTAGCCGACCTGAAAAGCGCATAGAGTGAACATGGTCATGTATCTGGAAACCTTTACTTTATAAGCGTCTGACTTTACACGGAGCTCTTCATGCGGTTTGGAATATTTCAGGATATTTTGGTGAGCCTTAGCCTGGAGAAACTTGTGGGCGACTAGACTACTTCACCTATCACCAAACATCACGCTTCGTTATAAACTCTCCTTTCAAGGCCGCGCTCACATACATGAAGTTACGAGGGAGGACTGGATGGTGTAGGCGGAGCGAGGCGAAGAGGGTCAGACGTGAGAGACTGAGCTCGATCATAAACGGTGGTTCTACGCACACTAGCACGACCTTCTATCACTTCTTGTCAAATATGCAGCACACAGTATCCGAGTTTCCCGAGAGAGCAGATGTGTGCGCGGCGGATCAGAGGTTCATCCCCAAAGGAGCATCCCCGCCCCGACTTGACTGCTGATTGTATCGAGACGCAGGACGTCCAGAACGGCGCACAACCCCACTTTACAGTGAGACAGATGCATAATGCTCTGCTCTTCAGTAAAGGCACGCTGTGCCTTGTGATATCGAGCGCAAAAGGGCCGTGTGGACGGGTTGTAACTCGGTTCAACCTCTGGAAGTGTCTATCGCGACCGCGTCTATCCGTGCTTAGTCTTTATTTTTCCGCAAGGACCCGTGTGTCTGTCGGTGTGGAGAGATATTCCTGGGGTGGATAGCCCTAGCGTGCCAAATAGGGTGGCGGAGAATTGTTGGGAAGAGGATTGAGCCCTTCGAAGACGCTGATACGAGTTAGTGAATCCTGATATAATAAATGCCAGGGGAATTGATGAATGGACTTCATTATGCGAGGCTTCATTTAAAGAGAATGGGCGAGGTGTGTTAGCCAGCGGAGAGCGAGATCGCGACTTCTAGCGAAAGGGCGAGCTGTCACATGTCCGGGATGGATCTCGACTTCTCACGCCAGTCACTATTGAGTAGCCATGGCACGTAAATTGTCATCATGCTTACCATCGGGAACCCTATTCGGATGCTCGGGTAGAACCTCTGTTGGCCGAACAATTACATCGGGTCGAGCAGTGTAGCGAATTACGCAAAACCGTACGTTCGACGTGTCCACGAGGGGAGACGAAGAGTGTCAAGTGGAGCTTACAGCATTTTACGGATCTGCAATTCATCATCTCCGTGCCAACGCGCCACTTCATCACTCATCCAACAGAGGATGGTGTCTCGGCAACATTTGCGAGCCACGCCACGCCACGCCACGGCTCGCTTTCATTTCGGCTTGAGATATTTTGATTATGTTATATTTTCGGTCATTGTGTCACCCCTGTCATATCATATTTTGGCCAAACCGCTAGCCTAGCGCGTGGGAAAGAGGCACGCCTCGTCTGTTTCAGCGTTTCAACATTTTATTTTTATTTTTCGATTCTGATGCCATCAATATTGTCAAAATGCATCGATTACATAGCCGTTACGCCATAGCGGAGGGTCGACTCGGAGAGACACAAGGTGTTCGGAGAGAGACCAAGAACAATCCCAGTGAGAGACATGTCCAGAAAAGAGAGGGTTTTATGAACAAAGCCACGCATGCGGCAATAAACATCATGTCCGTTTCAAGTTTTGTCATGTGCTGGTTTCGTATCGTCCGTCATAGATATCATAGCGCGAGTCTGAATGCGCCCAGGGCCCGCGAATCTTCACGCGACCGGCCGCTCGTCTGCCAATTTTGGCCTAGTAGGCTCGGGAGAGAAGGAAGGACAGTTCCACCCGGTGTCGTTCCACTACTGCTGGGAGTAGATTCGGATGGCTGAACAGAAGGAGGTGGATTTGGTTGACTGGTGGAGAAGTACTCGCCCGTCCGACTGGCACTCCTCGTCCGACTCGGAAACTCCTTTGTCGGCGTACGAAGTGTCGGTGCATCGTACATGACCGTATCCACATCATCCCTCTTGCTTCTTCTCCTTTCTTCGTCACCGTCCAAACTTCGCCTAAATCCATTAGGGGATGGGATGGGCGCGCCAAAGCCCGGTGTAGGCGGAGAAGATGTGGATGCAGAGGAGGACGAGGTAGACGACGAGTGTTGGTGGTGCTGTAAAAGGGAATTATGAGACCCGTATACACCCGCTACGGCCGCAGCCATTGAAGCACCAGGAGTCGTCGAAGTGGACGAATAGGTGTGGGAATACGAGGACGAACGCGCGGGTGGCGGAGGAAGAGATCCAAAGGAAGGTCGAGCCTCGTATGATGTCCTGGGCGAATAAGACGATGTCGACGGTGAGCGATATCGTCCCTCTCCAAAGCTGTTCGCCCTACCCTTGGGTGTGACAGACGAAGGGGAGCCAAAGGCAGATGCAGAAGAAGAGGTGGATGTAGTAGAGCAAGGCGAAGGAGAAGCACCGCTGGTGGGATAGGGGCTGAGACTGTGTTCGCCTCGACTATGCGGACGTCGAATGGGTCCAACGCCGCAATTACCATCATAGTAGGATACAGGCGAGGAGGCGATGGGCGGGAAAACATTGGCATTCGGATTCGAGGTTGTAGACGACGAGGCGAGTGCAGATGGCGGAGGTGCACCGGTCTTGCCTGTCCCTTTGGTGCTCACATAAACGCCGTCTGGAACGATGATCGAGTTGAGCTCTGGATACGCCTCGATACCAGGTAGTATGTTCCAGTCTGCGGCAGAAAAGTAGGCGACGCAATGCCATTTGCGTGGTTGAGGAGGCGTGGTGGGACTACCCGTGGTAGGAGATGTTGATGGAAAGTAGACATAGGCTGTCCGTTGGGAATGTCGATGACCATGGCGCGATGACGGTGGCCATGGAGGAAGCACGGCGAAAGTTGGCAATTGGCGTTCGGGACCCCGACGATTCCCAGCGACGCGAAGGAGCCAGTGCAAGGGATACGGACCGTGTGCGAACGAAACCGAGAAATCGACGAAGCGGCGGTGGTGGAATCGCGGGAGACCAAGGGAGAGTGTCGGTCGTTCATTTCGGATGCGTAACGGGGATTTGGTGACAACGGCGGAAGGAGAGCAGAATAGGTCAGAAGTATGGTTTGAGGAATTTCAAAGAGATACTCACACGAATAGGTCTGCTTCGTCAGTCCGTCTGGTTTCGTCGGACGATCCTGACGACGGACGGGCTGTAGAGTGGCGAGGGCAGCTTGCGAGTCGGACGTAGACGAGGCTTTTCGTGCTCGTCGATCTGCTTTTGCCTGCTTTTCTTCAGGCGTCGTTTGTACTTTTTCCTCGTAGAAGAGAAAGGGCTCCCGCATCCTACTCTGGGACCTAGGAGACAAAGTTAAGAGTCTTATCGCTGATTTATTTCCGTAATAGCGCACCATCTTCGACCGTCTGTCCACCTCTCGAGGCCCGAGGTTGTCTGGCTCGTCTCGTCGCCGGCGGCAGAGCCAGTGGGAGCCTCTTCCCAGACGAAAACTTGGCCGGACGAAAGGAGATCACGTTCAGAGGGGGAGAGACGACGTCGAATGAGCGGGAGGAGACCACGACGGACAGCCTCGAAGACGCGGTGGGCGTCGTGGGCAGTGCGGATTTCTACAAAGTAAGCTCGACGAGATTACAAGGTCAACTAGTAAACTCTTACGGAGTCTAGGATGGGTAAAATGAGCAGGAGGGGCAGCCATGAGCAGGCCGTATGTCGACATTGGAAGGAGAGGGGATTAGACTTGAGATCCGGTATGGCGTCGGTATATGTACATTACCACGTATATAGCGGCGGCCGCGGAATGGAGTGTTCCTGACGAGTTAGAGGCAAAAAGAGACGTAAACTGACGTGGGAAGCACGCGGGACAGTCGTATTCTAGCGCACGCTTATCGACTACAGTAAAGAGTTCGGCGGAGATGGCCTGTTCGGATCCAAGCGGTGGATTATTCTTATTACATCACGCCATAGTCCCACTTGAGCACTCTGTTGCGCGGCAATCTCCGGGCGTAGACCGTCCGCCTTCCCTTTACTCGGCAATCAATCCAGTTTCGTGGAAAGATGTAGATCTGTCCCATCTCTCGGCCCGATTCATTCCGTCGCTCTTTGAGCCAGCTTAGGTACTCCTTCTCACGGCACGAGGTCGTCCAGAGACGAGCCTGCCGTCCCTGAACAATTCGCACTCCGACTAGAACGCATAACTAGCCTCGGATTCTCCGTGACGACGACCCGACGCCCCTCTCCCGCGCTTTCACCGCAAGCTCTCGACAGCCACCCCGACTGGTCCCCGACGCCTCTCAGAAGCCGTCTGAGCAAGGGTCGCCTTTGCACGTGGCTGCTACTAGAACCCAACGACCCCCGGCCCGTCTGTCCTCAGCCAGCCAGCGAGTGCGTGTCGAGTATATGAGCTATTTGTGCACGACAACGCTTCCAAACCCAGTTCCGACGGAAACAAACCCCCAATCCATACCAAAAAGGGTCGAGCCCCAACATTTCTCCGTCGCCAAATATCCCAAACTGTAAACGCGTACACACGCACACGAAGCTACCGTTTGAATTTATAAGCTCGCCACGGCTCTATCCGAGCATAACCCCCGACCTTCCGCTGAATGGCTTGCTATAGACTCTCTATCGCCACCCACTCACACGTACACATATCTAATATCCTCCGGCTTCCGCTCTCAGTCCTCAGGCGCGTGACGGCGATAGACGCTGTCCCTTGTTTCTTCACACTTGCGCCAAAACAGCGGGTCGAGTTGCTTGGGGCCAACCGATCTCGGGAGACGCTTTCCCGGTTCATTCACGTGGAGACTATATATTAATAAGCGGTCAACTTTCTGCCCACATGTTGGCCTTGAATCAATTTTCAATTCGGAGCCCATTGGGGGGTCTCTTCCCATTTTATAGCTCGGACAAAATGTGACAATTGGGTTAGCGCGGTGGACGACGGCAAGGCACGCACCAGCCATCTCCGTAAGCGCCTCGGGGCCGTGTCGTACATTTTGACTTTAGGTTTGGGGACGCCCAAAAGGCCATTTGACCGATGTCGACCTCCTCGTCCAACGCCATTTCATCACAGATTCAATAACGCTAATTCCTCTCTGTCGCAGGTTACAGCACCCGAGAGCACTAAGGCCTCTCCCTGCCTGCCTCTGCGATCGAGCCCATCTAGGTCCGTGCTCAGGTGTCACCAAGGCCCCTCCGTTTTTCGCCATTGCCCTCGCCTATTTCGCTTATTTCCTCACGTTAATAACCCACGTTTTACCATTATGGATGTTGCCGAACCGAGTATCCTTGCCGGCGCCCATTCGTCGTTCAGATCTAGCCTTCTTCGAGAATGTGGTCCGTCCCCAAAATCTAGATCCGGGTTTACGATTCGCAAATCCGGTACGTAAGCGCAAAGCGGGTGTAACCCGTCACTATTGCCATTGCTTGGTTGAATGACGGGTTATCATTAAGGACGCCCAGGAGACTACGACGTTGTCACTATGAGCAAATGATTTGGGTGAGCGTCACCGAACAAGATACTCGCTGACATGGTGGCGTTCCGCGGTCAAAGAGATGCGTCCACGAGCTCCAGAAGAACGTAGAGGAAATGTTGCTGATTTATGGCTTATGCATCGATACCCAGGGTGGACTCCAACGGTCATATAAGCGTACGATTTCTCGCCTCACCGACGTCGCAAACCGTTCTCAGCCTTGGACAGATAGATATAAGGTTGATCCTTTGGTAATCTATTAATTGCGCCAATATAGTAGATCCACTGGGATGGATATGAGGCGGCCAGGTGGCGTCAGGTCAGATTTCGACAGAAGAAGCTGCCAGCAGTCTGCATCCAGGCTCCAAGTTTTGGATCAGGTTCATAAGGAGCTGTTGATACTGGGTCTTTACTCGCTGAGGACGCAAGGTAGCTGCCTACTTTGTGACCCTGAGCTGTCGTTAGCCATATTCATGGTATTGAAGTTAACCAGCTACAGTCGTGACCAGCCCATTGAATCGTATTAGTCTATCGGCTGGTTGATGGATGCTTTATCGCCTCCAGATCAACCAGCGATACCTATAAAGCTGCCTTCTCTTCACCGTGTGTGATCACCACGACATACCTAGAAACATCAGGCATCTTGTCGAGCATCCTACGTAACTGGATCAGCTTCAGTAGAAGTTCATATGGTTAAGTCTACAGTGCCTTCGGTCTGGGCCCTCTATGTGTGCGACGCATTGCCCGAATTCCAAGCACTCAAGGCGAAGGAGGTGACACGCCTTCAGAATTTTCTGGTCTTTGTAAGGAATTTCGTTTCATTATGTTCTGCCTTGTTAATTCTCGAAAAGCTCGCGTTATATTTCTCTGCAACTTTGACCGCCGTACAAATGAGCAAAGATGATAGTGATCCAATTCCGGAGCGGACACTGGATACTCTCGTTTCATCTCCACCCGATTATTTACCAAACCATTGCCTGATTTCATGAATGCCACACAGAGCTCATCAGCGCAAGAGAATCAAGAAGTTATATATCATCTTCAAGTGATCTCAGTATATCTGGTGATTGTAGCCACCATTATGACCTTTATCGACCTTTTGACCCAGGACAACTGGTCTTCGTTCTCCGCCTTTTACAACAGCAAGACGCCGGTATCAAATCTGCGGGAGCAAGCAATCGAACTGAATCAGGCTATATCATTGAACATCAAAGAGGAGTGGATGGAGATACTTACGATGGTTTTTACATCTGAGTGGGCACCGTATCTAGGTGTCATAGTGGCATGGCTGGACCCGTTTACAATTATTACAGAGTGGACACCGTACCTATGCATCGTAACGAGTATGGGAATACTGACTCTCTTCTTTTCCTACCAGTTTGGTCAGTCTTATCTGATGGCAATGGGTCCCATGATAGGTGGGATAATAGTTCTCACAAACTTGCGTATAACCTGGAAGATTGCGGTCAAATTTGCTCAAGTTTCCGTCTCATATATCAGGTACAGCCAGACGCAGAGCAAACTCCAAAGGCGGCACCGAGCAGAACTGCCCATTACACGATATATTCTATACAAGGGAACAATAAACAATTCTCTCCTGAGTTTCACAGTCGCGATGCACCATATGAATAGTTGGCAGACGAAAATATACGACCAACTAGATGGTCGACCCCTTAAAAGGTTGATGATGGACATGCTTCGCAGCCATTCTCTGCCTCGCGAATCTCCTAGATCATATACTGATGAGGAGGTCAGTTTGCTCCCATTACTCGCTGTATGCGCAGCAGACCGGTATATCGACGGACTTGACTATGTGGAAAATGAGGATTTCGAATTCTCGCACACAGAGGCTGGCCAGGGAAGTCTCAGTGCTCTTTTTGGTGATCTCTCAGACTTTAGACGAGATCTTGAGGCCCCATCAAGTATCGAGCTTCACGTCATCGTGCAGTTGGTCCTCTGGCGGAACAATCCGTTCAATGCAAATTTCCACTCGCTATGGGAGGGACTTAATAACGGAGAGTACCCTGCAACCCATCGCGCATACTCTCCCAGAATATACTCTTATGCTCTCCAGCGATTTCGTGCTTATGCGATTACTTCAAGAGGGTCAAATAACACGGAATTTATGACTTTGTTCATGAACAAGGTTTGTGTCTTGAGGAGGAATAAGGATATCTACTTATCCTTGCTCTAGTTTCCACGATTCGCTGACATTGCTGGACTCGACGACCCCGACCTTGGCTCACAGAGGAAGTTGGCTTTGTGCACCCGACTCTGTGCGGCTCCCTGGTTTGAAAATTATATCGACGAAGGCAACAGACGCCAAAATATCATTACGGAGATAAGGAAGGCCGGGCAGAGGAGGTCAACCCGGCAACAAACGGGGGTGGACATACTTCCGCTGATCAATTATCTGAATCTAGACATACAATGACGAAGGAGCGAGTATGTTGTTGAGATTAGTGGACTGCCCTTGTCCATAACAAAGTGTCGGAGTCCCACTATGCCCAATGGTTCACTTCTATTGGATTCGATGTATATAAATCGCTACTTTTATTCGTGCTTGTCCTCATCCCTTGCTGGTGTTTAGAGAGACGCCGACATCAGCATTCATGACGTTCTTTGAAGGAAGAGATGCTGGTGATGGGCTTCCTTGCTGACTCCCTGTTCGAATATTCCGTAAGACGTGTGCCCCCCCTGGGCGCTTCCGAGAAGGCCGCTGAGTGTTAGTCTCGGTGTGAGAACCCCTGAAGGAGTATTAGATTCTGAGTCATTTTGATGCTACCATGACTGCAGAAGTGCGCGCCTATGGTTGTCGGTGGCCAGGGCGGTGCCGGCGGCCGATGGCATGACGGCCAACGGTGCAGAGACCCGCACGCGCCTTTTGGTCCCTTCGCTGGCGGCAGAGGACGGCGAGCGAGTTGGACCCGACTTGAGCAGCGTGTTTACAACTCACAGCTCAACGCTCTTGCACGTCTTTCACTCGCCCTCGAGCCGATGTTGGCGATTTCTCGCTTTTCCAACGATCAAAGCACGGCGTCGAGCTACCAAACGAACCACCAACTCGCATTTCCAGATGGAAACACATCAGTAACATCCATCGAACTCGAAAACGACGACGAAATGCAGCCAACAGACACACCGGCTGGTGAGACTGCAAGTGACCCAGAGTTTGACGGAGGGAGACAGCGAGTCCGAGTAGACGAGCGGAAAAAGAGATTTCGGTGGGATATCGAACACAGGCGGTCTGTGGATCTCCATTTGGGCCATCTGGACGAACTCCCAGCACACTTCGCTTCGACTCAACAGCCGCCCACTACCGCTACCAGCCTACCATTGAGACCGCGGAGACGCCGTAGTCGCTCGTTTAGTGGAGAAGAACTCTTCGACTATAAAGCACCACTTGCGACGGAATCATATCAGCGCAAGCTTGCACTCTTGCGGTCTCAGAGGGCAAGTCTATCCCGTCCTCCAACAGCAGCTCTCGTTGCTCGCCTTCCAATACTAGAAGGAGATGCATGGCAAGACAAGCCATTCTCACCGTCCAGCGGTGTGCCAACCATTCTCAAGCGACCATCTACACAGTGTCCGACCGGACCTAACGAGGAACAACTCACTGTATCCTTTCCAAGCCTCGAGGTTCAAGGATCAACACACAACATATCCTTCGACCCAGTTTCACCAAGCGAAATCCCATCGCTGACCGAGGAGCCTTCCGAATCCATCACGGCACCGAGTAGTCCATTCTTTCCTCCCCTCCCGACGCCAGTTCCTTCTGCTGTCGTTACCGGAATCGTACCCAAGTTCAAGCCACCTAATCCTGTACAATCACCAAAGCTCGCCATTCCACGAACTTTGCCCAAAGACCGTTCTGCGTCTGAGCTCCTTTTCTTACGATCCAGATCCATTGACCACAATCCATCTCCAGATCTCATGTACAAGTCCATTCCTTCTCGCATATCTCGACCCGCCCCCGCACTCATGTCCAATAATACCCCCATGCAACGGTCTAATAGTCGTCGTCAACAGTTACTCCCTAATCCATCACAATCCCCGCCAGTATTCTTTTCCAATCCGTCGCTGTCTGGCGTGTATATCCCAGCATCAGTACACCCGTCTTCATCTGGAATGAAGCCCACTCAGCCGTCACCTCCCAACCCGGTTTCACTCACTACTTCGCCACGATCGCCAGTTGGCCATTCCATATCACCGCATACACCGCAGTCATCCATGCTTTCACCCGTTCCTACACCGTCCATTTCCATTTTGGATGAGAATCAATTCGAGCCGCCACATCGCGCAGAATCTCCACCCTGGCGAACCGTCAAATCAGGCAGTTTCACCTCTCCTCGCCTAAAGCCCAATTCTGCCGCCTCTGCCGATCCGCTGGGTCCAAACCCGGGACTCGTCAGCTTGATCAAGAGCCCTCCAGTAACCCCATTCACGTCGGTCCACCTCCAAATCGACGAACTCCCCAACGAAGGCGACTCGGATCAAGAGTCCATTCGCCCGAGCGTGACAACCCCACAGTTCAACACTTCGCCCATCAAGATTTCGCTTTCCGAGCCTACTCCATTATCAGAGCAGGCCCCACCCCAACGACCGATCACGCCTGTTTCGGTCTCTGGCAGTGTACACCCCTCTCCCAGGCCCGAAATTCTTTCGCCTTCCCCGCCTATTCGACTCGATCTGCCTCCAGAAACACCGCCGATGGATCCGTTTGCGCTACCGCTCTCCACCGAAGCAGTCGAAGAGGCGCTGGACAAGGCGATCATGCCATGGCCCATCAAAGAGCGCGAAGCAAAGGGAATCATGCCGATTCGAAAGATTGTCAAGAGAGTTGAGAAGGGAGAATGGGAGAATGCACCCAAGTCTGACCAAGTTCCTCGTGAGAGCGCTGTGAGTCTCCGCTCTGAATCTCAATGTCTTTATCTGACTTGTTCTCAGCTATGGCGGCTCATTCGCGCTCAAAGACGTTTGTATGTCCACTTTTCGTGAACTTGTGACTGAGACTTGGTAGTATGGATCCAAGGAAATCAAGACTTGTTCAAGCTCAAGCATCCTTCCGGCGTGCCAAGAGACCACAAATCCCCCAAGACGCAGTACGTCGATGACGGCGAACCCTATGTAAGTCTTTCCTGTCTGTGCATTCTCAAGGGTTCTGACCAGTACGAAAGCGGGCGATAGAGGTGTTAGTCCGAGCGATTCTCCTCGACCCACGCGTCGTTGCGTTCAAGTCTATGGAAGCCAGGAGGGACTTTATAGAGCAGCTGGCTTGGCAAATCTTGTGAGCCAGCTGTTCAATATGAGCGAAGGCACGTCTAATGTTTTCTTCCTAGTGCCGATTCCAAGCAGTCTGGTTGGCCTGAACTCAATGACGACCAAATCAACCTCGACGACTTGTTTGCTCAAGCAGAGGCTCGTGCTCATGGAGAAGGACCACAGCATTCTGTTGGGCCTATCAATACCCGTCGAGGGTTAGCCGGCTTCATCCGTTAGTTCTCTTTACGCTACCGTTGATCTAGCTCATTGTCGTACTAGGGAGCCACGTCGTCCTCGCGATTCTAGAGGAGCAAGACGGCTTCACCCAACGCGCCGTTCTGAAGTACGGTCGCGCTCTCGATACCATCGTTTGGGTAAACCAGACGCTTGGTGCCGCTCCAGACAAGATTCTCTATGGCAAGGGAGACGCAAAAGAGCGTGTCGAGTCGGTTTTTGATGGCGTCTTTGCTCGTGGCGTTCAGTAAGTTTTGCAGATTGAAATTAACCACACCTCTGAATGCGTCTAGGATTCGACTTGGCCACACCCTCATCGCGGTAATTGAACCACGCCTTTCAGTGATCGATGTCTCACGTTTCGTAGCAATACAACTATATCAAGCGAGAAGCACAGTACCAATCTCTTCGCAATGACCTCTTGGCAGAACTTCTCCAGGGCTCGATGGACTTGTTCGAGTCGGTCTCTCAGCTGGTGATGAACCCCTACGTCAATAAGAATCTCAAGCTCGAGGTGTACATCTCAGACTTTGTCTATCGTACGTGTATTAGAGCCTACTGGTCGACTTCTTCTGACCATTTACCAGACGTTGCACATGCCCATTTGTACGTCGTGCAGAAGCCAAGGTTCATCCAGTTTGCTTACTTGCTGCTAGTTTCCAAGGATTTTATGCCAGGGAAACCGCCAAGATCATTCTCGACATGAATCTTTCGAGTCCACGCACCAATAGACCGGCATCCGAAGTCGCCCGTGAGCGCAGCGCGTCCGCCGCAAAAGCGTTTACGCAAGCAGCCTTGTTGTTCCCCGACGACGAAGAGGAGAGGATACAGTGCTTTGAGATGGCGCTCGAGGAAATGCTCAAGGTATGTTCCTTGGTCGCGTAGCTCGGCAGTTGGGTATTGACCGTGCTCAAGGTCGGAGGGCTGCGAGTCGCCGAGGCGCTTGCAATGTACGACTCGCTCAAGGACGCTCAAGTCATTACCGACCGTCTTTGGAATTACCACGCACCCAACGACGATGAAGACGGGGAAGATGTGACGAGTGGGCTGTTTGACGACGATTCGGCGACGGCAAAGAAGAAGAAGAAGAAAAAGAAGAAAAAGAAGGACACTTTGGCTACTGACGTTGTCGAGGGAGCTTCGACAGACAAACCATCAACTCCCGTCGTACCCACCACGCCTCGAAAGGAGCCTGGTACTCCCAAAACACCAGCCCTACTCACAGTGCAGACACCGCAGCAGAAACCCGCGCTTCTTTCGTCTGCGTCTGCTCGTTCGGTGCTGTTGGACCGATGGTTTGGCACGCTTCGAAGGAACCGTGACGAGCAGCGGATCATGGGAGGCGATCTCATTCACGCGGCACGTAACCTACGTGGTCGTCCGGAGATCGTGTGGAAGGACTTTTCCGAAGAGGATGCTGCGTTGGAAGACGAGGCAGACGGAGGGAGTATCCCGTGGGCGAGCTGGGGAATGCGAAGCGTCAAAGCGACTAAATGGGAGGACCTCATTAAGGAGGAGAATGGGAAGAAGAAAAAGACTCTGCAGAAAGATGGCGACAAGGCGAAAAAGGTTGTCATTGGAGGCGAAACCGGGCAGACGCCACCATCCACGACGACGACGTCTGCTCGCAGCACTAGTCCTCAACGACTGAAGCCAGCGATCAAATCAACAAAGCGCGCGACGATCTCTGCGCGCGAATTTGAAGAGAGCCTCGAGTCGATTGCCAAGATTTCGCCCGAGCTGAGTGAACTCGTCAAGTCGGCGGATATAGAGGAGATGGCGGACTTGATGGCCAAGGAGAATGAAGTGGCCCAAAGTCCGCTGCTGGAGGGAAAGGACATCCAGCTCAAGCCCGCGGCGAGCGAGTGGGAACGGCCCACGCCGTGGAGTATTGTACAACGATTGTCGAAGCAGAAGCTGTTCGCGATCGCACTGGATGCGTTTAGCGACGGGGCACGAAAGTAACGATGGATGAAAGTGACTGAAGTTGACCATAGAGCTACTTGGATGTTTATCGAGTCGCATTTTGTCTTGTCGGGTGTATTATGCTATACCTAGGTTGTCGTTTGTATTTGTTTTCGAATGAAATCCAAGCTGTCTTGACTTACCTGGGTGAGTGAATCTTAGGGTGGCTGCGATGTCATGACTGAATCACATTCCATAATAGGAATACTTGTTAGCAATAGTCATACTGAATTTGAGTCTGCGAGCGCGGACTGACATCATCCCCGTCGACTCCACTCCGTTATACTTTGGACCCGTCCATAACTGCTCAGATGACAACTGCTGAACCAATCGTTCCTCTTTCTACAATGCCGCCTACGACAACGACGACGACGACGACGACAACAGCACCAGCAATGCCTGCAAGACAAGACTCGCTCGCCACCGTCGACATGCATATCCCTGGAGCATGGGTCGGCACTAACCCAAGTACACCAGCACCCATCTCAGAGGACATCAAGTATTTTGGAGAACAGCTCAAGACACTCCCAAGCACCGTCCAAAACTATATCCGTACGTTGGACTTTTGATGGGAGACGACACAGCGCTGACGTCTACTCTAGCAAAGAATGAGGATGGAACACCTGTGACTGCAACGCTCAAAGACAAGGCAGCGTCCCTTTTACCAGCTGGTGCCCTAAACACCGCTGCAGCCTACCTTCGTATGTCCAATGACATCAACGCCCAGACATCCCCTCTGACAACCTCTTTAGCCGCATCTTTAAATCCCACGGTTGCTCCCACGGCAGCAGATGCACCGCCGCCAGTGACGAACGAGGCTCCACACGTCGAGCAGCCGCTGCTCCCTACGACGAATGCGGACATGCCTGCCTCGAATAAGCAGGTCGACGAGGCAGAGATTAAGGACGAACAACCGAAACCCAAAACGTGGACACAGACTGCCGCATCCGTCGTCCCAGCCGGTGTCGCTGCGTATCTTCGTATGTTTCATCTCATTATCTTTGTGCATTCACTAATTCACTCCTAGCCAGCGCCTTGAATCCAAACGCTCCGACTGTAGAAACACCCACGGAGGGCGCTCCTACTCCCTTTGGCGAGCACGAAGGACTCAATGCACCCCTTCCACCAGTCCCATCAGAGTCTTCTACCTCTGCGCCCCCAGCACCCGTCGTTGGTTCAACTGTCTCTCCAGACGAAGACGTTCAAGCAGCACTCTCAAATTCACCCAACCCAGAGCAATACAAGACTGAGGTCCCCGTCGCCAACCCACCCGGCACATCGAGCGAGGAGAAGAGTGTCATCGAGAGCACGCGGGCTGTGGGAGGTGAAACGCCTATTACCCCTCTTTCTGACCCCGAAGGCGGCGGCTATCCCGCCAAGGGGGAGCATGGCGTCTCTGGTATCACCGAGGCCACTGCTCGAGGAGCTATTGGCGCTTTTGCAACCGATCATGCGCTGAAGGATCAGAAGGAGGCGGCTATCCGTGGACATGAGACGCCTCGTCCAACTGAAGCCACAAAGCCCCAGGATTCCTTTGCACACGTCGTCATCCCCGCTACCCCTGGTGCTGGTCTGAACGAACAAGAAATGTTCAACAAGAACACTGCCAAGGATGGCACGCTCTCGCCAGAGAAAAAGCACAAGAAGAGTCGCAGCGGTTCCACGAGCGCTGGCGAAGCGAGTCCCTCGAGCCCATCCAAGAGCATGTTTGGTGGCATTCGCAAGCTGACGAAGAAGCGCGATCGAAGTAGGAGCAAGGGGGCTCACTCGCGCGACGTCAGTGCAGACGAGACTGGTGTCCTCGCCGGTGCGACTACCTCGAAGCACCGCGACGACACGCTCGAAAGTCAGCACTCTGGATCTAGTGGAGGTGGGAACAGTCCCGTGACGGATCGCAAGGGCCACAACGTTCTTCACAAGGACCCTCCAACGGGGCACCAGCACCCGAATACTCACATCAATGAGAGTGCCAACCTCGCTACCACCGATCCTTCGCTCGATAACAACGCGAACAATACCGCCGCAGAGCTAGGCATGCAAGAGGCGACGCCCGTACCGACCAATAATCCAGCCACAATTACGTACAATTCGGGGAGCGTCAAGGAAAAAAACGGCACACCCAACATGCTTTCGAACCCATTCTCCCCTGGATCACCCTCGTCGAGTTCGCCCCACAAGGTCGGTCTCAAGGACAAGATCAAGGGCGAGTTTATGGTTGTCCAAGGTGTACTCTCCCGTGACGAAGGGCTCAAAGAGGCGGGTGAGAAGATGAAAAAGGGCACGCTCTAGGCGTATTTTCGACACTCCCTCGGACTCAACGCTACACTACGATTTGTCCCATACGGTTTCTATTCGACAGTTCTGCTGTATTCTATACCATGAATATCAATTCCGTCTTAGTGTGTGGATCTACTGTTCCAAGTTAGTCCTAACCATAACGGACGCCTGTTGCATGAATCTGCTCAGGAAATTGTAGCTTTTCGAATGACTGAAATGTCAACATCTGACCCATTCTGCTCTTAGAAATTATCGGTGGAGGTGGCCAACCACTTGACGGCTACTACAACTTTACTTTTGGCCACTCGACCATTTGAGCCCGTCGTATCAAGCCTCACAGCTACATACAAGTTCTAAAAACTCGCTGCGCACAGCTGGTTGCTCTCAAAAATAGCTGATCTTCAGGCTCAATCCAGCTGAGGTTTGGCCCGAGGCACTCCGATCCAGTCGAAGCAGATCACTAGTCTCACATCTTTGGATATTTTCATATACATTTTGCGCCTTTCTCTCTGCCTCCGTACGTCTGGCGCACCATATCCATTGTCCCTCCAGCGGTCTTTGTTCTACAAAAGCTCGCACCTGGAGGATAGCAAGGTGGTAAGACAACAGTTTGAAAACAGGAAGCTCTTTATAACCAAATTACCCGGACGTCTCTATCTACAGGCCTCCTGTCAATCACTGCGCCAACTTCAAGATGGACCCAAGTCTGTCCTATCTGTCCTTTCCGCTATAGCATGCTTATCGTTCCTTCATAGACGCCTCTTCACTGGTCGAAATGGTAAAGAGTACTATGAGTCTCCGTCCGGATCTGTTGGGTTAATCCCTTTGTTCTTTTCTGTCTATGTATTCAGACCTCTCCGATTTCGCCATTTCATGCTTGGAATACTCTAGCCGTCGCCAGAACTCGACATCACACAGCTTACCAACGCTGAGTGACGAATCCCATCACTCCGAAAACACTCTCGTTTCTCAAGGCAGCGATACAACCGTGGTATCCCCGTACGCTGTCTCTGCATACGAGAGGACTGGGTATTATAACGGAATCGCTAAGAGGGCGAACATCCGGACCTACTCTACCGTACTGGATCAGACAAGTATCCCTGGGTCCAGCCCACCGGTAGATTTGCCATTCTGCCCACCAAGTCACTTTTTGGGGTCCATGATACCCCTCTGAACAGCGTCTGGAGCACGGTCGGTCCCCAGATTTGCAGTTTGGTAAAAAATACTGTCAAAACTCGCTGGACAATCAATCCTGCTCGCTTTATCACTCGTAGGGAGGATGAGGAGGAGACGCTCGGTCCCGTCGTGATATGGGTTGGGGTCCATCCCTCCTCGACATCCGCCGAAACGGCACATCAGGTTTCTGAGGCAATCCATCAGCTTCTTCGAAAAAATGGAGTCCTAGATGTTGAAGTAGAGTGGCACGAATCAGTTTTATGGAAGGCATCTGGCCCACCCTCTTATCTGTTGTTGAGGATGATGACGCCACCGTTCACGTCCGACGCCATCTCACCGCTGCTCTTGGAATGCCAATAGCTACTGTGGGCAGTGGGGATGCGGATGCCCAGGGTAGCGTCACCTTCTTCTTTCACGAAAACCGCGACAAGAACGGCAACCCGAGTAACAAGGTCTTTGGTGTCAGTAACCATCATGTCCTCCGTACGACTGATGAGAAGTATGAATTGAAAGGCGCCGGCGCGCCTCGTCAGTATGTTCGGGTCAATGGATATCGCCGCTTCCAGAGGGGTCCTTGACGAGATCAAGCATACCGTTACCCTTCATATCTTGTCTTCAGAGAGGATCGCCAGGAAGATTACTTGGCTGGAAGAAAGTAGCAACCAGGGGCGAGCGGAAGGCGAATCTAGAAAACTTCTTACCTCTCAAAAGGAGTTGGAAGAACAGAAATGCATCATTTCCGAGCTCCACAAGTTTTACAATACAGTCATGGCGCAGTGGAGCGATGTTGAGCTCCGTAACATTGGTCATATCCATTATTGTCCGCCAATCTCCATCAATACTGTCAAGGGCGAGGAGTATACCGAGGATTGGGGGTGTTTCGAACTTGATGAGGAGAAATTCAGAGACTAATTCAGGGGTAACGTGGTGGATCTCGGTGCGCCATTTTCATTTTCATATTTGGGTTTCACGTAAACTAACAAATGCAACTTCTTTTCAGGGACTGAGATCTCAGACGGCAAACTATCGGATATGCTATACTCTTTGCAGAAGGGCAACTGGAATTTCAAGTATCCCCATGACCGACAGATGAGAATCAGAGGTGTAGTCACCAAAGAGCTCCTGGATAGAGCAGACATGATTGACAACAAAGGGCGGCCCTGTCTCATCGTCCTCAAAGATGGCTGCGCTACCGACCTCACCGTTGGACGCTATGCTGGACTAGAGTCATTTGTTTGCGGAGAAAATGGCGTTGTGTCCACCGAGCTCGCTATCTACGCTTATGAAAGCACCTCAGGCCGCTTCTCAGCTCATGGAGATTCCGGTTCCCTCATTTTCGACGGTAATGGCCGCATGGTTGGTCAACTCCACTCTGGAGAATCAAGAGCCGGATTAAAAGGTGTCTATGTCACCTATGCTACACCTGCCTGGTGGCTCGTTTCTCGCATCAAGGAGAGGTATCCGCACGCTGACTTCAACCGCACTGTCTGGTAAAGAAGTACCAACTTGATCGAAATTTTCTTCTCTCATCCTCTCTTCTACGATTGGCCTTTGTCTCTGGTGACGAGCTATCTACCGGTGTACCAAGGAGCTATATGAGCCTTAATGCTGAGATGTTTTCATTCGCTAAACTCGGACGCTCTTCAACGCCAAGGCGGATGAACGCACCGACGAACTGTGAAACTAGTCTACAAGGCAATTGATCTGCAGTCATTCAATCTATTGGTGTCAAAAGAGACGCAAGAATGAGTGAACAAAAGGGGAGATGGTGGTGGTACAGTCAAGTCACGATTTTTAGTTGCTTTTTGTCGAATTTCTTATGCATATGGGAGGTTTAATTGCCGATGCGTCGGTGGACGGAAGAAGAGAATGGAATCGTGCTCGGTCTAGTATGGCTGGCCGTACCATACAGGATGTTGGGAACGCTGACGTCGATAGCGACTGCCGCGACCAGTAGAATAACGTTGACCATCATATGACTCGCGCAAATAAGGAGGAAAATTGGGCGTCCTTGATGCAGGCGAATGGTACTCGTAATCGTAAGCCTGGTGTGGATACTGGCACTGCTCGTGATGGCGATACGCTGTCCACCTTCGAGCATCCCTACCCTTCTCACGATCGTGCATATCACGCTTGAAGGAGCTCATCATGGATTCCCAATCTCGGAGCAAATTGGCGCGGTGATGCATGAACAATTCCTCCATACGCCTCTCGAGTTCCTTTTCGAGCTCGAGTACTTGGTCTTCCTCGAGGACAGAGGCATTACTGTACGAGCCTTGCCGAGAAATGCCACTGCCGCCTTTGGGTAAGCTATGAGTATCCCCGAGGCTGCCTATGCTCAGACGACGAGCAGCGAGAATAGGCGATCTAGAGGTGGACGTCGATGGTTCTGGAGCATAGTTTGGACCATATGCCGGTGGAAGATCACGAGCCATGTACGTCTCCAGAATGTTGTCCGCCACCTTTTCGATACTGCGTTCCAAGGTGAGCTGATTGTCGCGAGAGGGTGTAGAAGCAGGAATATGTTGATCAAATGTCTTGGTCTCCGCTTCTTGCACGCGCATGACCTGCAAGTTGATCGTATACTCTTCAATCTGTTCCGCCGAATAACCTTGCTCGCGAAGGTCTTCGAAAAGAAGAGCCATGGCCAACTCTTCATCTTGATTCGTGATGCTTTCTCGTTCAGACTCCGTCAGGTCATGGGATGGCGTTTGACCGTGGAGCTCGTTGCTATCTCCAAAAGGCTCTGGCGTGGCGCCGTCCTTCTCCTCCACTGGCATCCTCCATTTACCCTTTTCCATGGGAGAATATGAGACTGGTTCCTCCAAGTTTGAGTTGTGGGGCCGAGTCTTGTCGGTGTAGCTCGGTGGATTGCCCAACGACAGGTCACTCGCAGTACTCTCCGAGGCGGGCGAGGAAGCAAGCTCCACAGGATCCTCTTGTTGGAGACGTGGGGAAAGGAAGGACGGTGGTTTGACTGGCGTCGATGGAATCATGATACGCAAAGGATTAGGGATGCTAACAATGTGCTCGCTGACTTGAAATGCGCGCTATGAGTCGTAAAATGAGAAATAACTATGCTAGGGTGTGGAGAGAACGCGAACCGTCAAGCCGTCATCTGCATCCTCGACTGATTCCTTGCGAGGTGGGAAAGCATCAGAGTGAAGAGTCTTTGATATCCGGAGATCACATGGTTAGCAAACTATCATCCCAATTGTCGCTCTCTACTCACCTGATGACCGCGACACTGGAGATCCTCTTGGTTACGGATGCTCAGTTCTTCATGCCTAGAGTGATCCTGTATCACCTTTTAGTCGGTTGGTAAGCTCATCTTACGCCCCAACGGGATGCAAAGATACGCCAGCCGGGACTGGGCCACAGAGACGATGGCTAATACTCACCTGAGAGGAAAAGTGATGCATTTCGAGTGAAAAGAGCACTTTTGACTGTGAAAAAGGTGTGAATCGCGCTAACGGGCAAGATGCCGGATGTGGTCAATGTTCAAGTCGCGCTTTCAAACTCCGACGATTACCGGAAAGAGATTCTCAGCTCACTATTCATAGATGGATTGAAATTGTATGTATTTCGAGACTCTGCTCGTCATGGGAACGGTAGGACCTCGGCCTGATTGCTCGATGCAAGGCGGATGAGCCGTAGAACAGCTAGCGCAATGAGACCATACGCGATGCCTAGAGGAACTCCATATGCTTGTATCATTTCGGAGAATCCACCTGCGAGGTAGGCCCAGAATGCTGTCACAAGGAGCAATGTGATGGCGAGAACGAAGACGAGAACCCGTCTGAACGCTTGCGAGGTGGACACTGGATGTACGAATCGTTGATACTTGGATTCCACTGCGTGATATATCCATGCATCGGAAGTTTGTCCAGCCTTGTCAATAGCCTCTACCTCTTCCGCCTTTAGCTCACCTAGAGCCAAAGGTCATTATAGGGCAAGAGACAAGAAAAGGCATACGCACCAAGTTTTCGGATGCCGAGGTACTCTTCCAATCGCTCCTTCTTTCCGGTGGTCGTGACGATTACGCCGTGTTTCGCGCGGACCCATAGGAAAAGAATCTGAGCAGCTGTAGCATGTAGTCTCTTGATGGGTTTCTCCAGCGCTGCTGTGACTGGGCCGGAAGGAAGTTGGGTGATGGGGCTATCTCCGTTAGTCGAGCGCCTTGGCGGGGAGGAGAGCTTACAAAAGAGAGCCGTAAGCCTCGACTACGATAGAGTGTTTCGCACATGTCTGGATCGTTTCGAGATTTTCTGCGTAGATGTACGGATGCAGGCGAATCTATAGCAGGTGAGCACGGTAAAAAAAGGCGACGACGGGCGCACTTGGTTCACCGCTGGGAGCACTTTGGCAGACTTGAGGAGTTCTTTGATGTGGGAAGTGGCAAAGTTGGAGACGCCAATACTCCTGCGTCCGGTGAGCGCTGTCGGTTGGTCAAAGTGGGATACACACCGAGCGAGTCCATCCTTTTTTACGCGTTCCATCTCCTCCCACGCTTGTGCAACCCTTCCTTCGACAAACATGGGGTGATGAATGAGGTAGAGATCGACATAGTCGAGTTGCAGCTACTTTGGTCAGTTTAAGGACTAGTATTCGATGGAAAAAGCGTACTTTCTGTAGACTAGTCTTCAACTCTTCATATGGACCAGCGGCACCTCCACTGTATTTTGTCGTAATCCACAAGTCACACCGAGCCCTCGGTATTTGTCGCTTTTTCTCGTCCTTATCCGATTCTATCCAGTCCTTGATAGCCTTCCCAACGCTGTCTTCGTTGTGATATGCCTGGGCTGTATCGACATGGCGAAAGCCAGCGTCGAGGGCAGCTGTGACGGTGTTGTAGACATCCTTGTCACGAAAGACGGAGCCAGAACCGAATGCGAGATTTGGGATAGCTCTGCCATCGTTTAGTTTGGTGTGACCGATGGGCATTGTCGTGGTGGGGTTCAAGGCATGCCGTGTATAAGTCAGCGAGCAGTCCATCGATGCTTACACATCCTATTTTAGTGTAAAATGGCCATTATCCGTCGATTCTGAGCCAATAAGTGGGTGTCGACTATCGCAGTTTGTGACCAAGCATTTTAGCACAGCTTGGACCCCGACACCATCTGTCCACACCCAGTCTGCCACGAACAACCCTCCTTTGTTGGATTTGGAACTCTAATTTCATCTACGATACTTGTCGACGTCGATGCAACGCTGCCACGCCCGAGCGGCGGTACTCGTTCTCGCAGCATTTCTCATCGTACACGAGTGGAAACACCAAATAACACGAGTGGATGCTGACATTGTCTCTCGGACATGCGTAGATGGAGTCCCCTGTCGGATTCATGACGTCGACGCGCATGGGTGGTTCGTCGGAGCGAGGGCTTCCCCGCTATTCGGAGCGCAAGACGTCCAAAATAGCCAGCAGAACGCTCTAGACGTCGCAAATGTCTACGCCCAACGAGCTGCGCAGCAAGTGGCCGTCGCCTCTACACAGCAGGAGCACAGGAAACCTCGATTCCAGCTGAATAAAACGGATTCAGCAATTGAAATGGACTTGGAGCCGTCAGTTCAGAGCTCGTTTGCGCCCATGGGATGGGTAGACCCACGACTCCGCGGCGGACGGATGGTTGATGTGCGTATATCTTTCCCACACAATCTTCTGCTAACCTTATACATCTCAAATCCAGTTTACTCTCCCTGGTCGAGGCGAGCCACTCAACGCAATCATCTCCGGTCTCTCCGATCCATACATCCTCACCACCCGTGGTCTCTTGCACTACGCCCAAACAATCGGATTCTCGACAGAATGTCTAGGAATTCACATTGGAACACTGCACATCGCCAACCTAGGCGACTCGATTCCACACACGAATTCGACACTCCACACCACAGGCCTACCATCGTCCGACGATGACCCAGATGCGGATCCGTTCCCGCATCAGGGAGGGAATAAGACGGAGCAGCTGCTGGCTAGGCAGAATTTTGATTGGCCGTTGTATGGCTGGCCGGATTATGGAACCTGTTGGGAGAGTCTGGTCGGAGGCAATCATTTCCGTGCGTGGAAGCAGGATGGTGCGGGTGCGCGAACAGGGGCGTGGTTCCTAGCGTACGTCTCTTCTACATGACTTGATCGAGGGCTGACGCGATGTAGTGTCTCCAAGGAGCTATGGGCAGGCGCACATCACGATATCCAGCAGGATGGGTACAATGCTGGACGAGAACATCTTGTTATGCGAGCATTGAAGCCGACAAGGTGGAGTCCTATAAGCGAAGGGATATGGTGGAAGACGGAAGGTATGCGCCTGTGATCTATCGACCTTGAGCACTTGTTCACGATCCTAGTTGTCTACAACACCACCCTTCTTGCGCCAGGAAAACAAGGTATCAACCACGGCATCCCACAAGACGGCAAAGTCGCCATACTCACCGTCCGACGACGCGAAGGTCCACCGAGTTATGAAGAACTCGAGGCTGCGTGGGGACACGTTGCGCGTTCCAGTAGCTCGTGGGATGCAGATCACCGTGCGGATAGGAGGCGTGGGCAGTGGGAGCTCCAGACTGTTGGCGTCGAAGGGGATGTACGAATAGAACAGTCTAGATGGACGATTCGTTCGTGGAGGTGGATTCTTGGGACCTTGCTTCGAAGTTGGACGATTCGATAGCCTGACGGATCTTTTGCTCTGTATCACCATGCCATACTATACTGTCCATCTTGTTATTGTGAATCGAGCCCTTGCCTCCGACCACAAGGACCAGACCAACGCAATTTCGATACAAAAGCACTAAAGATATCCCTAGATCAGGAGAAGAAGGTCCAACTATTCGAGCATAGTCCCGTCTTCCACGCGGGCTGCTATCCGGTGACGATACAAAATCATGAATCTGCCAAGTGCAGTCGGGCAGCATCTCTAAGCCCGCTAGTATCACAACATAACGTCAATTATCCTGGCCTGAGAAACCTCGGAAACGACCCAGGTTCTCTTTGATCCTAAATATGTAGTACACTTCTCTAGTTGATGCGAATGATATACCGAGGGTATATAAATCGGTTGATGCGCGTTATTGGTGGCACTAACCAAGAAACAGATCTCACCCCTCATGAAGCTAGTCGCCCTCCTCGGCACCTTTGGGTTCCTCGTCGTAAACGTCGTGGCTCAGACATGTCAAGCCTCGCTCGAAAACTTTGGGATTTCCATAGTTCCAGTCGACGTTACCTCTCCTCCTGTACGCGCCTCGCTCCTTCCAACGAACGCGAGTAACACCTTTAATCTGGGCGTATGTATCTTCCACTGTCCAAGACTCTATGACTTACTCTCATGTAGACTTGTGCATCCTGTTCTAGTCTGTCGGTCCCACGCTGGGACCTCCGAGGCAACGAGCTCACGACCATATCGTTCAATTTTGGGCGCCGAATTATGAACAATCTCGTCCTCCCCAATAAACCTCTCTCTTTCGGCAGCCAGGTAATATCACGCTCCCCGTCATCTATCCAAGCTACTGCGTAGTGGTGAGAACACCCCCTTTAATCAATATTCCTTTTCTGAGGCGAATTGGTAGTTTGACAAAGGTAGCACTACAAAGGCATTCCTCGCGGCAGGCGGCAATACCGGTTCCTTCTTCTCCTGCGAAAACCTCTCCCCTCAGCTAGCAGGTACCGGCGCGTTTGATATCTGGTACGCCGTAAACGCGACCGATGCGTTTACACCGACGAGGGGGAAATGTACCCCTGTTACCCTGGTCGTAACTCCAAACTAATGTCAGGATACAAAGGCATGTAGGAAATTCTGTAGACTTGGTATTGCCAGTTTGTTCTCAGCGCTATAGGCTTTTGAATGAATGAAATGTACGCGCGCTCTTATCCTGAATCGCATGAGATTCATATTAGAAACCCGAATTAGCAGGTGATCTTGGCAGAAATACGTCTGTTATCCTGAATCCATGGTCCTGCGTCGTGCCGGCTCGGCAACAATCTTGCTCTCAACCACGATTTGGCCTTTTGTTTACCCTGCTGCGGGATCAATATCGCACCCATACCGAAACTTATCCATCATATCTATTGCAATCAGCCAGCGTCAAGTGGGAAAGGAACAGGATTCTGAACAGAGAGGACGTCCCGACCGCTTCATCCACCCTCTCTTACAAATCCTCCGCAGAATATAACAAGGATGTAATATCAAGCGCTCACTTCTATGCCGTCCTCCAAGCATGCCAGCCGTCCCTCCAATTTCTGCCTGAGAAAGTTCTCCGTTCAGAGGAGAAGCCTGCTTGATACGAGGGAAGATGGGCGTTACTTTGCTCAAGCTCTTCTGTATAACGGTCATCCCTTCGCGGCGCCAATCAAGTTTAAAGAATTTCGGCGGGGAACTTTGGTTCAATGCCGCCAAGAATTTCTCTACTCCTCAGTACTAATATTGACCACCTATGCGAAATCACATAAAGGGCCCCCCTGCAAATCGTTGGAAAGAGCAGAACCAAAGGACGCCCGCTATGAAGCTCGTTACTGTATTCAGTGGTTTGACTCTCCTGATTGGAGGATCGTTGGCTCAAGGTTGTCAATCTGAGCTCAACGGCTTTTCACTATCCATCGCGCGACCTGATGAGACGTCGAGGCCTTTGCCCTTGAGGTTTCTACCAACCAATACGACGATGATCTACACCCTCGGGGTAAGTGAACAGCGCTATACGGGTATTTTTGTTACTCATACTTCAATAGTTTTGCAGCTCTTGCTCCGCGCCCACAGTTGAGCATTGGATCCTGCAATCCAACTCACTGACAGCCTTTGTCCCTGACCACGGGTCGATCAAGAACGAGTTTGTTGTTGCCAACAAGCCACTTTCATTCTGGGAGGCGGGTGAGATATCTCTTCCCGTGCTCTATCCAGGCTACTGCGCATTGGTGAGGAGGTACTACTAGTGTATGAGAGGTACTAACACTGTCTTTCTCATATGTCAGTTTTCCAAGGGCAAGGGACTTCTCGCTGCCAACGGGCGCACAAATGTCTTTTTCGCCTGTGAGAATCGTAGTCCGAATCTCGCAGGTACTGCCGCGTTCGATATTTACTACCTTCCAAATACCACCGATACGGCGTCCAACTCTACCAGAGGTCATTGCGCAGCCATCAACTTGGAAGTGTTCCCGAAGTAGCGAGTCCAACATAGTCGGATGACATATTTCTAGTGTCTTAGCATGCAAATCAGACGGTTATTTACTACCCTCATATCGCCCTTATAAGCGGCCAGCCCGTCCGTCGTCTCTCGAATGGATGCCTCTAGCGGCAATAGGTAACCTTTTCTACGTCCATTATCTTGCATTGGTTGGTTTTGTCTAGGTTCGGTGCCGCCCAAGGAGCGACCACGCCTCTTAGACCTTACCGCGACTCCAACCCATAAAGGTCGAATTTAGAAGGAAAGAAAGGCGCATGCAGACGACTCGACTCCATTATTCTTCCCAAAAGAGCGTTCGGGTATCCAGATACGACGTCAATCAGCGAGTCCTCGGTCCTCCAATCAGGCCGACGGTACTACCACACTCAAAATTGCATAGGAGAGGAGGGGTATCATGTGAATTCTAGATCCTACCTCATTGTGGAAGTGATAGTAGGACTCGCGCAACCCAATCGATATTGAGAAACCTCGGAGTTAGCTCTGGTTCTCTCTCTTCCAACAAGCATCAGTCCAAGGTTTGTGCATCTGTCTCCCGTCTTCCCATCAAAACTAATTAGCTTTGTGTATTTGGCATATAACCAGTCCCCAGATGCGTTGGAGAGATAGCGTCCCCGAGACGAGACACTTCTACCATGAGACTCTTAGCCATACTCGCTGCGATATCTCTCTTCTTAGCAACAGCTCTAGCGCAAGACTGCCAGGCGTCGCTCAATAGCTTCTCATTGTCTATTGTTGCGGCTACAACCCCTTCATTGTCTGCACCGGCAAGGCTCGTGCCGACAAACCAGACCCTAAATTACAATATGGGGGTGCGCACTAGCTCAATAAAATCCTGAAACGTTTTAAACTTGGATAGATGTGCAATGTTTGCTCAGTTCCACTTGTTCAGCGGTGGAGCCTTCGAGGCAAGGAGCTGATAGCTGGGCTCTATTATAGTTCTCAGAGAACCATTGTGAACACACTGGTTCTGCCGAATAAGCCCCTCTCATTCCGAGCGTCTGGTGGCATCTCACCGACTGTCATCTACCCAAACTACTGTGCAATGGTAAGACACAGATCATCACTGTCATACCCGAATCTGAGAACAGCTTTTGATTCGATAGATGAATAAAGAGAGCCCTACCACCGGACTTCTTGCAGCCAATGGTCGTACCGACTTATTCTTCGCCTGCCAGAATCTCACTCCGAGTCTTGCAAATACCGGGACCTTCGACATCTACTATGCCGTGAATACTACTGACACGGCTTCTTCGCCTACAAGGGGCCAATGCGCTCGCGTTGTCTTGGCGGTAAAATCCCCATGAGAAACGTTAGGCCACCATTTGATGCGCTATGAATTCTAAATGATTTAGAGAGATATGTAATCCGTTTATACCATGAGATCGAATAGATTTGCGATGAAATAGAGGGTGGTCCGGTCCTGCATATGGGCAAACCTCAGTTTGCTCTCTGCAGCCTCTCTGTACCGGATCCAAGCCCAAGCCCACAATTTCAAATAGACATGCTGTGCCATACCTTGGCCAACCAACACCAGTCTTGAGAGGGTCAGCCAACGGCAATGAGCACCACTTCAAGACCACCAACTAACTCTCGCCTGAAGCTCTATCTCATTAAGGATCTCATTTACTGCCATTTGCGCGGGATTTAGTGCGCTTTTCACGGAGACGAAAGCTCTTGCAAATGGAGAAAGGCGTACGGACCGGTATCAGAAGATAAGTCATCAGGAGAAGGCGACTGTGCAATACATTCAAGCATGCCGTCTTCCAATGCAACCGTCCGTCAATCTCTCCTGAGAAAGTTCTTCACTCAAGGATGTAATACGTGCTCAACGCTTGTTTAAAGAGATGCCGGCGGGATTTGCTTCAATTATGAGCCGCATCAAAGGCGATAAGGCACCAATAAGCTTGGGAACATCGTTATTCAAGTCCTTGGTTCCCTTTACTCCTACTGGTAGTAGAATCTGCATGCTAGCTTTTCGTTTAGCATCGAAACTGATGGAATGTGCATAAAAGATATATAACCCCGACTGCCTGAAGGCTGCCAGCTGCGTAAGTGTAGTCACGCCTGTTATGAAGTTTTTATCCACGCTCAATACCATTCTTCTCGCATCGACGGCAACTCTAGCCCAGGATTGTCAATCTTCTCTCAACGCTTTCTCGCTCTCTGTCGTACCTATCGATTCCGCGTCCGCACCTCAGCCTGCGAAACTCCTGAGAACTACGAGGATGAATTACAATATGGCGGCATGTAGCTTGCTACATCTGACTATTGCGCCTGATAGACCAACAGACATGCACCTCCTGCCCCGCACTCACGGTCCAGCGATGGATACTGCAATATAACTCGTTGATACCTGTTCCTCTTACAAATTCTCGAGGCCCCATCAAAAACAATCTCGTCGTCCCGAATAAGCCTCTTTCATTCTGGGAGGCCGGCGAGATTTCTACTCCTGTTATCTATCCAAGCTACTGCGTGATGGTGAGAATGCCCTTGGCCAGAGATACACCCAGCCCTGATACCGTCTTCCAATAGTTTAGCAAAGAAGGCTCTACGACAGGTCTTCTCGCGGCCAACGGACGTTCAGACGCTTTCTTCGCTTGTCCGAGCCTCGATTTAAACCTCGGCGGGACCACCACGCAAGACATTTATTATGGGGTGAACGTGACCGGCACACCCTCTTTCCCTATGAAGGGCAACTGCACCCGTGTCAACTTGGCAGTAACTTCTTACTGAAGCGGTGGAATTACCAAGACTTGATGCAATATCCTGTAGTGTCTCAAGCGAACTCTTAGCGTTCTGTAGACCCTGGCGCTCCCGTCCCTGCTCCCGAAATAGATGGATGTTCTATGATCCTAGAAAGCGCGAAATCAATGCGTTGGATCCTGGGCTCGGGCTGGAGAAGTGGCCCGACCAACTTGACCTCCGCCGTCGATGGTCTCTGCGCGCCGAGTCTGAGTGGGCGCCTCGAAAAGTCAATTTGCGCGGGAAAAATGCGTTGCAATTCAACATAGCCCTCGTACGTTCACTCGGGCAGGGTGACCAACCCCGTCGCGGCTTCCAGCGGTCCCTATTCCGCGTTCTCCTACTGATCTTGCAGTCGTAGCACTCCGGGCAATTGCCCCTCTTGCTATCATTGGTCATTTATCTGACTTGGCGTGCGACTTCGGGCTCCTGACGGTGATTGATGTCGGCGAGAGTACGGGTTTTCTCGCCCCTCACTGTTCCTACTTGACGTTGAATACGTCTCTGCTTAGTATAAAAGTGGGTCAGATTTCTAGTGGCTCCCCCAGGATTCTGACATCTTCTGTAGTCTCCCCCGCTAAAACATGAAGCTCGCTGCGTTCGCTACATTCGTTCTTTCAAGCGCTGCTGTCGCTGTCAAGGCTGTCTGCATCGATACAGCCAACGGTGTTACTCTGTCCGTATTCCCTTTGGCGAACGCGACCGACATCCGCCCCGTCAAGCTCATCTCGGATGGAGCTGACTCGTATACCATGCTCGTACGTTCATGCTTGCATAGAAAACACGAATCTAACTTGGCTTGTCAGACATGCAATGAAAACTGCGGCGCCATTCCCATTGACAGCTGGTATCTCAAAGACAAGGTGCTGATCCCGTCGCTCATCCAAATCGCCATCTACACCATGACGGATAATCCAGTTCCCGCGAACACGTCTCCTTCGTTCAAGAGGGTCAGAGTCGGCGACCCGGTGTACAAATATCCTATCTATTGCATTGACGTACGTCGCCTATTCCCGCCGACTTGCCGATACTCACCTTTCTCCTCTTCGTGTATATGGTATTTTTATTCAATTAGTCACCTTTAAAGAGCGCAAAGAAGGGCCTACTTTCGGTCAATGGTGCCACGAACAAATTCTACCTTTGCGATAATCTCATTCCGACATTTGCTCCCACGGAACGTGGTGACATCTTCTATGATGTTGACCCCAAGAAGTCGGTCTATCCCCGCGGCGACTGCCGCCCAGCTGGTATTATTGCCACCATCCCCTAGGCAAGCGGTTCGAGACACAGAGATTGTAGAGAAGTAGAAAAGATGTAGAAACTTGATAGGGTCTACGTTCTTTTAGCATGAATCAAAGTCTGCCGTTTGTTGAACTTCGCTCGCAACCTAATCAATGACATCACGTCAGTCCAAGGTTTAGAGATATATCCAATCGGCGCAGTGGAGCTACTGCGCAAGGGCTTCTCATTATATTATTCCCCTCCCTGAAGGCCTCGGCGTTCATTCGCCTTCATAGCACTGCCTTGAGGTACTGGATTGCACTAGTCGAATGATCCTCGGAGGGATGACAAACACGACCGCATGGTGCACTGATCGAGTATCAATTGCTGCACAAACCAAGACACTCGCAGCAAAACAAAACAGGATCTTTCCCGAGCTGAAGGCACCACAGTCGTGAGATATGCGGGAATTCATTCTATGCATGTTCAAAGAAATCTATGGTGATGAATCTGGCTCATTGATGCCGGGGAGAGTACGGATATTTGTCAACATCATCAGTGGCTTGTCGACTGCGATATATCAGCCGTCAGCCTTGCTTGCCACTCTTATGTAATTGCAAGCGCACACAGTGTGAAGCGCCAAGATGCCACATTCTCCCGACGAACTGACTCCGCCTCGGCGGTCCGGTCCAAGTACACTGGCAGGACGTCTCGAATTTCGCACACTCGCCCTATCCCATATTCAACACTCGACCTGTCAAACTGATTCAAGATAAAAATTCATATCCACTCACGAACTTCACTGGTTTGTTTGCCTTTCTCGAGCCTGAGGTGAATCGTAGGCATCTCAGGACGGATTTGGGAAACAGCCTAAATCATCCTCGCTAACACCTCTCACGGCAGGAAGTAAGAGAAATGGATATAACTTATAACCAATTGATGAATAAGGGTGGAAAAATGGCCCAATCCCTCTTGGTTGTTACTCCTCCTTATTCGGCCTCCTCTTGAAGACCTTGGAGACCGCAATAGTAACCGTGCACAAAGAAACGATGATGACCTGCGGACAAAGTGAGCCTTCCAACGTTGAGGGCAGGATCGAACCAACGTTTGGCAAGATTCCGATCTACGTCAAGTCAGTCTGTGTGGATGACATTTTCGAATCAACTCACCAAGTCAACTGAAGGAGAGGTTCGTGGTATTGATTAGTAATAATACTTCCTCGAGTCTTGCACTTACTAATCGCACCAAAGTCGGGAGCTCCTGGCAAAATGGCGCGCAGACCTAAACCAGGTGAGTCGACGCATGAACCTGTAAACACCTGCAGACAAACCTGGAAGCGCGAAGATGCCTGTGACAGCGACACCGAGAAGGTCCGTATCCTACTGGGGATGAGTGACCACGATCGCACCCGCAAGGCACGATCCGCATACCGAGATAATATAGTAGCGACGCATAATAACCGCCTCCGCTGTAAGGAAGAAGATACCGATCGTGGTAAGCCAATTGACAATCACGGCGATAATGGTTGCGAAAATGACGAGCCCCGGGCGGCGTCCTGTAAAGTCGATTTGCAGTTCGCATCCGGGATCGTCAACGTCACAGTTCAGCTTGTCCGTATAGCTGATCCGCCAATTCACTGGATATATACTCAATAGTGAAAAAGTGAAAAGTGAGTCTCCAGAGACGTACAAGTACTGTCAGCAAGGACTGCTCCTGGACAGCAACAACAGCCGAATTAGTGAGGTTAAGCTCTCCAGCAAAAACTGTGACGAGTGTAAGTATGGTATCTATCGCAAGCACGGATATGTACTTCTATCTGTAAAGACAAATGTGATGGACCCTGTCCCTAGTAATGATGTAAGCGAGAGTCGAGACAGATAGAAATATACGTACAAACGTCAAACGGATACCCATACAGTGGTTGTCGCCATGGTGAACCAGGTTCCGCTTGTGTGAAATCAATTTGTGTATCCACCGAGTCGCTTGTGTGCCTGCGAATAGTGAATGGCTGGAGCGGCAATGATCAATTCCGTACATTCCGAGAACAGCTATTGGGGCAAGTGTAATATTGTCCACACGCCATAAGCTATTCTGGAACTCCTGGTACTGCTCTGGTATTGGCCTATCCTCCTTTGTGGCATTGACATCACGGTAGACGTTGAGAGTTGCACTCTCATTCCTGTCGCCTAGTGGGAGGAAAGTCTTGTTGTCGTTTCCGACATATACCATCGACCACGAGATACCTGTGAACGATTCAACTTTCATTCTCCCGATCGACATTACTCACGAAGGTTACGCTCTACAGGGTCAAACCGTTTGAGTGTTCCTTTTATGTAGAGCTAGAAAAAGTAGTCAAATGACGGTCGGATGCTCTGGCTACCAAGCACCAACGTCGTGCTCAGACTTGTTGACAGACTTTCCCCCTGCACTCCCTTCCATATTCACTGTTGCCCAAAAGACTTCATCGTGAGCGAAACCAACCCTATGGAGCCCTAAATATTCGCGTTATAACATGCATAATGAAGAAACCTACATGATAGCCGTCCACGCCGCCACAATGACTAGACCTAACGCGATGTATCCAATCCTTGGCCACTTTCCGCGTTCGACCGCATTGTCCCACGTCTGCCTCATCCATTTCGTGCTAAATTTCCGAGGAGGATTAATTTTGACCTCTTCGACTGTCTCGACGGTCGCCCCCTTTTCTTGCGCACTCTCCAACGAGTTGGTTCGAGGAGCTGATCTGCGGCGTATGAGGTCCATATTTGACCAAGATGAGAAAGAGCGCGACAGGAAGAACTTGGCTGCAAGTTCTCCTCGGTGGATAGTTATGTTGTCAAGTGCTAGAGGCAAACATGCACCGCATGGCTCTGAAAATGTATTATCAAATGTTTAGTTGGTTACATTTGCAAATATGGCACATGAGAAGACCTTGCTCGCGCGTCATACGCCGAGCGTCGAGCCCGAACCGTGCTTTTGAACATTGAGGCAAGCATTCATGAGAAATTCAACGCGAAGAATCATCAAGTATTGAAATAAGGTGCAAATGAGGCGACCATCGTGTTGACAACGAGGCCGACATTGCGAACATTATTCATTTGTGAGGAAGCGTAGCTCCGGAACATGTGCTGAGGTGAGCCTTGAGATTCCCAGAATATGATGAAGCCTTTTGAATTCTGCTTTTCAGTACAGTAGAAGCGGCCACGCAGGTCGCGGCTGGCTCCAAGTTGTAAACCTCTCGAACAAACAAAGCCTTTTGTGGAGATAAAATCACTGATACAGGGATGATTTTTAAAGAGGTATATTGAGCAGAAATGAGACCGAAAGTGAAGGTAGAATTTCGTGACAATCTCCAGAAGTCACTCGCTTGCACCTAGTCGCTCTTTGGTTTCCGCGTGGTTATTTTTGAGATTGCTAAAGCCGTCGCGCACAGGGAGATAATGATAATGTTTGGAATAATACCAATCAGGTCGTCTAGGAGAAGCTGTTAGCTTAAGGATCAGATACTCATAGAATGTATGCACTGATCGCACCAAAATCTGGGTCCTCAAGCAGTATAGCCCTGACACTCGGCAACGCGAAGAGGGCAGCGACGCAGACACCCAGGATATCCGCTTCGGTAAGGATGTGCATGCGGCGCATGACAACCGACTCGCATGTGAGAAGGAAGATGCCGATGGCGCTCGTTCAATTGAAGGTGACAGCCAGCAAGGCGGCAAACTTGACGAGTGACGGGCGACGGCCTGTAAAGTCGAGATGGAGCTCACATCCAGCGTTAATATCCTCGACCAGGCAGGTGTTGTTTGCACTCGCCCGGATACACCAGTTAACTAGCAGAATGTGAGTTTGAATAGGGCCAGGTCAGGATGAACGCACGTGTGCTGTCACCCAACAAAGCTCCGTGGAGAGATAGGACACCAGTATTTGTCAAATTGAGGACTCTGAGAAGTCTGGGAAACTTTCAGTAACAAGACGTAAAAATAATTAGTTTGCCCACTTCGGTCCGTGAGGCCAGATACGATGGATCCTTGCCCTGATAATCAAAATGCATAATTAGCACGAAAGTTGCCTCGTCGGAGGAAAAAGACCTACAAACATCGAATGGATATCCAAAGAGGGGTTGAGCGTAGGCATCCTCTTCTTTTGCCTGAGTGAAATCGATGTTGGTGTCTACGCTGTCGAACGGATGCATCCCTAGTGCGACGATGGGCGGCTGTGTGATATTATCTATCCGATAGATGTAGGCCTCCAGATCCTGTTGGGTGAGGTTGTACGGTTGGAGAAGGGTCGCGTTAGCCTGACGGTCTTCCGGAATGGCTTTGACATCACGGTAAAGATTCCATTTCCATGTATCGTCGATGCTTTAGCCTGTAGCCTGAATAGTGTGGTTGTCCTCACCAACATGGACAAGTGCCCAGGATACATGACACCGACCCAGCCGACAAGCAAAAGGATTCCAATGGTGGTATAGGTGATTCGTGGCAATGTACCGCCATGCTCCAGCCGTGACCAAACCATTTCCTGCTCCACCTGCGATGAGGGTTCGGACGCTGGATAGCCGCTTCAGGTTTTCCCTTGCCGACGGCCGCGCCCGGAGGTGAGAAGGGAAGTGATTCTTCAACGTACGAGGTGCTCCCCTCGTATTTTCCATTCCCGTGATCACACTCCTGCGCGGAAGGGAGAAAGGGTGCGCTTGAGATATCTCGGGGAGTGGTAGCGTTGGGCCAAGGGAGAGGACAAACGACAGGGAGATGGAGACACGGAGACGCGTTATTTATCATAAATCGAGTAGATAGAGCCAGCAAAGCTCTGCTCGGCCAGCAGTTCTTGAACCGCCGCGCTTTCCTTTGTAGTTAGCCCCATGAACAGGAGTATATTGAGTTCCAGTAGTGAGTTAATGGGCAATTCAAAGTGCTGGAATGGGACCTGACGTCTCTATGCAGAAGAAAGTTGCGATAACTCGGTAACAGGACGTATTCTGTGGAAATCAAGCTCCCTGGGGTACATGATAATTATGCAAAGATGCATATGATGCTTAAAAGTGACCGGAAGCGAAGATAAGTTACCTCCCAAGGGAGCACGGATCTATTCATTCTTCGGTCGCCGCATGGTGAGCTTCGAGAGTGCTATAGCCGTCGTGCATAGCGAGACGATGATAATGTTTGGAATGATTCCAATCAAGTCGACTGGGAGACACCGTTAGCCCAAGTATCTAAAAATAACCAGAATTACGTACTAATCGCGCCAAAATCAGGGGCCCCAGGCAAGATGGCTCGGACGGATGGCAATGCGAAGAGAGCGCCAACACAAACGCCGAGGATATCCGTCTCGGTGAGAATGTAGGTGCGGCGCATGACCACCGACTCGCACGTGAGGAGGAAGATACCAATGGTGCTCGTCCAGTTTACGAGAACTGCAAGAATGGCCGCAAACTTGACGAGTCCTGGGCGACGGCCCGTAAAATCGAGGTGAAGTTCACAGCCAGCGTCCTCTGCTTCGATCCGGCATGTGTCATTTGCACTGACCTGAATCCGCCAGTTCACTGTTCTGATATGAGCTTGGATGAATATAGGGCTCGGTGAACGTACGGGTACTATCACTCAATATAGCGCCATAGAGATGTAATCCCAGAGTTGGTAAGATTGACTGTCCTTGAGAACCCTGAAGCCAGGTGAGTAATCATAGATGAAATAGGTGAAAAAGCTCACGTCGGTCTGTAAGAGCGAATACAATCGACCCTTGCCCTGATATCCAAGAGCATAAGCGGCGATCCAGTGCCAGTAAAAGAACATTAAAACGTACACACATCAAACGGATAGGCAAAGAGTGGTTGTGCAAAAGGGTCTTCTTCCTTAGCCTGGGTAAAGTCGATGTCCGTATCCACGCCATCCCACGGGTGCATTCCCAGTGTAGCGATAGGCGGCTGCGTGGTGTTGTCGACCCGGTAGATGATGGACTGCAGTTGCTCTTGGGTAATGTTATACTGCTGGAGGATTGTTGCGTTGGCTTCACGGTCCTCCGGAACAGCCTTGACATCACGATAGAGGTTCCACTCCCATGTATCGTTAACAGTTTGACCTGTAGCTTGTACTGTGCGATTATCGTCGCCAACGTAGACGAGGCCCCACGATACACGGAGACTGCGCTCAATGGGATCAAACTTTTGAGCGTGCCTTTGAGCAGCAGCTAGGGTTTATTAGCATCAAGAAGACATAATTAGTCGAACATACCTGGTATGTTATGGGTCCTGAGTCGAGTTGGGACTTGCCGCCGTTGGGGTCCAAGTTTTTCCGCTGGGCTTTTACTTCTTCTCTCGCAAAGGTAAGCCTAGTCTTGATCAGCCATCAAATGCTACGGGAAAGAACATGGTGCTTACATGACACCGATCCAGGCCACGACAAGGACAAATCCAATAACAGCGTAAGTTACCCGCGGCCATCTACCAATCTCGACGGCTTGGTCCCAAGCGTGGTCAAACCACTTCTTGCTAAACCTGCGATGTGGATTTGAACGGCGAGTGTTGGTCTTTTCTTCAATATCGACTGTAGCGCCGGGGGGAGAGGACTTGACATCTCCGATGTACGTCGAGCTGTTCCCCTCGTAGCTCCCATCACCGCTAACTAGATTCCTGCGAGAGATGGACAGTGGTCGTGGTTGAGGCATCTCTGTGACCTGCATGATGGGAAGGAGGAGGATACGGGGGGATGGGTGAGAAACCCGCGGAGTGACGGCTTTATATCCTGCTCGACGTGACTGTAGCCAGGGTCCTTCTTTCACCAAACGCGCGCGCCCAGCAGCGGTTACAATATCGTTTTTTCACAGCCGCGGACTCCATCTGTTGGCCTAGGTCCATTGCAAAAAGGGAGAATTTTTGAGCCCGTGGTGATTGAATAGACTGGTAATTCATGCTTGGCCCGTCCCGAACGCAGGGATGAGACCTGATGGCTCCTGTCCCTCTCCGCGGTGAATACCAACAAACTGAAGAGAGCCGAAAGAAGCTCCAAGTTGCGCGCGGCTAATGTGATGGGCGGTGCAGCCGCGTCCCAGCAGTCACAAAGATGGGCACTCCAAAGTACCATAAAGGCGTGTTTTCGGATCATGGAAGGATACCAACGGTGGATTTGACCAAACTCGGCGAGTGGCAAGGACTCTCTTGAACCGCTTCAATTATGTTGAAACTCATCTAAACAGTATATAGCTGAGCCACGATCAAGTAGTAGGAAATATTGAAGGCGATGCTTTGCCCACGCCAAGCGTGTGGATAGTTCCGTCGGTCATTTCCGCCACTAGCAGGGATGACCGGTTTAGATTATCTTCTAGCATCTCATGCCAGTTCGGGTTTGCCCTTGTCGCCGTCTCCTTTGACGACAGATACTCCTCCGCCATCGCCATCTGGCCGCTACTAGGTTCACTGACCGAATTACTGTGAATATGGACAATATATACAGCCGAGTCACGTCTGTGAGCTGCATGCGGCCCGAGGGGAGAGGTGCGAAGGAGGAAATGGAAGAGCAAGGAAAGCCGGAAGATGCTTTATATGGTGCCAAAGAGTAATGTAGCCAATATGGATATACCTTATTACCACCGAAAGTTCTCGACCGGAGGTTTACCTTTTCAATAGTCCAGAAGACCGCGGTTCCCAGCTCCATCAATGAACCAGGTCAACCAGTATTTAACATTTTAGTAATAAATACGGTGCTTTCTTATGTATCCACCATTTTGCATCAGTTTGGTGGACATTTAGTGAGGGGTTCGACGTGTGTCAAAAAGAAGGTATGCTTTGTGATAAAGAGAGTTCGTGATACAGGATAATTATGCAAAGATTCACGCGAAAAGAAAGACAGAGAAGATAAGTTACCGCCGCAAAGTGAGCTTCAAAGCTCGCTCGCGTCCGCACGGATCTATTCATTCTTTGGTCGCCGCATAGCGAGTTTTGAGAATGCTACAGCCGTTGTGCAGAGCGAGACGACGATGATATTCGGAATGATTCCAATCAGGTCGACTAAAGGACGTTGTGAGTGCGAGGTTTGAAGAAGAATGAGAGCAGCATACTGATAGCACCGAAATCTGGTGCACCAGGCAGGATAGCCCTGACACTGGGCAGCGCAAAGAGCGCACTGACACAGACACCCAGGATATCTGTGTCGGAGAGGATGTAGGTGCGGCGCATGACGACCGACTCGCACGTGAGGAGGAAGATACCAATGGTGCTCGTCCAGTTTACCAGAACTGCAAGGATAGCTGCAAACCTAACGAGCGCCGGGCGACGGCCCGTAAAGTTGAGTTGGAGTTCGCATCCAGCTTCAATGGCCTCGACTTCGCATGTATCATTCGCAGCGAGCTGGATTCGCCAGTTGACTGTGCCCTTGTGAGTATTGGAATAAAGCGGTCTCGGCAAACTTACGAGTGCTGTCACTTAGGATCGCTCCCTGGAGGTGTAGGATACCCGTGTTTGTTAGATTGAGTGAATCGGAAAACCCTAGGGCTGGCTGAGTGACTAGAAATCGAATAGGGTAAGATGCTCACTGCGGTCTGTAATGGCAAAAACAATTGACCCTTGCCCTAATGTTCAAGTGGTGAGCGGGGATTCAAGGGAAAAAAAAGAATAGGATCGCACAAATGTCAAACGGATACCCAAAGAGTGGCTGCGCATAGGGGACTTCCTCTTTTGCCTGGTTGAAATCAATACTGGTGTCCACGCTATCCCAAGGATGCATCCCCAGGGTAGCGATGGGAGGTTGTGTGATATTGTCCACCCGGAATCTGCTATCAAGCTGTTCTTGGGTGATTCCGGCTTGTTCGAGCAGAGCTGGACTGGCCTGGCGATCTTCGAGAACCGTATGGACGTCGCGGTAGAGGTTGACTTGCCACGTATCGTTTACAGTTTGACCTGAGGGTTGTACGGTGGTGGTTCCATTTTCCACGTAGACGAGTGCCCAAGATACGCGGAGATTGCGCTCAATTGGGTCAAACCTTTTGAGCGTCCCTTTGAGCAAGAGCTGGGCATCCGTCAGCACCTGAATGAAACCCATCGATAGAACATACCTTGAAATCTGCAATCTCGCCTGTGGATTGGCCTTTGCTTCCGTTGTAATCCGAGTTTCTCCTCTGGGCTCTTACTTCTTCTTTGGCAAAAGTGAGCCTGACGTCGGTCAGCTATGAGAGTTTGCGAGAAGTAAGAGTGGATAATTACATGATTCCGACCCAGATCATGATCAAGATGAATCCGACGGAGGCATAAGTCACTCGGGGCCATCTGCCGACTTCGACGGCATGATCCCACGCGTAGTCAAACCATTTTTTGCTATACTTGCGGTGTGGATTTGGGCGCTCGCCAGCTTTTTCTTCCGAGTCGAGTGGCCAGGAGGACTTGCCGTCTCCTCCGAGGTAGGTCGAGCTGACACCATCGTTGCTACCACCACCACCGACCAGATCCCTCCGGGGGATGGATAGTGGACGAGGATTAGGCATTTCTGTGACCTGCATGATGGGTGGAAGGAATAGAAAGGGAAAGAAGGGGGAATAAGGAGAGAGAGGGAGGGGACAGACGGACGGACGGAGTTTATATGCTGCTCGCCATGACTGGTAGCCAGGGCACTCCTTACGAATGCGTACAGTAGTTGCGAGGGTTTTTTCACATCCGTAATATCCGTCGATCGGGCAGGCCCATCACGAATAGAAGCCACTGGACTTGCACTGTATGCTTGAGCAGTTCAAACGGCACGGAAAGGGTTGATGATAGCTCTCGACCATTTTCGCAGACAATTGAAGCAATTCATGACGGTCGCAAGAAGCACCAGAAGCGCGCGTCTAGCATAAACGCGCCGGCAGCCAAGATATATAGGATTAGTCAATTTGTATTATGCGACTTTGACCACATCTGGGAATCTTGACCAATCTCGACTAGTTGCAAGGAGACGTCCCGGAGCCTTGGCAAGGATATGGACACCCAGGAAACCAGTACATGGCTGTACAAACTATGGCTTTATGAGTTTTTGTAGAAACTGTGAGTGGCAGTGTTTTTACCCACGCTGTCGGTATCGACTATAGCCTCTGGCGCGGGACAAAGCAACGCTCGCACTTGGACTCCCCCACCACCAACTGGTTACAGCTAGCAGCCATCATGAGCGGGCTCGATATTTCTGCACTTCTTCCTCCTTATCTCAACTTGCCCCCGCATCTCAGCGCCCACAAGTATTTCTTCGTCTGCACGCTCACCGTCGCTGCATGGGACACGCTCGTCCTCTCCCCGCGCTCTTGGCGGTTGATGAAGACGAAAGAGTGGCCGGTCCTCAAGATTGTCTACCAGGTCCTCCGCTATCTCATGCCCGTCGAGTTTATCATCGTCGCCGTCGCCTTTTTCGACACGAAATTCACCCGCGAAATGTGCAACAAGTTTTACCTGTTTGAGCCCATTTGCACCATGATTCTCATTGCACTCTGCTCCTCTGTCCATGTCATCCGTATCCACGCCATCTACGACAAGAGCAGGCCCATCCTCGCCGGTCTGGCTGCCCTTTTGCTTATCCAGGTGAGTTCTCTGTTCTTTTCTGCATCATACGCTCGCCGCTCGCTATTTTTCCTCCATTTCTACGAGCCCGTTGCCCTCTTGGCCATGCGATACTCCCGGTCCACGCCGAGTTTGACGGCGTAAATGTGCAATGAACGTAACCGACGATGCTCGGTGCCTTGAAAAGTGCCACCCCATTGGTTTAGCCTTTGCTTTCCGAGCTCCTCGGTTTCAGTGTCTGTCACGGCAACTTGGTTTGCCTGTTCCCCGGGTCTCCGATCGCCTAAACCTTGTTCGTGCTGGCATGGAACTCGTCTTTGCTAACGATATTTTGCTTTTTTCATTATTTTCTAGATTGCCGTAATGGCAGTATCCTCCGCGTTCTACCGTGTGATCCCGCTCCTTCCAGGCCAAGGCTGTATCGCTGGTCCCACCGCCAACTGGGTCGGCATCTACTGGGCTGCTCCCACCCTCTTCTACACGACGACACTCGCTCTCGCCCTCAATCGATCCATCAAGTCACTCCAGACAAAGGCCCTCAGCCCATGGAAGCTCATGCTCCGCGACGGCCTCAACCTCTACGGTGCCATTTGGATCGTTAACATGGTCAACGTCTGCTTCTGGTTCATCGTCAAGCCCACCGGTGAAAACGACAGCATTAAGACGACGGTCACCAGGTGAGAATGAAGTCAACCTCGATTTCAATTGATTTTTTGCTAATCTCTCGTCCCACTCTCTAGCATGACCGCGGTACTCACGACCACCATGACGCTCCGTATCATTCTCTCCGTCCGTGGTTCGCTCGCCCAAGGTGGCTCGTACGCCGGCTCGGCCATCTCGTCGTCGAACCGTGGCAACAGCACCCACGTCCTCTCGTCGTCTGGTCGCAACCCAAACCCACCTCACCCATCGTCGTTTGGTCCTACACACTCGTATGGCGTCCAATCACAAAACGCTGGCAACGGCGCCAATGTCATCAACATTGGCACCTATGGCAACCCCGAGCGCAAGGGGTCGCTTTCCGGTGGCGTTCCTGGTGTGGGCAAGGATGGTGCCTATACCCTTGATGAGATGCGCGACAAGGCTGCCAAGGGAGAGTGGAATGAAGGTGCGAGTGATGGCCGCTCGTCGGTCCTCGAGGGTAAAGAGGGCGAGGCATATGGCGTCCCTGCTGCCAGAGGATACGAGGGCGTCAAAGTGACGATTGATCGCGAGGTGGATTACCATGGCCGCAAGTAAAGAGAGCACAAGTCAAGTCGCAATCCCCCGCTGTTTATTCACCCATCGGCAATACTAGTGCTTAATCAACCCCCGTCTCTCTCCAAACGCTCGCTGGCTTTTATTCTGCTTGGACGAAATACAGTGCCCGTAGCGGCACTTGGTCGTATCACTCCCGGTCCCCTTTTGGCTCGCTTTGCTTGGCGCCATCCCCGTCTCCTTTTTGACTCTGTATGGTCTTGTGCTATAAACGCTGTACGAAGCAAGGCTCTTCTGTCGCTGGTGGTTATTCCCACTCCAACCTTTTTTGTAGATAATTGGAATGAATAACGCGACGTGCCTTTCTTGTACCCAGTTCATTGTCGATGAATTCATTGCGACCTCGAACGTCTACTTCCAGACAAGGTGTGTCTTAGTCTTGCCGATACATCGATTCTTCGGATAGATAAACTACTCGGCTCTCATCCTTGTAGCAGTTTCTTTCAATACTTGTACTATGGTCACTCCACTCTACACTGACAGACAGGTACTGGGCAACGAAAGCAGTCGCCGTTGAAGCTATTGTCACCATTCGTCTCAATCCACCCTCCCCCCTCGCGCTTTTGACGAAATCTCTGCTGGCTTGCCGTATGGGCGGTGTCCAGTGGGGAGTGATGGGTGCTTCTCAATCTTTGGCGTACCGTGCGAGGTGCTTGGTCGTGCGCCCGGGGGGAGTGAGCCAGGCATGGAACGCTTTTCGTGCACGTGCCAAGGTATATCGTTGGGAGAAGGGTGGTGGCGTTCATTAGGGCTCGTAGATGGTGTAGAGATCTCGTGGTTGTGGTGCTCTTTGTGCTGGTGAGGGAGAGGGGCTGCGGCAACCATGGGAGCGGCTACAAGGACCACGACGAGTTGAGAGGAGCACTTCATTTCTGAAATTTGATAAAATAAACGCTGAGAGAAGGGTTAGGTTCGCCACTTTTGTTTCAAGCCACTTACAAAGAGGCACCTGGCCGTTCGAAGGAATGGGGTTTCAGGATACACAACGAGCTCTTTTTGTACTCAAAGTACGCACATTCAATGGCCTCTACCTACAGTGTGACGTCCAAGGCTCATACGAAGAATGTCCTTACAGCTTGGATTCACCCATGACCGACAATTTTCGGTTGTCCCCGCCGTCGGCCACAAGGGCGAATTCCTGGCGCTAAAAAGGTGCAATAAAGTACAGTCTTGATGTCGGTTCTACACCCATGGGTCTGATAACTTGAATATGGTCATTTTACCATGACGGTCTCATATCACACCGCATGATAACTGGCCTGTTATGTCTATACCGGGTACAATTCGTGCTATGTACTGCATTCTGATCATATACGAGCGTCTAGAGTGAGCCGTCCCAAAGACGGTGCAAAACATCTGGCAGAAACCAACTTCTCATCCTCGGAGGTAGAGAGGGACGGCTCCTTTCCTAAAGGTATTCGGAATTTCTTATGCGAGGTGTCGTGCCTCTGCGTACACCACTATGTATCCAAATTCCTTCAGCCCCCTCACCATTTCGCAATGGCGGCTCTCTGGCCGCAATACTCGTCTCGAGTTACATGCTAATTACTTAAGGTAGTGTGCCGATAACTGAAATTCGCCTTGGAGAGTTCCTATCGTTAGGATTTTTGGAGCCCTGGCCAAAAGCTACGCTTGCCAGCTCCCCAAGAGGAAGACAGATATTATTGGATCAAGCTTACGGATCTGAGTGCGGGGTTTCAGTAGTGCTGGCACATTGACGGGCCGGACTCTTGGAATCAGCTCTCGACCGAGCCATCGATCTCGAGCTCGATCCAAGGCGCGTGGATTCGCTCTTACTGATTAGTAAATATTCTAGGCTTAGTCTCGCTACGCTCCAGGTAACGGGCTCAAAGTCCTCGTTTATCAGCTATTAAAACTGGGCTTGTATCCCCGTTGAAAAAGGACTTTTTACCAACTCTTGTCGTCCCATATAATGCCTCATATTGGCTCACGTTTTAGGAATCTCGTGTGTCCCTTTAAAGTCTCCTTGTGCAAGGTGAAGGTATGTATGCCGCAGGTCGATTCCACTAGCATTGACCAATCGAAGCCGACGTCAGGATCAAAAGTGGATCACCTTGGATTCCTAGAGCTTGCTTCTGGCACGGATCCTATCGTCGAGTAAGTTATTTAGGACCTCCCACGTACTTGACACTGAGCTTCCTTCGTCAGTATTGTCGCAATCCATGGATTACAGGGTCACAGAGAGAATACATGGATGACAGACGGCGGAACCCTGTGGCTGCGTGACTTCCTGCCCGCCGACTTGTCCAATGCTCGAATCTTGACATATGGATATGACGCCGATACTCGTAGCCCCGAGTGTGTATCAACTCAGACGATGCGCCGGCACGCCGAAGGGTTCGCCTGGGCGCTCGCGAGAACGCGCAGGGGGAATCCTCGAGTGAGTGCATCCGCCCTAATTGGATATCGGTTAATACATTGGTAGCGACCCATCATCTTTCTAGCACATGATTTAGGGTGTATCATTCTCCAATGGGTACGTGATGCTTTAATCCCCTTCGAGTGAGCTCCTAACATCCACGAAAAGGCCCTGGCACTCTGTCACAATCAGACACTGCAGTCGAAATGCGAGCTCCGAGACATTCTGATCTCCACCGAAGCAATCTTATTCTTCGGAACCCCAGATTTCGGTATCGAAGTCTCCCTTCTTGAGGCCATTAGTCACTTGGCTTCGATGTACATAGGGGCGAAAGACGTCATGGTCAAGGATCTCCGATCTAACTCATCTGAGTTAGAGGACATACAAAGTCGCTACGTCGAGGCAAGCGCGGACATCAACAGCACATTCTTGTGTGGAGAATATGCGGCTGGAAGTCTGGTAGGCGTACTCGTATTCAAGACCGCCCCGCTTATGTACCTGTAGGATTTCTCAACTTCGAGCAATCGAAACCCCGCAGCGATTGTCCTCCACGCCTCCCTTCGTGATATGGTCAAATTCTCAGTCAAAGCGAACGACAATTATCAAACGGTTCTTCAGTACCTCAAGGACTACGTTGAAAATGCCGTGGAGGACATAAAAGAAAGGTGGTTTACGGAGGATAATCGCCGCAGTCGGTAGCTTCTCTATGCTCAATACTTGTCTGATAGATACGCAGGCGCTGCAAAGGAAGAGCCGGTCTCTGAGGTGTCCATGTTTCCAAAATCCTGCCCACCTGCGTGGAGAATGTACATCGAACGAACACATGTTCAGTCCCTCATCACGCAGAACTTGCTTCCGGCCCAACCCACGGATCGTCAACCACGATGTATATTACACGGGATAGGAGGCTCAGGAAAAACACAGCTTGCATTGAAATGGATCCAGGAACATGAAACCCGGTGCGAACATCGAACGCCGCTGAAGAATGTCTAATCCTTGGTTAGCTTTACTCGGGTGATATACGTCGACGCCTCCAGTAAAACTCAGTTGGAAATGGACTTAAAGCGGTCAATTCGGTGCTTAGGCCTCGAATACAGCAAGATGAGCTGGAAGGATGCCATCGCGTACCTGGAGGGCAAAGAGAAGGGATGGCTACTCTTCCTCGACAACGCGGACGCACCAGACCTCGATCTTACCCCTTACATCCCAAAATCCACTCATGGAGCGGTCATGCTTACTACAAGGAACAATAAAAGCGTTAACTACGCTCCCGATGGAGCAGTCCCTGTTGGCCCCCTCGAGGAGGCTGAAGCGCTCAGCCTCCTTCACAAAGTCGCAGAAGTCACCCCTGCATCCGATGCCAAATCTTTGGAGATAGTAAGGGAGCTAGGGATGCTGGCGCTTGCAATTACTCAGGCAGGGGTCTACATTCGCGCCACGCGGCGCCTCGAAGACTATCTCGACATTTTTCGGAAGAGTCGGAGGCGCCTTTTGAGAAGGAAGCCAGAGTTTGGGTCCGAGTATACATCCTCGACCTATACTGCTTTCAACCTATCATTCCGGAAACTAAAGACAAAACCACAGGAGTTCCTGAAGCTATGCGCGTTCCTCCATCATTCACTCATTCCGCTCTCTCTTTTTGAGCGATCTGTAGGATCTGGTTTCACTACCTACACGGTTCTGGAAAGCTGCCCTCCGCCAAAGAGTGATCAGAGGTCCATATCAAAGCTAAAAGCAGTTTTTGGCGAGACATGGGACGCAGATGGGTTCCAAGAAATAGTTGATTCCGCCTCAAAAGCGTCGTTTATCGACGTTTCGACAGACGGGCTATTCTACACTGTCCATCCTCTACTTCAGACCTATATCAAGGACTCGCTTGTTGGATTGGAGAATGAGCATTATTGCCGCGTGACAGCACAACTTATCCTCGGGGCAATCCGGCCACCAGATGGGAATAACGCTCAGCTTTGGCAACTCCTTCCTCACGCCAACAGCATTCCGAGGCAAGTACAATCAAAGGACGTGGCACACGTATTGGCATTTTACACGCTTTACGACTCTCTAGGGAGTTGGACTGCGTGTCGGGACTTACTGCAGTCTGCTCAGGCGGCTCTCCAGCTCATACAAGACGAAGGGCATGAAGAATCAATGTACATTGACACGAAACTTGCCGAAACCCTTCGATCTTGCGGTCAATGGGAAGAAGCAGAAAAACTGCAGCGAGACCTACTTGCTCGACGGCTCAAGGTCTCTGGAGACCGACATCCAGACACGATCACGGCAATGAATAACCTTGCATCGATCTTGTATAGCCGAGGGCAGCTGGAGGAGGCGGAGACGACGCAGCAAAAAGTACTCGCTCTGCGGCTCGAGATCTCTGGACCACGGCATTCCGACGCCATCGTGGCAATGAACAACCTCGCGGCGACCTTGCGTGGTCGTGGTCAGTTGGACGAAGCCGAGAAGATGCAGCGAGACGTGCTCGCTCTGCGGCTCGAGATCTCTGGACCACGGCATCCCGACACCATCATGGCAATGAACAACCTCGCGTGGACCTTGCATGGTCGTGGTCAGTTGGACGAAGCCGAGAAGATGCAGCGAGACGCGCTCGCTCTGCGGCTCGAGATCTCTGGACCACGGCATCCCGACACCATCACGGCAATGAACAACCTTGCGTGGACCTTGCGTGGTCGTGGTCAGTTGGACGAAGCTGAGAAGATGCAGCGAGACGTGCTCGCTCTGCGGCTCGAGATCTCTGGACCACGGCATCCCGACACCATCATGGCAATGAACAACCTCGCGGCGACCTTGCGCGGTCGTGGTCAGTTGGACGAAGCTGAAAAGATGCAGCAAGACGTGCTCGCTCTGCGGCTCGAGACCTCTGGACCACGGCATCCCGACACCATCATGGCAATGAACAACCTCGCGTGGACCTTGCATGATCGTGGTCAGTTGGACGAAGCCGAGAAGATGCAGCGAGACGCGCTCGCTCTGCGGCTGGAGATCTCTGGACCACGGCACCCCGACACCATCATGGCAATGAACAACCTCGCGGCGACCTTGTGTGGTCGTGGTCAGTTGGACAAAGCCGAGAAGATGCAGCGAGACGTGCTCGCTCTGCGACTCGAGATCTCTGGACCACGGTATCCTGGCACCATCGCTGCAATGCACTGCCTTGCCATGACCTTGCGTGATCGTGGTCAGTTGGACGAAGCCGAAAAGATGCAGCGAGACGTGCTCGCTCTGCGGCTCGAGATCTCTGGACCACGGCATCCCGACACCATCATGGCAATGAACAACCTCGCGTGGACCTTGCGTGATCGTGGTCAGTTGGACGAAGCCGAAAAGATGCAGCGAGACGTGCTCGCTCTGTGGCTCGAGATCTCTGGACCACGGCATCCCGGCACAATCATGGCAATGAACAACCTCGCGGAGACTTTGCGTGGTCGTGGTCAGTTGGACGAAGCCGAGAAGATGCAGCGAGACGTTCTCGCTCTGCGGCTCGAGTTCTCTGGATCAGGGCATCCCGATACCAATACGGTAATAAACAATCTCGCGTTGATCTTGGATAATTGCGGGAAGACGGAGGAGGCGGAGAGGATACGGCAAGATGTGCGTGCCTTGCAGCTTCAGGGTTCTGGGTAATGGCACTCATACAATGAGCGTCCTTGTATAGCATTTATTTACTACAGTATATGAGACGAACAATGTTGGGTAGACTTTCGTAATATATTCTACAACGTTGCAAGCCAGAGCCTATGCATCACCTAAGGGTTCAGCGATAGACCAATAACACCGCCATCAAGCCGTGGCTGCAGAGTCCCTGCAGCATGTGGCGGTGGATGAGACATTGTACCAAAACCAAAATCAACTGCGTTTGCCCCCACAGCGCGGGTAGGCAACCTCATCATCGGACGAGCACTGAGGCACGATGTGACGGGTGCGCCGTATTGTCCGAGATGTATACCAGGCGCTTATGAAGCGAGTCTCTGTTGTGCACTTTCCTTGTGCCATCTGAGAACCCCCATACCCAAAGTTCTCTACACTATTCTGGTTGATAGCCACGCCTGCCATGTTCCTGCCGTTTGTAGACGAAAATGTAGAGTTGAACCGGTCTCCATTCTCCGATGGCGTTGCGGCCGTACTTTTTGAAAGAAGGTTTGGTCCTAAAATCATTGCACTCGACGGCGCTAGCATGCTTGAATGACTGCTTGTCGGACGCAGGAAAGGACCAGAGCGAGCAGAACCGGGCCTGGGCCACTCCATAGATATCGAACTCTACTTGGAATGCTGATGGAGTCTGTTACTGTTGTTATTGGGAAACCCAAAGCAGCCAAACGATATGTTTGGCATGGCTGTCATCGACAATTGGAGAGAGGCACCGTTCAAATGAATGTAGACTTTGGTGGTGAGAATAAGAATGATCTAGATGCAGAGTTGGAGAGTGGGCTTGACGTGCCCGCTTGGAGAGTCGTCGGAGCACCATACGTTTAGTTTCTTTGCTCGAGGCTGATAACCAATCTTATGTTGATCCGCGGTCACTGAGACTAATGAGTATCGGCAATCGAAAAAGAGCGATCGGCAGCATACATTTACGCCTCTCGGATTGGAAGAAAGGGGCTGGTTCTCTCCAATTCGTCAGCGGCCTCGACACTGGAGAGCTCATGTTTGACGATGAGTAGATTAGTAGTGACTTGAGATGATGAAACGGCATACGGCCATGTCAGGATCCACCACGCTTGCCAATCCTTCACCTTGCTCGTTGCCTCCATAATCCCCAAACAGCATCATATCTCCATTCGCCGTCATAGTTGAGCCTGATCGGGAACTTTCGTGGATCGGCATCCTAATCAGAGCTTGGCCCAGAACAGACGAAGGCAACAAGCGTCTTATAATTATCACTCGCATGATCGTTCCCCTCCCTTTCCGTATCCTGGCCGGGTAGTTCGCCATCACCCCTTGACAGACTCGGGGAACCGACCAGCCCAATGCTTGGGTTCGATATCTGAATTGGAAGCAGCCCATTCGACACAGTATAGAGGTCGCTCTCTGACCTGTTCGGACCCGACATACCCATGATCTGTCTATATCTCTTCATCTTCGCCACTTGGACGGCAAACCCTGTCTGTCGTTTCGCGTTGGGCGTCTCTTTGTTTGCCTCGAGCCCGGCTTCATCTAAACCTGTACTCCTCCTGGCCGGTGATAGTCCGATAGACATGGAAGAGGCGGAAGAGGACGCCCTTCCTCTGCCTGTTATGTCTCCTGACCTATACTCTTGGATCGTCGCGGCAGATTGTTGCATAGATCCGCCATTTCCGCTGCCATTTCCTCCAAGACTACCGCTACTACTAGTCCCACCATCTGAGATATTTGATGGAGATGGGAAACCGGTGAAAGACTTGCCATGGTCCTATCGAGCGCAATGCTTAGAACTTGGTCAACGCGTGCGGTGTTGTAGATGTGCAGCAGTCGGCGACTGGGCTACGCGGGAGTGTGTGGTCGAGGTCGTATACCGGGAAATTCTTGAGGAGCCCATCCCGGGTGGTGAACTATAGTCGACAGGTGAGCCTTCTATTGCCGAACTCGGTGAGAAGTGGCATGATAGTGTATAGGATATGATTCTAGGGACCACAGTTGACAGATGTATCCACTTTCAATCGCCATATCCGCCTGCACAAGCCATCTACGTGGTCCACGGTGCTTGCCCTCCCGGGATCGAACGTCGGTATGTCCATGTGGGGTCCAAGACTGAAATATTTCGAGCTTGCCTTTGTCCAGACGGTGCGTAATGCGGAGGACGGCCAAAGTTCTTTGGTCGGGAATGAAGTCCTTGTGCAAACAGCGCTCAGTGGCTTGGACGCAGCCATTAGACGCTGGCCAGCGAATGACCTGGGACCCAACCATTAATCGTGAATAATGTCCAGTTTTCACTCGCGTTTGAGGAATGTCTTCCGTCCTTCTCAGAAATCTTCGAAGAACACAAACAAATCCGCGACATTGGATGCCAATTCCAACAGCCCGAGGCCATCGACATCGGAGCCCATCTCAAAAGTAGATGAGCTCGACTTCCTAGAACTTGCTTCCGGAACTGATCCTATCGTCGAGTAAGACACCCATCTATCGCACGTGTTCGCCGCAGCTGAGCCTACCTCATCAGTATTGTCGCCATCCATGGATTGCAAGGACACAGAGAAAGGACCTGGACGACAGATCAAGGAAGCTTATGGCTGCGCGACTTCTTGCCCACAGACTTGTCCAATGCTCGAGTCCTGACATACGGCTACGACGCTGATGCTCGTAGTCACGAGTGTGTCTCAACCCAGACGATGCGCCGACATGCCGATGGATTCGCCAAGGCACTTTCCAGGAAACGCAAGGTCACTCCTCGAGTCAGTGCTTCCGCCTTGTATGAGAACTCGTTTTAACATATTGATAGCGACCCATTATCTTTGTTGCACATGATCTAGGAGGCATCATTCTCAAATGGGTGCGTAGCATTGGGTACACTTCAAGCCAGCTACTAAACACTCGCGATAAGGCTCTGGTAATCTGTCACAATCAATCATTGGAGTCGAAATGCGACCTCCGGGATATTCTCATCTCCACCCATGCAATCTTATTCTTTGGAACTCCGCATTCGGGCACCGACACTACCCTTGTTGAAGCCGTCAATCGCCTAGCGTCGGTGTATATGGAGACAACAGACATTATCCTCAAGGATCTTCGGTCAAACTCGTCTGAACTCGAGAACGTACAGAGTCTCTATGTCGAGGCAAGCGCGAACATCAACAGCATCTTCTTTACTGGAGGATATACAACAAAAGGACTGGTAAGTTTATATTCATATTCGCGAATGGTCGCTCATAGACAATCAGAATGTTCCGTATCACTCGGCCGTAATTGCGGGCGATCGTAATGCGACAACCATCGTACTCCCTGCCGACCATCGTAATCTGGTCAGATTCGCAGCCAAAGACAAGAACAACTATCAAACGGTTCTCCACTATCTCAGAGACTACGTCGATAATGCGCCTGTGGAGGTTAAGAAAAAGTGGGTGAAAGAGGAAAAATATCGCAGTTGGTCTCCATTTTATGTTTTGTACTCATCTAATCGATCCATAGGTGCTGCAAATGAGGAGCCCGCCTCTGACGAGACCGTGTTGCCAAAATCCCGTCCACCTGTTTCAAGAAACTACATCGAGCGCAACCATGTCCAAATCCTCGTCACGCAGAAGTTACTTCCAGACGGTCCGGTCAAACATCAGCCGCGATGTATACTACACGGCATTGGAGGCGCTGGCAAAACGCAACTCGCGACAAACTGGATTCAAGAGAATGAAGCTCGGTATATAATCTGGGTGCTGAATCGAGCAGATCTGACCTTTAACTAGCTTCACTCGAGTGATCTTCGTCGACGCTTCCAGCCAAAATCAACTGGAAATGGACTTGGAGAGATCTATTCGGTGCTTGGGTCCCGAGTATAGTAAAATGACGTGGAAGAATGCGGTCGCACATCTCGATGGCAAGGAGAAGGGATGGCTGCTCTTCGTCGACAATGCAGACTCACCAGAACTCAACCTTCGTCCGTACCTCCCTACGTCGACTCATGGGTCAGTTTTAATCACCACAAGAAACGCTCAGTGCATCAATTATGCTCCTGATGGAGCGGTTCCAGTTGGCGGCCTCGAGGAAAGCGAGGCGGTGGACCTCCTCCACACAATTGCCGGCATGGCACCTGCATCTAAAGCCGAATCTTTGGAGATTGCGAGAGAGCTAGGGATGCTGGCACTTGCTATCACTCAAGCAGGAGTGTACATTCGCAAGACGCGGCGCCTCGACACCTACCTGGAGACATTTCGCAAGCACAGAAATCAACTTCTGAGCAAGCAGCCAGATATTGGCTCCGATTACACGTCCTCGACATACACCGCATTCGATTTATCATTTCATAAATTACAGAGAACGTCGCAGGAGTTCTTGAAGCTCTGTGCGTTCCTTCATCATTCATTCATTCCGTCCACTCTGTTTAAACAATCGACAATGTCCGGTTTCACCACATATATAGTCCGGACGAACTTTACTCCGCCAGAGAGTGACACGGCTTTCATTTCAAAGCTGCGGGAGATCTTTAGCGATACATGGGACGAGTTTGCGTTCCAAGACATCGTCGACTCGGCCTCACAAGCATCGTTTATAAACGTCTCAACGGACGGGTTATTTTACGGGATCCATCCTCTACTCCAGACATATATCAAGGATTCTCTTGACGAGACGGATAACAGAAGTTATTGCCGTGTGACGGCACAACTCTTGTTGGGTGCAATCCGGCCATGGGGAAGCAACGCTGAGTTTTGGCAGCTACTTCCGCATGCCAACAGTATCCCTCGGTCGATACAATCGGAGAATGTGGCTTGTGCACTGGCGTTCCATACACTTTATGAGTCTATAGGAAGCTGGGCGATATGCCAGGAGCTGTTAGAGTCTGTTCTTACCTCACTTCACTTGAGCCACGCCAAAGAACATGAAGGCGTGACATGGGTCAAGATCAAACTTGCCAATGCCGTCCAACAGAGTGGTCGATTAGAAGAAGCGGAGAAAATGCAACGAGACATGCTTGATCTACAGCTTGAAATGTATGGACCACGGCACCCTGATACTATAGTCGCCATGAGCAATCTCGCGGCGACATTGGGGGACCTTGGTCAATTGGAAGAAGCGGAAAAGTTGCAGCGAGATGTGCTTTCTCTGCAACGCGAGATATCTGGACCAGTTCATCCCGATACCATCATTGCAATGAGCAATCTTGGGGCCACCTTGGCTGATCGCGGTCAGTTGGATGAAGCGGAAAAGATGCAACGGGATGTGCTCGCTCTACGACTCGAGATATTTGGACCGAAGAATCGTGGTACCATCCGTGCAATGATCAATCTCGCGTCTACCTTGTGTGATCTTGGTCAGTTTGACGGAGCACAAAAGCTACAGCGAGACGCTCTTGCTTTACGACTCGAAATCTCCGGCCAGCGGCACCCAGACACTCTCAAAACGTCATTCGCACTCTCTTTCACGTTGTGCCTTCTTGGTCAGCGCGAGGAGGCTCTCCAGCTTCTGAGAGAGACGCAGACAATGCGCCGTGAGGTGTTAGGCGAAGATCACCCTATTACTCAGCAATCGAAACTACTTATCGAAGTCATCACGGCTCAGTCTCGTCCCAATTTGTAAGAAACTGTGGGCGTGATCGTAGCCCACTAGTCCCATGAACGAATCGTTGAAATAGACTTGTAATTATAGATAATACAATCTGTGTTCCTTCAGTTTGATAGGCCGGGCATGTCTTCTGAATGGCTTAGGGCGGATGAGCATAGAGCATTATACAATGAACTTATGTGATGGTCTAAAGTCGACGGGTGAGCCTTCCATTTGCGACTGCGCTCGTCGAGTCGCAGTGGCTTTGGCAAGGAGGGATGGCATGATAGTGTGTATCAGACCAGGCTATGAGCATATAGTTAATTTCATGTTTCTAATACTGTCACCTCGGCCTGAAGGCCATCTACGTCGTCTACTATACTCGTACCTCCCGGGATCGAGCACCAGCACGTCCATTGCGCATGTTAAGAAACGTTGGGCATCTTGAAATGATTGAAATCGTGTATTTAATTTTGTGGCCAACGTGGTTCAAGCGTGGAATGAGCGTACCTTGATGGCCAAGGAGAAGGGATGGCTTCTCTTCGTCGACAACGCCGACTCACCAGAACTCAACCTTCGACCATACCTCACTAATTCAACTCATGGAGCGGTTATCATCACAACACGAAATGGCCAATGCGCCAACTACGCGCTGGACGGTGCAGTTCCTGTCGGTGATCTTGAGGAGAGCGAGGCGGTGAACCTCCTTCATACAATCGCACAAATAATGCCTGCTTCTGATACCAAGTCTCTCGAAATCGTGAGGGAGCTTGGGATGCTGGCGCTTGCGATCACTCAAGCAGGGGTTTATATTCGCGATACCCGGCGGCTTGATACGTACCTTGAGATGTTTCAGGAACATCGGAGTGAACTTCTGCGTAAGCGGCCGGATATTGGCTCAGGATACACGTCCTCGACATACACCGCATTCAATCTATCATTCCACCAGCTGCCGAGAAAGACACAGAAGTTCCTAAAGCTATGTGCATTCCTCAACCACTCGCGTATTCCAACTATCCTCTTTAAGCGATCGATAATGTCAGGCTTTGCCACGTACACAGTCTTAAATAGCTACCGCCCGCCTTGGAGTGACAGAAAGTTCATCACAAAGCTGCGGAAGATCTTTGGCAAGACATGGAACGAAATTAAGTTCCAGGAAATCATCCACTCGTCCTCACAAGCATCATTTATCAACGTTTCGACGGACGGGTTATCTTATACCATTCACCCTCTACTCCAGACTTATATCGAGGATTCACTTGGTGAAGCGGATTGCAAACGCTATTGTTGCATAACAACACAGCTGGTACTGGGTTCAATCTGGCCATCAGAGGGAAGCAATGCTGATCTGTGGGACTTGCTTCCCCATGCCAACAGCATCCCACTGTCGGTCAAAACAAAGAAATCGCATGGGTACTGGCATTCTACAAGCTTTATGGTGCTTTGGGGAGCTGGACAGCATGTCGGGAGCTGCTGGAGACTGTTCACACAACCCTTCAACGGTCTCACAAACCGAAGAATAGAGACTTGATGTGGTTAGAGAACGTCCTTGCAATTACACTGAATAAGTGTGGTCGATTGGACGAAGCTAAAAAGATGGGGCGAGACACCCTCACTCTGCGGCTCGAGATCTCTGGACCACGCCATCCCCACACCATCGCCGCAATGAGCAACCTTGCAGCGATCTTGTATGGTCGTGGTCGGTTGGATGAAGCCGAAAAGATGCAGAGAGATACGCTCGCTCTGTTGCTCAACATGTCAGGACATCCCAATACCATCACCGTGATGAACAACCTCGCCTTTATCTTGGATAATCGCGGGAAAACGGAGGAGGCGAAGAGGATACGACAAGATGTGCGTGCTTTGCAGCTTCAGGGTTCTGGATAATGGCACTCATGCATCACCTTGACAATGAGCGTCCTTGTGTAGCATTTATTCACTATATGAGACAAACAGTGTCGGATAGTTTTCGGAATGTATTCTACAACTTTATGACCTAGAGCCTATACATTATCGACGGGTTCAGCGATAGACCAACCACACCGCCATCATGCTGTGGCTGCTGAGTCCCCGCAGGAAGAGATGGCGGATGAGAGATCGCACCAAAACCAAAACCAACTCCATTTGCCCCTAATGCGCGGGTAGGCAATTTCATCATTGGACGCGCACTTGGGCTTGACGTGACGGGTGCGCCGTATTGTCCAAGCTGCGCACCAGGTGTGTACGAAGGAAAGCCTTGCTGTACACCACCCTGTGTCATCTGAGGAGCACCTCCATGCCCAAAGTTATCTCCAGTACCCTGATTGATCGCCGCACCTGCCATGTTCCTGCCATTTGAAGACGAAAACGTAAAGTTGAACCCATCTCCATTCTCTGACGGCGTTGCGGTCGTACTGTTTGAAAGAAGTGTTGGTCCTAGAAGCATTCCGCTCGGTGGCGCTGGCATATTCGAGTGGCTGCTCGTCGGACGAAGAAGGGGCTAGAGTGAGCAGAACCAGGCCTCGACCATGCCATCGAGATCGAACCCGACTTGCGATGCTGATGTACCCCGTTGTTATTGTTGTTAGGAAATCCAAAGCTACCAAGCGATGCGTTTGGCATGGCGGTCATCGACAATTGGAGAGAGGCACCGTTCAAGTGAAGAGGAGACTTTGGGGGTGGAAACACAAAAGATCCGGACCCAGAGTTGGAGAGTGGGCTTGACGTGCCTGCTTGGAGGGTCATCGGAGCACCATATGGCGAGAGACCTTTGCGCTTCTTCGCTTGAGGTTGATATTCAATCTTGTCTTGATCCGCAGTCACTGAGACCAATGAGTATCAGCAATCGAAAAGCACGATCGACAGCGTACATTTACGCTTCTTGGATTGGAAGAATGGCGCTGGTTCCCTCCAATTGGTCGTCAGCGGTGTCGACACCGGAGAGCTCATGTTTGACTACAAATGGATTAGTAGTGACATAAGATGATGAAATGACGTACGGCCATGTCAAGATCCATCATGCCCGCCAATCCTTCGCCTTGCTCGTTGCCTCCAAAACTTTCAACTAGCATCATATCTCCATTCGCCATCATAGTAGAACCAGATCGTGACCTTCCTTCGATTGGCATCCCAATCGGAGCTTAGCCCACAACAGACGAAGGCCGCGATGCAACGAGCGTGGTATCAGCTGCGTGATCGCTCCCGTAAATGTCCGTATCCGGGATAGGTAGTTCACCATCACCCTCGACAGACTCGGGGAACCGACCAGCCCAATGTTTGGGTTCGGTATTCACAATGGAAGCGGCCCATTCGCCCATCCAGTGGCGTGTCTGTCGCTTGCGAGCTGGGGACGATCCTGCGTTGGAAATGGTGAGACGTAGTCTCGAAGAGAGATCTGAGGTAGATTGGACCAATCGAGGGAATGCGGTTTCCGACTTTGTCTCCGAGTCAAGAACGGGAGCATTGAGTTCGTTCTGCACGCGGAGTAGCCTCGCATGTTTGAGATGGTTGCACTGTGAGCGAAAGAAAGGGTCAACAATTCTCCACGCGCCGGTCGCTCGAGAGAATGACGAGAGTGGCTCTGCAGATCTCGCAGGACTCGAGTCCTTCATGGGTGACGAATGTACGCTATGGTCCGGGTCCACGGCCAGGGCATCTATGTCGTCCTCTGATCCTCTCTGGTTGACCAAATCTGGGGTAGTCCGTCCATTAGACGCAGTAGAGAGGTCGCTCTCAGACCCATTCGGAGATGAAATACCTATAGTCTGCCTAGGTTCCTTCATCTTTGCCACTTGCGCGGCAAAGCCTGTCTGTCGCGTAGGGCGTCTCCTTCGCCTCCAGCATGACTTTATCTAAACTGGCACTTTTCCTAGCTGGTGATAGTCTGATAGACATGGAAGAGGCGGAAGAAGACGTCCTTCTCTGCATGTTATGTCCCCTGACCTATACTCTTGGATCGTCGCGGCGGGTTGTTGCATAGATCCGCCATTTCCGTTGCCATTTCCCCAAGGCTACCGCTACTACTACTACTCCCTCCACCTGATATGTTTGATGGAGATGGGAATGAGTGAAAGATTTTGTCCTGTGGAGTGCAATGCTCAGAGAACTTGGTCGGCGCATGCGGTTTTGTAGATGTGCAGCAGTCGGCGACTGGGCTACGCGGGAGTGTGTGGTCGAGGCCGTATACGGGTTAATTCTTGAAGAGCTCATCCCGGGTGGTGAACTATAGTCGACAGGTGAGCCTTCTATTGCCGAACTCGGTGAGAAGTGGGATGATAGTGTATAGGATATGATTCTAGGGACCACAGTTGACAGATATATCCACTTTCAATCGCCATATCCGCCTGCACAAGCCATCTACGTGGTCCACGGTGCTTGCCCTCCCGGGATCGAACGTCGGTATGTCCATGTGGGGTCCAAGACTGAAATATTTCGAGCTTGCCTTTGTCCAGACGGTGCGTAATGCGAAGGACGGCCAACGCTCTTTGGTCGGGAATGAAGTCCTTGTGCAAACAGCCGCTCAGTGGCTTGGACGCAGCCATTAGACGCTGGCCACCGAATGACCTGGGACCCAACCATTAATCGTGAATAATGTCCAGTTTTCACTCGCGTTTGAGGAATGTCTTCCGTCCTTCTCAGAAATCTTCGAAGAACACAAACAAATCCGCGACATTGGATGCCAATTCCAACAGCCCGAGGCCATCGACATCGGAGCCCATCTCAAAAGCAGATCAGCTCGACTTCCTAGAACTTGCTTCCGGAACTGATCCTATCGTCGAGTAAGACACCCATCTATCGCACGTGTTCGCCGCAGCTGAGCCTACCTCATCAGTATTGTCGCCATCCATGGATTGCAAGGACACAGAGAAAGGACCTGGACGACAGATCAAGGAAGCTTATGGCTGCGCGACTTCTTGCCCACAGACTTGTCCAATGCTCGAGTCTTGACATACGGCTACGACGCTGATGCTCGTAGTCACGAGTGTGTCTCAACCCAGACGATGCGCCGGCATGCCGATGGATTCGCCAAGGCCCTTTCCAGGAAACGCAAGGTCACTCCTCGAGTCAGTGCTTCCGCCTTGTATGAGAACTCGTTTTAACATATTGATAGCGACCCATTATCTTTGTTGCACATGATCTAGGAGGCATCATTCTCAAATGGGTGCGTAGCATTGGGTACACTTCAAGCCAGCACTAAACACTCGCAATAAGGCTCTGGTAATCTGTCACAATCAATCATTGGAGTCTAAATGTGATCTCCGAGACATTCTCATCTCCACTCATGCAATCCTATTCTTTGGAACTCCGCATTCGGGCACCGACGTTACCCTCCTCGAAGCCGTCAATCGCCTGGCGTTAGTATATATGGAGACAACAGACATTATCCTCAAGGATCTTCGGTCGAACTCGTCTGAACTCGAGAACGTACAGAGTCTCTATGCCCAAGCAAGTACGACGATTGAGAGCATCTTCTTCTATGGCCAGTATACGACAAGAGGACTGGTAGGTGCGTTCATATGATAAACCAGTCGCTCATAGACAATTAGAACGTTCCATACCACTCAGCCGTGATTGCAGGCGATCGCCATGGGACGCCAATCCCACTTCCTGCCGACCACCGCGAGATGGTGAGATTCACCTCCAGAAACAGTAACAGTTATCAAACTGTTCTTCACTATCTCCAAGACTATGTCAAGAATGCACCTGCTGAGGTGAAGAAGAAGTGGGATGTCGAGGACATTTGCCGAAGTTTGTCGTCAATCATCCTTCGCTACTTGGCTGACTGGTTTGTAGATGCCACTTCTGTGGGGATCATTTCTCCAAAGCCGTGTCCACCGTCGTCCAGAGGCTACATCGAGCGAACGCATATCCAGTCCCTCATCAGTCAAGCACTGCTTCCGGATAGACCCGTGAAGGATCAACCACGGTGTATTTTACACGGCATTGGAGGTGCAGGCAAGACTCAGCTCGCGATAAACTGGATTGGTGCCAACAAAGACCGGTATGTGTCCCACATGCTGCCCTAGAATGTCTAATCGTTGGCTAGCTTTACTCGGGTGATCTTTGTCGACGCGTCCAGTCAATCCCAGGTGGAAATGGACTTGGAGCGGTCTATCCGGTGCTTAGGCCCTGAATACACCAAAAAGACATGGGAGGATGCTGTCGCACATCTTGACTACAAAGATCAAGGATGGCTGCTCTTTATCGACAACGCCGACTCACCCAAACTCGACCTCCGTCCATACCTCCCTACTTCTACTCATGGCAAAGTCTTAATCACCACCAGAAATGCGGAATGCATCAACTATGCCCCTTCTGGTGCGGTTCTCGTTGGCGCTCTTGAGAAGAGCGAGGCGGTGAATCTCCTTCACGCCGTCGCTCAGGTGGCACCTGTATCCGATACTGAATCTTTGGATATTGTGGAAGAACTAGGGATGCTAGCACTCGCGATTACTCAAGCAGGGGCATATATTCGCCAGACGCGACGTCTTAGCGCATACCTCGGCACATTGCGGAAGAATCGGAATCGACTTCTGAGCAGGAAGCCAGATATTGGCTCAGATTACACGTCGTCGGCGTACGCTGCGTTCGACCTATCGTTCCATCAATTACCGAACAGTACACAGAAGTTCTTGAGGCTGTGTGCGTTCCTTCATCACTCGCTCATTCCACTATCGCTGTTCGAGCTGTCGACAATGTCCGGCTTCACCACATACACTGTCCGGATAAGCTGCCCTCCGCCGGAGAGTGACAGGAATTTCATATCAAAGCTTCAGGAAATCTTTGGGGAGACATGGGACGAAGTTGCATTCCAGGAGATTGTCAACTCGGCAGCACAGGCATCGTTTATCAATGTCTCAACGGATGGAGCATTCTACAACATACACCCTCTACTCCAAATGTATATCCAAGATTCTCTGGGGGCAGCGGATAAAGGAGATTTCGTCCGGATGGCATTACAATTACTACTTGGTGCAATCCGACCAGCAGAAGGGAGCAACGCGCCGCTTTGGCACCTACTTCCTCACGCCACCAGAATCCCTCGATCTGTGCTATCAGAGAATCTAGCGCACATACTCGCTTTCAATGGGTTCTATGATGATTTAGGGAATTGGAGGGCATGTTGGGAGCTACTAGAATATTCCCTCGAAAGAGCTCGAGAAAGGCAAGGCGAAAGGCATGGCAACACAATGTGGGTCATGAACAAACTCGCCGAGGCACTGTGGCGTTGCGGTCAATTAAGTGAAGCAGAAAGGATGCAGAGACAGACACTTGCTCTGCAACTAGAGATTCTTGGACGAGAGAATCATGATACAATCAGTACAATGCACTGCCTTGCCCTGACCTTGCGTGGTCGTGGTCAGTTGGACAAAGCCGAAAAGATGCAGCGAGACGTGCTCGCTCTGGGGCTCGATATCTATGGACGACGCCATCCCGACACTATCGCCGCAATGAGCAACCTTGCATCGACCTTGCATGATCGTGGTCAGTTGGACGAAGCCGAAAAGATGCGGCGAGACGCCCTCACTCTGCGGCTCGAGATCTCTGGACCACGCCATCCCGACACCATCACCGCAATGAGCGAACTTGCATTGACCTTGCATGATCGTGGTCAATTGGACGAAGCCGAAAAGATGCGGCGAGACGTGCTCGCTCTGCGGCTCGAGATCTCTGGACCACGCCATCCCGACACCATCACTGCAATGAGCAACCTTGCATTGACTTTGCATGATCGTGGTCAGTTGGACGAAGCCGAAAAGATGCAGCAAGATGTGCTTGCTCTGCGACTCGAGATCTCTGGACCACGCCATCCCGACACCATCACCGCAATGAGCAACCTTGCATGGACCTTGCATGATCGTGGTCAGTTGGACGAAGCCGAAAAGATGCGGCGAGACGCCCTCACTCTGCGGCTCGAGATCTCTGGACCACGCCATCCCGACACCATCACCGCAATGAGCAACCTTGCATTCACCTTGCATGATCGTGGTCAGTTGGACGAAGCCGAAAAGATGCGGCGAGACACCCTCACTCTGCGACTCAAGATCTCTGGACCACGCCATCCCGACACTATCACCGCAATGAGCAACCTTACATTGACCCTGCATGATCGTGGTCAGTTGGACGAAGCCGAAAAGATGCAGCAAGACGTGCTTGCTCTGCGACTCGAGATCTCTGGACCACGCCATCCCCACACCATCGCCGCAATGAGCAACCTTGCATCGACCTTGTATGGTCGTGGTCAGTTGGACGAAGCCGAAAAGATGCAGCGAGACGTGCTCGCTTTGCAACGCAAGATCTCTGGTTCACGGCATCCTGGAATCATCATGGCTATGAACAACCTTGCATTGACCTTGTGTGATCGTGGTCAATTGGATGAAGCCGAGAAGATGCAGAGAGACGTGCTCAGGCTGCAGCTCGACATATCTGGACCAGGGCATCACAATACCATAGCGGTCATGAACAACCTCGCGGGGATCTTGGACAATTGTGGCAAAACGGAGGAGGCAGAGAGGATACGGCAAGATCTGCGTGCTTTGCAGCTTCAGGGTTCTGCATAATGGCACCCATGCATCACCTTGACAATGAACAACCTTGTGTAAATAGCATTTATTCACGATATAAGACAAACATGTCGGATACACTTTCATAATCCCCTGACCGTAACGACGTGGAGGGAAGGGACTTGCAGGCCCTCACAAGGCACAGTAATTGAAATATCTGTACGATTTTCAACTAATATTTTGCTCCTTTTCAACTGCGGCGGCCACCTCAAAGCCCCGCTCGAACCTTTTGTCCTAAAGTCTTTGTTCTCCTGGCTCGAGCTTACTGGCCTCCCCTCCCACTTTGTGCTCCCAATGCATATCAGTGACCTTTGTCAGCTAATTGTACAGGCTGACCGCCTCTTTTTGGCCTATCCTCCAGGTTTCTTGACTTTAGCACCGATGCCGAAGGGCGAGTCAATCTTGCCCACCCTTCGCTCAACAATTCGGGGTTCTATCAGTATCTTTCAACGCTTCTGCATACTAAGGAAGCTGCAATGCTGCCATTAGCTTCCATGGCATCCGACACTCTGGCTCGCCACATTCATCTGATTGGAAACATTGACGAACGTCTGGGCCACCCACCCAATTCATTGAGTTTTGCTACACGCGACAGGCTCTCACCAGTACGTTCTCCCTATCACTATGGACTGTACTGACACTCCCGAGACAACACTCCCGCTCGAACACGTTCAGTTTGGCTTCGAAGTCTACTCACCGTTGACCTTTTTTCCTGTGAAGCTATCTAATTTGCCACCTCAAGGTGCGTCGGACCTCTTGATACCCCTGGACTTACTCTGACTGCCCGTAGGTATTGCCGGCGCTGCCTGTATACCACTCGAGCATTCCAATGTCGTTCACACGAGCCTCTGCGCTCCGTTTCACCGGTCAGAGACGTTTATGCCACTCGTTACCCGTTGAATTTGCATGCATCTGTTGTTTCCAGGAGAGACGTTGCTCCCTTGAGTATTGTGAGTGCATCACCAGCTGAAACCTTACGTTGTTTTGTCGAACGGCTTACTCTATGCACCTGAGCACGAGCTCCAGCAGATCAAGGGAAAGAGGACTGAAGGCTTGGGCCCGTAGTCTTAGTGCCCCTCACAATCTCTGCCCGCGTGCTCTGTCTCCTCCTGGATCCAGATGGCGCGATTGCTCTTGTTTGCCATTTAGGCCTCTGATGAAATCTCCTATTTCGTTCACACCCCTCCTCCTTGTTCATTGCGAGCGTCTAAGGGGTCCCACACGAGTTGTGTGTATAACGTATATTCCACGATAAATCGTCGAGCCCCAAAGGACATAAAGGTCAGGTGTCCGCCCGGAGGGCCCTTCAGTATATTCTACAACTTTATGGCCTAGAGTCTATACATTATCTATGGGTTCAGCGATAGACCAACAACGCCTCCATCAAGCCGTGGCTGCTGAGTCCCCGCAGGAAGAGATGGCGGATGAGAGATCGCACCAAAACCAAAACCAACTCCATTTGCCCCCAATGCGCGGGTAGGCAACTTCATCATTGGACGCGCACTTGGGCTTGACGTGACGGGTGCGCCGTATTGTCCAAGCTGCGCACCAGGTGTGTACGAAGGAAAGCCTTGCTGTACACCACCCTGTGTCATCTGAGGAGCACCTCCATGCCCAAAGTTCTCTCCAGTACCCTGATTGATCGCCGCGCCTGCCATGTTCCTGCCGTTTGAAGACGAAAACGTAAAGTTGAACCCATCTCCATTCTCTGACGGCGTTGCGGTCGTACTGTTTGAAAGAAGTGTTGGTCCTAGAAGCATTCCGCTCGGTGGCGCTGGCATGTTCGAGTGGCTGCTCGTCGGACGAAGAAGGGGGCTAGAGTGAGCAGAACCAGGCCTCGACCATGCCATCGAGATCGAACCCGACTTGCGATGCTGATGCACCCCGTTGTTATTGTTGTTAGGAAATCCAAAGCTACCAAACGATGCGTTTGGCATGGCGGTCATCGACAATTGGAGAGAAGCACCGTTCAAGTGGAGAGGAGACTTTGGGGGTGGAAACACAAAAGATCCGGACCCAGAGTTGGAGAGTGGGCTTGACGTGCCTGCTTGGAGGGTCATCGGAGCACCATATGGCGAGAGACCTTTGCGTTTCTTCGCTTGAGGTTGATATTCAATCTTGTCTTGATCCGCAGTCACTGAGACTAATGAGTATCAGCAATCGAAAAAGCACGATCGACAGCGTACATTTACGCTTCTTGGATTGGAAGAAGGGTGCTGGTTCCCTCCAATTGGTCGTCAGCGGTGTCGACACCGGAGAGCTCATGTTTGACTACGAATAGATTAGTAGTGACCTAAGATGATGAAATGACGTACGGCCATGTCAAGATCCATCATGCCCGCCAATCCTTCGCCTTGCTCGTTGCCTCCATAACTTCCAACCAGCATCATATCTCCATTCGCTGTCATAGTCGAACCAGATCTTGACCTCCCTTGGATTGGTATCCCAATCGGAGCTTGGCCCATAACAGATGAAGGCCGCGACGCAACGAGCGTCGTATCGGCTGCATGATCGCTTCCGTCACTTTCCGTATCCGGGCTAGGTAGTTCACCATCACCCTCGACAGACTCGGGGAACCGACCAGCCCAATGTTTGGGTTCGGTATTCACATTGGAAGCGGCCCATTCGCCCATCCAGTTGCGCGTCTGTCGCTTGCGAGCTGGGGACGATCCGGCGTTGGAAATGGTGAGGCGTAGTCTCGAAGCGAGATCTGAGGTAGATTGGACCAATCGAGAGAATGCGGCTTCCGACTTTGTTTCCGAGTCAAGAAAGGGAGCATTGAGTTCGTTCTGCACGCGGAGTAGCCTCGCAGGTTTGAGCTGATTGTACTGTGAGCAGACACAAACTGTTCAATGATGGGATACGCACCGGTCCTTTGAGAGAAAATGGAGAGAGTGGCTCTGCAGATTTGGCAGGACTCGAGTCCTTCATGGGTGACGAATGTACGCTATGGTCCGGGGCCACAGCCAGGGCATCTACGTCGTCCTCTAATCCTCTCTGGTTGACCAAATCCGGCGTAGTCCGTCCATTCGATGCAGTAGAAAGGTCGCTCTCTGACCCATTCGGACCCGACATACCCATAATCTGCCTGTATCTCTTCATCTTTGCCACTTGTGCCCCAAAGCCCGTCTGCCGTCTCGCGTTGGGCGTCTCCTCGTTCGCCTCAAGCCCGACTTCATCTAAACTCGTATTCCTCCTAGCCGGTGATAATCCGATAGACATGGAAGAAGCAGAAGAAGATGCCCTTCCTCTGCCTGCTATATCCCCCGACCCATACTCTTGGATCGTCGCGGCGGGCTGCAGCATAGAGCCGGCATTTCCGTTGCCGTTTCCTCCAAGACTACCGCTACTACTACTCCCACCACCCGAGATATTTGATGGAGACGGGAAACCGGTGAATGATTTTGTCCTATCGAGTGCAATGCTTAGAGAACTTGGTCGGCGCGTGCGGTTTCGTAGATGTGCAGCGGTCGGCGACTGGGCTACGCGAGAGAGTGGATTCATGGTTGTATAGGGGTTGTTTCCTGAAGTGCTTATCCCGGGTGGTGAACTAAAGTCCATAGGTGAACCTTCCATTGGTGAGCTCGCTCTTTGCAGTGGATTCGGCGAGGCGGGTCGCAGAAACGACATGAAGGCGTATATTATGTCGCAAGATTGAGACTGATGCTAAGTAGAGGCCGGCGAGATGAGAAGGAGCTGGACATGCAAGACAGGCTAAGCATTCTCGAGAGTGGCAGAGGGTTGAACGCGTTGAAAAGTTGATACTTACAGCGAACTATGGGCAAGAATTATAATGAGTCCAGGATTTAGCACAGTTGGCAGATCGACAGAAATGCCTAGTGCGGGTTCGGTTCAGGAATCCAAACCACCAATGACCACAAATATACAAGTGTCTATATCTACAAGAGTAGCAAGTAATATACAAATCTTATCCAAATCTCAAGTCTGCGTCAAATCCCTTCAACCAACGCTCATACGGCTCTGCCAAACTCGACGGCCCACGTCCACCAGCCGCACCGCGCTCCAGCTTCTTCGGTTTATCGACGTACAAAGCGAAGAGCTCTTCCTTCTCCTGTCTCTCTCGCACACGTTGTTGGTACCGTTCGACGTCAGTAGTCGGTCCTGACACGACGGTGCCTTCCATTACGTCGTCTTGTTCCATTTCGCTAGTCCCGGCCGGAGGATAAGATGCAAAGTACGGTTCATCCAGATCTTCACCCGCGCAACTCGCGACGACGGCTTCATAGAATTCGAGATCAGCCTTGTCGATTCCTTCTAGTCCGGACGGCGCAGCCAGGAGCGCTTGATACTGATTGACATATCTAGTAAGTTTTTAGCCATGGAATCGATTCTCATGAGACATCTGCATACCTCTGGTAATCCGCAAACTCTTCTTCGGTGACAAGGGGATCCAGAAGCCGTTCGACAACAGCTTCGATACTCGTCGGGTCCGTTATAGGTTTCTCCGAAACAAACATGCCCGAATCTTTCGACAGTTTCGATGTTCCCTCGCTCCAGCCCGCATACTTGCTTCGTCGATTATTTGCTGTCGACTGGTTGCCCGCCATCATCCATCTTCGAAAGTCTGCCATAATCCTATCCAAGTCAGTTACTTGCGTTGAGTAATAATCGGTGACGTACCTTGGTTGAGTTGGGAGGTGTGCCTCGCGGGGTACGAAAGGACTCTTGTGGACATCATTTGCCGTTTTCCTACAGAACATCAGCGCCTGCCTATCTCGAGGTATGTCAACATTACCCAGGTAGCTTCAGCGTGCTGTTCATCCCATAGGAGAAATGCTTGACCAACCCGGTAAACATGAGCGGCTTGTAATACTCTACCCAAAACTCTGTGGTCGTCGCATCGTGAGGGTCCTTGTCCAGAGCAGCTGGCGAACTCGCACCATCCCCATCAGCAAACCTCTCCAATGCCTCTTTGCACACATCGAGATCAAACCGGCACTCGCCATGGTGACAGTCGAGCACCTCTCTCCAATCCACTTGCTCGCTCCCATTGTGTTTCAAATCTCCATCCTTGAGTTTGCGCGACTTTTTGACGAGACCAATCTTTTCTGGGTCAAACCACTTGTCGTACCCGCCAAACTTGGTCGGCTTCTTGCCTGTGATACCCCTGTCGTCGGTGATGCCAAGGAACGTGTTGATAGCGAGCTGTCTGTCCGCGTCGAGCATTTGATTGTGGTAGAATCTCTTGAGATTCTCGATGATATCGCGTGAATGCGAATTCCAATGGGGCATCCGGCGGTACATCTCTACGCGGTTCACGAGAGCGCTTCCAGTGTATTGTAGTGCGATGGCTGAGTTGATTAGTGAAATTCGTTCGAGAACGAAGACACACTCACTATCCCCATGATCATGGTACATCTCCGTCAACATGTTCACAGCGTCCGAATCAAACACCAGGTTCGGACTGTCAACAATCCCAAGTGCGTAGAGCTGATGTCCCAAAGCGCGCTTTCCAAACACGAATTGCGCCGCGTTTGTCCGGTCAAGACAGTCGACGCAATTTGTACGGCAAACTCCGTTCTGGAGCAAGATGTGATCGCGGTATGCCATCCTAGACGTTGTCAATATTCTCCTGAGGAGACAGCTTGGGATACGTACTCATCGTCTCCCTTCATCTTGTGCGCATACGGCTCCGGTCCTGAATGGAAAAAGCCTGTCTTGCTAATCGCCTCTTCGGCCAAATCTTCCAGATACGAGATGACATCTTTATCCTTTTCTCGGTACATTTGTGCCATGTCATATGCGCGCCACACCATCTTCTTGTCCTCAGGAAGAAACTGGTTGAGGAAATCGACGCATTGAGAGTATTCGTATAGGAGAAGCTTTTCGCGTGGTTCGCGCCACTGTACAAGGATCAGGGTCTGTAGAAATGATAACTGTGGAGATGTACTTTGATGAGGTTGAGGATAATGACTGGTGTACCATAACGTTCAAAGAGATTGTCAAAATGCTTTCCAGCTGCGACGTAGTACGGGTCTGCGATCGTAACTGCGAGGAAGAGATATCAGCACCCTATTTTGATACGGCGGTTGAACTTACTCTCAATGGGAGGTCGTGGATTCACGCCAGCAGCTTCTTGCGCCCAATAGATCGGTATGCTTCCACGATACTATGACTATATGAGCACGGCAAAAGCCCAAAGCGCACATACCTGCACAAAGCTAGTGTAACGTGGGTTGATCGTCCTATTCCTCTTCTTGGCACCAGTCTTCTTCACTTCATCTGCCGCAGAATTCGTGCTTCCAAGTTCGCTATCCCCTCCATCATCTTCATGCAAATCAAACCCCGCAAATCGAGGCGCAGGAGCGTAAAACCCCGTGGTGCTGGCCTCGAAAACAATCTGCTCCGTCTCGACTTCATTCGCCACGTCGCCATCCTCGTTGACGCCTCTCTTGAGGTATCGCGCACCGGCATAGTAGCGTGATCGACGAGCGATGAGGGTGACGTATACGACACGACCGAGAACAGTGAGCTCTAGAACGACGTGTCAACAGAGGAAATAGAAGAGGATGGTGCTTACTTGCTTGGTCGACGTGCCCGTGCATCAGCGGAATCGCCCAATCGCTCTTTACGACACTCTTGCCGTCTGCACTCACACCTTGTCCAAATGCGGGATCCAACATGTGATGGTTCCACGCGAACCTCTCGTTGAAACTCCACTTTCCTCTCGCTTCTGCTTTCGCACATCCCGTCAAATTGCGCTGCAGGGTGGAAGTAATGTCATACGAGTAGGAAAAGTAAAAGTTTTTGGTCATGTCGACTTGCTTGAAGATGGTGAGTAGACGCTGCTCTTCCGTTGGGTTGTCAACTTTGTGGATTGGGGAGATGGGAGGAGTTCTGTGCCTTCGAGGTGGTAGAGATAATGACCGCCTATGAGCGCGACGACGGAACGTTTGACCATGATGATCATGTACCACCCAGCGGTAAATCGTACGAATCCTGTTCATGTTCAGAAATGTCGACCGGAGTAAGAGGAGACGTGCCAGCGATGCCAAAGAATGTCCTGGGTTTGCCTAGACCTCCACTCCCTCGATTCCCATCTTCCAACATCTTGAGCATACTGTTCATCTGCTTGCCTGTATACGTCGTATCGTCCTGGTGCACCACCAGTTCGTCGTCGTGGGTGCGATCAATCTTGAGCATCTTGTGTCGACTGTCGTTTGCATTCGACGCGACGATGTAGAACCGCGTCTTGGTCTCGTATAGGAGAAACTTGTTGAGGACAGAACTCTTGACGCGCATGGCGCCTGCATGAGAGGGTGGTGGTGGGGGAGGACGCTGCTTGGATGCAAATGTTTCATAGGTGTGTTTCTCGGTATATCCTGTGGTTGTTGAGGGTAGCGTGCTTGAGCTGGCCATGGGTCTGAGTGATGGCGAGGGATTGTTTGCCTTGTTGGATGTAGTGTTCTGACTCTCTGATGATCCAGTCATTGCGGCAAATGTTCCGTATACACCTTCTGTAGCTGTGATGCCAACGGATGGGCTGACAAGGGGCATCGAGTTGCTGAGAAAGCCTTGTTGGAGCCTTCGTAGACTACCAGAGGAAAAGGAAGGCTTGGAATCCTGAGTTGTGTTGGGCTGTTTGAGTGAAGGCGTGGATGCATTGGGGTCTGGAGGATGCTGGGCGGCAATGGGAGGGTTGCTTGAAGTTGAAAAGGTTGAAGGGGCGTCCTTTGAGAAACGAGAGATGGAAGAGCTAAAGGAGGGACCTGCTGCGAGAGCCTGTCTTCGCTCGTCTGCCATGGCCATTGTCCAAGCGCCGTCTGCCACTCTTGACCCACGACTAGAAGAATGAGCGAGGACAATACTCGACCCGTTGCACGCGTTGTACTCACGGGGTTTGGAGTATGTCTTGCTTTACTAACCGGTTATTCAAATTGACGCCGGTCAGCCTTTCAAGGATATTGTCGTCAATCCATCGTTTCAGATCGTCCAGGCTCTACCAGATACACTCAAGATTTACACATCCAAAAGTAAACCACAGACTATTCAGTTGCTGCGTCATCCAGACGCCATCCATGTCGCGTATGAAACGGTTGTCGAGCTCATCCCACAGCTCTACGACTTGTATGCGTCTGAAGATGATGGACTACCTCCTCCATATTTCATCCACATCGGTGCAGGATATCTCGGTCAATATGAACTCGAGTCGCTTGCACACCGAGATGACTATTCGCTGCTGGACGTCGACGGCAAGTCTCCCCCGCTCCAAAATGCAGAGTTTTTGGCGGGATCTAGGGTCGCTGGTCAAAAACCCCTTGGCGCGAATGTACCGCGGGGCTTCCCCGTCTTTGATCAAGCCGCTGAGCCCATCCTCCGCACTTCGATTGACGTGAATGCCCTGGCAGAGGCTGTACGTCGTGATCTTCCAGACTTGGTAAGTATTTAGGAACACTCTGGCCTTGCTGACACTTGATCAGCCGATGCCTGTGAATGTGTCGACGGATGCTGGCCACTATCTGTGTGATTTCATCTACTACACTTCGCTACATCAAGCTGTCAAGCGGTTTGGAGAACAGGGGACGAGGCGAGTGCTGTTCGTACATGTGCCCCCAAACGGCACTTTGGAGGATGGTGTGCGCGTTCTAGGCGCTGTGATTCGTGGTCTAGTCCCGTTAGAGTCAAAAGGGAAATAAATGGAATATAGGCTTTTGCAATCTCCGATACACGATCCGTGCACGCTCAACGGCCATAAATCGAACAAATGAGAAGATTGATAGACCTAGTTTATGGGCGCCGGGTAGAAGTGTAGCTTGCCACCTACCGTGACCGCGCTTTGCTCCCTGGTCTGCGGTCAGACGCCAGGAAACCGTCTTAGAATTTTCAGGCAGTCTTCATTCTCCTCTTTTCGGTCTATTTGGAGAGCACAAGCCACCATTTGAACGGTCTCGGCCCCCCCACAGATTGCGAAGAATCCAAACGCGGCCGTCAAAACGAATCATATACTGGCAAAAACAGAGCGGGCGGCGTCTACACGACGTCGTCCCGCAGATGCGACCAATGCTGCCTATAGCACGACCACCGTTGCCAGTCTAGGCTTTCTAGACAACCATTTGACCATTCCCGGCTACAAGTTCAGCAAGGTACTGTTTATTCTATTTGCATTCCACATATTCATCTGCTGACTGGCGCCCTGCGTACACTGCTTACTGTCCCCGAAATCAGGCCAAACGATGGAATGACATTGGTTCATCTACCCTCCTCGCTACTGGTTTCGACCTCAAATCAGGTTCACACGTCTTGGCAAAGATTGCACCCGCCCATTCGAACAGCGCCATTTGTCTAGGCCGTGAAGTCATCATCAACAACCAACTTTCATCCATGCCAGAGGGAACTCGCATTGCACTTTCCTTGCTCGAGACGCTCACCATTCCCAAAGCCGCGGGCGACTGCGAAGTCGTGATCTATCATAACCCGGGCTTCAACGCCCTCGGACGCTATTTCCCACCCGGAACGATCAATGACCTCTTACTCCCCTGGCATCCTCGCTCTACACCTTCGTCAAACCATCGCGCCTCGTCCATAGACGCAAACGACGGCAAGCGCAATCGGGCGAGGAGAGAGAGACTGAGTAAGAACCTGTACGGACTTAAAGTAGCAGACTTTGATGTCGACATGGACTCTGTAGGGTTCCTTGACCCGACAGAAGCCGAAAAAGACTCCGAGGACGAAGCCCAAATGGAGGTAGACGACACCGCCATGCAATCCACAACAACGATTCAGGAACTATCAGCACCACGGCACGTATCTCGACCAAGCGGAAGCGAACCATGGACACCCGCAGACTCCTTGTCCTTTTCCAATGCCCAAAACTCTACGCTCGACGTCATGGATCTCGCGTCTTTTTTGGAATTTGCAATCCATAGCACGCATTGTCTCGAGATTTTACACAAATCTGGACATAAACATCGCGAAGTCCGCGCAAATGCCTTTCACGTAAACATGCACACGGGTGCTGTTCGTTTTGCGCATTTTGGGAATAGGAGCGAGAGTTTGGAAAAGACGGGTGGACCGAGTCAACTCGTGCTCCGTGCGAGTGGACTTATTCCGAGCGGTGGTGCTATCGCCACTATGAATGGGATGGGGAATGGGAGTGGAGAAGAAGTAGGGAGTCCGAGAGAAGACGTTTCTGGGCTGGATGCGCAAACTGGCAATGTCGAAGACGATGACGCAAGGAGTGACTCGGGGGATATACGTAAGGTCAAAGAGGCCATTTGCTATCTCGCGCCAGAACAGACGGGGACAGCCGAAACGAACACGGAAGATCACCGCACTGATTTGTATGCGCTTGGTGTTCTCTTCTGGACTATGCTGGCAAGTGTTGCCCCTTTTTTCAGGGTCGAGTTGACCGGTAATTTGGTTCTAGGTTGGTCATGGGACCCTGCCGTTTGACGGGAGTCCTGTCGAGATGCTGCACAAGGTTGTGCAGTCCAAGCCACGAGAGGTCCATGAAGTTCGGCAGGACGTTCCGCCCGTCATTAGTGCAATTGTTTCAAAGGTATTACTCTCCACAATCTTCTTCTCAAGCTAACGTCAATCCAGCTGCTTTCCAAGTCTCCCGATGGACGATATAATTCAGCAATTGGGCTGAAGAATGACTTGATGGAGTGTCAGAAGCGATTGACGCTCAGTTGTGCAAACGCTGAAACCTCTGGAACAAGCTCACTTCGCGAGATTGAGCTCATACCCAGTTTCGAGCTCGGGCAACACGATGTATTTCTGGAATTGACGATTCCAGGTGACCTGGTACGTGATTCATTTGAATCCAAATAGTAAATCTGACGTAAACTAGTTTGGTCGCGAAAAGGAGATGCAGCAAATACGATCCGTGATACGGAGCGTGGCAGCAGCAGCGTCTGCACAAGTACATACCGTCGAAGCAACGCTCATGAATGCGCGTGTGCATCCGCATGCATATGACTATTCGTCGTTTTCGTTCATGCCTTCGACGTCCAATCCGGAGACCATGTCCACCACCTCGCTCGCCCTGTCAAATATCAGCGTCGGATATTCGAACGCATCGGTTGGACGACATGACTCGGCACCGCATTCACAGCCGGGTTCACCCTCCGGAAACGCGCTTGCAAGCTCTTCGGCAAGTACAAACGGTACTACACCCCACGCAAGTCATAGTCGTAAAATATCGTCGTCTCATCTCCCAGCAGGGATGAGTATGACTCTGGATAAAACGGCCATGAACGGTACGGTCAAGCATGAAGACGAAAACCAACCGGAAACACCAGACGCGTCAGCGCCCAAAGCTAACATCTTTGAACGTTCGGTGGTCAAACCCGGTCCCGGAGGTGTTACACAAAAGGAAATGGGCGTAGGGACGATGATGACCGACGCTTCACCCATCTCTGCATCTGCCGTCTCGGTCCTTCACCGACCGAATGGATTCCCCCCATTGGGCTCATCTTCGGTCGTCAATTCGACGATCAGTCATTCTATACATTCGCATGGGACGTCGAATAGCTTGAGTACCATGTCGGGCTCGCCTGCGTCTATTCGCGCTGGCCGGACGGCGCAGGCACATGCGATTGTGATTGTTGGTCAGGCGGGGATCGGCAAGAGCTCACTTATCCAGATGAATCAGGCGTATTGGAGGCGACAGGGCTTGTGGGGTCATGCAAAGATGGTCAAAGGAGACGCTAGCCCGTTTACTGCCGTGGTGCGTCTATTTCAGTCTCATTCCAATACAGGCTACTAACAATCTGCATTTAGTTGACGTGTCTCTCTTCTGTGCTGAGACAGCTGATGATGTTCCAAAACGACCGCCAGGCATTTGTCCAACTCCTCAAAGCTAGGCTAGGGGCACAACTTCTTAACATCCCCCTCCTTTTCCACGGTGTACCCGAGTTGAGGGATCTATTGGCTGCCTTTGGGATCGTTCTAGCTGAGCCAAAGGTCATGCTCAGTACCGAAGAGCTAGGAGCACGTTTTCAGTCGCTGGTGGAATGCGTATATGGAACTTTAGCGGATGTCAAGTTGCTCGCATTGGTGCGTATCTGTAAGTCGTGTCTCTGGGTATCTGCTCACTTTATTACAGTTTTTAGACGACATTCATTTCGCGGACAAAGCGACGCTCGAGCTCATTGGGCTACTTTCCGAATCTAGATCTCGCATTCTTATCATGACAACGTGCCGTGACGATGACCTTCCGACTCTTGCACGTATTCGACGTCTGTTTGCTAGCCGGACACGCACGACCTGGATTCAATTGCTACCACTTGATAACGAGGCGCTAGGTTCGCTCGTCTCGACGACGCTCCAGCGACCCAAAGAGGATATTGCACCGCTCATAAGGCTTGTATCGCGTGTTTCTGGTGGAAATCCGTTCTTGGCGCGAAATTTACTTCAGACAGTGTGGAGACTCAAGCATGTGAGTAATTCTCATAATCCAACCGGGGTCCCTTACTGATAAGTTTGATAGATTTGGTACGAGTGGGGCGTGAATAGTTGGCAGTATGACCTGGAAGCGATCGAAAAGACGGTGCATGCCCAGCAGCTCGTCTCTGCTCCGACCGACATTTCATTCCTTGTCGCGCATTTCCGCGAGTTATCCAAGGATGCGCAAAGATATCTCATCTGGGCAAGCATTTTCGGACCGATGTAGGTCGACAGTTGTACCCGTGCCACCCCTCCTGATTATTGGTCGACAGGTTCAAAGCCAATGATGTGGCCAATATGATGGATAGCGAGAAGCGAAATAGGAGTGACGAAGATGAATCGGGATCAGCGGGCTCTTCGAGCGACCACGAAGCAGATGGAGGAGCTGTACATCCCACGGGATATAGTCGTCCCTCTATGCGTGGACTTCAGCAAGTCGTCGGTCAGGGTTGGATCATTCCACGTGCAAGAGACATGTGCAGCTTTACGCATGACAAGTACCGACAAGCCGCTACACATATGGCAGGCCAGCTTCCCGATATCACCATCATGCGGATGTGTCTCAAGGTCTGTCATGTGCGATTATTAATCGTTTTCCTAATCTATTTGTGTATAGATTGCCACGTATCTCATGCAGGTATGCTTCCCTAGCACCCACAATTCGCCTCGTCTTATGCTTTGTAGGAGCCCGAAAGAGACGTCTTTCGTATCACCGAGTATGCTCGAAGGTATCCTATCTTGATCTGTGTGGAAGGTCTCAGGCTAAAGCGGGTTTATAGATGCATTCCCCTCATCCGGGAAGGGCCCGACCGAGAGGAATTCATCGAGTGCTTGGTTCAGGCTGCGGATTCGTCAGCCGCGCGAGGAGCACACGAGGTATTTTGACAGAATATCCACTTGTTCGTGCTCATCTGTCCACAGCTCGCGCTTCAGGCGTTCAAGGACGCTCGTACACTTCTAGGAGAAGGCTCATGGCACGAAAATCCGGAAAAAACCAAAGATTTGACTCTTAAACTGGCCGAGTAAGTCCTATCCGAACAAATCTCCACGCGTTGACAGAATCCTTTCTCAGGTTATACGGCTCGCAAGGAAACTACGAGTCGTCAGGCCATCTTGTCGCAGAGACATTACTCCACGTTAATACGCCCGAAGACCGTGCGCATGCTCTCCGACTCCGCTCCAGAAATCGATTTGTGCAAAAGGATTTCACTGGAGCCTACAGTGATACATGCGAGGCACTTGCCGCACTCGGCACCCAGCTGCCAACCGTGGTCACGATAATGGAACTTGATGAAGCATTTGACCTGCTCAAGGCGAAAATCATACAGCTCGGATTTGACGAGTTGCTCAACTTGCCTCGCGCAACAGATCAACTCACAGACCTTGTGGTGTCGCTCATGAGCGATGCGGCAACGAATGCTTTTTGGGGTGCACCGTTTGGTGTCGCAGATTTCATCGGTATCAAGGTGCGTCGCATTGGTATGTCCGTGAATAAACCTGACTTTTACTTTCAGATGGTCAACTTGGCTTTGTCGTACGCACTTCCTCCTATTTCAAGTCTCATTCTGATTGCTCCTAGTGATGGAATCTCACCTTCCACCGCGCAAGGCCTGCTCTGGTGTCTTGGAGGCGCGGCAGAGCGTCGCCAAATGTATCGCTTCTGCTCTGACTTGGCCAAGCTAGCCCTCCAAATAGCCTATAGGTTTGGTAATATCGCCGATAAATGGTATCCTGTTCTCGATTTTGGGTGATTCATGGCTCATATATCTACAGTCGATGCGAGACCTTGTATTGCGCTATGATTTCCGGCTTTGCTCCGGAGCACATCAAGACGGTCATGCCACGGATGGAAAGCGCGATTACAGAGGCGCGGTCCTCTGGGGACCGTGTATACGAAGGCTTTGCTCGGTATGTCTGTTCACTCAGATATAGAGTCAAACTCAGCGTCCAAAGATGTCACGGGTTGAGTCAGAGAGTGTTTTGCTCCGACCATCGTGCGTTGTTGCTCTAAATCTGTGAGAAAGTCTCATCATTATTGCCAGTTTCCGAGCTCCTTTTGGCAGCAGAAGAAGTTGTTCACGATGTCCGTGCTTGGACGGTCAACAGTGATACAAACTCTTTAGCTATGAGTACGTGTTACTTGCCCTTGGAGGAATTCGCTAATTAGCACAGGCATGCTCATGACCATCCGTGCTTTGGCTGGCGAGACAAATACTTGGAGCGCAGATACCGCATTTGACACAGACAAATGGAAGGAGGCGCATTTCCTCCACAAGGTGCACGAGTCCAGTGGAAACTTCGAACTCGTTATGAACTGGCGAGTATCAATCATGTCTCTTTGGCCACTTTTGACCATGGGACTAGGTACAATTCGTTCAAGATTGCCGGTCTTTACAGCTTGGGTTTCCACTCGAGGGCAGCCGAGCTTGGGTTTGATATTTACGCAAGTCGTCTGACGCTCCCAAGGTATCAGATTACGATTCTCTTTTGCGCATGCTGACTATCGTACAGTCATCGACACGTTCGATATGCTCTATTTTTTCACTCTCTCGCAATGATCCAGTGTCTCCGCCATGGAAGTATCCCGCCGATGCAACAAGAAAAGTACATGAAGCAAATCGAGGCAAACCAACGATACATTAGAGCGTACGTTTTCTGATCCTGTCTTCGCTCTTACCAAAGCTCCTCAGTTGGGTCTCACCGAGTCCTATTAACAATAGCGTATGGCACGCACTTATAGTATGTCCATATCAGTCCTCGTATATTTCTCACCTTGCGCAGGAGGCCGAATTGGCATCGCTGCAGGAGAGTCCTGAGGCATTCAAGCTATATGATAGTGCCATAAAGTCGGGACTTGCGTCATTATCTTGTCTCTCTACTGATATATGTCTTTTAGAATGGCCGTTAATCAGGACTGGATTATGGAGGAGGCTTGGGCATTGTATTTGGAAGGGTCGCATTTTATCCGCTCCGGAGTCGAGTACGTCCATTCATCTCTTTGTAGCTGTCCGCTAAATGACATGCAGGGGTCTAGGTGCCGAGCTACAGGCTCGAGGAATTGCTCGTCATCGGCAATGGGGAGCATTCGGTATAGTTGTGGGTCATTTCGTCTTTAAACCTTTCTTTGTGCTCATCATAGCTATAGAATCATCTCAACCGACACGTTCCTGTCAGCACCACGCCCCTCAAGAGGAACATCTTCTCTTCTGAGGCAGGAGGTACGTTTTTATCTATATCTATGAAGTTTTCTCATTTTTTTTAGTCCAGACGGATGGCACGCAGACATCCGAAATTCCAGTCGCTGCAAAGACCCAGACGGAGGAACTTGGCCTGCGGCGTGGCCAAGATGCGACCTCGATTCTTACTGCTTCAGATCTGGCGGATGTGCTCAAATGGTCGCAATCCATTGCATCGGACATCAATCTTACCTCTTGTGCGTCGATTATCACTACACGAATACATGTCTCATGCTTTATAGCGCTACAACGATTAACGGAGATTGCAACCGGTTTGTACACTGCTTGCTATTGGAATGCCACTGATTGGTACTGTAGAGCATTCGAATGCTCAGGAGGCCGTGTTTGTGATGCGCACCGACGAGGGTGACTATAACGTCGTGACAAGTCAAATGCCACCTCAACCATGCATCGTCTTTGAGTAAGTGGTCTTGATTTATTCCAAGTCTCTCTCTAACTTGTTGCAGACAACCAAAGTCTGTTCGGCGCATCGGTGACTCTCTGAAGAGAGCCGTCCTCCAGCACTGTCTGAACAGTCGAGCTCAGGTCTTTTTTACCGACAGCGGATTAGAACCTCGCTTCGCACAAGAGGCAGGCCAATCGCGAACCAAGTCTGTCATCTGCATCCCGTTTGCCAACAACCTGGGTCAAACCTATGGTGCCCTCTACTTAGGCAGCCACGAATCTTTCTCGCAAACACACGTCGCATTACTCACCCTGCTCTCCCAGCAAGCTTCCATCTCCATTGCCAATGCATTGCTGTTCCGCTCGGTGCAGCAGGCGACGAAAGCTAACCTGCAAATGATCCAAACTCAGATACAGGCTTTGGAAGAGGCTCAGTCGAGTCGAGAGGATGCAATGAAGGCTACGAAAATCAAAAGCAACTTCCTTGCGTCGATGAGCCACGAGCTGAGAACTCCGTTCAGGTGTGTTGATAGCTCAGCGTTCTGACTTCTCTAAGAAATTTAGTTCTTTCTATGGGCTGCTCGATATTCTCGGCGGTACTTCGTTGGATGCGAACCAGAAGGAACTGGGTAAATGACCTTTGGGCCAATATACGTTGTATTGATGGATGATACAGTCCAAACGGCTAAGCAGTCATGCGAGTTGCTACTCAAGATCATCGACTCTATTTTGGACTATTCCAAGCTTGAAGCTTCGGCGCTCAAATTGGAGCCTGTACCATTCTTGGTCGAGGATGTAGTAGCGGATTGTGTGGAGCTCCTCCTACCACTGGTACGTAACCAAGGTCCTTTAAATGCGTCGCATTCACTAGTTTCTAGGCTGCACGCAAGCTCGACCTCTCGTTTGAGATTGCTGCAGATGTCCCGTACTGGGCACTTGGTGACTACTCACGGATACGACAAGGTGTGTACGCCTCGCGAATATTGCTGGGTTTCTAATACATACAAGTACTCATGAATCTGTTGGCCAATGGTCTCAAATTTTGCGAGCGGGGCTCTGTCTCTACAACGTGCACTGTAGACCCCAATATACCATGCAAAGAGGACGAAGTGGTGCTGAAATGGGTTGTTCAGTATGTTGAGCATATGGATTTTGGACTTTCTCTGAGCTTTTCCAAGGGATACCGGTATTGGCATGTCAGAAGCGGATATGAAGAACCTATGGCAGCCATTCTCGCAAGCAGACAACTCTAGCACGCGACGGTTCGGTGGTACCGGGCTGGGACTCTCAATTTCGTTGTCACTTGTCAAACTCATGGGCGGCGACATTGGTGTAACCTCTCAGCCTGGCGTCGGTTCAAGATTCTGGTTCCATATTCCCATGAAGGTCCTCGAGTCAGCAGAAACAAAAAAGGTACGACCATGGATTCGGGGAGGACAAATGCTCATGGCTCATAGAGCGAGGAAAATCTCGAGACGCTCTTGAAGAAACTTCGTGACCCTTTGCCGCTTCGCATACTCATTTCATCGCCATCTGATACGACAAGGTCGTGGCTTTCGACGATTCTCAACCAGTTTGAAGTCGTGGCAGTAGCCAGTCTTGAGACTACTATACAGCAGCTTCGTCAAGCGGCATCTGCTGGCACAACGATCGACTTTCTCATCCTCGACTATTTCTCACAATCGCAGTTGGAGGAAATTGCTCGGATTTTGGACGCCCACCCCGTATTCTCGAGTACCAAGGCCATTCATTTGTATACACCAACACCGCTTGCTATTCAACAGATTGGAGACGCCATCCGACAGTCTGGCTCCGCCGAGGAAGAGGATACCACGGATAGAGGAACAATCGACATGGCATTGGCATCTGCCACGGGCTTTGCGTCCACACAACGACGTGAGGCGCAGCTTGCGCTCCAGGCCAAAGCAGTGTCGTTTGGCCGGTTCGTGAGGATGAATAAGCCCCCACGACGGGCAAGATTGCTGCAACTTTTGGCCAATCTGAAGGATATTCCAGTCCCGGATGGTGGCTTTACAGGGTCACAAATCGAGCAGGCACTCGAGTCGATGGAATCTTCTCAGGAGCTACTCAAGACGGCAAATGTTCTGATTGCTGAAGGTCTGTCTACCTAAATTCGATAAATGCGTTCTAATGGGTTGGTAGATAACCCTGTCGCGAACAAATTACTCGTAAAACAACTGCAAAAGTACGATCTAAACGTCGTATCTACGATGGACGGTAGTGAAGCGGTGCAAGAATGGGAGAAAAGACCCCCCGGATACTTTCACTTTGCTCTATTTGATCATCGTATGTCCTGGTTCTCTCCCGGGCTAATGCTAATCTCGGATAGATATGCCCATTTGCGATGGCGTCGAAGCTGCAAAGAGGATAAGAAACCTAGAGTGGAGAAAAAGAGCAAAGATACACCTACCGAGTACGTTTGTTTGTTGCTGGTTCTTGCTTGGGTCTTATGTTGTTCCAGTTATTGCTCTCAGCGCAGATTGTCAAGAGTCGACGAAAGAGCTATGTTTATCTGCTGGAATGACTGGATTCTTGACCAAACCTGTACGACCAGGTGAGCCGAGTATTGTATTGATGATGCCAGACTGACGGCGTCATAGGTGATCTACCTAATCTGTTACGTGCATATGGAACTCCGCGAGAGGAGGACATTAGACCTTCATAATGTAGTACTTATTGCGGTTGTATACTAGATAGGGCTCTAAACACGTGCGTTAGCCTTCCACAGGGATAGTCTTCCGATTCGCCACAAGTCGCCGATGCCAACGGCAAACACTTTACACCTTGAAGCCCCCCACCTCCTTTGATGGACGACGAGGACGGGCGAGGTCGCGCACAGAATGCAGATCATTTTCCAGAGAGTACAAATCAGCCAGGCTCGCAATCGTCGCCACAAAACTTTCACCTCCCGCCCACTCTAGTGGCCCATTTCCCCGCTTTGCCAGCGCCGGCACATCCCACTGATCTACTGACGCCGTTCAGCACAGGCTCAACGTCTGATTTATTCCGTGCTATCATCAAGAAACCGAATCCGATCTCGCTCGAAATCAATGGCGAGTTGCACTCAAACGCCGCAGACGTCGCAGTCCAGTTTGCCGCAGAGTTGCGCGTGTACAGAAAGGTTGGAAAGAATGCACGTTTTGCGAGCTATTTAGGGTGCATAGAGGGACTCGGGATGGTCCTCGAGTGGATTGAGGGCCCAACTTTGCTGGATATTCTCCGTGGACCATCGCCTCCAAACCCAAAGGTCAAGTTGCCGCCACATGTGAACCCGTCAAAGAAGAGGAGGATTACCTGGTACAATCAGCTCGTGGAGGCGCTTTGTCACCTGCACTCGTTTGGCCTCAACCACGGAGACCTGAGCCTGCTCAATATCCACATTGAGACACGCTCTGATAGCATCAAGCTCATCGATTTTGGACGGAGCGTGTCCGTCGAAGGATACCCATGTGCGAGTCTATATTTGCACGAACCGGAACGGCCAACTCCGACGATGAAAGGAGATAAGAAGTTACCAAAGGTGAAGGAGCCAGCAATGTTCAAGTTTGGGGGTGCGTGGGTGGAACCCGAAACGAGGCCAGGACGCGAAGGGGGTACGAGCCGCGGTCGCGAGTCCCGTCCAAAACTCTTTGACCGATCGACTAACTCGTCGACAAAGAGTAGCGTTCCACTCGGTACGCTCGATGTGTCGATACCGGATGGGAATCCTGCTGGTGGAGGCGGGGAGTACCCTTCTCGCCCACTCAACCACGCCTCTCGGCTCTTACAGCAGCAACAGCAGCTGCATGCGGCTTTGGGGACGCATATGCCTGTGACGTTATCGCGCGGACGAGGTGCTGGGAGAGATGGCTCGGGACCGTCCATGTCCCGTCCCTCTTCAACGGGACCAATACAGACGCGATACCATTTATCGACATCTCCTATGAGCCCACGAGCTCCGCAGGATAGCGACACGAATACCTATGGGGGTGAATCGGAGCCAGACGATTGGATGACGGTCGATAATAACTATGGCGCTCCAACGCTCCAGCCACATTCGTCTGGATCTTCGTTGAGAGATTATGGATTCGATGGATTTCCGTCTCGACGAGATTCCGATATGTATACCCCACCACCATCCGCGACGTCAGCCTACGGGCACCATTGGGGGCACGACCGATATCATCCTCCTTACAATTACTATCACCCTCACTACCGCACTCGGTCGCCTCCAAGCTCTCATCCGACATCTCGTCGTACGTCGAGATCGCCTGCGCGGTATGGTACACCCGCCGAGTATGCAAATTCTCCACGAGGATTTTATCCGCATGGCCATGCATATGCGCATGGTTCATCACACCTGCACCCACATCGCTCGAGCTCACGATCGCGACACTCGCGCTCGCCACCCCCTTCGAGAAGAGGAGGGTACGGACCAGACTATCCTCCTCCTCCGCCTGAGCACTATGGATACCCTCCTCCAGATCACTACGGCTATCCACCTGTGGATCCCTATGGTTACCCGTTGCCGCCACCGGACCACTATGGCGCTACGCACGGTCCACCTCGACCACCCCCTGTACCAAAGAAACCTCCTGTCAAGGCAGAGCAGATTCATCCTGGTTCGCGACCATTTTGCGCGCCGGAGATTTTGCGTGCGAGTAGTGGGACATGCATCGATTCGCGGACGAAACAATGGATAGATCCAATCCTCGCTGATGCCTATTCGCTTGGTATCGTGTTGGTGTGTATGGATTTGTGCAAGTTGGTGGATATTGGGAATGAGAGGCAGAAGCGAGAAGAGTAAGTCACGTTTTGTCAATGTAAGCAGTTGACTGATAGGGTGCAGTGGCAAGTTTCCAGATCTCAGCGAGACGACCATTTTCACCGAGCTCATACGCGGGTACACTCGACCGGCTGCAGAGCGTCAACGCATCTCGTTGGATCTCAAGATGGACGTCCCGGAAGCGGACGATTAGGAGAGACAGGAAGAAAATTTGTTGAATTAGGAATCATTAGGCAAATAAACACTGCTCTTAATACCGTCTGGGAATGTCTTCTTGGAGGTATTTCTCGACTGCCCAACCTTGGGCGCTAAACCAGGTGATGAGGCCAATTGTCACGTATGAAATGTTCTTTTTGTCGATATGCGAGTCCCAGTGGGTGTATGCGCCGTAGCCCAATGCGGACAAGACGGCGAGGTTTGCGACGCCGAGGAGACCCCCTGCGACTTTGGGACGGAGGACGACTTCTTTAGTCTTGTTGTACAAATAGTGACCTTCTTCTTCGGCACGACGGAGTTCTTGCTGGCCCTAGACCGCGTCGTTAGTTCCAGAACGCCCTCTCGACCTTTTTGTGGCATACCTTTGCCGTACGAAGATAGGCGTCTGCAGCAAGAGATTCGAGGGTAAAGAGACTAAAGAGACCTGCGCCAATGTACGAGAGTGGCCGGGCGTTCATGCGGGGTTCCGTCACGAGCGTCGGGCGTTTGTAGACGTGGTAGCCGACCGTTCCGAGGACACCAAGATTGACTGCAGAATGCTGTTAGGCGACAGAGGTGCGTGATATTAGGACGCACCGACTGCAAAGAAACCGCCTGCGACTGCAGGTTGGAAGAGCTTGTCCTTTGTCCAGTCGATCCAACCCTCAAATTTGCGTTCTGCATGGCGGGCTTTGCGTTTACGTTGCTTGTCCTTGCGTGATTTGCGCTTGTGTGTATCTGGAGCTGGAGCAGAGGTCAAGTTTAGAACGTTGCAAGGGATGTGTAGCCTACTGTGGCCCTCGTCTTCGCTCGAGCTCGAGTGTTCGACATGGAGCGTCGTGTCGGTGACAGGATGTTGCTTAAAGTCGTGGCTGACGACGTTGACCTTTTATTGAAATAGTTAGCTGTCTATTTCAGCTGTGGTTGTCGTTGCTGACCTTTCCCGTGTCTACGTCTGGGATGACCTGGTCGGTGGGCCTGGCCGTGTTGAGGAGACCGAGGTCTGGGTGAGGCTGCTGGCTTGGAGGAGGTGCATTGTGGGCTGCAACAGCTGCGTATGACATTTTTCAACAAGTAGTGGTAGAGTCCAAGATGTTTACTTCGTCGGGTCAAAGACGTCATTCCGCCAGTTTGGGAAATGGGCATGGCTTAGCTAATCAGAAATTAGTCAAGTAATTCCTGGGAATGGCAATGACGACGGGTATCGGCAAATTCCGCAGTTAAGTGGCGGAGCATATTCTGGAATTATCATCACCGACGCAATCAATTCAATCGGTCATACCTAGAAATCAGATTCACCAATTTGAGTAATTTATTTGCTAATGTCGATAAGCCCCCTGGTTGGGTTTGTCCGCGCTGCTGACTACATCTTGGAGCTGACCACGACCAGGCTCATTCACCGCATTCACATTGGAATGTCAAACTCGACGCATAACGATGCAATAGACTCTTCATTATCCATGCACGACAACGAACAGACCCACGAGACTGGCATGTCACACCTACAACTAGCCGCGAGTCTACAAGCGACTCTAATACACCTAATTATACATCATCATCCTCTAGCAACATCTTAGAAGATGCTGGGACTCAGCATCCATCAGACCAATCTCGTTCAAGCATGCCCAGCGCAGACGGGCCTTCTAACATCACCAGTGAGTGTACCCTTACTAATCCCACAGTCTGACATTTTCGCTGACACGCTTTCTTAGACCCTATTCCTCTCCCCGCTGGCCAGACCCCTACCGATAGCGACCCCCATGACCATACTCCACGGCCCAATTCACATCTAGAGTCATGGAGATTCGATTCAGCGACTGGTCGATTTGTTCCTCACACTTTCGAGGGAAATATCTTTGGGCGTCCATCAGGTGCACCCTCCAGCAACGCAGACGGTCCGCAATCCAACGAGACCAACGACGGTCCTCGCGTTCCAGGTATGTAATCATTTCCAAGTTAATATTACACATGCTAAGTGGGTTGGATTCGCTTTGTTTCATAGAAATCATTCTTCAAACCTCGACGGACATTAGCGTCCACGGTCCAGATGGCCAACAACTACCACCTGAAGCATCTCAATTTCTTCTCAGAATGCTTGGTTCGATGGGAGGCGGCCAATCGACCACTAATGGTCCGAGCCCAGCGCCCAACTCGGCGTCTGGTACTCCCGCAGGCTCAACTTCACCAAATACTGGTGCATCTCAAACTACTACCTCGACTGCACCTTCTTCTCAATCTACGGAACCAATGACAGATGGGCCCAATCCGTCTCGCTCTGGACCCAGCTTCTTCGACCTACTGAGGGAACTGGCCGCGCTTCAAGAACGGCAGACAGATCCTCCACCGGATACCCGTCGTGCGAAACAACTTCTTCGTGGACTTCCGGTTGTGTCCCACGGACTCATTCGACGGCTTCAGCGTGTCGAGACGCTCAAGGCCCGTGCCTTGGCGCAGAAACAAGGAGCGAGTGCCAAAGAAGTAGAAGAGACGGATAATAAATTACTGTGTCTCGTCTGCTATGATGCTTTGCTACCGGAGACGGAGCCCAAGCAGACTGGCGACGTAGCAAATGCAGCAAAAGATGACGGTATGAAGGTGGATGACGAGGATGATGACATGGACCTTGATGTACCGACCGATGTCTCGCCCTCAGACTCTAAAGCCAATCTACCGCTCAATACAACCGAAAGCAAACCCCCCCTTGTGAACGTGGCTCGTCGATGGCCGTATCAAGCAGAGAACGCTCTCATCGCGCTCCCCTGTACGCACGTCTTTCACGCAACTTGCTTGAAGCCGTGGTTCGAGACGGGCAAGACGACATGTCCGACTTGTCGGTTTGATATCGACCCGGGAAGTGATTCGCTGGACTTGGCGGATTGGCTGAGTCCGAGGAGACGTAGGCGTCAACGAGAGCAGCGACAGCGGGAGAGGGAAAGGGAACAGGCGGCGAACGGTGGTTCGAATACGGAAGATGCCGCTCAGGATGGTGCGAATACCAACACGGCGCCAACGCCGGCTCCTCCAAGTGCGACGCCGACTCTGGGTGGCAATGATGAGCACCCGACCGTTGGGGGTCCACCCTCTGGAATGCCGTCACAGCTTAGCCAAGCGATTCAGCAAGCCATGGTCTCTGCGATTGTACGAGCCATAGCCGGGGAACGACCTCCGTCTGCACCTGGCCCAACCCCTGCGCAGGCAGAACCGGATCAGAATCCAAGCTCGCAATCGACTTCTACTCCGTCCGATGCTCCCAATACGACCGCCCCACCTGCTAATCCATCAAATACGGCTATTCCGCCTCCACCACCCGGGTTCCCCCTCGAGCTTCTCCATTTACTCTCTAGGACGGCGTCTCCCGGATATCCGATGGAAGGTGTGATATTCGGAGGGTCTTTCGATATCTCTCCTGCAACTAATGGAGACCGTGCATCGTCACCGACGCCGTCTGGCTCGCAGCGTTCAACCTCTGCGCCACCATCTGCTCGAACACAACCCACACCTACGAACGCGGGCCCTCAATCCCCTGCGCCTTCGTTCCCGGCGGCGAACGCGTCTTCGTCTATCTCTAGTGCATCGGCACGTCCTGAGCCGAGAGCCCCCTTCTTGAGTGCAGGGCTCGGACCCAATGGCATGTCTCCTTTCCGACGACTTTCTTCATTCCTTTCTAGACCATTTGGACCCCCTGCGTCATCTCAGCCAACCTCTTCAACTCCGACTACGGGATCCTCGACTTCGTCTTTCGCTACGGGTTCCAGACCATCGACACCATCTTTCCGACACCACCCATATGCTTCGTCGCGACCTTCTAATCAAGCAAATAATCAGACGCAGGCGCAAGAACCCGAGTCGCAGGAGACGTCTGCAAACGGTGGTGCGAGCAATGGGACGAACGGAAATCCTCGCGATGGATTCATGACGACGCATACAATTTCTTTCACATTCGAGATTCCACTTGGTCTTCGTGTCCCTCGCGGGGCCCCTCAGAATAACGAGGCTACTCCTGGCGCTTCTCAAGACGAGTCAAATCGTACACAAACAGAGCCTGGCGCACAAGCTCAGGATGGTCGAGCTCCTCCTGTCTTTGGGTTGCCTCCTGGATTCCTCTTTGGTGGTCTACCATTCGGCGCTCCCTTTGGCTTCGGCCCAGTACCACCTTTTAATCCATTCGATCTCGGCGCCGGTCTCGGTGCTGCTCCTGGTGCGAATGCAGGTTCTTCTCGCGGACGACGTCAGAAGAAAAAGTGGGTCGCTCCCGAGGGATCGTCGTTGCGCTCCGTCGTCGAAGCCAAGGAGCGTGAAGTTGGTTTACGATGCGACGACGTCAGCTGTCTATTTGGACCCGAAGACGAAGACGAAGAGGATAATGGCGAGCAAGTGGACATGGGCGTCAAGCCGGAGAGAGTCTATCTCAAGAAACCAGCGCATTCTCATTCGGACAAGGGAGAGATGGCGGCAGAGGAACCGGCGTGCACGCATCGTCTTCACCCAGAGTGCTTGCTTGTCAGCTCACGGATTGCGGACCCCTTCTTGAATGATGCGATTGACAAGGCGGATGAGCATGATACGCTCGAGGTTGGGTGCCCTATTTGCCGCACTCGTGGTGTTCTTAGCGTTCCCGAGTGGCGTCGTCTCAAGCGGTTGGCGGATCAAGTCTAACCTCGTATTTATCGGCAAAGGCACGTTTCGATCAGCTGTAAACTTTTCCAAGGTGTGTTCCTGTCTCAAGGCAAAAGATGTATTGCTGATTCTGTTTCCAGGGATTCATTCGTGATCGTCGTGCTCTTCTTGTTCTCATGCTTTCAGTGTTTTCTTGATATTACGCGATCATTGTTTTCGTAACATTCTGGTATCAAGATTGTTATAGTACACTCACTACAGACAATGGCCTTATGTTTGTTGTGGAGAGGTTGAGGCGAAACGCTCGTCCTGCGCTCATGACCCGACTTGAACAATTTAATGCCAATACTGTTATTAACGGCTTGTGTTTATGTTAGTCTTCAGTCATTCATTCTATCAGGGAGAAAATAACAAGGTCCTGACGGATTTCGAATTGAATGTATGCCAGTCAGAATATCTCGACTTCTGGGATATATAAGTTAGAGCTTGTCTTGAAACTTGACATTATAAATGACGTACATCACGAGTGCAAAGGCATACCGTGGGTTCAGAAGAATAAATCCCTCGTTTGCTTGACATAACCGCTGGCAACTTGGTTCGTCCATTTTCTGGCTTAATAAGCCCCAGAACAGCTTCGTTCTTTGATCGCACTCGAGAAGTCATATACATGATATAATTGCAAGTATGTTACAGCAATCCAGTTATAGACCAAAGGATGAGATAGGAGTCGGGTCCAATATCTCCTACAGAATAGTATGAGATTGTGCGGATTTGATATATCCTAGAAGTTTCTTTGTAGATAGAGTTTTTGGATGATCTTTGCCAAAGACCTCTAGGTGTGTGTCCATCGTCTTGTCCAGAAACTGTAAAGCTTCTTCGGGTTGACCAAGGTGATACAGTGTATATGATAGATTATAGAATGCGCCGAGGGTGTCTGTATGCCGTGGTCCAGAGATCTCGAGTCACAGAGCGAGCACGTCTCGCTGCATCTTTTCGGCTTCCTCCAACTGACCACGATCACACAAGATCGATGCGAGGTTGTTCATTGCCAGGGTGGTGTCAGGATGCCGTGGTCCTAAGATCTCCAGCCGCAGAGCGAGCACGTCTCGCTGCATCTTTTCGGCTTCCTCCAACTGACCACGATCACACAAGATCGATGCGAGGTTGTTCATTGCCAGGATGGTGTCAGGATGCCGTGGTCCTAAGATCTCCAGCCGCAGAGCGAGCAGGTCTCGCTGCATATTTTCGGCTTCCTCCAATTGACCACGATCATACAAGGTCGATGCGAGGTTGTTCATTGCCTTGATGGTGACAGGATGCCGTGGTCCTAAGATCTCCGGCTGCAGAGCGAGCACGTCTCGCTGCATCTTTTCGGCTTCCTCCAACTGACCGCGACCACGCAAGGTCAGGGCAAGGTTGTTCATTGCCACGATGGTGTCTGGATGCCGTGGTCCAGAGATCTCGAGTTGCAGAGCGAGCACGTCTCGCTGCATCTTTTCGGCTACCTCCAACTGACCACGATCACACAAGATCGATGCGAGGTTGTTCATTGCGACGATGGTGTCTGGATGCCGTGGTCCAGAGATCTCCAGCCGCAGAGCGAGCACGTCTCGCTGCATCTTTTCGGCTTTGTCCAACTGACCACGACCACGCAAGATCCCTGCAAGGTTGTTCATTGCCATGATGGTGCCAGGATACCGTGGTCCAGAGATATCCAGCCGCAGAGCGAGCACGTCTCGCTGCATCTTTTCGGCTTTGTCCAACTGACCACGACCTTGCAAGGTCAGGGCAAGGCAGTGCATTGTTCTCATTGTATCACGATTTTCTCGTCCAAGGATCTCTAGTTGCAGAGCAAGTGTATCTCTTTGCATCTTTTCTGCTTTACTCAATTGACCACAACGCCACAGTGCCTCGGCGAGTTTGCTCATCGCCCACATCGTGTTGCTATGCCTTTCGCCTTGCTTTGCTCGAACTCTTTCAAGGAAATATTCCAATAGCTCCCAACATGCCCTCCAATTCCCTAAATCATCATAGAGCACATCGAACGCCAGTATGTGCGCTAGGTTCTCCGATACCACTGATCGAGGAATGCTGCCAGCGTGAGGAAGTAGGTGCCAAAGCGGTGCGTTGCTCCCTTCTGCTGGTCGAATTGCACCAAGTAGTAATTGTAATGTCATCCGAACAAAATCTCCTTTATCCTCTGCACCCAGAGAATCTTGGATATACATCTGGAGTAGAGGGTGGATGCTATAGAATGCCCCGTCTGTCGAGACATTGATAAACGACGCCTGTGCCGCTGAGTCGACAATATCCTGGAATGCTACCTCGTCCCATGTCTCCCCAAGTATCTCCTGTAGCTTTGAGATGAAAATCTTGTCGCTCTCCGGTGGAGGGCATTTCTTCAGAACTTTATAAGTGGAGAATCCAGAAGTCGTCGACCGCTCAAAAAGAGCAAGCGGAATGAGTGAGTGGTGAAGGAACGCACACAACTTGATGAAATCCTGTGTCCTTGTCTGTAATTTATGGAAAGATAGGTCGAACGCGGTGTACGTCGACGACGTGTACTCTGAGCCAATATCTGGCTGCTTGCTCAGAAGTCGATTCCGACTCTTACGAAATGTATCCAGGTATGTCGTGAGACGCCGGGTCTGGCGAATGTACACCCCTGCTTGAGTGACCGCAAGTGCCAACATCCCTAGCTCCTTCACAATCTCCACGGACTCGGCATTGGATACCGGTGAGACGTTGGCGGTTGCGTGAAGGAGCTTCACCGCTTCGCTTTCCTCGAGAGCGCCGACAGCAACTGCACCATCAGGAGCGTAGTCGATGCGCTGACTGTTTCTCGTGGTAATCAAAACTGCCCCATGAATGGAGGTAGGGAGATATGGGCGAAGGTTGAGCTCTGCCGAGTCGGCGTTGTCGACGAAGAGCAACCATCCCCTCTCTTTGCCGTCCAGGTACATAACTGCATCTTTCCACGTCATCTTGCTGTACTCGGAGCCTAAGCTTCGAATCGACCGCCGCAAGTCAGTTTCTAACTGGGTTTGACTGGAAGCGTCGACGAATATCACTCTAGTGAAGCTAGCCAATGATAAGACACTCTCCTGTCAGCACTAAAGCTCATACCGAAGCTCGTTCTCCTGAATCCAGTTTGTAGCGAGTTGAGTTTTGCCTGCACCTCCGATCCCGTGTAGTATACAACGCGGCTGGTGCTTCACGCGACCTTTCGGAAGTAACTTCTGGGTGATGAGCGACTGAAGGTGTTGTCGTTCGACGTAGCCTCTTGACACTGGTGGGCAAGGTTTTGGCAGCATGACCTCTTCAGAGGCAGGTTCACCCTTTGCAGCACCTACGAGTAATTAGCCAAGCAGGGAGCACAAATTGACTACGAACTTCGACAACTGTCCTCGGTAGCCCACTGTTCACACACTGCCGTCGGTGCGCTGTCGACATACTTTTGGAGATAGTAGAGAACACTTTGATAGTTGACTCCTTCTGCAGCTGAGAATTGGACCAAAGCTTCATGGTTGGCATGAAGGACGACTGTTGTGGCATTTCGGTCTCCATCAATGACTGCAGAATGATGGGAGACGTTCTATAAAGACTCATCAGCGCTCATCCTAGGAGTAGTTTCCACTGACCAATCTTCGTCGCTTGCCATCGACGTGTGTCTTGTATTCTTCGCAGAAAAATACGCTCTTGACTTTCGCGCTTGCCTCGACATAGAGCTTCTGTACGTTCTCAAGCTCAGAAGAGTGAGAACGAAGATCCTTGACGATGGTGTCTGTCGTCTCCATGCGTACTGACGCCGCCAACCGTTTGACCGCATCAAGGATACTGACTTCAGATTCTATGCCAGTGTGTGGTGTTCCAAAGAAGAGGATTGCATGCGTTGAAATTAGAACGTCCCTGAGGTCACATTCCGAATCCAGTCTCTGGTTGTGACAGATCACCAGAGCCTTTTGGAGAATGTCAGCGGCTGGTTTGCACCGGATTGAGGATTACGTACCCATTTGAGGATGATACCTCCTAGATCGTGTGCGACGAAGATGATAGGTCGCTGCTCTATGTCAAACGAGTGCCCAGATAAGCATATGCACTCACTCGAGAGACGTCCTTGCGTTTCCTTGCGAGCGCCTTGGCGAATTCATCTGCATGGCGATACATAGTCTGCGTCGACACGCATTCCGCACTTTGAGTGTCCGCATCGTATCCATAAGTGAGGATTCGGGCACGAGGCAATTCGGAGGGCACGAGGTCGCGCAGCCACAGAACTCCGTCAGTCTCCCAAGTTTCCTCTCTGTGCCCGTTCAAGCCATGGATGGCGACGATACTGAAGGAATGGGCTCAGCTCAGGCGCGTTTCCTCGCTGAACGACTCACTCGATAAGTGGATCTGTGACAGGAGCAAGCTCTAGAAACCCGAGATGGTCTATTTTCGACTTTGAGTTCGATGTCGATGGTTGCTCGTTATCAGAATCCGCAGAAGACATTGGTTGCCCCACATCCCGCGGAGACGATTTAGGGAGTGGTATGATTTTCCTGAAACCAGACGAAAGACCCGACATTATTGTTCAGGATGGTGATGGTTGGGACCAAGGATTGCCTTTGTCTATACTCCGGCGTCTAACCAAATGAAATGCAGCGCCTCGCTGGTTGACCAGCGACCTCAATCTCCTTCGCTAGCATCTCGTCGACAAAAAAGCTCTTCAAACCATTGTTCAATACACATTTGCACAGCGTCCATTCTAAATCCGGTCAGGGAAGAAGGGAGCACCATTCACGGCATAGAGGGTGGCGTGTAAATGCAGAAGGACAGGCACCGCAGAGAAATCTCTCTGGTTATATCTACCGGATCGTGTGATGACCGATAAGATACCTGGGACACATTATATCAATAGCGCAGACATTAGTCTAAGGTTCGCAAGTAAATAAGACACGATGGTCCTTGTCAGCACCATTTGATCCATTCGATCTCGGTTCTGGTCTTGGTGCTGCCGCGGATACGGGTACAATCTCGCGCAGATGGCGTCAGAAGAAGTGGGTCGTCCCCGAAGGATTATCATTGGTTCCGCCATCGAAGCTACCGAGCGTGATGTCAATTATCTCTTCGGACCCGAAGATAAGGACGATGGAAAATAGGGAGCGATTGGATTTGGGCGTCACGGCGGGTAGAGTGCATCTCAAGCAACCGACGCGCGTTCATTCGCACAAGGAAGAGATGGTGACGGAGTAACCGGCATGTAGCCATCGTCTTCACCCAGAGCGCCTGCTCGTTAGCTCACGGATTGCGGACCCCTTCTTGAACGATGCGATTGACAGGGCGGATGAGCATGATACGCTCGAGGTTGGTGTCCTATTTTCCGTACGCATGATATTCTCAGCGTCTCACATGGCGTCGTTTGTGTTTGGTCTAACGACGACAACGTCAGTTAGCTCAAACGGGGTCGTAGATTGGCCGAATGAGTGTCACTGCCACAAGCATTGTACTCTAAGGACAGAATTGTAATATACAGGCTATAATCGTAAGTGTCTTACGGATCCGGGCGTAAAATAGTCGAAGAATGACGCGAGGGTTGGCCTCGAAACCTCCTACAAACTACTACCGGATTGGGCGGATTTGATGAATTCTATAAGTTCATTTGAGATTTGAGCATGATGATGATCTTTGCCAAAGACCTCGCGACGTAGTTCCATTGTTTCTTCTAGGAGCTGTAGAGCCTCTTCGAGCTTGCCGCGGTGATACAGTGTTCTGGAGAGGTCGTGTGTCACGTCGAGGGTGTGGATGTCGTGGTCCAAGGATCTCGAGCCGCTGATTGAGGACGTGTCGCTGCATTTCCTCCGCTTCGTCCAATCTACCACGATACCGCAAGTTTAACGCAAGATTGTTCATTGCTATCATGGTCTCGTAGTCCCGTGGTCCGCTGATCTCGAGCTGCAGAGTGAGCACGTCTCGCTGCATCTTTTCGGCCTCATCCAATTGACCTCGATCAAACAAGATTGATGCGAGGTTGTTTCTTGCCAGGATGGTGTCAGGATGCGGTAGCCCAGAGATCTCCAGCCACAGAGCGAGCACGTCTCGTAGTATCCTTTCTGCTTCGTCCAACTGACTACGATCAAGCAAAGTAGCAGCAAGATCGTTCGTTGCAATGATGGTTTCGGGATGTTTCGTCCGAAATTTCAAATTGTTGAGCAAGTACGTCTCGTTGTATCTTCTCTGCGGCGTCTAACTGACCACACTGCGCTAGAACTCTCCCAAATATGCCCATTATCTGCACCCAGTCCTCGTTATCTGAGTCTTGAGTTCTTTGAAGCAGTGTGAGGGCAGATTCTAATAGCTCCCGACATGCCGTCCAGTTCCCTAACGAATCATAAAGAGCACAGAATGCCAATGCGTGTGCCACATCCTCCGATTGCGCTGAACGAGGGATGCTATTGGCATGAGCAATCAGTTGCCAAAGCTCAGCATTGCTTCCATCAGGTGGGCGAATAGCGCCTAGCACGAGTTGTGCCGTCACGCGGCAATAATGCTCGTTAGCCGCTTCACCAAGGGAATCCTTGATGTAGATCTGAAGTAGAGGATGAACAGTGTAGAATAAGCCATCCATCGAAACATCGATAAACGACGCTTTTGACGCCGAGTCAACGATATCCTGGAATTCGACCTCATCCCATGTCCCCCCAAAAATATTCCGAAGCGTTAAGATGTAATTCTTGTCACTCTCCGGTGGGGAGTGGTTTTCCAGGACTGTGTACGTGGTGAAGCCAGACGTTGTGGAGCGTTTAAAGAGCATAGTTGGAATGAGCGAGTGGTCGAGAAATGCGCATAACTTTAGGAACCCCTGCGGCTTTTCCGGTAATTGGTGGAACGATAGATCGAACGCCGTGTAAGTCGGCGATGTGTACTCGGAGCCGATATCTAGCTGCTCTCGCAGAAGTCGACCTCGATGCCTACGAAACGTCTTGAGGTATGTATCGATGCGCCAGGTCTTGCGAATATAAACTCCCGCCTGAGTAATCGAAAGCGCCAACATCCCCAGCTCTCTCACAATCTCTAGAGACTCGGTATCGGATGTAGGTGACACATTGGCAGTTGTGTGAAGGAGGTCCATTGCCTCATTCTCCTCAAGATCGCCAACGGGAACCGCGCCGTCAGGTGCGTAGTTGACGCACTGGCCATTTCTTGTTGCTATTAGAACTGCCCCATGAGTCGAATTAGGGAGGTATGGACGGAGGTCGAGTTCGGGTGAGTCGGCATTGTCGATGAAGAGCAGCCATTCCTTCTCCTTGCCATCAAGGTACGCCACCGCATCCTTCCAAGTCACCCTGCTGTACTCGGGTCCTAAGCACCGAATTGACCGTTGCAAATCCACTTCCAACTGGTCTTGATTAGAAGCATCCACAAAAATTACGCGATTGAAGCTAGCCAACAGTCAGAACATTTCCAAGCTGCTCCCAAAGTTCGTACCGGTTTTCGTGCTCCTGAATCCAGTTTGTAGCGAGCTGAGTCTTGCTTCACCTCCAACCCCATGTAATATACATCGAGGCTGACGTTTCACGGAGCCGCTGGGGAGTAGTTTCTCGGTGACAAGGGGCTGAATGTGTCTTCACTCGATGTAGCTTCTCGAGACAGGGGGAAGAGGCTTTGGTAACATGATATCCTCAGACGCTGGCTCTACCTTTGCAGCACCTGTCCATCAATCATCCGAGCAAAGAGCATAAATTTGGCGACAAACTGCGAGAATGGTCCTCTTCATTCCACTTCTTCTTCACTGCTACAAGTGCATTATTGAAGTAGTTGCTGAGATGATGAAGAATTGTTTCGTAGTCGCCATTGGCTTTAGCTGTGAGCCTGACTAGATTACGGTGATCGCCATGGAGTGCAATCAAGGTCTCTTTGCGATTACCAATGATCACCCCGGAGTCGCACAGAGCTTTCTAGTGCTTCATGAGCAATCACTGCCGAATTTAAATAGACTCACTAGTCCTGTAGTCGAATCCTCTCCGTAGAAGATTATGCTGTTGAACCTTGCACTTGCCTCCGTATATCGACTCTGCAATTTCTCAAGTTCGTAAGAATGAGACAAGAGGTCCTCTAGGGCAATGTCGGCTGTGTCCATGTATATCGAAGCCAAGCGACCGACTGCGTCGAGAAGGGTGATATGGCTCCCAGCGTGCGGGGTTCCGAAGAAGAGGATTACTTGAGTGGAAGTCAGGATACTCCGGAGGTCGTATTTGGATTCCACATCTTGTTTGTGGCACATGGCTAACGTCTACCGGGATTATCAACAACTCGGTTGGTGGAGGCGAGCCTCGTGCTACGCACCCATTTGAGGATGATACCTCCTAGATCGTACGCCACGAAGATAATAGGTCGCTTCGAGCGTGTCAAACGAGACCCGGGCAAGGCATATATACACTAACTCGGGGAACGTCCTTGCGTCTCCTTGAGAGCGCTTTGGCGAGCTCATTGGCATGCCGATGCATTGTGAGAGTTGATAGACACTCTATACTCCGAGTATCGGCATCTTATCCGCATGATAAGACCCGAATGTTGGGTAAGTCCGTGGGCAGGAAGTCGCGGAGCCACAGATTCCCATCATCTGACATCCATGTCTTCTCTCTGTGACCTTGTATACCATGAATAGCGATAATGCTGAAGAATCAAACACAGTGGCAAGCACCTGTGATAGTTGAGCGTCTTACTCGACGATAGGATCTATTCCAGACGCAAGTTCTAGGAATCCAAGGTGATCTGTTTTTGGCACATTCTTCGAAGAGATTGGTTTCTGCTTGAAACGCGAAGACGACTTGGAAAGTCCGAGCATATTCCGTAGAAGAGAGCGAGGACCTGACATTGTCCACGATGGAAATGGTCCGGAACAAGATCTTCAGATGTCGGCGTCTGATAGCTGGCCAGTGGTGGGGTACAAGCAGCTTGAAGTTTGGACACCGCCTCATTCCTTACGGAACACATTGGCCATCCTTTGAACATTGTATCATCCCAAAAAAATACGTGGATTTGAGCCGGTTCATAGTCATTTCTTGAGCGCAGGACTTGAACCCAACGGCATGTCTCCTTTCTGACACCTCTCGTCTTTCCGTCTCGAGGCCATTTGGACCTTCTGCATCGTCATGGCATCTTCTTCAACTCCAACTATGGGGTCCTCAACTTTATCTTTCGTTATGGGTTCCAGACCGTCGACGCCGTCTTTCCGGCACCATCCGCATGCTTCGCTGCGTCCTAATCAAGCGAGAAATCAGGCTCAAGCGCATGAAGAGAGTCGCAGGAGACACCTGTTGATCCCAGTACAAGCAAGAGGACGAATGGGAGTAAGGATGCAATCGACAGTCGTTTTGGTGAGCCGCTGGCTTCAGATAACAGACTCAGAAGATGTCTTTTTGGTACTTGAGGAATAGATAATGTGATATGACGCTTTGATTACAAGACTACAGTAACCCGTTCATCAGGTCACAGAAACTCTGAGTTCAAAGTCTACTAACTCGTGTGGTCAAGGGCAGAGGTAATACCCTCTAGGAGTTGTTTCGATTCCTTGGTAAGAGGATGGTCTTCACCTAGGACCTCAAATTCCATAAGAATCGTCTCTTCCAAAACCTGCAGGGCTTCCTCCAGCTGTTCCTGGTGATACAAGATGAGAGAGAGATTGTGGGACAAGACAAGGCGGAGTGGTAGTGGCAGTCGCCATCCACTGATCTCGCGCAGCAGAGTCTGCGCTTCTCGTTGCATCCTTTCTGCCTCGTCCAGCCGTCCACGACTGTAGAAGAGCTGTGCGAGGTTGTTCATGGCTAGGATGGTCTCTGGGTGTCCCTTTCCAGTAACTTCGAGTCGCAGAGCGAGCAGTTCTTGTTGCATTTTTTCCGCTTCGTCCAACTGATCACGGTGATACAAGGTGAGTGCGAGATTATTCATTGCCATGAGGGTATCTGGATGCCTTTTTCCCGAAATCTCGAGCTGTAGAGCGAGCACTTTTCTCTGCATCTTTTCTGCCTCCTCAAACTGACCACTGACGCGCAAGATCTCTGCAAGGTTGTTCATTGCCACGATGGTGTCTGGATGTCGTTGTCCAGAAATCTCGAGTTGTACTGTAAGGACTTCTTGTTGTATCTTTTCCGCTTCGTCCACTCGACCAACCCGATACAGGGTCGATGCGAGATTACTCTTTGCCGCGAGGGTATCCGGGTGTCTTTGTCCAGATATCTCGAGTCGTAGAGCGAGCACTTCTCTCTGTATCATTTCTGCTCCCTCAAATCGACCATTGGCACGTAAAGTTTCTGCGAGGTTGTTCATTGCTATGACAGTGTGTGGATGTCGTTGTCCAGAAATTTCGAGTTGCACCGTGAGCACGTCTTCCTGTATTTTCTCCGCCTCGTCCAACTGACCAAGCCGACACAGTGTCGATGCGAGATTGCTCTTTACCACGAGGGTATCTGGATGTCTTTGACCAGAAATCTCGAGCTGTAGAGCTAACACCTCTCTCTGCATCTTTTCCGCCTCCTCAAATTGACCACGCGCGCGCAAGATCTCTGCGAGGTTATTCATTGCCTCGACGGTGTCTGGATCCCGTTGTCCAGAAACCTCGAGGAGAAGATTGAACGCGTCTCGCTGCATATTTTCTGCCTTTTCCAACTGACCACAAGCCAGCAGTGCTTCGCCAAGTGCGCCCATTACAGAAATCGAGTTTCTATGCCTCTCTCCTTGGGTCGATTGAACTTGCGGAAGCACACACTCCAACAGGTTTCGGCATGCCTCCCAATTCCCTAAGGAATTGTAAAACGAGTAGAATCCCAATGCTTGCGCCACATTTTCCGATTGAACGGCTCGGGGGATGCAATTAGCGTGAGGAAGCAGCTGCCATACCTCCATATTGCTCCCTTCCGATGCCGGGATTGCACCAAGGATGAGTTTTGTCGTCATCCGAACATAATGTAGTTTATCTGCCTCAACGAGGGAATCTTTAATATAGGTCTGAAGTAGAGGGTGGATGCCGTAAAATAGCCCGTCCGTCGAAACGTCGATAAATGACGCCTGGGACGCCGAGCTGACAATCTCCTGGAACGAAACTTCGTCCCACGTCTCACCGAAAATCTCCTGTAGCTTTGAAATGAGATTCTTGTCACTTTCTGGTGAAGGAAAGCTGTCCAGAACCGTGCGTGTGGTGAAGCCAGAAATTGTCGAGCGCTCAAATAGAGCGAGAGGAATGAGTGAATAATGGAGGAATGCGCATAGCCTTAGGAACTCCTGTGTCGTCGTTGGTAATTGGCGGAACGATAGGTCGAACGCGGTGTACGTCGACGACGTGTACTCTGAGCCAATATCCGGCTGCTTGCTCAGAAGTCGATTTCGGCTCTTCCGAAATGTATCGAGGTACGTGCTGAGGCGCTGCGTCTCGCGAATGTAGATCCCTGCTTGTGTAATTGCGAGCGCTAGCATTCCTAGCTCCCTCACAATCTCCAGAGATTCTGTGTCCGATGCAGGTGTGATATTGGCGGTCGTGTGAAGTAGGTTTACCGCCTCGCCCTCCTCAAGACCGCCAACCAGAACTGCGCCATCTGGAGCATAGCTGATGTATTTTTTGTTTCTCGTAGTCATTAGAATTGACCCACGAGGAAATGTAGGCAGGTATGGGCGGAGATCGAGGTCTGGCGAGTCGGCGTTATCAAGGAAGAGTAGCCAGTTGTCCTTGCTGTCGAGATATGCGACTGTGTCCTTCCATTTCATTTGGCTGTATTCGGGACCTAAGCACCGAATTGACCTCGCTAAGTCTACTTCCAGCTGACTTCGACTGGACGCATCGACAAAGATCACCCAAGTGAAGCTAGCCCGCAGTTAGAGGTTTGATAGGCAAACTTCAAGCTTCGTACAGGCTTTCGTGCTCCTGAATCCAGTTGGTTGCCAGCTGAGTCTTGCCTGCCCCTCCCAGCCCGTGTAATATGCACCGTGGTTGATGCTTCACCGGGCCAACAGGAAGCAAGTTTTGGGTAATAAGGGTTTGAATATACTTTCGCTCGATGTAGCCTCTTGACACGGGTGGACGAGGCTTTGGCACAACGACCTCCTCAGAGGCGGTCTCTCCCTTTGCGGCGCCTGCACATCAGTCAGACGAGCAACGAGCATAAATCGGCGACAAACTTCGGCAATTATCCTCGATGTCCCATTTCTTCTTCGCCTCGACAAGCGCGTTATCGACGTAGACCTTGAGATAGTGGAGAATGGTTTGATAATTATTGCTGTTTCTGGCTGCGAATCTGACCATATTACTGTGGTCGGCATGAAGTACGATAGTTGTGGCGTTGTGATCGCCTGTAATCACGGCTGAGTGGTACGGAACGTTCTAAATGTCTATGAGCGACCGATCTCTAATATGAGGAAACCCCACCAGTCCTCTTGTCATATACTCTCCAGAGAAGAAGATGCTGCTGATCTTTGCACTCGCTTCGACATAGAGACTCTGAACGTCCTCGAGTTCAGACGAGTGAGACCGAAGATTTCTTAGAACGGCATCTGTTGTTTCCATGTATACGGACGCCAAGCGATTAACTGCGTCAAGAAGGGTAACGTCGGTACCAAAATGTGGGGTTCCGAAGAATAAGATTGCATGGGTGGCGATGAGAATATCCCGGAGATCACATTTCGACTCTAATCCTTGATTGTGACAGATAACTAACGCCTATCGATACTGTCAACGTCTGGCGGGAGGCAGGTTGAGTACCACGAACCCATTTGAGGATGATACCTCCTAAATCATGAGCGATGAAGATGATGGGTCGCTACTAATGTGTTAGCGAGTTCACAGACGAGGCATCCGCACTCGCTCGAGGATCCTCGCGTTTCCTGGAAAGTGCCTTGGCGAACCCATCGGCGTGCCGACGCATCGTCTGAGTTGATACGCATTCTGGACTATGAGTGTCGGCATCATAGCCGTATGTCAAGACTCGGGCATTACACAAGTCGGTGGGCAAGAAGTGGCGTAGCCACATAGTTCCGTCGTCTACCATCCATGTCTTCTCTCTATGTCCTTGTAACCCATGAATAGCGACGATACTGACGAGGCAAGCTCAGCGGCAAGCGTATACAGCAACAGAACGACGTACTCAACGATGGGATCCGTTCCCGGAGCAAGTTCGAGGAAGTCAAAGTCCTCTGTTTTTGAGATGGGTTTTGAACTCAATGGCCTAGGACTATTCGAATTGACATCCAACGGTGTTGATGTATCCGCGTGGGGTGAAGATGGCCGAGAGGGGCGCAGGATATCCTTCAAACGCGAGCGAAGGCCTGACATTGTCTACGATAGCGATGGTTGGGAACAAGTTATTTCAACAAGCGTCTCAGTTTTGCGACCAGCATCACGAATTGCCCCATAACCTAATTCTTGTGGTCCCCTTGTTTAAATTAGGGACAACACCCAACTTAATTCGAGCTTCGTGCTGCGCAATGGCTTCGGTCCCGGCCCAAATACGTGTGGCGCTGCTCAACGTAGAAAACCTACAGATGGCCGCCGCACGTGAAATGATCACGACTAACCCGAATCTGAGGTGCGTCTCTCTAGATAATTCTTGGAGTACTTGGTAGCTCGTGGTCCACCTCTGATGATGATAGTCATGACAAACTTGGAAATACTGCTTGAAAGTTCCCATTATGTCACTACGAAAGTCTATCTTGGAGCAGAGCAGGCAACGAAGCAGGCCGCTTGTTCCACGCATCGAGCCAGTCAAGCTTGAACCCTTCTACCTGCGCCTCTGACCTCTCTACCCCTCGCGCACTGCACAAAGTAGGCAAGGCAAAGACTCCAGTCGCCAACCAAATATCCTCATCTCCCCCAGCATCCTCGGTTCCAAATTGTCCAATCAACGCAGGCATACACGACCTCGAAGACACAATATTGGAATTTGAATCCAAATGCACGATTTGCGCACGACGTTTGGTGTATTCCTGATTCTTCTGTTGCGAGCTCGAGAGGGACGAGTAGTTTGATGCGTTGGTCACCGACTTGGCTGGTTTGTCGAGGTTTCCAGATGAAGGAAAGAATGTCGACGTGAGGTCGTAAACACCCGAGACACCAGCGGCCGAACGAACGAGCGCATATGCACCTCGCTCGTCCACGCCTTCGACTTTGCCGTATTGTTTGTTTAGAGCAGCCACTTCTGGTGTGTCGAGTAGAGATAGTGTACGCCCGTCTGTATCCTGGGAATACATGGCAAACCCTGCGTCACTCACGAGCACAACTTCACCTCCAAGACGAACTGCGTCTCGTTTAATTCGGTGTATACGGATATGCCAAAGTGGAGTGGATGGATGTGGTGGGATAAGCCACGTCTCGACGCTCGTCGCCTTCCATGGTCGCCAGATTGCGCGGAGCCACCCATTTTCGTCCCCGCCTTCGTTGGTATAGGACGGAGAGTCTGAAGCACCTTCAAGGAACCCCCCAGATTCCTTTGACGAGTCGTTTACCTCGACGTGACGCCGCACGACCCATCGTTCCCCGCCATCCTCGCTGAGCGCGATTGTCGAGTCGGGGTTCCACATGTCGAGCCCGATCGCCCCAGTGGGTACAGAGTATCCGAATGCAGCGCTGTAAGCGAGCTTTCCGTACTTTTCCGCGCCATGTCTCAGTGGATAGTGACATGCTTGCCCAGAGGACAAAAGGAATGTATGTCCTCCACTGTGCGTAAGGATATGTGATGGATGATCAAGTGACATCGTTCGTGGTATGGAGCTGGTGGGATATGGCTCCTCTGCGCTGGTCCAAAATGGGTGATCTGCCGGGACGGCGAGAGGGAGAAAGCCTTTGCATGCCCAGTAGGTCGAGCCAGGAGAATTGTAGTTTTCCGTAAAGAACATGTTGGGAAAGGCGTATCCGATTGTGAGAATTCCCGAGGAGGTGAAGATGGGCAGTCGGGCGTGATAGCGAATGTTGCGGAGATGGAGGCCTTTGATGATCCCCCAAGAGTTGAGAGGTGCAGGAGGGAGCACATCTGCGTAGGCGAGTGCTCCCCAGAATGCCGTAGTTGCAAAGCGATAGGTCAAGGACCGTCCAAAGGGGATTGCACGCCCTACTAGACAGTCAGATAAGTCCTTTAATGAGGTACCACACACCCTCTTCATCAAAATAGTGCACAAACTGCACGGCAAACTTTCTCGCACGATCTCTGTACTCTTCGCACCGTTCCGGATCCTCCTTGGCGGCGAGTTTCGAGTAGACTAGTTGAGCAAAGTGGATAGCAAAGGAGGAAGAGTAGTAGTCCAGCTGAAGAACACCGGGAGGGCCATCGCGAGACCAGCCATTGCCAATATAGAAAGTGTCGAGGTGGTCCAAGTCTGCTTTGAGTTGCGCTTCTGAATAAGGTCTTCCAACTGATCGAAGTCCCAGATTTGCAAAGACCTATTAGAGTCAGTAAAGCGTCACGGAACGTGACCATCTCACTCTGAACCACAGCCAGTTCGCTACAATAAAACGAAATGTCAGACTAGGCAAAGGCCTACATGTGACGCACTGTTTGGCATATCCTTGTCGTTGATGCAGTTGAGCCACGTAGTCAGGTTGTTTCTCCCATTCTCGTTCATCTTATCCCAGATGTGCTCCTTGGCCACTGCGAGCGTAAACCCAATGGCCGCCATCTCAACCATTCTCTGGTCCTTTCCGCGCGTCATACCCCAAAACTCTGTTTCGTTGGTTGGATCCGTCCCATTTTCGAACCCTTTGATCCATCTCTCGACGCCAGGATACTCACCACCGCCTGCGAGTAGGCTCGACAGACCCCAGAGAGGTCTCGAGAAGCCTTCTAATGCCGCAGCAGTGGTGTCAAAGTGCGTGGCCGTCGCGCCAAGATTGACACGGGCTCCTCCTGGCGAGGTGAAGTGTGCGAGCGGGTCAAGCATCGACCTGAGCGCATTCCCAAGGTCATCACGCGTCTCGAGTGGATTATCAAAGAGCGGGTTCATCGCTGGACAAGCTGGGGAAGAGTCCAAGTTTACGGTGGTTGTGCCACTCTTGAGCCGGCCCGGCCTCGCCGCGATTTCCCCGCACCCAAGCATCAACATTGGTTATCACGTTGGATGAATAAGTAGTCAGACGGTCTAATATCGGCCCGGAGTGTATTTGGAAGAAACACTTTGTCTGAATTATGGCTCATCCACTCCGCTTACGGCGTACCTACGAAATCCACATTTGGATCTCGACACGACTACCCGCATACTATTGGAGACGCAACTTGGATGCGAGTTTGATATTATACGGAACAACAACAGGCTCTTCTCGGCATTGAGCTTTTGATGTTCCCAAACTACGATGGCCCAAGGCCTCTACGGACGATCTACGGCGCGTTTTTGGTGCAAAGAGCAATCCTAAGCCAGTTAACGACCAAATTTGGATCCAAAATGATCCGCGAGATCAGCCGGATGGACACCGCGAGCCAAGCCAAATGACAATGAATACGTATTCAAAACCATCGGAATCGTGGGTATAATCCTGAATCTTGATCTAGTTTTAGTGCATCCTTATTAGAGCAAGGTCGACCCTTGTAGCCCACGGCCTAATGGAGGGCCATTATCCAGACATCCTCTCAAGCAAAACACTATCAGGCCTGCTACAGCATAACAATGAACTCATTGTACGTCTCAAAGGTCAAAATACACAGGTTTGGAGAAGGAAATCTCTTCAAAGAGGAGAGCGAACCGACGCGGGTGACGGAGGAAAGGTCTACTCTGACTCGTGTTCATTGCTCAGGATCAGATTTTGCTATATAATATTAATATTAAATTGGGTGCGGGGTTGACGTCTGGTACAGAGAATCGAACAAAATCTGTCCTCCATCACGCTCAGTGGTGCCCTGTTAGCAAATGGTACGATAGCATGATCAATAAAAATTTACTCAGCTTTTATTGATGCATTTGCGTGCTTTAAAAGCCTGGATACCTGTTCACCGCCTCTTTCCCAATACCGACGACCCCCAACGACTAGTCCAGGAAAGGCCAGTCACCTACTCGAATTAAGTCATGGATACAACCAAAGACTCCAACTCTTCGCATGGTTTGAGCTCGACTGGATCTAATACGCCCGACTCTTTGTATTTCGAGAGCGCTGTTGCGACGAGCCCAGACCATGAAGGACCGACGTCACACTCGATCCCGACATTCACCTATGGAGTCCCTTCAGCCACCAATCCCTCAAGCCCGGAGCCCAGTAGTGCGGGTTTGCCAACCGCGTCCCTTCTCGCGGAGTAGACACCTGGCACCACTGACCGTAGCGAAGGAAACGTCACTCATGGAGCAGCCAGTGTAACACAGAAGAGAAACTGGTATACGCCAAACAAACGCAACGCCAATGCTCTCTGGCAATACTTCTTTGCCAGCGCATAACCTTTCCCGGATCTCCCAAATGATAGACCAAAAGGGTATATCTGAGGCGGAAAAGGCGCTGATACAGCAAAGGATATCGTCTGGAGAAGACTACTCACCCTACCTATTCAGGGTTGTCTGGTTAGGTATCAGGGGAGGAGTCGTAAGAGAGTCATAGGCGAAAGCGAGTTTACCATATAGGATAAGCTCTTTCTAGTTTGGAATGATTTCAATGTACCAGCTTGCATTCATCTCAGGCCGTAGCGTCGACTATCGCATCCATCGTAGTTAGCTCGCACCCTTAGGAACAAGAACTGGGTTCAAATAAGTATTTGAAACAGGAGCTAATACGGTGTCTCTGTCAAATCCGTAGGGCAGCCAATGCCAGACGTAGAAGAATGCATGATGATGGCAACAATCAAACTTGGAGACGTCAGTATTGGAAGAGCTTGGGATGTTCGACGCACCCATAGAGACCCAAGACTTCTGCAAAGATGAGAATGAGGACCATGGTCACGAAGACCTTTGCCTCCTGAAGATAGGCTCGTACACACTAGGCAATATGAGCGACCGGAACGAAGAGAGAATGCATACTTACTGCATCTCCAACGTGACCAATGGCATACCCCGCTGCCATTCCCGTCATGCCGCACGCAATTCCAGCTCCCATGTGGACAAATCCGGTATACAGGGGATACTCTTGCGCTGGATCCACTGTCAATAGAGATGAGATACATTAGGCAGTCTGGCGCGGCCTAACTCACGGCTTCCTGTTATGAGAACGCTGACCACCAGGCCATACACGGCAATAATACCCGCCATGACCACTGGAATGAGCGACTAGTGAAATGAAATGATTTAGCAGGTGTGCTTATATACCGCCGACAGTACACTTGCCTTCATGACGAGCTCTGGCTTGAAGGATCCCAAGCCGGCGATACCAATTCCAGCCTTTCCCGTACCAAATGCAGCGCCGACAGCTGCATAGGATATAATGTCAGCACTTGAATCGATGTAAGGCTTTTCGAGGGTGATACTGACTGCTAAACACCATCTACTCGAGTTGTCAGCGTGAACTCGTCGCAAATCCAGCAATAGAATAAATGGAAGGACTTTTGTGTAAGGAAAGTATTGTGGAAGGCAAGAATTTGGTCAAGAAGAGGATACTCAAGACACGTACCGCTGCTGCGACTCCTGCAAAGCCAAAGAACGGAGCGTATGGCGGACAATATGACATTGTTTTAGTGATTATCGTCCAAAATGTTTGTCAGGACGGGTGTTCTGTTCTCTCCCTCGGCGGGAGTGCAGTCCAAGGTTCTTGCAGTGTTGAAGCTTGGACCGCCCACCATCCATTGCTCTCGCAAGTCGGGTTTTGTGTCTCATAAAAGTCGTTGATTTTGTAACCCATCCTCGTTATGAGTGGTTTCTACTCTTCACGCTGTACAGCAGCCTTGTCGAAATCATCAACTCGCCCAATCCTCTGCTCAAACCGACGGCTATTGTCGACATCGTCAGTACGATTGTCGTATATCGGCTCAACACCGATTGTTATTCCTCCAGACATCACTATTGAGCGTGTCTCGCTCTCGAAACCCCGTGAAAACGCGACTTCGAAAAAGGACGATGTCAAGCAAGAAGAGCGGCTGATCGTACGGGGCAAGAGCGGTGAAACAAGTATAAAGATCTACGACTTTATGCGCTTCGTCTTACCCCAGAAAGGTGCCGCCTCTGCATCTACATCGACAGCACCAGAAAAGGATGGAGAAAAGGAGTTCAAGAGCAAACGAAGAAACCCAGCTTGTCCCCCAATAGCTACAAACGAAGCTTTTTCCCTATCTGGAGCGTCGGCTGGCTCGCCGCGGGAACTCACCCTTTTTGTCGAATCTCCCGACGACAAGCAACAACGCCAGCTATGGGGAACCACCAGAACACTCATCGCCAATGCCGTTCAGGGGCAAGGAGAGGGGTATATGGTTCCACTCTACCTAATCGGTGTCGGTTACCGTGCGGCGCTGGAGGAGGATCAGTTATCCCTAGCCGCGATGCAAAGCGCATCAAAGGCGTCACCTGCTTCAAGTATAGCCTCGGAGAATCCTGCGATTGTCGAGACCGTCTCGTACGATCAATACCCTCGACGGCGGCTAGCTCTTCGTCTAGGTTATTCGCATGTCATTTATCTCATGATACCACAAGATATCAGGGTCACGGTTCCAAGTCCGACAATCATCCAACTGTGGGGACGAGACAAGCAAAAGGTGGCGCAGTTTGCGGCCAATATCCGCTCGTTACGTGAGCCAGAGGTATACAAGGGCAAGGTATGTATATCGCATCTTCCTGGTCAGGGGCCTTATTTCCGCGCAGGGTGTCTTTGTTGGAGACGAAAAGATCAAGATGAAGGTTGGCAAGAAGAAGTAGTCTTGCGTAAGTCTACTGTTTCACTTCCAAACTATGATGCTACCTACTGTTTGTCACTACCACGGAGAGCGGTATGCCCCGTTCGATGTCGTGAACACAGTTATTCCACTTGAGATATCTGAGCTCTCTCCCACTCATTCCCGCAACAATCTCACTGACAAACATACAGATTTCCAGTTTAACTTTTGTATTTTTATCCCAAATTCCCTATTTGATCCTGGTCCAATAGATAGGCTTAATCGCATACTTCATTATTTACCTTCATCCTCATCGTTGAGCAAACACTGCGGCGTTGGCTTCGCACCCATCGTTTCTTGTCGTTTCTGCCTAGCGGCATAACTCTCCTCAGCAGTATGGTAGATATGAATCTGAGGATGCGGTTGCCACTGTGTCCTAGGAGCGGGTGCTGCCTCTGGATCATCAGACTTTCTGGCCCCCCATAACATACGTAAACGCAACCAGCTGTGTACAGAGAGTGTATCGAGCTCTAGATCCGGTTTCGTTGGCACTAGTCTCGAAGGATTGTCTTTGCTCTCACCGGCGTTGGCTTTCGATGTGCTTTCTTTGAGAAATTCATCTGTAATGCCTGTTTTCCGCATCAACGTTTCGAAAGCTGGCAGTGCATGCTACACAGATTCAGAGTCGTGTCGTGTTATTGCAAAGAAAAGGCTCACTTGAAGACTTTGGCGCGCTAGGATGCCTCCAAACTGCAGTCTCTGGGCATCGTCTGCATTCGTGGCGAGGCCTTGGGGATCCATCGGCATCTTTTTCCAGGGTGTTTATGACGACATACCGTTAGCCCATGGTCCTATTGGAAGAAAGACGCTTCCGGCTCCGCATGCTTCCAACAACTCGTGGTCAAAGATTCCTTTGTCGAGCATTTCTTCGGCTTCAAAGATATCCGTCCCATTCAGGGCATTAGCCCAGCGGAATTCTATTCGGTAGATCGTCAGTCTGTCACGCTCAGAGAGGCTAAGAAACGATTTACCGTAAAAGTACCTTTGAAGCCATGAGCCGTCTGGTTGTTCGGGCGTCCACAGCTTTTGACCAGATACAATATCCTCTGCACAGAATTCGAGATCTATATCCACGACAAGAAGCAGTCCGCCTGGACGAAGACAGCGCGCAGCATAGGTGATCCCATCTGCATACTTTGGAAGACCAGCGCCCAGACAACGCATATGCACGATGTCCATCTGGCCATGAAACTGGTCAAGACCAAAGTTGACGTCGTCCAACTCGAATTGGATGTTCGGCGGGACACCTTCGACGGGGATGGGAGTTGGGGCGATATCAAGTGCGATCACGGAGGCTTCAGGGAAGCGACGAGCCATAGCCAATGCCCTGCAACAATGAGCTAGTACAGCACCGTCTCTTAGGCGAGTGCGAAGCGTACCATACGGCTGTCCCACAGCCCAGGTCGAGAAGTCGCTTCTGTCTTCCGGGGTCTGGCTCGAGTATCCGTTCTACGAGGTCTGGACACGGATAGAGATCCCCCATACCAACAAGGAAAGCAGCGTGCTGTCGATCCAGTCTCCAAAACTCTTCCTCATCTGCAAAGGCTAGTGAGCTTCGGAGGCAACAAAAAGCACGGGGTACCCGACCTGCAGGAAGGAGATACGTTGCCGCCTGACTATTGAAGCGCCGACCATTGATTTCTCGAAAGTAGCGAGCGATATCCCGTCCGCTATCGTATGAGTATGTCGTACCAGCAGCGCTGAGGACGCTGCCGGCATCGTGTGTGGGCTCCATTACGCTGCCAGAGGAAGCTGATGGATTATCACCACTACGGCTTTTAGCTGGATCAGATTGCTCATAACGAGCCCTCGCGAGTCTTTGCGCTAAAGGCTGGTTCGCCGGATATGACATATACGGCGCCTAGCAGCCAATTAAACCTGTACGGATGTTTGTATTCCGGTAAAACGATTTGGAGCTTTGAAAGAGCCGAGATATGTCGTTGACTGGGTCCAGTAGCGCCTGGATGACACTAATTGGACGTTTTGCTGGCTTCTCGCGCCGATACTCGAGCTCGTGGACCTGACCAGATCGGATGATATCAGACGGAGCTAGGATCGTTTAGGCCTTTTGGCTTGTGCCGCTCGGGTCACTCTCTTGCGGCTCGCGATCAAGGTCAGGTTCGTAGCAAAGTTCGGCATTCCACATTCTACCGACGTTATCGCGCAGGATGTTGGCCAATAGAGTGTCAACAAAAATTTTGCTCATAAATGTCATGAGATTTGTTGTCGCTCTCCGCAGCCAGCCGAGACAGAGTCCGCCTCAGAGGAATGAGAATGCCGTAAGATTATCAACACCGTCAAAACGTGGATGCTGGGCTCGTAATCGTGACCTCCTTGCAATCTTGAGAGCCGAGTCCGTCTGCCACGGATAGTATGCCCTATCAACGATGCTGTGGAGTCTGCTAAACATTTTGGAGTGGAGAATGTTATTTATCGTCTTCAATTTACCTCATTTCTATTGACTACAGGATTATTTGGTCTGTATGGCTGACGAGGTGACGGCCAAGTGTTGGCAGCCAGGCAAGTGCTCGCCCTGTCGATAAAAGCTGTATGACTGCAGGCTTAAGCTGATGGAATACACCAAGCTACTTGGATGGGCTGCGCCTTGCTTGAGGTGTCGACCGTCGAGAGGAGAATGAAGCTGAGTATACTTAGCCAATGAATGACTGGGTCAGGATCGAGTGTATCGTCGCTGATATACACGAGAATAAGCATCAGTAGACATTATGCTAATAGCTCTCTTTCACGAGAAATCCTGCGTTTTACAGGCGAGGTCCCTTACTATGAGCCAATCTCATTGGCAATGATCATTGTTATATACGTGACTAGGCTGCATTCCAAGATTCTCTGACCGCCTTGTCGTAAACTGTAAACTCGTAGCTCGACACCAGTTCGACCTCGACTGCTGCGACGAAATGTCCGAGGGTGGCTCCATTCGACAGCGACGGACATCTTCCATGAACCATAATGGCATTTCATTTCCAGGAGGTCGTCCAAGTCCCATACCGCGCCCTACATCCCTGGCCAGCGTGCACAGTACTGCCTAGTATGTGGAAATGATAACCAAAGGTATGACAAGCTGACAATAATAATATTCTAGTTCTGAAACAGATCACTCTGAGATACTCTCTCCAACGCCCAGGCGTCACTATCTCATCCAACAGCAATCCTCGAATTGGCTTCAGTCTGCTGTTGGCAGCGTCTCGCCTCCAATATCTCGTCCAAGCTCACCGTTGAATCCAAATCATGCACAACTATCTCCTCGCAAACACAAAGCCTCGCTCAGCTTTTCCTCGTTGGCCGAGCACAGAAAACCAAAGGGCGGCAAAGTTGCCGGTTTGAACGGTAGCCTAGCGCGTCGTTGGGTTCGTTGGATGCATAGAAGTAGATTGGGATATTGGGTGCTTCCATGCCAGATTCTGTTCGCCGTGTTGATAAAGTGGTCGGTCGGCTTGGGCTCGTATTCAGGTGCGCTTGTCGTGAATTCTTTTCTCGCCTTTTGCTGACTTGTGTTTATGATACTAGGGGAGAATACTCCGCCGATGTATGGTGACTACGAAGCTCAGCGACATTGGCTAGAGATCACCTACCATTTGCCGGTCAGGCTGTGGTACAAGTACGATCTCCAGTATTGGGGACTCGATTATCCTCCTCTCACTGCGTATGTGAGTTGGCTATGCGGCTTTATGTACGTGACCATTACCCAGCAACAGCACGAACTCACATATCACATTCAGTGCCCATAAAATCAACCCAGAGTGGGTCGCATTAGACGACTCGAGGGGAATTGGGTCAGCAACGAGCAAAGTCTACATGCGCTTCACCGTTCTCATCCTCGACCTCTTGATCTATATCCCAGCGCTCGTCCAATTCGCCCGCAACTCCTCTCTCCTTCGACACCGCTCTGCAAAAGCAAAGGATGTTGCATTGGCAACCATTCTTCTTCAACCAGCCCTCATCCTCATCGACTCGGGTCATTTCCAGTACAATTCCGTCATGCTCGGTTTCACCCTCCATTCGCTCAACTTTTTCTCCCAAGGGCGGGATTTGCTTGGTGCATTCTGCTTTGTCGCAAGTTTGGGGTTCAAGCAAATGGCTTTATATTATGCGCCCGTGGTATTTGCATATCTACTTGGGAAATGCCTACTACTTGGCTGGAAGAGCGGGTACGTAAACGGGCCCAAACGTATCATAGCTAATGTCCGAAAACAGTGTCCCGCATTTGGCGTCAATTGGATTCATAACCATCGCTGGCTTTACCATCCTCTTCCTCCCGTTCCTATCCGAGTTTCCCCACACCTCATCCCTCCAATTCAGAGGATATTCCCCTTTGCGCGTGGCTTGTTTGAAGACAAGGTCGGCAACTTTTGGTGTGCGTCGAATGTCTTTATCAAGTGGAACCGGCACTTTTCCAAGGCAGTTCTCCCGAAGCTCGCCACCGGGTTCACGGCCATTGCTTTCATGCCCAGTATGATAGCACTATTCGCCCCTGCGATCAAAGGATTTGGGACAATGGAAATGGCAGGCGATCGGAGCAAGTCTTGTCAACCTTCGCCTACGTTTGCCCTCTTTACACACGCACTCTTCCAGACATCCCTCTCTTTTTTTCTGTTTTCGTTTCAGGTGCATGAAAAGACTATACTGGTGCCGCTTCTTCCCCTAACTCTTCTCATGGTCGCGAGCGCTCCAACTGTCGAAGGTGGAGACTGGGAATGGGGTGTCTTATTGAATAACATGGCATGCTTTAGGTGTGTGTAGTATCGTCGTCTGCGTTATGTCATCCGATCTTATCGCTTCTCAGTATGTGGCCGCTACTCCGGCGCGACGGGCTCACGGTCCAATACATTGGACTGCTATCATTGTGGAATTATGCCATCGGTCACAACCCACTTCGCCAATCTTCATTGCGTCCCTTAACTCTTGTAAGTGCCCCTTGTTTCATACAAACCAGCCGCGGGCCTTGACTTTTTTTTGTATTTGACAGTTCGCGTATTCGGCGGCGGCGGTGATCCAAGTGGCTGAATTGCTGATCACTCCTCCAACTCGTTATCCGGATCTCTTCCCTGTTCTTAATGCGCTCCTATCAGCGGGAGTTTTTGGACTGGCGTACCTTTGGAGCCTCAAGCGGCTAGTCGAGATTAGCTGGGCCATGGGAACAATCCGAACATCAACAATCACCTCCACTTCGGCTCCTTCGTCTCTAAGACCTATCTTAGAGGAGCGTCGATACCCTTCGTCAAAGGAGCTGTTCAACAACTTTGTGTCTGACAGTGCTGCCGCTGGCGGTGGGAACGACGCGTCGAATCACACCATTTCCTTGTCCACTCATGACGTTTCTTCGCTCCGAAAGCGACATGCTCCCTTGCACGCGACGTCTGAGGGCCAGGCCCCCTTATCGGCGGGTGTTGTGGACCTCACCGAGTAATCTCTGGATAAACCTTGCTGTCTATTTGCCTAACTTAATTGTATCTCTTTTTTTCTCCACCTGCGTGGTCGCTGCGAAACGGGGACGCTCGCCACTTTGATCCCACAACCTTCGTCCTCGCCACCCACTCCGTGTCCCTTTGTGTTGCGGCCTGCAGCTCGCCCTACAAGCTGCTGTGCAACGTTCCTTTTTCCAAGTAGAAACGCTCGTTTGCACTCTTTGTTGTGGGGAGTCTCCGACCATTGCTGTCTCCGTTCCACAACAGACACTTTCTACGGCCGTGATCACGAAGAAAATGCAGTTTATTCTCGTTTTAATTGCCTTGGTTTCCCATTTCTTGGTCGTCTGTGCTCAGTTTGACCCAGGCCAGACTCCCCAGGTTTGCATGCAGAGTTGTCAGCAGCTGTATGTCTCCCACTTCCATATCTTCCTCATGCTAATGGCGTTATTTGTCGGCTATTATAGCCTCGATCTCGGCGCGAGTTGCATTGCAGAGTACTCGAGCTCTGGAAACTCTTCGGGCTCGACTGCGTGTCTTTGTCACGGGCTTCCCGAGTTGGATTATTCTTCTTGCACGAGTTGTCTGCAAACACACTCTGCCACGGTCGCCCAGGGTCTTGGGCAACTGTCTACATTCTGCACCGACTTTATCAAGCAATGCAAGTACGAGTGTGATTTTCCTACGTGCAATAGTTCGGACGTTGCGTGTCAGTGCAAGGAGACGTACCTTCAGGACATCTACAAGTAAGTCACCAGATCTTCTTTACCGTTCATTGCTCACCACTTTGTCGCTCAGCTGCGCGTCATGTAATTCTGCAAATGGGAATACGGGTGCGACCGTCTTGGCTGACTATACTGGTACGCATCCAATTCACGTTCTTTGTGGCATTCGCTAAACCCATTCCAGCCCTCCGAGACTCGTGCTTCCATCAAGGATACTCTGCAACTCCCACAGGCATCGACGCAGTACCTACACCTTCCGTAACGATTGTCTACACTGGCCAACGACCCACGACGACGAGTAATGGCGTCAGCACGGGGTCCACCATCCTCATCAGCCTCTCGACGTCCAATCCCACTGGCTCCGGATCCAGCACACAGACACGGTCGAGTAGTCCGTCCAGTGCCAATTCCGTGTCCGCTACAGATCTCAATGGCGGAACGGTGAGCATGCATCGGCGATTGGTGGGGGATGTCGGCCTTGGGCAGATTTTCATTGCCCTTTGCTTGACGGTGTTGGGTCGGCAGGCGCTCTGAGAATCTGTTTCTTTTGCTCCTCTTCGTGTTACCCCTCGCAGTTTTGTTCAGTTTTCTTGGTTTCTTGTTGTTCGTGGATCCGTATAATGTAGTTTGACTACTTTGATATACGTTGATCCCGTCTTTGCTTGTTTCTGAATCCAAAGGCTTGGTCCAAGCCGCGTCGACTTGAACTCTTCCACCGCCGTGTCCGGTGGCAGACCCTTGGATTGACACGCCACGACTGCACAAAGTTGAATCAAGAAAGATGGAAGATATCTCTGCAGCGCTCGAAGTCGTCAGCAACAGTCCATACGACATCAAAAACTATCCAAAATGTATCCAACTCTGCGCACAACAAGATACAACCACCTCAACTGATACCAATGGACATGCTGAGAGTAAAACATCGAGTGAGGGAGGTGGTTTGGCTGCCGAAGTGCGAGGGATGATGGTCAGTGCCGTCGGTGCAACGTCTGGTGAGTCTTTCCATCTCCAGCAGCCGACATATGTGCGCTAGAACAACGCTTTTTGCAAGTCTACCAAAGATCATTGCTGACTTACTCCATCTCAAAGATGTGTGGTTGCCGTTGCTCCAGTTCAAGGTGTCTGCATTGAAGGAGTCTGGATCGGAAGAAGATGCTCAAGCTCTCCTTGGGCTATTTCACGCGTCGAGGAATGATTATTTGTGTTTGTGGATTCGATATTGCTTGGGGGTGAAGGGCTGATGGAGATTTAGCGATCCCAATCCTCAGGTTTCAAGCCCAGTCCCTTATTGATCTCAATGCGCATGCGAGGAGCGAAGGAGGGAGTGCCACGCAGTTCTGGAACGAGGAGAGTGTGCGAGAGGAATTACAGGCCATTTCGACCATGGCCTCCCAGAGCATTTCAAAGGTATGCTTCCATACTCAGCCGGAATAGTTACTCATGGGCGGTTGAAGAGCCATCAAGTATGGGATCTCTGGGCCGCATGGGAGCTCGAACGACTGGAAACTATTGCCGAAGGCTCCTCGGAGAGGGATGAAGCTGTTCAGAGAATCAACGACATGTTTCTCTCGCGCCTACGACAACCACATAGCAGTACGTATCCTCTATAACTTTGGGTAAAGTTGACTTCGTCGCAGATTACACGTCCACAAGCGACATGTACTCCCCGTTCGTCTCAACATACTATCCACCAGAAGAATACGAAGAGCGTCTTATCAACGCCACCAAAACCAAAGAGCTACCACTCAAACAGCTCACATGGCGCGAAGGAAACCCAAAACGCGTTCGCGAGCAATTGGACCTCCGCGCGGAAAATGGGGGGTCTCGCGAGTGGAGGCAATATCTCGATTGGGAACTCAAGGCGAAGAAGCCGCAGATGCGATTCATTTCTGCGGTGTACGAGCGGGCTCTGGAGTGTGCAGCAAGAGAACGGTGGACGTATCTTTCGCAAATATTGGGTGACGAATCAGATACAATAAAGCACCATCTACAAGCGGCGGAACAGAATCTCTACGATTTGTGGATGGAGTACTTGGTCTATAACGTATGTGAGACGCTTCTTGTGTCTTCTTTTATTAATTTTTAGTAGCAAAAGACACTCAAAGACGAGGAGAGGTCTCAATTGTCAACACTTGCGAAACGAGCGACGCGCTGCATACCGGAGCATGGAGAGGCTTGGTCCTTTTACATGAGGGAAATCGAAAGGGTCAATTCATCATCCTCGGAAGACATGGAGACAGAAGAGGCGAACTCCACGGAGACTGTACCCGGTAGGAATTCGTTCATAAAGCTGAGCTTGATTGACGAGTGCATATCCAGACATTTATTCGAGACTTGTCGCAATGAATCTTCTCCAGAACAGCATAGAGGACTTGGTCGTGGTCGCCATTTCTCGGGCATCGTGGGGCAAGCGACGTGTCTTTATACAAGAAGGGGAAGAAACCGCGATTGGTACGGTTTCCCGAAAGCTCCTTCATGCATTCTCATATTCAGTAGACCAGGATCAGATGGGCGAGATCATCCAGGTACTCGAAGAAGCCATAGCTACTATACGGCAAAAGGAGGGCGGCGACCCCAAGATGAGATTGGAAATGTTTTTATCGGCATTCGTAGGTTTTGCCCCTCTTCTTCGCTCGACGCTGACTCTTTTCAGTACTCCAGCCTTGGAATCCCTGAGAGTGGGCTTGAAACTCTCAATTCTGCGTGCAAGTTTTACAAGACATCGTACCTTGCATGGCTAAACTATGTTGATCGCTTAATGTGTGTGACGTTCTTTCAGCGGATCTCAACGCTCAACTCCTCATAGCTCCGCAAATCAAATCGTCGAGGCTCGACGGGTCTTCAAGGACGCTAGCCAACGCAAAGGCTTGGATTGGCCAGAGATGATCTGGGAACGATGGGTGTCCTTTGAGTACCAGTTTGGGTCTTTGGAGGAGATTGAGCATGCACTCTCCGCTACCAAGGACTTTAAGCGGCGCGAAGACGCACGGCGACAAAAAGCATGGCAGGCCCAGGCGTATGCTCAGATCCCAGTCTCTCAAGGGCACGTCCCGGCGAGTGCGTTGGTTGAGCATGCCTCGAATGGTATGGGCTCGATGGCCCAGGCGAATGGTCACATGGAAGTAGACGCTACGCACGCAGCAGTCATTGATCGACCGCTGAAGCGCAAGCGAAGTGAAGATGAGATTGTGGTAGATGCGCACTCGCCCAAGAAGCCGCGTCCGGACGGGCCTGCGGAGTCAACAGAGATGGATGTTGCTGCATCTAGCCCGCCAAAGTCTCAAGCTGGTGCAGAAGCTGCTCTCAAGCGGCAAGTTCCCCTTGCTCAGTTTACTATAAAAACTTACCTCTGCACAGAGACCGAGAACGGACAACGGTGTTGGTGTCCCAACTACCGAGTAAGACGACAGAGATCGACGTTCGAAATCTATTCAAAGATGTACGTTTTCTCATTGGCTGTGATTGATGCTAAGCGTACTCAGTGCGGTGAAATCCGTGAAGTCGCTGTCAAAGAGCTGCCCAATGAGCTGGTGGCGACCGTGGAATTTATGGAAAAAGTATGTTTTACAAAGTTTGGCGAAGTAATTTCTCACGCGAGTCAGGAATCGATCCCTGCGGCACTCACCAAAGATAAGAAACGGATTCATGGCGTCGAGGTTTCGGTAGAAGTTGCTTGGCATTCAACCTTGTATGTCACCAACTTTCGGGAAGGGATGGATGACGCGGAAATGCGGCAGCTGTTTGACGAGGTGCGCCTATATTCTATCAGGTGTAACAAGAGGCTGAATCGCGTAGTTTGGCACGATTCTGGACATCCGATGGCCCTCGAAGCGAATCAAAACTACGCGAAGATTCTGTTATGTGCAGTACACCAAAGCGGTAGGTACTTTGATCATTGGTCGCTCCCTCTGACACCTAAGTAGAGTGCAGCGCAAGCCGCTCTTTCACTTGCTGGTCGCGAAACCGAACCTGGTTTGCGCCTTGTTGTGCTGGTATCTGATCCTGCTCGAAAGCAACAGCGGACTGACGCTGGAGCCCGCGAGTTGCGTGTGACTGGGGTGGTGAAATCCGTCACGAAAGCTGACTTAGAGAAGTTATTCTCTGCTGTATGTCCCAGCTTCCTTTTCTGCGAAGAACAGAATCTCACTCCGGGGCAGCATGGAACCCTCAAGGACGTTCGCCTCATTCCAGCAGCGAATAACAATCAGACAGCGTTTGTCGAGTTTGAAACCGAGGTATGTCCTCGGGATTGTACATGAAGACGCATTGAACGGCGTAAAGGAAGCAGCGCAGAAGGCGCTTGTCCTCAACAATCATCTTCTCAAGAATCGCCGGCTTGCAGTCACGATGGCAGATACCAAGCCGAGTCGTGCTCCGTAAGTCGTAGTTGCGTAGTCGTTGCAAGCCTATTAACACTATGGGCAGACAAGCACCGGCCGCCAAAGCAGAGGCAGCAGCGCGTTCTGTGAGGATCAAAAATCTGCCGAAGGATACGCAGGAGCCATTGCTTCAACAAGCATTGGAAAAAGTCGTGCAGGTTGTGCGTGTGATTGTCATTGAAGACATCAACGAGGCCGTCGTGGAACTTCCCAGTATCGCGGTGAGCGTTTAACTCGCATTAACGAACCGGGAAAGATATTTACGACTCTTATAGGATGCTGGACGCCTGGTGCTGGAACACCCTACTCTAGAGTTTCAAGGCCATACGATTACCCTGTCTGAAGAAGGCCGCTCTTCTACCGTCGCGTACCGTGGCCGTGGACGAGGGCGTGGGATGGCACGGGGGACATCCGACTCGCATGCTCGAGCAAAGTCTGATCGAGAGTTGATGCCGCCTCCCCCAATTCCGGCGGCGTCTAAGAGTCAAGGCGATACGGAAATGAAAGATAGAGAACTTCAGTCCCAACCTCGAGGTGGTGGACCGTCTCGTGGACGAGGCCGTGGAAGGCCCGGTATTGGAATGCGCTCAGCCAGAGGTAGAGGAGAGCAAAGTGCTCCTTCGGGCACGTCGGAGAGTGGCTCCGCAGCGCCAACCTCAAACAAGCCACGAAATCAAGACGACTTTAGGAAGATGCTAGGCATTTGAAGGTTTTGCTACATATACATTACGCCTCTACACTGTTTACATCGTCCAGTTGTAGGTTCCTGCTTATTTCCCTGTTTAAGCGTGTATTGCGAGTATTGTGAGCGTTCGAAGGGCCGCACCCACGGAGAGGAAGTGGCTGATGGTTCGCGGTAGATCAACATTGGAGATGTACGATGGTATGTAGATAAATGTCTGGCAACGTTGAATTAGACAATCCTCAAGCGTGAGCGAACAACATACCTTGGCAAAGGCTTGGAGGCAGACCAGTTCGACAAGGTGCTCGTTATTCGGTGCGATCATCTGAGTAAACAAGACCGAGATGGCAAATACTAAAAGAGGTTAGCCGTCTAGGCGGTGAATTAAAAGTAGATCATACGAGGGAACGTTTCCATCAAGTTTGCGTGCGCAGACACCATACGGTGGCAATACCCAGTAAGGCTTTCCTTTCCCTTTCTCGGCTCTTCAGGCTGTCAGTGGAAGTACAGCGTACTCTGATAGCAACGCACCGTGGTTTTGATACCCAGCCTGGTTTCCAGCAGCTTGGCCCGCAATGCTAATCACGGCACTGACGACATAAACCACAAACGAGTAGAATAGGCTTGTAATTAGTACACTATTCGCCAGACTTCCGTTTCCGTCGCTTTTCACAATTTTGACGCCGTTCCAGGCGTTGGAATCGAATCCACTCAGTATCCAGAGAGCGAGGGGCCCAATCTTGTTCATGATGAACGAGGTGAGGCGTAGGCGAGCAGCGTATTCCGCGAGTGGAATAGCAGCGAGGTAGAGCATTGGAACAAGTATGGGGACCTGCCATGCATTTTGTTGAGCAATATTGACGACGGAGAATCTCTCTGGTTCTGTTTGAGGACTCTTTTTCGCTACAGCGCGAACGATGGTCGGTTTGCCGTTTGGCTTTGTGGAGTCGGCCATGACGAAATCGGGTTCGTTGTGGGTGGGTTCAAGTTGCAACGCTGCAAATCCAAATTGTCTCTGAAAGAAAGTTTCATGAATCATTGCATCCACAGAGGTTTGCTCATCATCCTCAGCGGTGGTAACTAAAACGTGCACTCGAACTCGTTCTTGAAAAAGACGCGCACTTCAAAGAAAGGAATAACCATACAAACCGCCAATTTCTGGAAGAGGATCGTGTGCTCAACTACCTACTTATCGCTTGATTTGAAGCCAAAGGAGATACCAAAGCCATGGCCCGCCTCGCATGTTCATCATACTTGCGTCTAGATCCACTTTCGTACTTCCCATCAGAGATATCTGTGGTAATACTCCAGCAAGCGACCCTCGTCCGCGAGGAATGGTTTCATTACCAAAGCTTCAAGCTTGTCAATCGCCTCACCTGTGTCTCTCAGAGATGGAAATTGGTCATAGAGAGCATTCCGCTCCTTTGGACGTCTATTGAGCTCGTCGGAGATGCATACCATTATACGAACTCGTGCGTTCTCAAGTGCTCTGCGTTTTCTCGCCAGGCTCCGCTCAGTGTAGATTTCCGAAACTATGGAGGTGAACTTCCTTGGGACGCCGTCCAAGCATTGTTGATGAAAGCTCACGACCGCATTCATCAGCTTCGTTGGGACTCGGTCATAAGCAACCACAATACTCGGGAGAATCTGAAGAGAGTTGATCGCATCTTTCAAAAGCTACCCATGCTTCCTGAACTCCGATATACCGGTAATCGTGCCAATCGCTACGAGTGGGGCTCGATTGCGGATATAAGGAAGCTCGTTTTTAGCGGTAGGAAGCTCAAGGTCATTGAGATGGCGCTTGGAGAGGAAGACTTTCGGATGTTGACCTGTTGGACTCTTGAGAAAGTGTCAGTCAGAGCATCCCTCAATATAGCCATGCCATATCTCGAAAAAATGACCCAATTAGAAGATGTGGAAGTCTTACGCGGCGGTTTTCCATTTCAGTCTACTTCCACCCAGTTACTCCCTTGGACTACGCTGTCACTCCGGAAATCCTACGACTGTGATCCCCCACGAACCCTACTAGAGCGTACTACAACACAACTCGTAAATCTCAGTGTGAAGGTCACCCCAGCTATCTATACGAGTTTCTACGTTCCATATACTGCTGGCCGCGTCTTGTGCAAGTCTGGTTCACAATAGATGGCGGAAATAAAGAGTGTATGTTTCCAATCAGCGGGTTATCGCTAATCATTCGATACGGCATCTCTCGCTTTTTCGCATTAAATGTAGCCAGCTGAATGGTCTAGGACATCTCCTGCACCGAGTCACTCCAGACATAACAGAGCTGTTCATCTCACGAGCTAGGAGAGAAGAATTATTCGAGACACTTGCCACCACTGGGTTTACCCAGCTCGAAACTCTCCGATTGCGATTGAGGACGGAATACACACAGGACGAGACGCAACTGGCACTTTGTGTGAATTCACTAAGCACTTTAACTGTGGATAACTATGGCAAAACACCAAAAATACGCCCGCGATCGCCGTCTGTAACTCACCTCACCCTCATTGACCACCTCTCCCACGCACGTTCGGGAACAGTTCTATTCACCGATTGGCCGCAACTTGTGTCCCTTGTTATCAAGAGTAGTTTTGCCCCTGTGGATCAATCTTTTACTCATTTGATGCACATCGCATTTAAAGGAGGTCACGGTGATGACCTCACAGCTGATGTGGGTGGGGGGACACGGTTCTGCTGGGAACTTGCCACGAATCCTCCAAATCTTCCACGCTTGGCGGAAGTAGATTTTGGTTCCTTGCCGGAGTGGGACATTTTTTTCATCATGCTCAGACGGCGCAACCAATTCCCTACTAACAATGGGATATCAAAGATAGCCGTAGTTAGACTACGACCAACGTACCCTAAATGGATCGCATCCCTTATACTCGGCTTGCTGGATGGCAAGCCCATGGACCTACCACCGTACAAGCGACTTTCCTGGGCCGAAGATATAGATTCAGTTCTGGATTTGAATCGGTGAGACATTCATGGGACACTCTATTAGAGCTGACGTCGTGTAACAGAGCAGGATGTGCTAGATGTATTCGTGTGCTAGCAACGTGTACCGAAGAGGCGGAGGCGGCACTAGCCAAGGAGGACACCATCCCAGCTGTGGCTACTTTACGGGCACAAGCGACGGACTATCCCAGCACAGAGCAAGAAATTCTAAGTACATGGATACAACGAGATGCTTCATGGTCTACATGGGTGGTAGGGTGTAAATTAGGACGACGCAGGTTCTGTAGCAGTCAGAGGGATGCATGAGAAGGGGATTTCGATGTGTTACAATCTGGGCCAAGCACAGTCGCATACACAAGCAATTGTATTGATTGAATCCGTTAGAGAGTAAATAAATCCTGAGCTTACTTTGTCAGCTGAAAACAAGTTGGACCAAGCGCTTACATCATGGACAATGAAGGAAAACTACTCATGGTCTCCGGGCAGCCCGATATTGAGATAAAACGCATATCCTTGCTCACTCCCGTCTCCGAGGATGGTCACCAGCCGCAATGTACGACAAACAAACACGCAACTTGTAGCGAGAGCGAGCGACATCGTGAACCGTCACGTACTCTGCTAGGTCCACTTCTCTACTTCCCTTTGGAGATTTTGGAGGTTATTCTTAAGGAGGCGATGCTGGTTCGGGACGAGTGGCTCCATTACTACGTGCTCGTTTCGCGTCTCACCCACGTCAGTAAGAGATGGAAACGGATAGTAGAAGTGTTTCCATGTCTCTGGGACTTCTATCGAGCTGGTCGGAAACGCCGATTACACAGGGGAGCGCGTTCTCAAATGCTTTGCACCATCCGAAAACACCCTCTTAGCGCTGATTTAGGCTTTATGGAGGGCAAATTCTCTGGATGATATTCGTGTACCCTTATTCAACTGCCCTTCACCACATCCAACAACTTCGGTGGGACTCAGAGACTAAATATGTTGACAAAAGTGAGCAAAGGCTGATGTTTAAGTGGAGTAAGGTGTTTCACGCGGTCTTACCTCTATCCAATCTGCGATACGCTGGGAATCACTGCAACCATGAAAGTCGGGGCTCCGTTGCGAACATCAAAAGCTCGTGTTGAGTAATAACTATCTCAAGGAGCTATATGTGACCCTTGATGTAGACGAACTTGGAAAACTTTCGAGCCCGACACTCGAGACGATCATAGTCACTGCTCCCCTTGACATAGCGATGCCTTATCTCGAGAAGGTGACAAAATTGGCTGATGTCGATATGGTGTGGGGTGCTCAAAGTGGCCAAGGCGACGGAGCCTCGCAACTCCAATGGAGAAGACTTTGGAATAGCAATGAGCTGAGTATCCCCTTTAACCTCTTGGAACGTACGGTGGAGAACCTTGTGGAGCTAGGCATCAACGTCACTCCCAGACTTATGTGCGAGTTTCTGTCTTTGCTGCACAAGTGGCAACGACTTGAAGATCTCCGGATCTCCATATACGACGGACCAGAAGGTAGATACGAACCTGGTACACCCATACAATCGAACTATTCAGTCAGAAGGCTCATATTACTCGAGAAACAGACAATGTGTTTAGTGAGCATGCATTCCTTTGGCACCGGGCCGTTCCAAATGTGAGAGAATTGGAGCTCTACTTCTTTACTTGAGCGCAAACAACCCAAATAATTGGTCATACTGGATTCCACTACCTCGAAAAGCTGAATATTGAGCTGAAGATCGACAATTTACCCATAAAAGAAGCATACTTTCACCTCTTAGCACCTTCAGTGAAGAGTGTGGAAATTTGACATTATATGACCAGTAGTCGACCCCTTTTGCTTCGTTCCCATCACGCCACCGACCTCACTCTCATCGAATGCATGCCCATCAGCCTGCTTGCAGTCCATTATCCAAACGATCTTGATCCGAACGACTGGCCACAGCTCAAGCTCCTCGTTATCAAAAGCATCTTCATCCGCTGGAAGAGCCTTTCATTTAATTACTTGAAACGCTTAGTATTCCAAGGAGGGCAAGGCACCGACAATGTCGCAGATATTGGCGGAGGAACTAGGTTCTGTGTGGATCTCGCACTCAATCCGACGAGTCTCCCCCTCTTGAGCGAGCTAGAATTTTATCAACTTGCCCGAATGGGATGTCTTCTTCATCATCATGCTCAGGCGTCGCAGCCTCCGTGATAGGAGAATATCTCGTATTGGCCTACTCAAGCTCCCTGGTACATGCCCCAGGCACTTTGCACAGATCATCCGTCATATAATGAATGGAGAGATGGTCGACCTCCCACCGTTTAAGCAGCTTCCGTGGGTAGGGCATTTGGAGGCAATTCTCGATGTGGATCGGTGAGTAATCGCTCGAGGTAAGGCTTTACTGGGGTGACTTATTTTGATCCAGGCCAGAATGCTCGAGATGTGTGCGGGTGTTGCAGTCATGTAACCCCAAGGCTTTTCGCGTGTCCAATCCGCAGAAAGCATTGGCGCTAACGGCGCTGGAATCACTAGCCTGGGGTTATCCAAAATGTGAACAGGAAATTTTACAGACCTGTTCGAAGCGAGATGACGCATGGTAGAAATGGGTGGTCCGGGGTACCCTGGGACGAGCTCAGACTTGCGGTGCTCAACGGGATAAGCCATAGGAGGAAATGTTGAGCGTCATACGTTCAAATGATTATCCCGTGAAAACTTTTCTTCTTCTGGTTTGATATTAAAAAGGATTCTAGTTTTCAAATCCAACAAACTAGCTATGAGAATGCGATCCGATTCCAATACAAGTCTACTATACAATATATCCTCATTAAATTTGGTTCATAGCCGCAAACGAAGTCCTCGCGACCGACGACGGCACGAACCCCATTGTGGCAAGTCGCTGTTCGCGCTTGGCTCTCGCCTGCTCGGGCGAGGTATAAATCTCCTTTTCCGGATATACAATCTCCTCTCCGCTCGGTCTTCCCTCTCTTGTCTGAGATGGGTCATTGTTGACTGGTGGCGAAGGAACGGGCAGAGGCGGCGCGGGACCGCCATCTGGGCTTCGACGTCGTGCGCAGCAGTACATGAAGCGCACCCACAGTTTACGTATCGACTGGTTCAACTCTACATGATTTTAGCAATGGAAAGACATAGGAGAGGAGTTTCGTACCGATGTCTACCAGCTTTGACCACTGATCGAGCGTCGCTTGCGGTACACCGTGTTTACGCAAGATGCCATGATATGCACGATGGATGTTTAGAAAGACTTGGCGCATGAGCACGCCGACATATTGTAGCATTTGGGTCTCGGCTAGATCTTTCCTTTAGGAGCACGTCAGATAGAGACCAAAGTAAGGGAGATGAGACAGACCTCGAGCCCATGGGCCAATAGGGAAGAATACACAGCCCGCCGAGGCAGTCACCGGGTCGCATAAGTCTGAATCCCATAGGCCAAGCTCGATGATTTCGCGCGAGCGTGGCATGCCTGACCCTGCCATAACGCACGCCTCGCATGCCTCTAGACTATCATCAGTGTTTCACTATGTGTAGCGATGTAGACTCACCCCAGATCATCCGACACAACCACGACCCGTTCGGATCGGCCAGACCACCCTCTCGATCACCAGGCACACTCGCAATCTTGAAAAAGCGTTGCTTGTCTTCGTAAAGATATTGGTCACCATCAATCACGATCAATATACCGCCCGGTTTTAGACAGAGTTGAATGTCGCGGAGCGTTTTGTCCATGTCAGTGATCCCACCCATGACGCATCGCATATGAACGAGGTCGAATTGGTTATGAAAGTGTTCAAGACCGAGGTTTACGTCGTCAATTTCAAAAGAGAGGTTTGGTGGGAGGGTATCCATGTCGAGCGGTGTAGGCGCGACGTCGACGCCAGTGACGACTGCATGAGGAAACTTGGTCGCCATGTCAATTGCCCTGTAGCATAAGAGTTGGAAGGTGGGTCGATGTATTAATCAGAACGAACCATCCGCCTGTGCCGCAGCCTGTTGGTTGATGTTAGTGAGAGCTATCGATTGGAAAGAAGAGACAAACCTAGGTCTAATATTCTCTTCTCCCCTGGCGTCGAGGGGTCCAGAATGGCTTCAACGACGTCTGCGCAGGGATACAGGTGTCCGTCAAAGGAGACTGTCATTGCCGAGCCCTGTTTATCTCTAAAGGTGTTTAGATGTAGCAATTGGAAAGCTAGCGGACGCACAGTCTCCCCCACTCCTTTTCGTCTGGGCATGATTAGTCAAGCCCCATAGTAGATGGCACTAGACGCACCAGAAGGTAGTAGGTATGCTTCATTGAGACTATTAAACATCCTATAGGATCATTGGAGCTCGCTCTCTTCTTTGGAGAAGAACCGACCTTCCGTGGACTTCTTTAACGAATTGCGAGGCGTCGCGGCTACTATTATAGGAATATACACTCGCCATGTCTTCTCTTCCCCCACGTTCACTCTGATTTGTTGCAGTATAGGCCGTCGAGTGTGCGTCGCGAGTGTAGCGGGTGCGGCCCGAGACAGAGCCCGATCCAAAGATTGTCGAGGGCGCAAAGGATGATTGCTCGTATCGTGCGCGTTCTGAGATTTCCTGCTCTCCTGTGTGTTTCCCCTGGGGTTTTTGTTCGTTTTCTCGCTCTGGATGGGCTGGCCAGGTGCAAAACGTCGGCACGTCGGCATCTCTAGGCTTGCCTTGTGACCGGCGTGAGGTACTGGCCTGGTTTGCCATCGTTTACAACAGGCAACGATGGCAAAAAAACCACAACTGACAGAGGGAAAGGAGAGAGAACAGCTAAGAACGACGAGTGTTAAATACATTACCCACTCAGACGAAGCACACGAGGGTACCGGCGGACGTGCTCACATTGATCACGGCGGACTTGGTCTAGCTTGCCGTCGACTGAGCCCTCGTGCTCGATCGAGCTTACATGTCTAAAATTGGTCGCAGAAGGCAACGAAGAATGCATTAGATCGCGAGATCGACATAATCTAAACTCCTCCTCCGCTCTTCTCGACCGGTATTCTTCTTCGCTCCTTGCGGATGTTCGTCCGAGAGAGGGGCGGCGATGCTGCCAAGTCCTTGAGCGTCGCGCATACCTGCCAATTCAGTTAGTGACCCGGCGGTATAAAAGATTAGTCACGCACATGGATAAACTCTTCTTGATTGACAAACTTGCGTCCCTTGGTTACTTCCGAAATCACTCGTTCAACGTCGGCCTCTTCCAACCTGAGCATCGATGGTCAGAAACCAGCCAATAGCAGACAACCCAAAGAACTCACCATGCGAGATCCAACTTTTCTGTCACGAGCATCGTGACCTCTTCTGCTGAAAGCACGCTCGCTTCTACAGGCGGCGGGGAGGCATGGGCACGTTTGGAAAACGAACGCGAGAGTCGATCAACTTCTCCAGGATCAAATTGCGCGCGACTAATCTTGGCCGCATTCTTCACTGCACCCGCAATAATCTTTGCACCATCCGCCACGGTTCCACCACCACCGAATACGCCAAACGAGCTTCGCACCCAGAGATCGTGGATCCATTCTCGCCATCCGACGCGGTATCTTCGAGCGCCAAAGGGAACGCCCATGCTCTCCATAAAGTATTCAGCGTTGCGAATTTCTTGCGAGCGACGACGATGGGACCACCCGAATTCGTCGCCCATGATCTCGACCACGCGTGGAAGAACATCAAGCGCAATATTCGAGTTGAGGAACGTAAGTCGGCTTCGACGTGCCAAAAAGTCGACGGCAGTCATTGCGTATTCATTGTGAACAGCGTACCGGACCTCGGCTTCTATGTCTACCAACCCAATCAGTCGACGCTACAGTAGAAGCAAAGAGACGTACAAGGATACGACCGGCTGAGTCGCTTTCCATAGTGCGGCCATCGCAAACCAGTCGGTTCGGCATAGCTGCATACTGTCCATGCACGATCACCATAGCTATCCGAGAGATGTGTAGCGACCTCTGTCTCCAATCCATACCGCTGTATGAGACTGATGAACATATTCGGTCCCCAGTTTTCGCTCCCCAATAGTTGTAGTTCTTTCGTCCTACACGGGCCCTTTGGTTGCAAATTGAAGACTTTGATCGCTTCGTCGACCGTCTCCTCTGCCATAGCTCGGTACGTCGTCCATTTTCCTCCAGCGATAGTGACCAATCCAGAAGGCGAGACGTGAATCAAGTGATTCCGTACCAACGCCTGAGTCGACGTCGAGTTTGGATTCGACACCAACGGTCTCAACCCTGCCCATGCAGAGAGCACATCACCGCGGCGGACCTGGATATCCGGAGAGAGGTATCGTTTGACTTCTTCCAATATCCATTGAATATCTTCTTCATCTGGCCTCGGATCTCTTCGTACAGGTGCAGGTGAATCTGTCGTTCCGGCAATGGTGTTCCCTTGCCATGGCAAGAAGAAGATTACACGTCCATCCGACGTTGCAGGGTCCAATAATCCCATATTTCGAGGGGAATAATAATTTGGGAACGTAATGTGCACGCCCGCAGAGGCTTGAACAATGGGTTTATGCGATGGATTGTCGAGCGAGAGCACAGAATCTGTAAATGGTCCAGTGGCATTGACGATGCCTTTGCATGTACCTCCCACTCTTCTCCGGTAAACGCATCTTTCACGACGGCGCCATAAAGTTTCCCATCGGGGACCGTAGACGAGCTCGCGTCGCTATTCTTCGTTTCCGCTACCTTGGGAGAAGGCGCGGCAGAGGGAGAAACGTGCGCCTTGAGCAGCTTGGTCACCTCGACATAGTTTGCCACGGCAGCACCTTGGCGAACGGCGGTCATGATGAGCGCAAGGTTCATTCGTGCGTCGTTGTGCATTCCGTCGTAATAGACGACTGCGCCGACGAGGTCCCGTGATTGTAACATGGGGAACGCTTCGATTGCTTTCGAACGCGACATTAGGTAGGATGCGGAAATGTTCTGGTGGCCGGCTAAGAGGTCGTACATCTTGCATCCGGCATAATAGTAGGGAAGTTGCCACCATCTATGGAATTATTAGTATCTCTCAAGTATCCAGAGTCTGACATACTTGTAAACGGGGAGCATAATGGGCTGCATGATGGATAAATACGGAGCCGTGTGTAGGAAAATCTTTCGCTCATGGAGCGCCTCTTTGACGAGTTTGTACTGCTCATAGTCGAGTTCAAATACGGCCTTTTGGAGATATCGAACACCTCCGTGAACGAGTTTGGTTGACTTAGATGACGTTCCTTTCGAACAAATCTCAGGACTGGAGTGAAACACGTGAAGGGCGCAAACGTACCGGAAGAGAAATCATTCTTCTCGACGAGGGCAACTTTGAGACCTCTGGAGGCTGCATCCAGCGCGACGCCTGCCCCCGTCGCGCCGCCACCAATCACGAGCAAATCAAACTGTTCGTCCTTGTTCTTACTCGAAAGACGCAGTCTGTCGAGCATTTCCTTTCTGGTTGGAGGAGTCCATGGTGCAGGCGGTGAGTACCGCTTTGAATCATCTCGGAGTTCCTTTGCAGACGGCGAGGATGACAAGAGGTAATAGGATGCGCCTGCTGAGCTTGCAGCGATGACGGCGAGTGTGCGAGGACGTCTTAAAGTCTTGAACATGAGCAGGAATCAAGCATCCAGACGCGTTTGTCCCAGGCTTTTCGTTCGTCTTATGGGCCGGGCGTGGTCAGGTCAAAACGGCACAGGCGGGCCGGCGCACGTTGAACTCTGCCGCTGAAGAGGTCAAAGGTGCAAAAGTCCAAGGGGATGCTCTTCTGTCCATCATGTGCAAATATGCTCGTCATTTCCGACGAAACCACGGGCAAAAACAAGTGGATTTGTCAGACATGTCCCTATGAATTTCCCATTACGAGGACAATCAAATCGCGCACACATCTCAAACGAAAACAAGTAGACGATGTCCTTGGAGGGGATGATTCGTGGGGAAACCAGACTCCCGGTCCGTCCTTCCCCCGCCCCTCTCTCCGTATTTTTTTTTTCACTCACATTATCGGTGGCAGCGCCATGTCCAAAGTGCGAGCATCCAATGGCTCACTTTATGGAACTTCAGATCAGATCCGCAGACGAGCCCATGACCATCTGTGAGTCCCAAGCCCGTCGTCTGCTAAACCGAACAGCCGTTCTCACATTTTGCTAGTCTACAAGTGTGCGAACAAGGAGTGTGGGTTCCAATGGAAAGAAAACTGATTACCTACCTCCGATCTTATCCTCCGACGGACCACTATTGGAAAGTCAAATGTCGACTCTCGGAACGTCCTCCAAGGTCTAGAATTTATACAGACCTCCTTCATGTTGCAATTTTAGCAGTTTCTGGTTTTTTGGGAGTTTTATGTGACACCGACTTGACATGGACCACGTCCAGACCTTAGCCGAGGTATACGCAAGCTATGTGCCGGTGCTCTTGGTTCGAAAACTCGATGGAAACTCACGTAAACTAACATTTCGGGCGCTTCGGAACGCTCAATTATTTAACGCCCGTGAGCGGCCTGCTCCGCCACACCGTTACCGGGCCAACTTCGACTCTACCACTACAACAACCAACTCTTCTTCTCTCTCTGTATCGTCTACGATGAGCGTCGGACTGCTTTTGTCGCGCCAGACAGCCACGTTTGGCGCGCGTGCAGCATATAGATATGCACCGAGCATGCTCTACGCCTCTGGAGGTGCTCGATATTTCTCTGCAACCCGTCTCTCCATGCAAAACGGAGTCAACGCCCAGCTGAGCACCGAGAACGTGAAACCGGGCACAGAAGGCGCACATAAACGTAGGTCCCCGTCGAAAATCACGCCTCGCCACCATCACTATGATCTCGTTTGTGATCATGTTATCATACCGATACTGATGATCTGGTAGGCGATACGACGACATACCCCGAATTCCCGACCCCGCACAGTGGCGACCGTGGGGACTGGGTGCTCTTCCACCCTGTCTATTCCCAAAGTGAACTCAAGGCAGTTCAAGTTCTCCGGCATCAACCCGAAAACATGCGAGACCGCACGGCTTCCTGGTTTGTGCGCGCCCTCCGCAAGGGCTACGACTTTGTGTCTGGTTATCATCACAAGCCCATCCCACCAGGCAGCACAATGTCAATCGAAGAGCTCCGTAAAGGCGGATACATTCTCTCCGCCGACCAATGGCTCAACCGCATCCTCTTCCTCGAGACCATCGCTGGCGTGCCTGGATTTTTCGCAGCGATGATTCGACATTTGAGAGGATTGAGAGGAATGAAGCGGGATGGTGGATGGATTCATACGCTTTTGGAGGAAGCGGAGAATGAGAGGATGCACCTGATGACGTTTATGACCCTCCGCCAGTCGGGCATCTTCTTCCGCGCATTCATCGTTGCGGCGCAGGGCGTCTTCGCCAATGCCTTCTTCTTGGCTTACCTTGTCTCACCGAGGACATGCCACCGTTTCGTCGGCTCGCTCGAAGAAGAAGCGACGCTTACATAGTACGTCCTACCTCCGTCCCCATTGCATCAGACACTAACGCGAATTCACAGTACCGCACTGATCGAGGATATGGAGGCTGGAAGAGTTCCTGAGTGGAAAGACAAGCCCGCACCGGGAATTGCCATCGACTATTGGCGTCTCAAGCCCAACGCGACCCTCTTGGACGTCATCTACGCCGTCCGCTCAGACGAGACCACACACCGTTTCGTCAACCATACTCTCGCCAATCTGAAACCGGACGACATCAACCCATTTGCGCTCGCAGAGCCGAGCATGCACGTCAAGGGCGTCAAGGCTGGGTATGTATCATCTCAATGATCGGAAATAGGACGGACTCTGACCCTAATCTACAGGTTCTCCCGCGAAGAGGCCGCCCAATATCTCAAGGAGACACAGCAAAAAGCAGACGAGGCGCTGAGCAAGGAAAAGTCCTCATAGTTATTGCGTTAGACTGTTCTTAGATTTCTCTTATATACGCTGTACTCTATCATCTCAATGGTTGACCCGTCCTTCAGCTACGTCTTGTCCATGCTCGCAGTAAAGGTCAGTAAGGACCGTAGTCGCCAGAATAGGATGAACCGAATCAATCATATTCTGTACTGGGGCAAGTGAACATCCTAGGATAATCTCTACCGGCGCGCCCGAAGAAGATGCAACACAATCATGAGCTGTCCTCGTGTTTGTGGGTCGCTCAACGCTGGTCTCATCTCCAGCAATCGAAAAGGATAACTTTCAGTCAAAAAAAAAAACTACCCTCCACGGCCGACTCACGTGCGGCTGGGCGACGCGGCTACTGGCTCCGGGGGAACGACCAGCTCAGTACCGATCACGAATCGAGAGCCGTCGCGGGATAATTTATTTGCATTGAGACGGCTACATCGCTGTGAGCACACCATGTGCTTGAAACGAGGCATCGGGTCCAAATGGCTATGGTCCATCCTCAAAATTCGCAGCCACAGAATCGATCAGAGGACGCAGTTTCTTCTTGGGGATGTCCGTGAATTATGACCGTTATGATATTGGCCGACTCACGTTTTGACCTTGTCCTGTCTCAACTGAATAGGATTCATGAACTCGTTTCTGAGAGGACCCAAAACAGGATGTGGAACCTGAGTGATTGTCAAACCGTCTCCAATCCCTATAAAAGTATGTGTGTTTGAGGGATACAATAACCTAACACACCTACTCGTCTCCAGAGCAGGATGTCTCGTACTAGCGGTCAGTACCTTCGCTAGCTCCTTTCTTCTCTGACTACTCTCGCATTTGTGTGACATATGTCTGATGTAGCCCTACTCTAGAGCGCTTGTACCCTTACTACTTTACTGCTTTCCCAGGGCGGGATAACACAGAGCCGCAAGCTGCGCGAGATGTGACCCCCCAGGGTATATATTTTCAACACCCCATCTCTCCAGCTACACACACAGATGACTTCCCCAATGCCTCATCCCTGTCTATCATGGCCGACGTTGATGGTTATGCTTGGGGAGACAGCCAGTCCACTAGATCAATGGCATATAACGTTGAATCTCTCCTCGAAGAATTCATCCTTCATATGAACGCTGATCCTCTTCCATCTGCTTTGACAATAGAGAGCTCAGCCGATGCTGCGCTTACGGTGGTCCCTAATGGTCCAGACGCCATGACAACTTTGCAACTACAGCCTAGTACATCCACATCACACACTGATGGCTCTACGTGCTCTTATTGTGGAGGCACCCACAGTCGTCCTGTCCGCTATCGAGCCTGCCGTAACAAGCATCTAGGCATCCGCCCTTTCTTCTGCGCTGGCGAGTGCGGTAAAGTGAATTGGTGAGTAGTTTGGGGATATATATATATATATTGTTCCAAATAGCTTATACCTGGTATCTGGGCAGTTCCAAAACATTCGCCAGCTCTGAGAGGAAGACCGCACACATTCGGGGCCGTGCGACTTGTAAAACTTGGTATGTTTGACTTCGGGAGATGATGTTTCATTGACTCGTGCGGAAAGTGGAAAGCTCGGTTGGAAGCAAAATCAATCTCGCCATCGTAGCAGGTGTGGTCAGAGTGCTTAATCGATAATGGTCCTGGAAAATACAGTTTCGTGACGCTTACACGATGATATATAAATTTTGATGGTGTTACCGTTGATTTGTGTAGGACCAGACTATGCGTTCTCCAGTTACTACTCCGGCGGACCATGAAGCTGGCCGTGATTCTTCGCCTCAGGGTCTTGACTGCCCGTTCCTGCCCATAGAAGCCATTCATGCAGTGACAACTCATCCGCCGTAGGACGGTTAGAAAGATCAAGTCGAAAACACACTGGATGAGTGAGGCGGCCTTCGGAAGCTGACTTGGTGTGAGTGACTCGCTCATCCGTAAACCATCAGCAATTGAGCCTTCCTGCACACACCATCGTGATCAAAGTAAGCGCTCTATTTGGCTGCTCCCTCTCGAAGGGACAACGGGAACGGCTCGCGACTCATTGTACGCATGCGGGCAAGCCTATACTCGTCAGCCGTGTGTTCGTCCCGGTCTTCTGGCTAAAAAACGTTTCTGCCTGTCAAGAGTTGATATGCCTGGTACTTTGTAAGCAAAGACACTAACAAGAACAGAAGTGCTACCAACCACCCTAGGGACCAAATGTCGAGTGCTGAGCTATGGTGCTTTGTGGCTCCAACGATAGCTTCTGGAGAAGAGCGGGCGTAGGTCCCAATTTGCCGGACAAGGTTCATAGCAGCGTCTTTGAAAAAGTTTGCAGAACAAGGGGATGAGCGAGTGTTCTATATATTATTGCAGCGGGCCAAGGCTATAGCTGCAGCCTCCGAGAGCGTTAACAAGCAGTTCTGATTCTAGTGGAGACACTTCGGAGTGGAAGACACCACGAATGGGTTGCGAGGTCATAACTGGGTATTCGACACCGTCGATTGTGACCTGACCCGTGGTCCGTAGCGGCTCTTCCTCGATGTGCTTCTTGATTGCCGTATCGCTCAAACAGTCGATGAAGACGTTCTCAGTGTTGACTTCTACAAGATCGTCGGGCATGATAAGAGGAATGGGCCAAAAATAGGTACCTGCGTGAATTATGATGTAGTATTGAGAGTAAGCTGACGACCTCAGAGAGTATCTGAATCAGAACATAATGAGTCAAGAAACCTCGAGGTAGACTTGCACAACAGCGATGAGCATTCGTAGCCCACACCTCTGGGTAGACAAAGGTGTCTGCCATGCACGGTATTCTCCTGTAACGTTTAGCCGTGGAAAATGGAACAAGCCGGATTCGCACCGACTTAGCCTTAGACCACTAGACTGTAGCGTCCCTCTTTTCCCTCTACCGCGCTACACTCCCTATATACCCCCGTTACTCAGATAATCCAACCTAGTCGGCCGGGTTCGGACCTGTAAGGTGAGCCAATCCTTACATCTCCCAAAAATGATCGTACAGGCGCAGAGTGGCGTACCATTCGCTGTTTGCAGCCAGGAGTTTTAGGCATTTGAGCTTGTGAAGGTTGCCTCGTTCGTTCGCCTCAGTTGCGGCGACTGTAAGAATCTTGAGGGCGCGATGGCATTTAGGCGGGTTCAGTTCACATTCTTTGTTGCTCAAGATTGACGCGCACTCGATCTTGCGATCTTATGCAAGGTATGTTGCTAAGCTGGAGCCTACGCCTAGTTTTCGAAGGAGTTTGAATCGTCCCTCACTCAAAATTGAACCTGGGCGTAGTACGTAGTAGCCGGAACCATCCTTCGCGGCTGCCAGCAGGTCTTCTTCGGCTATTTCTGCGGCTGTCGTCGTGCTGAATCGTCGAGAATAAGACAAAGATTGCAATGAGTACGCAGATCTGGGGACTCAGTCCTGTGTGTCGTAGTCTGAACTAGCGGAAGACAAGAGTCCAAAAGCATCTCACCAGGCATTTAGGCTTCTCTGTTCACGGGTATAAACTCGTGTCATGACGGCTAGGCAAGGTCCTTTTGACAAAAGTCCGTTAAGAGTCTAAGGTACGATCACTGATCACATTTTGATCACGTTACGTGAGAGGAGCCGGCAGTTGTTCACGAAAACGGCAACTAGTTGGTCATAACCCCACGCCTCAGGGCCTTCTCTCCCTCGAAGCTCCAGTACACGGCGCATTTCTTCCGGGTATGCAAACTCAAGTTCGAGCTCGTGAGTCTGTGAGGTCATATGAGTGTACGCCTGCTTTCCATAAATGAACTTACGACAGTGTTTCCCTGATCCATGACTTGAGTGAGGTCGATGTGAAAGTGTTGGTGTCCATATTGCATTCGGTCCTTTCTCCGCGAATACAGAGGCCTCATCCCGTCGGTGACCATCGATATATCCACCTTTTCCTCGGTGTTGACGCTGATTCTCCAATCTACTTCCCGCTTCGGACATAGCACATGGAGGTCGCCGAGTCGTCTTTTGATGAGACATTCAATAAGCTGTCCAGTCTTTGCATCACGGGAGACGCGAAGCTTGCCTTCCGGGTCTTGTGTGTTTGGAATTGAGAAGAACTCGTCAAGCGTTTGAAGATGCCGAGCTGATAATGGCGCATGTTGAAACGACGGGGCGGCTGTCTGAGCTACACGCTCGTTAAGCATCTTGTTCAAGTGTTCGTGTTGGCGCTGGAGATAATCGGTAAGTCACAGAAGCTCCCAAGGAACGTACGCGTACAGCTGACAGTGTTGATTCAAACTTCATGTTCGAAACTTCTCGAGGGTTCAATACTGAAAAGATTCAAAAAGTGTGTAAGGGCTTGATGTCAACATACTTGTTTCAACGAGTACCCCGAGACGCGAGGCCACACGCTGGTTGTTGGATCTATCAACCATCACGCCAAATTTTGCCTCTACTTCTATATCTGGTCGCCCTGAAGGATGTGAGACTGAGCTTCATTTCTATAGCTTGCATCTCACCCCCTGAAATGTACGCGACCCAGTCTGCAATCTCCTTTACAAATTCGTCTTGCGGTTCCATATTTAAAAAAGAGGGTTCCAGTGGTAATGCATACGGATTTGACTGAGAGGATGTACTAGATCCACCTCCATTGGTGTCTGCCGGCATGACAGAAAGTAACCAGCTTTCTTGTGTAGTAGACTGTTGTTTGAAGCCCTAACTGGCAATGTTGTGAAAGGCCACCGGGATATGGTCAGGTCGGTGCGTTTAAGCAACTTGGACCCTCCCGCGACCGGTGTCTTGTTGTGAATACCTTTGATTTGTGAATACGGGAGCATCCCATTGGTTGATAGCTCGTTCCTGGCCTTGACTTGGAAGGTCCTCACCGCCATGTCATTCCTGACCATACTCGTATTGTCGGGAACGCTCGCTCTGGGCTGTTTCATCGTTGGAAATCTCCCTCTATCGTTCTCGTTCTCGAGTGAGTGGCTCATATCCAGCAGCCTACCGTCGAGAACGCGTTTCTAACCAAGCTCCGCTCTGTAGAGACACGTATAGCACAGCTCTCGACACTAGGAATAGGCCTATTATTAGGAGCTGGACTCGGAGTGATTATCCCAGAGGTAAACTAGCAAACTAAGTGCTTCACCTCTGACGCGGTGTCGTAGGGCGTCGAGGCGATTTTCAAAGCGTCATCAGAAAAGGATGAACCTTCGCGTACCGTCGCATTTACACTAATCGGAGGCTTTATGCTCATGCTCCTGGTGGAGCAAGTTCTCCTGCCTTCGACCTCGTCCAACGATGCCGACTATGCGCTCCTCCCCAACGGCTCGTCCACAGAAGCATCCCGCTCCAGTTCAAACTTACACGTGCGGTCCGACTCAAACGGGGCGCCAATAACCCAAAGCGTTCCTTCCAATGGTGCATACCGCCGAGCCAAATCAATTACGTTTGGCCTCGTCATTCACTCCCTCGCGGATGGTCTCGCACTTGGCGCTTCGGCATTCTCCTCGTCGGCAAAGGGACATGCACATGCACATCGCGCCGTGCTTCTCTCTCGGGACGCGGCTGACTCGGATATCATGGATCAGTTACAAACAAGCTCACTTACTCTAGTGGTTTTCTTCGCCCTTTTCATCCACAAAATGCCTACAGCGCTCGCCCTCTCGACATCGCTACTCCCGTTGATACCCCCGAGACGCATTCGCTTGCACATCTTGGTGTTTTCGTTAGCTACACCACTAGGAGCTGTTCTCAGCTTTATTCTCCTTGGATTCTCTGACATTGGGGGATCGTCGATAGGCAAGTTAATAACTGCAGGAGTCGCATCTCAAGCCTCAAAGAGCGGGCTATGGGCCGGTATCGCCCTTGCGTTTTCTGGTGGGACGTTCCTCTACGTTGCGACGGTCCTTCAACCCGTGGGTGGGGAATCTGGATCAGGAGGGCATGCGCACGCTCATCCGGGCGAAGAGGCTTCCTTGCTCGGACCAAAGGCGCGCGTGGCCCTTATTGTCCTCGGAATGGTCCTTCCGATAACAATCACAACGTTGATTGGACATGGCCATGGGTGACAGGCCCTGGGTAGCTTACTGTATCTATTGCTCGACCGAATATCCAATATAGATGTCAAGTTATTTGGGACTAGTCTCGATTGACTCGATATGCAAAGAGATTGAGGTACTGCTATATTGATTGAGGAGGTACGCCTTACAATGTCCCAAATAGTCCATGGTAATCTGTGAGGTGAGATGATAGTACAGCCATTATTACGTCCAAGAAGGAACCGAGGTGCGACATAGACCAGGGATTGGGGATGCCAGAGCCAAAGAGAAACAGTGTCTAGTGCGGGAGAGCGAATGAAGGAGGGGACCGGAAGATTGCGACCAAAATGCAATGAGGGAACGTAAAGCGAAAATGTAAATGGTATAAGCCAGTACAAGTGGGACTGGGGCGACTCGCCAGGCACAGGATGCGAATGGAAAGCGCACTGGTCACAAACTGATGTTCTTTCCTTGCGCGAGCTGGGCAAGGAATGGGATCGGCTTTGAGACGCGTGACGACATGCGCAGCGCTTTGGCTATCATCGACTCTTGGAGTGTCTGATACACTTCAACTTGATGGTTTGGGACAGTATCCTTTTCCTTCTCATCTTGTGGAAAAGATGCTAGCGGAGGGCTATTTGACAGCGAGGTAGAGCTGCGTCTTCGACCCCACGCGATCCGGAATCGGACCCATGCCCGAAACGTCTCGGCCATTAGATCTATTGCACACGCATCAGCGACTTCCTTGTCAGTGCAAAAGGATGAACCGACCGTAATCCGCGGCTGCGACCCACTGGTCGATCACAGCTTGTGAAACACCATGCTTGCGGAAAAGTGGCTGGGTTGCACGCAATGCGTTCTATACGTGGTAAACTTACTCTCTATCAGGCTGCAGAGGCGTTACGTACATAAATGTCCTGACGCATGAGCGAGCCGGCGTATTTGAGCTGCTGGCTGAGGGCTTGATCGCGCACTGTAGAAATGGTCAAGACTGTCCACTATATGATGCAAAATCAATCGCACTTTGAGGCCAGGGAGTGATAGGGATATACAGACTCGACGCGCCGCATGTATCTGGGTCAAATATATGCATCCGCCAAAGACCCTCGTCGACAGCATCTTCTGCGCATGTAAAATCGCTCCCGTTCAGCCTCGTGGCATAGCGCATTTCTACAGCAGCAATTAGCCGTCAATCATCGGGGCTCCTCCTCAACTATGCAAAGGGAGCAGCGCGTACCGTAGAGAAGCCTTTGCAGCCACGATCCACGCATCTCAACTCCTGATGTCTCATCCTCATCGTCGTTGGAGAGTCCGGGGATGGGACCACTGATCCTGGCTTCTGCGCGAGCATCAAGCATCTCGCGCTCGGTCAAGGCCATGGGAAGGACTGTCATCCGATCGACCCCAAGCAGTTCCATGTCCGCTTCCATGAGAATGACAAGACCACCCGGTTTGACGCATCGAGAAATCTCTTCCATAGTCTTGCGGTAATTCTTAATCTAAGAAGCCGGGTCAGCACACCTTATCGTAATGTGGCAGGAACGCGTAGACGCAGCGGCTATCACAACCCAGGGGTAACCTGGTCATGACAGCTAATAGGCGAGCAAGGAGGTGGACGAGACGTACGCCAAACGAGATCATGCGCGCATGCACGAGATCAAATTTGCCAGCAAAGTGTTCGAGCCCATGATTAATATCGTCAATCTCAAAGGACACATTTGAAGGTGCGTCGGCCGCTGGACACGGAATAAGGTCGACGCCGAGGAAATCTACATGCGGGAATTCGTATGCCATGTCGACGAGCCTGTTATTGCAAAACCACTCATAAGTCAATTTGCTCCACGAGGGGGGGCTCAAGGCTGCGCAACGTACCATGCGCCATTTCCACAGCCTGTGCAAACACCACAGAATTTGTCAGCGAATCCATCTTGGGGGAAGATAATGGAGACATTGCGCCGCAATTTGCCGCGAAGATGGGGTGGATCAAAAGAAAGCCAAAATGGCGAGCGCAAACGATGAAGCGGTGTGACAGAGGAGAATGAAAAGATATGTGATCGAAAACGAGGGGGTAAAAGCTCGGACAAACGTGCCAAACTGGACGTACCGAGATCCAGAACCGACTTTCTCTTACTCTCATCCTCCAAAGGGGCCAAGACCTCCCTTACAACTTCGGGACATGGGTAAAGACCGCCCAGACCGACGGTCAAACAATCGTGCTGGTGCTGACTAGCCAAACGTAGTTAGGCCCATGTGGGTGAAGAAGGAGGGAAAATGCAAGAAAAAAAAGGGGAGGCAACAAAGAGGGCGGCAAGCAAAGGGCGAAAAGGAGGAAAGCGGAGGATTGGTCAAATATGGACAGTGGGTCCGTTTGATGTGGGGCAAGGGGTTGGCCGAGTAGCAACCAGTGGCTTGAAGAGGATGGTGGCCGTGGTTAGAGGTGTCCAGCGTACCCCTTGGTGTACTCCATCCCTTTCTAGTTCGCTCGACAGGATGACAAAGAGAGAGCCACTTACAGTCGCTGAAACTCGTCCTGGTCTAGTTGGGGATTGCATTCATGACGGCAATTGCATGCGTTTAGCGGGGCCGGTTAGGACGAGCAATGGGTCGGAGTCGAGACCATATATTGAACGAAATATATCGCCGGTAGGAATAGATCCGGAGTGGAATCAATAGACGCGGGTGAACAAAGATGGTTTCAAATTTGATCAGTAAACGAGAAGCCAACGAGTCGGGTCGATTGAGACTGGATTGGGTAGGAGCTGTCGACATGGGGCGTGGACATACCGCTGGGGAGGAAATACTCCATGTTTTGTGTATTGAAGAGACGCGTCTTCTTCGGATACTCGGTGCCACCGCTGGTCGATGGGGTCGATGTCTGGGTCGTCGACGAGGCTGATGAACCGTGCATGCCAGGACGGTCGCATTCGCGCAAAAAGTTTTGAAAGTAGGCCGGGACGCGTCGAGTGGGCCGTATCTTGCGCTTGGCCCGCACCGGAGCTTTTCAACGGGGGCATTGCCAACCCGCCCAACGGTTGAGTGTCGCAACAAAAGGTGAACACCAGATAGAGAATACAAGAGCGAGTTACATACCACCATTCTCGTCCACCGTCTCGCCTTCGTCGTCGGAGCAGAGGATATGATACGGCTCGCGCACGGTCCACATCCTGACCTCGTTTGTCAATTCCTCTGCCATTGCAAGTGTATCGTCGAGGTGTCCAAGTTTTGCGTTTGGTTTGGGCGGGCCGTCAAACAGGCACAGAGAGGATTCAAACGCGTCAACTACGAAGTCGAGCCGTCTTCGTCGTTCAAAATCCCTAGGCTATCCGGCAAGGACACGGCAACAATGGCAGAGTTGACGACAGAGTACACACACTTGGAATCTGCAGAGAGTAGAGATCCGAGATTGTAGAAAAGACGAAGGGGGGGGATGGTGGAGAGCAAGAGAGGACAATGCCAGGGCCAGGCAAAGCAAACGCAAATTCCAGGTTGGCATCTGGAGCGACCCTTTGCAAACTCCTTAAATGACCCGTTCATCGGCTAGCCAACAATCCAACCGGGGCTTAGCTTAGTTTCTTATTCACCCATCCTCCGTTCGGCATCTACCGCTTTGATGATCAAGTTTACTAAACCTGGCTGCAAATTGCAAGACAGGCGGAGCAACTCGTACCACAAGGGGGATTGGTGGTCTAATTTGATATTACGGCCCGGAGAGTAGAGTACATCCATAACTTATCAGTGGCTTGACAGAATCTATATCATCGAGTGACAACCCCAGTCGCGTTGAACACGGACAAGAGCGCAAAGCATCCATAGAGCAAGCCCACAGGGTATGCCACCAGCAATCGTTGATCGGACATGCGCAGGACGGCCACAAAGATTCCAGACGCCGCATACGTGCACCAAAGGATCGACAGGATTGAAAGAAAGTAGCCGAGTGCACCACTAGACCAGGGACGGGGTCAGTCTCTGGTACGTCACTTGAAACTCCCCATAAATAAACGTACTCTAGTGCAACGACGACGCTGATGGCGCTTACACCGACCATGGGCAATAGGCAATAGCCCAATACAGATGCCACCCGATATGCGTCGATGCCAGACTCGGACATGGCGTTGAGCAGAAAGTACATTGACGCCGACCCTAGCAGTCCGACGCCGTAAATAAAGCTGAATTGAGGCTTTCCAGACTAAGATCACCGTTAGTGCAAGCCACAAATCAAAGCACAAGGCTCACCAAGAGAAGAAAGGTCGCGAAGCTAAAGCAAAAAATGATGGGACCTGCCATATCCGCATCATCCATGATATGTTCATCCACCTTTTGCAGCGGGTTTAGCACCGTCATCGACTTTATCCGTATATGCGAAAAGTTGATCCCGAGCTCTACATCCAGAGAAGAGTAGATAAAGATGATTAGCATCATCCTTCAGATAGTGAGAAAGACGACTCGCGGCGACACACCTTCAAGCAACGGCTGCTCGCCCTCGACACCACCAGGCCCAAACGCAGTCCACCAAGGACCTTGAACGACAATATTTCCACCATACCCATTCCCACTGCCCGAACCCATCGTGCCCGTCGCCATATTGCCTTCAATCCCACCGCCAACACCCGCCATACCGCCGCCCATGGACCCCATGGTGTTGATATTCGACGGTGTTGAAGAGTAGAATCCATTCGAACCCGTCGTTGTTGTCGACCCTTGGCCGTAAAACTGCAGAGGCGTGTTGTCTACGGGCTGCTGGCCATAATAATTTTGTGGCGCGTGCATGTAGCCGTGTGCTTGCTGTCGTGACATTTTGGCTATTTATTGGCTCTCCCAGTACTAGTTTTAGCGTTCACGCCGTCTGGCGGAATCGTCGACGTGGAGGTGCAGTTCAAGTTTGGTTCATTCTTCCTTTCACTCTAGCCGCCATCTCAACCGTACAAAATGTTGGGACTACAAAGAGTGTATTGACCAATGGCGTGTGCTAGGTTTAGATACATTGCGTCAAGAACGAGGGAACAGATGCAAGCGTCCATGGGTAGAAAGCTAGATGACGGGTATTGCACGTTAAGATAACCGATGCAATTCGTAAAGCACGGCATAAGTTAGCAGACCGTGGCGACTTATGGCCGGTAAGGCGTATTCTCCGCAAAGTACTCGTGACTGTCGGCGTTGTTGACCGCAGCAGTCGCATTCGCTGCTGCAAGTGCCTGCGCACGAACCTGGCCATAGGCGAGATCGCGCGTGCCGCCATTGGCAGTAAAGTGTGTGCTCTCGTGGACAATCGTGCCCGCCTTGGAGTCTGTGCCTGAGACTGCGGCGAGCATGTACTGGTTGCAGAGATAGATGTGGCCAAATTCGGATGGATACACGTAGGCATATGTATCCGAGCTCTCCTCGCACGCGCAGTCAAACGTATACGTCTTGACGTCCGACTTGCGAATGGCCGCAAAGTGCGAGAGTGCTGTTTGGTGATTGTCGGCACTATACTCTCCGAACCAAGTGCCATATCGATCTGCCAAAATCCGTGAGCCCTCGCTTCGAGGTAGATGTGGGAACCGTACCGGTCGTCTCGGTATTGAGTGTCAGATACTTTTCGGCCTGAGCAACGTACAAGCTCGCGACATAGACCGACTCCTGGATGGCCTGCTCCTGATCGGGCGTGCAATTGGCAAACTGAGTGGCCCGCTTGCCGAGTGCTTGAGCCTCCAGCGCTCGCTTCTTGTACTTAGCCGCGTGCTCTTGGCGTTTTTGAACATGCCGCGAGACAAGGGATCCAATGAGCTTGGCAGTATGCGTGCGTTCCACCGTCGCGTCAATGGGCACGGGCTGCCCGTCCTCTCCCTTGTAAAAGAAACGCGTGTTCGAGGGCACCACGTTGTACGCGCCTCCAGATGCAAACGAATAGGCTTGGGCGACTATTTTGGGCGTCAGTGAATGGCCATCTCTTTTCCGCGCCCTTGGAATGAGCCGCGGCACTGCTCAAGACGCACGGTTATGGGTCACGTCGACAGACTCGCCAACGCCGAGGTTGGTAAACGAGGTTGCACTCGCAAAGTTGTATTTGGCGAGAACACCGTCAAAGCTGGCTGCACTGTCGTCATTGGCCTTGAGGATTTTGAACGAGTCAGTGGGGGCCTTGCTGAGTAGCCCGCGGGGTTCATTGTACAGCTGGAAAAGCCATCAATCACGGTCACCGACACTAAGAGTATACGCACCTCCAACGCCTCAGTGCCCGTGTTCTTGAGTTGGACGGTAACGTTGAAATTGTCGACATTTTCAACACTGTTGGCACCTGTAGATATCACTTGTCAGCCATTGAGTTCGTCCAGCGACCCAAACTCACCCAAAATCCTGAGAGTGAGCGCGGGGTCGGCCTGGACGGCGCCAAGCGAGGACAAGAAGACGGCGAGGAGGACGCCAGACGAGAAACGGTTGAAAGAAGGCATTTTTGTAGAATAAAAGTCGAGGAAAGGAGGGCGAGAAGGATACCGAGGTGTGGGCGTGTCCAAGTTTTATAAGCTAGCCCAGACGATGGCAGTGTCCACACTCAAATCCCGCCCGAACCTCTGACAACGGGCGCGCTTCTTCTTGGAATCCCTTGCAGTGCTGCCGATATGCGGACTTTAGAATCTTCACCGCTTCTAGGATCATAGTCCTCTAATGCTTTCTACAGTATTTATACTCAATTTTCTACACCATCTCCAATTTTCCCCGCATTTTTAAGCGCAAGCTGTCAACCGGAGCGCTCTTTCGGCCATTCACTCGATCACCGACGGCCGCCCTCAACCCTTCAACTCAAACCACAGTTGCATTGTACAAAACAAGCTACTATCAAGGATACAGTGCAGATTGATCAATAATTAGATGCAAACTCCAAAGAGCGTGTCCAGGTCGTCCACGAGCATCGAGTCGGTCTCCAGCCACTGTCCAAACAACAGGCAATAGTCCTCCATCACGAGAGCTACAGCATATTAGCATACCATATTCGACTCAAGCAAAGAGCAACGTACGAAGGACAATACGGCCCCTGAGGACGGCAGACTGCAGCAGACCTACACCCAGGTGTGGTACAGACCACGCAGGCGTGCAACTTGACGATAGGAATCTTGTTAGAGGGGTCCATGTCGAGATAATTTACGTCGTATTCGGAAAAATTGTCCATGTCAGAACCGTCATACTCGTACGAGCTCATACTAGATCCACCAGGGAGCGCCGGTTGGTAAAGGTTTCGGTACTCTGGATTGAGGAGCGTTCGAACGAGTGGTGGAAGGGGCCGGACCGCAATCGACTTCATGTACGATCCGACGAGGGCGTGGCCGTGGCATCCTGGGCAGCTCACTTGAAAATTTTTCGTTAGTTTTCTCTACATAAAGGGGCTGAGTAACAACGCACCGAGGTCACCCAGAGGCAAGGTTCCGCCTCTGATCATGGCAAAGCAGTGGCCAAGTTGGGTTGCCCATACGTACTGGATGCGGTCGCGAACGCCAAACTTAGAAAGGATAGGTAAAGGGAACTCGGTGTTCACCGCGTACTGTGGAAAAGGGGAAGAGGAGCGAAAGGCGGCATTGGCCTCAGAGAGCGCATCCATGGCCAGCGCATGCTCGAGGTCGATACGTAGTTGCTCATTCTCCGCTTCTTCTTCGTCCTTATCCATCTGGGCGCTGTCTGCAGTGTCGGTGAAAACTGTCGGCGGCGTAGGGCCGTCCGGAACTGGGAGAGGATCGGTGGCGGAAAGGGGTGGAGATGCAATCGTCGTCTCCTTGAGTGTATCTACCGCTGGGATTGGTAAAGGAGCTGGTGTATGCGCATTGTCGAGCATGCCACCCGACCTGACCATCGGCACAGACGAGAGCGTCGGTTCGTTGTCGACTTGAAGCATAAGATCTAGAGCACCAGCAAGAAGAGGCGTGGCGATGGCTACAGACGACGAGGATGACGAACAGTCGTCGTCGCCGCCGCCATCGACGAGCGGAATGGTGTCGACATTGCGCTGCACAACATTCGTCATCTTGCAAATGTCGACGAGCGCTGGGATCTGATGCTCGAGAGGATGTTCGTTCATTAGCGAAAGAGGGTTTTCTTGTTAGAGAGTGGAAGGTTTTCGCAATGGAAATGCT